CGACGCTGACGTTTATATCGCGATCTGTTTTTCCTGTCCCAGCGCAGTGAGTTTAATTGCTTTTCTCTAGTCTACCTTCTAATTAAACCTCCAACCATCCTCGGCGAGGAACTAGCCAAATGCATAATGCATTTCGCAGGACTCGATGTCAGTCGTCCTTTCTTCCTGTCTCCTTTGAATCCCTCACGATTTGCCTCCATCCTCGGTTCTATCGCGACCTGAGCTAATGGTCGAAGTTGGTCGTCGTCGTTTCGACGTAGTGCACCTTCGATTGAATTATAATTAATGCCACGCCATGCGCAACTCGCATTGTGAGCTAACAACGGTGGGAGAAACTCGCGCCGAGAAACGCACGTTTCCAACGACACAAATTATCGATTATAAAGTAATAACTCATAATAACTCATAATTCGCGTGTGAAGTTTCCTCTCTATAACTTTCGTGGATGCGACTTGTACTCCAGAATTATAGTTAATTGATCGCACGATTTTCTTTCTTCAAAAGATTCATCTTGATACAATTAATATAATATGACTTTTAACGAACACGTCAGTGAAAAGAGGAGAAATTTTCTCTCCAAGATATCCGTGAAAGTGCAAAGACTGATTATGAATTAATGTAAAAGTCGCGTGCTTGCGACTTTTTTTTATTTAATTAGAGAAGTCTCCTAATTTTACTTTACAATTTCATGTGTTTTTAAGAAAATTAAGCGCTTGGTCGCGACTGTGGAATTAAATTTAATAAAACACATTTATGACACATAAATTTTACTGAATTTATTTATGATTATATATATTTTTTTATACGCTGTAATATCATTTATAAATTGCCCTTATCTTTGGTGCGTGCACGAATATCGTATCTCGTGGTGGGTGTCTACAGATTTATCACCGGGGCGGTACGGCTGCGATCAACAGTTAAATTACAATCTAGTGTCTGTCTCGAATGGCCGCAATTCACTTCGCGATATAAAGTCTTCGCGGAAATAGATTTAGAAACGAAATATTGAGAGATCTGACGTGCTTCTTAGAGTGAGGAATCTAAGCGTCGTATTCCGCTCACGTAGCTCGAAAGTGTCGACTACCTGGAAATCCCTTCGACTTGTTACGCGTTTCTTATGCATATGCTATTATAATGTAGATAGGCACTCTATCTCTTCCTTTCTACAAAGGCAATTGACATGTTTAAAGCTCCGGTCAAGTCCACGACATTCTCCATTAAAATTGTCACCATTAAATATTTACGTGACGCTCAGTTTAAATTAATATTTTTAAAAAATTAATTTGTTCGATAATTGCGTATAAGGTGTGTATTTGCATTTGAAAATACTGGAAGAATTAAAATTTATCTCGCTTAAAAAAATTTATTTTGTGACAAATACGTCATTTCACAATCTTGCACTTTCATTGGATTGGAAGGAAAGTTTTCTGGCAAGTTTTTTTCGCGAATAACGTGAACGTTTATATTTATAATCATCGCCGAATGCGTTATGCATACTCGTGTTTTATGCATACTCGTTTTTTGTAATCGATCGTTTCATATGATAAGTTGCACGCGTAAAATTTCACATCTTATTCGGTAGCGAAGCACTCTTTACGTCGCCTAGAATGAAAAGACCGCTAACGATCCTCGACCAACGGTAATTTCTCGGTTTCGACGATGTCTTTTGTACGTAACGGGCCGCCTTATTGCGCGATAATCACATAATGGGCGCGAATTGGCTCCGTCAATTAAAGCTGGCACGAAGTCGTCATGCCTTTCTTCGCTCGATAGACAGCCACGAAGTGGAGCCGAGAGAAAATTATTTCTCTCTCGTAAAAGTTCTTCTCTTAAAACAGATAAGTTTGCAATGTTGAAAAATGCATTTCGATTAATTTTAAATCAGTTTTAAATAAGAGAAAAATAGAAAAAAATAGAAAAGAAATATTTGAAAAATTTATATTTGTAAAAAGCTAGAACTCTCTGCGGCGGACTCGATAGACGGAAATTCGCCATTAGTTTTTGTCACCGTTAGATCGATTTGTCCTCACAATTATGTAAAGTTAGTATAACGGGTCGGGAAAAGTACGGGATCGATTTCACGATGCTCGTGCATCGTACGCACTCGAGAATATTCAATTTTTCGGTCTGCCGCGTCGCATGATTGCCAGGCGTGAGATATAAATCGTCTCGGAAGCGCCGATACAATGTTGTATAATCAAATACGAAATACTTCCGCGAGATTTTCGAGTAACGATAAGAGTTACGGCGAAGGGAGCTTGATGGCGAAAATTGCTATCGACGTGGAAAAATCGACTTTAAGTTGATCGAGAAATTTTCAAAGGGAATAACTCATTCTTATTATTTTTTTTCTGAAGCTCCGCGAAAGATGTGAAAAAAATTGCAAGAATTAAACGTGAGAAGACGTCTTGAAGTTTTCTTTAAGACCTCTTCCAAGATCGATTTTTCTCTCTCATTTTCTTCGCTCTATCCGAATTCCGTGCAGATCTTAAGATCGGCACGTCCGAGATGATTCGCGCGTCCGTGAAACAAATTATGCGAATGTTTTAGCAAAGTGTGCGAGTACCCGCGGGCGGGTTCGGCATCCTCTGTAGTCCTGCGATCGCTTATTATCCCGCTGATACTGCGCGAGGTTGACCACGATAATCCTTGACCGGTCTTACATCATCTTGTCTGGTTTTTCCTCGCTTTCCACCCGATCGCATCGAATGCTATTATCCCGCGTTGTCGGAAAGCAATTTCCTTCGTAGCTTTCTCCAATCGCTTTTGCGGTTTCCCGCGATGATTAAAGAGTCATTAAAATCGGACGACACTTGATCGAGAAATTGACGTTCTGAAAATAGTATATTGTTGAGAGATATAAAATTGAAATATTAATATATCAGCGAAGAGTACTTATCGGTATTTTTATCGATATTTATATTGGTATTTTTTAATTCAATATTACTTTATCCCAAGAGAGTTAATTCCAAAGAGAGTTAATTTCCAAGAGAGTTAATTCCAAATGGACGAAGAATTTAGACTGTCTATTAAGATTTCATTTATGTATTTATTAATTTAGAACATAACGCTAAAATGTTGTCGCGAATAGCTTGGAAAGCTCTTTAGCCGCGAAAATAGCTTACATTGGCTGGTAATGAAGCAGAGCGTTCCAAGTTTTGTCGATGCACTTGGAAAGTCGTGTCGCGCATAGTTAAAAGTTTGAAAGATTTTATGCGCGAAGCGTAAAGCGTGGAACTCCGTCTGCTAGTTCAACGCTCGTCCGCCTGTTTCACTTTGAGCGTATTTTCGTGGCTGCTCGCTCGCTCACTCGTCGATAATTTAGCTTTCTGCATCAGCTTGAATATAATTGTTCACCTCCGATATATTAAATATCGAGACACAACAATTTTTGTCTCATCAATTTTATTCTACTGATGTCATACAAACGTCATCCTTATCATTTATCGTTGCTTGGATTGAACAATCTCCATACATCATTGAAATGCAAGATACACGTATATCTGTACAATAAATTCATACACGTTTAATCGATTTAATACACGAAACAATGCGGTTTGGCAGAAAGCCAGTTTAGTTGCGTAAACAAAATCGAATTTCTAGCTTGAAAATCGGGTCGACGTATATTTCGTTGTCACACCCACCCCTCATCCCTCCACCGCTTTCGAAATCCAAACAACATCGCGGGGAAGGTCAACCGGAAGAGCTTTTCTGTTGTTCCACCGTAGCCGAAAAGTCTGGCGCCGGTGCGACGGCGTCCAACGGCGTCGTGGATACATCCTGTCCAGGAGACGAGCTTCAGTATTCGTTTCTCCTCCGACGCGTTGTGTATCGTCGCTCCTTCGACGTGGTCCTTCTGGTCGCGTCCATTCACTGATAGTTCTCATCTCGCGATATATAACTCACGGCGATATCTTGCATTTTTTTATTTTATGCTTATGATTTGCTGAGCGAACAACATGTCATTTGAAGCGAATTTAAGAAGCTGTAATATAAAATGTTAATCAAATAGATAAAAGTGCATTTTCTCAAATAAATGTGCGTGTTTACGAAGTAATAAACAAAACTATATACGCACGTATCGATTGTTTTATAGAAAATTGCATAAAAAAATTTCAAAGTTTACAAAGTTGGTTGGGCGGCAAAAGTTTTTTCGGTGACAAAGGAAAACGCGGGATCGAGACAAACCTCCTTCACCCGGTGCTTTCACGTTTTTCTGTCAGCTATCGAGCGGAGGAGCTCGTCGGGATGTTGAAGTTCCGAGTAGTATCCGGCCAACGGAAGCGCGGCGGCATGGTGAGAATCTTAAACGTCTGCGACGTGCTTAAATCTCGACTCGACGCGCGGAAAAACGTCGTCGAAAAAAGAAAAGTTAATTTTTCCCGGATTTACCTCGGGATTTATTTATGTTGCACGTGAAGCGCTCGTTCAATTTTTTACTATCGCAATAAATGCGAAAGCATTTTTCCACGGAGAGACCAGCGCTCTTTCTCCAATTTTTCATTACGTCGCCAATACTACAGATATAATTGGACATTTTTGCGCCGTGTAATATATCAATAATATAATCAATCTTGAAAAAAAGAATATATAATTGTAAGGAAATATATTAAATTTAAACATTGTAATATATTTTTTAAATATCGTACGGTATTTGCTAATCGACAAATTATCGATTTCCAAGTCATCATTGTATTTCGATTCCATCGTACGGTAATTTGTCGTTGCTTCGCCTGCACGACCGCTTTCAGACAACATCGCGTGTCGATGTCTGGGAAGTTGCCTGCCTCCAGGCGCGAGGGATCCGCCATTAAGGGCCTGCAGTGGCTCTCAAATGTCATCGCGTGATAAGTCGCTCGACCGTTTTTCGCTCGAATCGTTTTCGATTAATCGAATCGCATCAATTTGCGTTTGTTTGAGTTTAATGATCTCGAAAATTAAATTTTTACAGATAAAATCTTCCAAATGTTTTTAATATTTGATTTTTTGATCTGTTACAGGTAAATCCGGGAAGCAAGGCAGCTCAGCAAGGGGTGAGAGAGGGTGATCTGATTAGTAACATTAATGGAAGAAGCACTCGAGATCTGACCAATAGCGAGGCACACGCTTTGCTGCGTAACTCTGGAGAACAGTTAAAGCTCGGTCTTAATCAGTAAGTCGCTTTTTTTTAAATATTAAGATTTTTTGCGAAATAATAGAAGCGAGAAATTAAATTCTATTCTATTCTAATCTAATCGAGAATTTTATTTTCTTTTTTTGTCGCAGAGAAAATATCGGCTCGCCAAAAAGGAGGATCTACAAGAGTAGTCTACAGGAAAATACCACGACTGAAATTCAGAATAGTAAGTATTCGCGAAAATCGATCAATCTCAAATGAAGCGAGAGCCAATCATCATTTCTGTCATTTTTGTGCCACAGAGATCACCACAAGGACCACAACGACCACACGCACACGGACAGAAGCCGAGAAGAACGTTGCCAGTAAGTTTGATGTCTTTGTATAAAATTATTACCTTTTTTGTTACTTCAACTAAAGATAGAAATGTGTGAAATATTCATGTAAAACGATGACTGCGATTGTTTAATATATAAATATATCATGTATATCGATAATTAATAATTAACAGGTCGCTTCGCCGCAAAAACTTTCGTCGAACGCATTGAGAATGTGGCCTATAATTAATTAAATATAATGTTGAATTTAGGAGCGAATTTCCAATTAATCGCGAGCGGTTTGAGCAATGAGTTCACCGTGTTCAATATTGATTCCCGATTAATCTCGTACGGTATCAAATATCGGGCTTATATATATTGAGAGTCTCAACCTCATTTCCCAATTAATTTTTAACGCGTCTAACTCGACGTATTTTACGGATATGCGACCACGATTACTAGTAATCGAAACAAGTTAGGCGGGGGTAACATGGTTAGTTCATAGATAGGCTATATCGAACATATAAAATATACCGAGTCATTGGCAGGTGATTATCGACACTCTTAACAATTCACGACTCGTTCTCCGCAATATATACGTTCGATTCTCGATCGTTGCCGTTTGTAACACGTCGAGTTATACCGGAGGATTCAGAAATTACCCACGCATGACTGCCGGTGCTTGGTCGAGCACAATAATCCTGCCAGTTAACTGAGCGTGTACAATGCGCGTAGTTTAATTATCTCCAATGATCTCAATGGCGAACAATGGCTGCCTGTTCCTTTATGCGCGACAGCGGCAGAAGTTAGCCTCGGTGACATTTCGGTTGGCCGAATTAATCAAGTCGGCCTTCCGTGCACCGCCACTCATCTATGCTTGATAATTTTTTTTCACGATAAAAACAAAAAATAATTCCCTCTAAAAATTGGATCGATAAATGGAAGCGAATTTTTTTCATCAGTCTAACAAGATTTTGCAATATATATATATATATATATATATATATATATATATATATATATAAATTACAAGCATAAAGATTTTACTAAAGGAATCGAAGGAATATCTTGTGAAGTTGAAGTTGTGTGTAAAGATCGAGAGACATCAATTTCGAAGGCTATTCTCATCGCGCTTAATTAATCGCCGATAATTGGCTCGCTTCGATGTCGCTTTAGACTCTAACCAAGGATACGGGCCTAATAAGTGCAGCATATGACGTGTACGTTGACCATAAATACGCGACGGATCATCCCACCACTTTGGCCATTATTACCGGCTCTTTTCTCCAAATTGCCCGCTCGTCGCGGTACAGTGCACATCCAGATAGCATACCCACGCTTCGCGTCGAGTACGCGCGTGTATTGTCTCACGCACACGCGACACACCTGTCCCCAACTCACATGTACACTCCCATCTACGACGGTACACCTGCGACCACAACGACACGCGGCAATTCCGTGCCCGGCGCACCCTCGGCTCTCCAAGAAGGCCCTGCATCGAGGAGGCGACCCTCTTCGTCTCCTCTTCTTCCTTTTCGAGGCTTGCGAGACCCACCTTCTCGTTCAGTATCAGGGAACACCTTGTCGAGCGCGCCGCGCCGAGTAATCGAATTTTGAATCGCATTGCATCGTTTGTTTTTAAAAAAAGAAAGAAATTAATATCGCCGGAAAAAACGTAGAAATGTCTAATAAGAAAATTGGAATCGATTGCATAGATTTTTTTCTTTTAAGACGCAACAGTGATAAAGGAATAATGAGAGAGTGAAGTGTGAATATCATCGTATAAATTTGTATAACTTTGAATCGTACAATTTTTTTTCGGCGCGGCATAATGAAATTTAATCAAGAAATTCATAACGACAGACGAAAAGTGCAAGAAACGTCATTGACAATTATGCGATCGACCAATTACCAGTTTACCACGATAATGTAAAATTTCTCTCGCATATGTATAAATTATAATCATTTTTTCGTTAAGTTCGTGACCGGCACAACGACCGACGATGAATTGAATGTTTGAGTTAATATAAAAGACAACATCGATGAGTGTTCAATGAGGAAACGCGTACACAACAGCGGGAAATCTGCGATGCGAGTGACGCGATCGTCAACAATACATGTATTATCCGGCGATACAATAGTCGCGCATCGCTGTTTAATGAAGCTGCATGCGATTGTGTAATGATGAAGGAAAGGGCATTACAACCATAAATTCATCGGGACAAATCACGCGATGAAAGTAAATTCAGCGAGGACGCGAATTGGATCAAAAATAATTAACGACACTTGAAAACAAGGTACAGTCGTAGTATTTTATATAGGAAACGAGAGTTTGAGTTCTCCAATGAATTTAGAATTAAATAAATTTGGATAAAATCAATACGATCTTTCGAAAGAAGATGAAATTCTTCGATTGCGCTCAATGTCTTATAACGTTGAATCAGCGACGCTCGTCGCGATGGCGTGGCTGCAACGAGACGACGGATCCGTTAGTGATGACGAAACGTCCACCCACTCGTCGTCAACGTCATCATCGTCGTCGCTTGGAATCCGTGCAAAAAATCAGCTCGTCGCGCTCCAAAGCCCGATTTCTGACCGCGATGCGTAGCTTCAGTGCTTCGTGGAAACGACGGGCAGCTAAGATGAGCAACGCGAAGAACAAACTGAAGACGCATCCGAAGAAACTGCTTGTCAGAAACGACGAGGTCGAATCGAGATACGAGGGAATTTCAAGAACGCTTAACGGAGTTCACTTGAGGAAGAGCAAGATTCCCGCGACCGTAGATACGTCGAGAGTCAACGGCACCGGACAGAAGGGAGACGACGGGGTTGCCGGAAGAAGGGCCGGGGAGCTCGAGCGTGAATATTACGAGCACCTGGAGGCGTTCAAGTTCCTCATCGATCCGCCGCCGTGTTTTCGCAACACGGAGACCCGGCAAAACTTCGAGAATAAGCTCAACAGTCTGGATTTCAGGCGGATGAACACCGTGGCGATCCCCGAGGGACCCGAGACGAATAGATTCCAGGAGCTGAAGAGCTCTCCCGATGGATTTCGAAAGCTGACTTGCGAAAACGGAGTCTTGTACGACATTTGCGAGAGATCGTACGCAGATACGTTGGATCGTATCGTGGAGGAGCATCTGAAGATCGAACGTACGATGCTCGATTTGTTTGTCAGGGCACCGATTTTGAAGAGCCGACATGGCGAACAGGTGTCCCTCGCGGCGCGCGAGAACAAAACCGTTCGCTTCAAGGACGAGGTGAAGCGCTCGGAAACATCTGTCGAACACGGGGAAGGGTTGAGACTCAGGGACGAAGACTACGAAGGGGTGGGATCGAATAATCGTGTAAAGACGGAGATCATGAAGGAGGAGGATTCGGACTTCTATCAAGACCGGTCACCGGGCGAGAGTTCGAATGTGTTCGATGTCGAAACAGAGAACGGTAGGTAGCGATTAAAGTCGATTAGAAAAATTTAACATGATGTATATGTTCGATGGAAAAGTCGGAGAAAAGGACGCATGTCTGCGTAAGAGATATTTGTAAAATTCTCATGGAATATTTTTCAAACAGATAAATGTTGTTTAAATAATTAATAATGAAATATGAGAACCTTTGCAAAAACAATGTTAATAATTTTAATGAAATAATTAATAATGAAATATGAGAAACTTTGCGAAAACAATGTTAATAATTTAATTGCGAGCTTAACGAACATTTTGCGATGACCGAAGTTTCTCTCGCATCAATCCAATTCGCATTGACATTAACAGTACGCTTCTTGTCACTGAAATTCAATCGTGCTTATAGGTTGTTCTTGCCGTAACAAACGAGGCGGCGCAATTAGTAACGCGTCATTACGTTTGCTTTTTGAGGGTCATCCGATTCTTTAAATAAAGGATGTACTAGAGTTATAAGTGTGTTTGACGCTGTCAGTTGATAAAACCAAATCGTATTATTAATTATAATTTTATTATGATAAAATGTATAATTTAAAAAAGTAAGAAAGACATATTAATTTTTTTTACAAATTTTTAAAAAATAAATAATGAATAATTCATGTTTTTATTAATATTAATAATATTATTTTTATATGATTTATTTTAATGATATTTGTTCACATCAACTTTATCGATAAAAGTACAATTATTATGAATATTTTCGCGATAATTTTTTGTGTTCAGCATTTATGCATCGATATTACGGTCAATGAAACAGATTTCGATTTACGTCGCGAAACTCGCAGTCTCGATCGAACAATGCGTTACCGGAAATAGTAATCTCCGTTTGTTGAACGGGTTTGTTCAAACGGAAATTGTTTCTTTATCGCGAACAAGTCGTGCGCCAGATATCTGGAATAGTTCGCATAGTTCGAAAACGTAAAAATACGCTCGAACTACATTAAACGAACAATTAATATAGTAATGAATCAATTGTGTTAAATGATGAAACATTCAGCTTTGGAAAGTATAATTTGGGATTATCTTTTCCCAGTGTATCTGCACATTACTGTAAAATTGCAATTACATCTTTAACTTGTAATTACATCCTTTACGTCAAATTTCTTTAATATTAAAAAATAATTAAAAATTATGATTAAAAATATAACGATAACCGATCTCTGAGATTTTTTCACGGAAATCGCGTTGAGTGTAAAAATGAAACTCAAGGGCGCGGATCTTAGATCCATCGAATCTACGCGAAGCGTGACGCCGGCGATCGATTGTGCAACGGACGCGCAGAGTCGTCGGGCAATAAAATATGTCACGCTAGCCGGATTGCGCAAGCGATGAGCGACGGCGGTGGCGATCGGATCGGCGGTCGAAGGAAATCCCCCGCCGAGAATGACGCGAAGGGCGCAGGAGGGCAGGGCAGGGCGACCTCCGCTGTGTGGAGGAGACGAAGATGGAAGACGTCGGATCGCGGAAACGTGGGCTTGGCACCTTCGGGCCATGACGGGGCACACCCGTCGCGCCCATCGCGCGTATTAACGCGCCCATGGCGATGGTCCCGGTGCTGGTCCCGGCTCGCTAAATGCGTGTCCCCTCTAATTTTCCCCCGGGGAAAAATCCGTCACTCGTAATTCGCCCCGTGAATCCCGCGCAATTTTTTTACAATAGCGCGATTGTAAATTAAAAAGGACTATTGTTTATATTAATTGTTATGGCCGCGAACATAAACTCTGAAGGAGAAAGAAAATGTTTTATTTTTCGTAAATTATGGAATTATGTAAAGCTACGTCTGTAGTCGCCTTGATTTTCACCCCTTTTTATCGTGTTTGTGTCCATGACAGTTAATCTTGCGATCGTAATCTCCTTCGATTCCATTACGTAATTAACGTGATATATTTTTTATCGTACTCGGCGACTTTCGTTGCGTAACCACAAGGTCGTGACTCTCCGATATATAGGTTTTTTTTATTACTGTACCATTAAGCTTTCGATCCATCGGATTTCTTATTTTAGTTACATTCGCTCCTTTCGCTTTTTCGGATCGAGTTACGAGCGTCGCCGAATTAAACGGGCCAACTCGCTATGTGAGGGGGCGCGTTCGCTGGAAAAAAAAAAGATATTCCGTCACTTCCGGATCTCACATGCGACGCATGAGTGTGTCTGTGCCGTGACGCAATGAAAAGTGTGGAAAATAGATGGGTGCGCGACAGTCGCTTCGGCATTGTGTGCTCGGAAGGAAGTCCAACTCGGAAGCGGCGCTATTCATGAATTCAGAGGGGATTCTAGAGGGGACGTGTATACGTGTGCCCGCTCCTGTGTGCGTACACTAATGCGCATTACAATTGCATCCCTGTATACAGTTTTATGTCCGTATGTATACTTATGTATATATGTACACTATCTTTTTTAAATATCCAATGTATTCCTCCTCTAAAAACAAAAAAAAAACATGGTTTCCTTCACCGGATTTTTCCTAAAAATGTTGTCGAATACTCTTACGATATCTGACGACACCTAAACTATACATCATTCATCGCGGAATAAATGAGAATTTTGAAATCGAATTTTGTGCGAGCTACGTGGACGACCGTAGAAATTCCCGACACCGATGACGGGATTGAAATTCTCTCGATGTGTGTGCGTCACACGAATTCACCTGGGTCGACGTGTGAAGCATGTAGGTGTACGACGAAACACGTGACTCTTGACGGGTGGGGAACGCGGGCGCGTTTCACGGGTAGTGGTGGGTCCACTCGTCGTATGCTCAGTGCATAATCGCGATTCACAAACCCTACAGGTCGCGGTTGTGTCCACGATGATTTGCTTGTAGTTGACGTTTAACATGAGCGACTTGGTCGGGATTCTCGCCTAAATTTAACGCGCTGGTTTGTGCCTCGCGCACACGCTTGACGCTTCGTCGCCTCGCGAGCGGTGATATCGCGAATTCTTGTCGATCGATAGTGCGCGAAAGATTATTAGATTAGCGTCCCAGAGATCTGTCATAAGAATATGATGTATCGAGGAAACTACCAGTCGAAGCGTTGCAACGTAAATTGCATATAACAAAGTTTAAGTTTAATAACTTTTAAGTTTTTTTCTTTTTTTCACGTAACTTTATATCTTTAAAAAATATGTTTTTTAGCTTTAGCTATCGCGAGCAAACGAGGATAATTTTTAACTTTGAACGAGACAATTTTCTGAGATTCGCGCATCGTAACATCGAACCATTTCTTTCAGATGACACAAAAGTCGAGCAGAACTACGCCAATCAGAACGGTGCTCTGAAAAGCTGCCCGGGCGAACAACGAAGCGACGTTAAAAAAGGTAAGTGGGCCTCGTTATTGACAAAAGGAGGGAATATATACTTGGATGCTGGACTGGACTACGCTTGTTTGCATGATCACTGAAACACTATGTACGATTTCTTCTCTCTTCTTTTCTTCATTAAGCATCATCTTGCGATTGCTACTGTTTGGGACGATCTCCCTAAAAGCTTGTCTCGTATGTAGACAAGAGAAACTCGGATCTAAGATAACATAGATGAAAGGTGCTGGGTAAATTAAAAGTTAGCGTAGCAAATTAAAAGTAAAATTATTCGAAGATTTAACTGCATCCAGTAATCAAGGATTTTAAAGATAGAGAAAAATAATATATTTTCGAGTAATTATTATAAAAAATTAAAAAAAAATATTTTAATATTTTTTAAATCTTTATTTTTGAACGTTAATAAATTTGTTTGTCTTAGTCCCAAAAAATCCACCATTTCGCGTATTCAGTGGACATTTCAATGGGAGAGATCGAATAATTTTCTGCCTAATGTAATTCTATAGTAACAGCTTTTTTATGTAATACTCTTAGAAATCTTAAAATTCTGCTGTTTTCCTGCGCTGAGTGCAGGGTAACGAGCCGTTGTCTTTAAATGTAAAAATAAAAAGACGTGTCAAACGCACGTGAGCGCGCGCGAGAGCGAAAAGTCCGGAGAATAGAGAAACGCACAGCTAATGTTACGAGGAGGCAAAAAACGGAGAAGCTCGGAGAAGTTACGTAAAACTACCGCGACGGGATATTTGCGGAGAATCCTACGCGAGGGAAGAGAGAGAAAAAAGGAAGGAGAGACGAGGAGAGAGGAAAAGTGGAAGAAACTCGCGCTCTGAGAATTTCTCCACGAATTCGCGAAACGTCGTAGGATATTGCGATCTCTCGGAGTACGCGACCGACGCGGAGGACAACAGCGTCGGGATGCCGCAGGGTAACCCGCGCAACCGCAACCGCGGCCGCAGGAATCGGAACCGGCGAAACCGTCCGTCTCTTCAGCGACCGGCGAATCCTGCGGAATCGCCGCGGAACGTCGAGCAGAGGAAACCCGAGGAACAACCAGCGGCGTCCTCGAGAATCGAGCGCGACGACGACGACGACGACAACGACCCGAAGACGAACGACTCCGTTTCGAAGACTGCCATTCCGGAAAATGCCGATTTGATCGAGGGCGAATCGTTGAGTCGTCGATATCGTATCCATCCGGATGATAGACGTAGAGTCGAGAAGATTGAATTGAAGGAGTATCGCCCCGGGATAATCGAGATTACGACTGTCAGCAGTCTACCCCTCGAGGCAACGATTGGCCATATCGCCGGAGTGGGCATCCTAGAGACGGGAAGCGGCGACCGGACGACGGTGACGATATCGGAACCGGTGGAATCGATACAACCGTTTTCTAGTTGCTCGAGTACCGAACTTTCGCAGGCGAATGGAAATCGATTGGAGATTCGGGAAGTCGATGACAGCGATACGGAGGTGGATTGCCGGCCGACAATCGTCGAATTCGAATCTGCCGCGGATAAGGAGCCGGTCGAGAGATCGGGAAGCTTCGAAGAGCTCGAAGAATCTAAATCGAATGATCGAGTCGACCAGCAATTCGTGCCGCAGAAGAAGTTCTCCAGATCGGAAACGGAATTTCCGACTTCGATGTGCGCCACCGTGATGCCCAAGGATGTGGAGAGGAAGCTGCGAAACTTTATCGAGGGCCTGCAACTGCCGAGCTTCTCCGAGGAAGTGGCGGAGGATGGAGGACGATCTCACGAAAAAGACACGTCTCGAGATGTCTCGACGGAAGAGAGCAAATCCACTGAAAAAGTCGCTGTCTCATCGCGCCGGAAGACGAAGAAACGCGCGATGTCAACGGAATCACATTACGCTCGCAGCTTCTTGGACATCATACAAGAAGAGGCCGAGAGATTGTCGGAGGACGAGGCGCAGCACATCAGAGATTTCATAAACGAGGAGATCAGCAAGTATCGGCGCGAGGATAGACATTCAGCCGAAAAGGCGACGGACGATACCGAAACGAAATTGGACTATCCTGAAAAGATCGAGAAAATTTCTGATAAACTGGAATGTGATATTAAGATTAAGATCGATACGGAAGGTGACATTTCGAAATTACATTCGTGCGATGAAGCGAATAATCGCGCAGAAATCGAACAGAATCTTGAACCGAGTTCAGCTAAAAATATTGCTGAAATGCAAACAATAGAGGACACTATATCTGCTATTAAAGTAACGAACGCGAAAGATGACGCGTTATCTCATGAATCTGTGGAAATTGTAGCGAATGCAACGCAAAACAATCCAAAGATCGAGGATCATATCGAGATTATGGAAAACGATGCAAATAATAGCGAGGAAAGATTGACGAATAACAAAGAGAATATTGCTGAAGAAAATGCGATGATGAAAAATGATGTGACCATAATCGACATAAATAAAGCGAAAGATAATAAATTATTGACCGAGGTCGAAACACTTGTAGAATCATCAGAGAAATGTGACGTTTCGCCAAAAGAAGTCGAAACGCACACAGTGACTGATAACGTATCTCGAATGGAGGACCAGGCTGATTCATCCTCGAGTCCGCAAACGAAACGACCTCCGCCTCTTCCACCGAGGAGATCGTCCAGTTTCGGGCACGAGCCTCAGCGACCACCGACGCTACCTGAAATAGATTATATTTCGTGCGGCGCGAATATTCATCGTCAACCAGTCGTCGCGACGAATTTACGGAAACGCGATACAACGAGCTGCAAAGCCGAAGTAACGGACGAGTCACCACGACGACCGGAGCTCCCTAAAACTTGCGGAAATCCCTCCGTGTCGAAGAGAATTCGCGAAAGCTCTTCTTCCGGAAATTCGCGTAAATCCGCCTCAACTATGGTTGACGAGAGTTCCATAAACCAGGACATCGTTTCGAAGAGATATGTCGAGGACGGCCGATCGATCACGTCATCGGGTATTCGTGACGATGATCCGTCATGCCCGCGCGGCGTCGGGACGCGCGGCGTCGCGTTGGCAGATGCGACGAGCACGGAAATAACGCGTCGCGGGGAAGGGAAGCCCGCGGCGACGCTTGTTGCAGCAGCGACGCATGATCGAAGCGCACCGTCGAGCCGACAGGAGGGTGAAACCGAGGTGCATAGGTGTTCTCCTTCGCCCCAGGTCGATTCGGGGAAGAAGAGTTCAACGATCAACCGGTCATCGAAAAACGATAAATCGGACGTCGGTCCAGATTTCTCGGCGAAGCGTAGATCGACGATGGGTTCTTCGAGTACCAAGAGTAAAGGAAAATCCGAGCAAGAGGAGAAGAATGATAAATCGACGTCGAGGTTTCTTCATCGCGAGCGAATAATGAAAAGCGAGAAGAAGATAGAGACGAGGATAATCGAACGACACGAGGAAAGCTCGAGCGCTAACCAGCGCGATAGCCTCTGCGATTCCAAATATTCGACGTGGGAGTCGAAGCGCGAGGAGAGACACGAGGAGAAGCACGAGGAAGAAACGCGCAGCTCATCTCGACAGAGTAACGCGAGGAATTCATCCGACGATGAGACGAGCTCTCAAAGGCTGGATATCTCGGCGAGCAAAAATTCCTCACCCGAGGGCGACGTTCAAGGACACGATTCTTCTAGCAGTACTACGTCCTTGAGCACCGTGAAGCATCGTCCGTTAGAAGCATCGTTGACCGACGTCAGTGCAAATGTTCGCGAAACGAAGGAGAATAATTCCAAGAACGAAAGGGAAGAATCTCTTTTGAAAAGAAAGCTCACTCTGCTGAAGAGCGCGGAAGACCTCGCCAATGAAACATCAGCAGAGAGCTCGCCGCAGCCGATTCCTTACTCGCCCGTGGAGGATCTTTACTACGTGTCGCTGAATGATACCGAGGAAGTCTCCCGGAACAATCGCGAAAATGTTTCGAAGGACATATCGCGACGACCGTCGTCTCTGCGGGAGCTCTGCGTGAAGAGGATTCTATCGATGCCGTTCGGATCGCAGATGATTGACGAGATCACCGCGCCCAAGTTGAGCATCTTCGAGAGTCTGCGGACTCTGCAGAGGTTTGTGAGCGACGTGCCGCGGACGAGCGCGCGTCAGCAACATGACGATAACGTCCAGCGATTAAACACGATGCATGGAGTGAGTGATGCTCGACGACGCGGACTAACGAAAACCCCAGACGGGAACGAGCCACTGCCTCGACCTAACGACATTGTAAACGCTGTTTCAGACCGGACTAGGTCGTCGGCGAACGTTAATATTGAGTTGTCAGAGTCGGAGGGCGAAATGGAGGAACGATGGCGAGCTCTGTCTACTTCCGAGGATCCCAGGCTCTTGGTGTGCCTGTCGCCCTCGCAGCAAGCCTCGCAAGTGCGCGCGAGCGCGGACACCCTACTGGATCTTCACCGCAAGTTTCTGAACCGTTACAGTTATCGGGAGGAACAACCGCGGTGCGTTCCTGTGCCGCGATATCGAGTGGAGATCCGTCCGACGATTAAGGACGATGACATGGTCTCGAAAACGTCTTTTCGAACGACTAATCGAGATACCGCCGAGAGATCGAGCAGCAGGCTACTAGAAATTATCAAGGAGGAACAAAATGGAGGAACGATAACCGACGTCCCGGATTTTTTAGGGCACAATGGAGGTCAGGCAAGTTTCAAGGCCGTCCGACCGAACGACTGGTCGAACTTAGTAGACTACGATAATCGCCGAAGCGTCACTGCGAATGAGCTATTCTTGGCGGCGGCGAGAGGCGAGGAATCGGGTGATAAGCCAAATGGTCACGTGACCGATCGACTTAGGATTACGCCACAGTCCACTATAGTGGACACTGACGGACATCGTTCGTTGGCGAACGGCGCCGCGAAAGTTCGCGATTCGGAGAGATCGTTTACAAAAAACGCGTTCACGATGAACAGTGCCATTATTGATCGATCGATGGACGTCGTCGGGAAGAGAACACCGCCTCTTCGAAGAACGACCGATCCCGGCAAACATGTGAATCCGGCGCTGATCGACGACAGACTCGAGGTACCGCCGTTGCCGAAGCGCGCGATTACGGTCGACAGATCGTGCATCGACACGACGAGCATCTTCGACCAGAATCCGCCGAGGAGTCATCTAGAGCCGCGAAGATCATGTCACGAAACCGAGAAACTGAAGCAGGTCGCCGCCGTGGAAATTATGGATAAACTGAAAACGCTGCAGAAGGAAACGTCGCGACGACTCGATGGCGGTAGAAGAGGCTCGTTGCCGCAGGAGCACTTTATCCAGCAACTCAAGTATATCGAACTGTTGGAGGAGCAGCTGAAAAATGTGATAGTGGCGGAGGAGGAGGAGAGAAAAGCCTTTGAGGAATTTCAATCGCACTTTCATCGTACGAAACACTGCGACGACGCGAGGAAATCGTCCGTCGAAGAAACTGAGAGGAAAACCGATGGAAATTTCGAACGCAAAGCTGTTGACGTTCCGGATGGGATGACGAGCGAGAAATCTGCGGAAAATGAGCAACATGAGAAACATTCTCGTAGCCACGAGGAGAAGCGCTTCGAAAATAATACCTGTCGAAGCGAGCCGGAAATTCACAGGGAACACTGGCGAGAGAAATCACGGAATGTGGAGAAGACTCGCACGGAGACGATCGATAAAGCGGGGAGTCGGCAATTTTCAAGAAAGGTATCTCACGAGAACGGCTTTCACGAGGAATCCTCGGAGAGTATCGAGCGTAAAGAGTGCCACGTGATCACGCAGACGGGAAACGTGAAGAGAATATCGAAAAACGATACATCCGAGGGTAGAGTTAACGAGGAAATGCGGACGACGGAAAAGTCGAGAAACGGTTCCGAGGTGTCTAATGAGAAAGAAACTCGATCGCGCAAGAAAACCATCGACGTCGCGAAGAGACCGACAACGTTACCGACGAACGGCGAGGTGTTTCGCCAACGGATGTACGACGAGTACGTGGACAAGGTGCTGGAGCGGCAGGAGCGAAAGAATCACAAGGTCTTGAAGATCAGTTCGTGCGAGGACATCAGTCCCAAAACGGACGGCGACATGAGCGCGATGGCAAAGGAGTTCATCGAGAAGGCGCGGAGCCGGCTGAACAAGTTCGGGATCGATCTCGACGAGAGCGGGACGGATCGCGAAGAGGACGAGGACGACGTGATCAACGCGAAATTCCTGATCGACGGCAAGGAGCTGCGGGACGCGTCCGGCAAGCTGCCGAAGCACCTGCGGGAGTTCCTGAAGATCTCCATCATGTCCGACGACGAGGGCGGTGAGTTACGGCGAATGGAATGGACGGTGGATTTTGCTGTGTTGCTCGTCGTGTTGCGAGATATGATTGGTGACGATTGATGACTGCTCCCGTCCAAAGCCGGAACAATCTATCCTGGATATGCCGAGGAGAAATGCCCCTTTTGTAACAACCAACTAACGTAGCGCGCGCATCTTGTCTCGACGTTTGTAGATGCCTTAGTGTTTGTCGTCACTAACGATGTTGATGGTATTATGCTAATTCTCTCTCTTCCTCTCTCTCTCTTTCTATCTCTCTATTCGTCCGTGTCGGCAACGTGAAGAAATTGTTGAGCGCAGAAGGGATGAAAAATAAGAATAGTTTCCTTATAATTAATTTTGCACAAATTCACGGCGAGCCGGGATTGACATAATTTATATAAAAATATTAAAAGTCAGTCAATAATCGATTATTCGGTAATTAAAATACTTGAAATTTTTTAAAAATCCTAGAAGTGCTCGTCTCCTCAATCTTCCGTGTGGCAAAATCTAATTGTAAAGTATAAAAAATACCCTGGTTCTCATTAAAATATAATTGAGATTTATCGAAAATCAGGAATTCTCGTCTTCGACGAACGTCGTCGCTATCGTTTCAGACGAACTTTCTCAATAAGGGAGACAAGCGGTAATGTCGAAACGGAAATCTCATTATCGTAAATACGTTTTACCTAGACAACTCTCCGAAGACGAAATTAGTTCTCGACGATAAAGCGGAAGCGCGTCGAACAACGCGAATCTATTCGCGCCAGTAGATCTTGCAGCATCGCAATCGCGCGATCCAAATTGTTCCGGTTCCTATAATCCGATTAATATCCCATCTCGCAATCGATAATCGCTCTCGTGTAAATAATAAATAACGTTATATCACGAGACGTATCTAACGCGACATTAATAAATACGTATTTACGCGCTATTTTTCATCATCATTTTTCATCATGCGCGTCGTGTTGTCGGGCGCAAAGCGGGATTTAATATTCAGTGACGTAAATCCGACACGATCGACACGTGTATAAACGTATATTTCGGCATTCATTCCGAGGCGAGATCGATTCATCAAAGCGACACGATGGAAAATTATTGTATTAACATTCGAGCTTCGACTGCGTCCATCGTTGTTCAATGCGCGGATAATGAACCGCGACAGTTTGCGCGATAACGAATATCATTACGGTGGCTCAGAGGCTATCAAATTGCGTCACGTCGTTTACGTTTCGATTCTCTCGAGCGACTCGATTAGCCGCGGAATACTTAATCGCATCGCGTTATTATATCGAGCAAATTTCCTTCTTCCTTTCCTTCCCTGTCTCAGAGTGAGAACGTAGTATCTTTCGAATTCATCGCATGTATAAAAAATCCTGATTGATGCATTTTCCAAGCATTTATTTCGATCCTGTTGAACGATGTTTGCGGAAAAGTTCCGGATCGCGATTCGGCGCAAGCGGGTCGCGGCGTGTGTTGTGATTCACGGAGGATGAAAATCTAAATATAAGTCTATGCGGAGACGAGAAATAGGCCACGTTCGCCGTTTCGGCTTGTCGGAGAATCACCGTCTTGCGTTTTTCGGCTATTTTGAACATCACTCGCGCGATGTTGGCCTACTGGCCCGTCCCTCTTAAGATCGCTATCCGAGAGATGGACCTCTCTATTCACTAAGTACTCTATCCACTGATGCATACTAAAACTCTGGTTAATGAGATTGGAGAACTCAGCGCGATAATTAAGAAATTCGTAACTTTTCGATATTACAATATTACATTTTTCCTCTAAGAAACTGACGATTTTTATTTTATCAATGAAAAAAGTAATATAATTAACAACAATGATGACAATTAGATCCTCCCACTGATTTCGTCTAATGATTGTCTTTATATTTCATTTTCATATTATCGCATAGCATATATCATTCACTCGCATATATCACTCTTTCAATTTTTCAGCTTGTTTACAGATGATAAGTACATATAAATAAATTATGATACAGCACAAGTGCATGTGAAATATTTTGATGCCGATTAACGCTCGCAACAATAATATAGAGATGAAATATTAGATAAAATAATAGATACTCGATACAAGTCGCCTGTCCTCATGTAACATTGTTAATTTTTATTGATATATTGCCAACCCGTTCGCCTATTATTATTAACTTACTGTCAGTTATTTGTATTTCGTAAGTCTAGTGAACCTTTCAACGCGGTTACCGAAGCGTCCGTTTATTTTCTATTCTAACTTTAGCACGAAAGTTTAGCCACAGCATACGTCTCATCGGAGCTAAATATGCGAATTTAGCCATTCATCTATGAACACGGGGAGGGGGCTTTTTGTACTCTAATGGTCGATATATTCATCTTTTTTCCTACAAATAAATGATAAATATTTAGTCGATAGAGAGAGATCCTTTATCCTTCATTCTAACAAACTTATAATACGCTCTCTGTGCTTGGAATTAATTTATCGTAAATCTTTCTTTTTTTCTTTTTTTTTGGTGGATGTGGGCATGCTTTTTTAATCAAAGGGATTGGCTGCGGTAACGTTGCGAAGGCAAGAGACAATGACAACGACTGTCTGCTGCACGAGATAGACAAAGCTTTGAAAATCAGCAGAGGATTTCTACTCGAGCAAGGTGCGTTTGCAATTTTGCTTGATTACTCATGGCATGTATAAATATTTCCCTAAAAGATCATTTTCTAAATACTCGAGAAAGGATTAAAAAGTAAAAGAGTGCACGGAAACCGATTCCAGGAGGGAAAATGAAAGATATAGGTGAATCGGCGAACTGCAATGTATTAAAATGTCGAACGTTATATTTATTCGTTATGATGGTTGAGGGATGGTTGAAAAATTGGAATTCATCGCATTCATCTTCCAAACGCGAATGTAAATATTCATGCATATATAACCAGGCCCGCGCTGATTGGCGCGGTGGACTCGAAATTCTGTATACAACAGCTTTCGGATGACGTCGACGTCGGCGTAGTGAGCGGCGCGGCGTCGAGCCTCATCGGCGTCGCGACGCTCCTCAGTCGATTGGCACCTACCGTGCTACTTTCTCGTACCTCGTGCCGAGAGGGTGTTTCGTCGAAATATCATCGCGGCGTCGCTTCGTGATCGTAAAGTGACGTAATGTTGGAGAAAAGTGAGTGATCGTCTCGAGAAGGTCGACGTATTATCGAAGAGGGAAAAGGACGCGATAAGATGTTCGTGAATTTCTTCAACAGGTTGTTCTCCGCGATCGCGAAGAGAATCGGAAGGCAATCGTTGAGACTTATTCAAATCAGATCATTGCTCTTCAAATTGCCGAAGAAATTTAAAGGAACGGAGAAGAGAAGACTATTTGTGGACTTGATCTGTTTCTTTGTGAAAAAGTTAATTTAATCTTGAGATATTAAAAAAGTAATCTCAAATTGGGGTTGAATAACTTGGGAATATAATCTGGCTCTAGTATTTGCAAATTGCTTTGATCAATTCACGAAACGTATTTGGCGCTGCTGATATATTGTGCTCTGTGGAGAAATAAGGCAATCCACTTCGTTTTGTCCTTCTTTATGCGCTCGTTTCGTAGCCCATCATCAAAATCGCTTTTATATTAATGAATCGCGGTCCCCTCGTAAAAGTATCTTTGAAAAACTTTCGACGATATTGAATGCGGCGTCTAATATAAGCATTGCGCAATGTTGACGTTGACCCGCGATAGGCATCAGAATATTTCGCATTGATAACTAGAAGGATTAAAGTTCGGAAAAGAACTCTTCTTTAAACACGCGAATTAACATTACTGTAGAAAAATTATACAGGAGACTACGAGAATAAAAAACGTCGCGCTAAATAGAAAAATGCCACTTTTGAAACGACGAGAATCCGAGATTACACTGTTTGACAAAATGTTGTTTCATGCTTTCAGAGAACGTTATGTTTGCGCCTACATTTAAAGCCTCGTCTGCGAAACCAGGTAAACCTGCGCGAGGAGTGTGTGAAACTAACATGTTTATTTTCATTGCGTTGTATAAGTACATTTTGCATAATGATTGAGAATATTATTTGATTTATCAATTGATATTCGATTTTATTTATTGTTGATACGGCTCTTCATCAGAATATACGTTTATTAATATTTATAATAAAATGTTAATTAATTAAACAATTCACATTTAACTAATTAACATTTTAAATTTAATTGATTGAATTCTTAATTAAATGCCAAGCTTTAAATTCATTGTAAAAGACTGATGAAGACAATATAAAAAAAAATGGGATTGCCATTGAAAGTGTGCCTGTATTACGTTAACAAACATCCGGAGATGTAACAAAATTAATTACGTGTAGGGTGTAGCCGCATTGCGTGTGCGGGGGAGGGAGGAGGAAGCCACGTGTGTTCTTAACGACGGGATCGTAATTAAGTTCTTGCGGCTGCTTATGTGATGTATATGCGTGCATGTTTCGAGTAACGTGTGTAATTTCGTTTTGTAATTCTCCAAATGAGACCAGAAGGCGTGTGTGCGTTAAAATTTCAGAACATGTTATCCTTGCGGTATTGACGTTTCGGCTAATCGCTACCGGTTGTCAGTTACAAATGACACGGTACACGATCGGTACACGGTTCAGAAACGATATTTTTGACATTTCGGGCAGCTGGTGTCGCAACAGCATTGATTAATCACGCGGATGTGCAATTAAGGAAAATGTATATTCGATTATCGTAAATTAACGCGTATATCATTGATTGTCGTATCGCTGTAATCAGAAAAATATGCGATATCTCTAAATTAGATACTGGGAGAGAAATAAAAGCACAGCGTTCGTCAAATATGTAAATCTCAATTTTTCCCGTGTTTTTCAACGTACAATCTCGTATCTTCGATTCACACGTAACACTCTGCTGACGTGTCGTGCGCAGAGTGCGTGTCGCTCCAGAAAACCGCTGCCGCGGTATTGTGTTGACGTTGTTCCCGGCCAATTGTAATTATGCGTGTCTTATAATGGCCAGGACGCCCACGCGAGTTTCTAATTTTATCCGCGTCCCGAACGAAACGCTCCTGATTTCCTGTTGTTGCGCGAGAGAGAAGGAGATATTCGATGCAAATTGACCAACAAGTTCAATTCAATGAGCATAGGCTGGCTGACTCATCGCGGCAAGTATCTTTATCGGGCTAATGTCGTCTCCCTATTTGACATTTGACGATGACAGCGACGATCACACCCGCCAATAACTCCATTTATGTCGGCAGCGACATAGATCTTCTCCGATATACAAAGAGCACAATAACAAGTTGGTAAAATTTATTTTTATGTGACAATAAAATTGTGCGGGTAAACGCGAGCTGAGCTGATGCTCTTTATAAATATTCTTCCTACGAATTTAATTTTGCTCCTAGATGCTATAAATGTATGAGACAAATTAAGATAAACGTCGAAGAAGAGAGATCATTTACGTCAAAGGTTTTTAAACCGTTTAGTGGGATTACTAATAGCAATATAGCAAAATGTGGGAAATAGCAGGGGAAATGATGATGCCTTATGTAATGCGCTCCCATGTGCACCCAAAATTAGCATCGTACCGATATACATTTCATATGTTAGCTTTAGCGCCAATTTACCAAATCCATGCGGCCACCATCTGTTTCAAGAGCAAAGACCTTTTGGCGAGCTTCCTTTTGACATAACGTTGTTCATTTAGGTCCTGTAATTGGATTAATCGGTATATCGCAAATTATGTATATCGGTATATATATATATATATCGCACATAAACGCAGAATCGAGTTACAGTAACTAATGGACTTTTCGGGACTGTTGTAAAGTTTGATGATAACCTGAATGCTAATCATCAATGTGCCACGAATGTCGTATCGATAACCGTTTTTCTCAAAAGTCGAAATTATCGTTGCCAGGCGTTTGGTCGCCAGGACAAACGCCAGCTGGGAAGGAATCGAGTCCTGTTCGAACCAAGGAATTGCAGAAGGAGCCGATACCGCCGGTCTGGACCCCGGCCAGCGCCGGCGCTAGCCCCGTCGCCGAGAGGAAGGAATTTCGTCCCGTGGCATTCGAGAGTCCTGTATTGAGCCGGAAGAAACAACCTAAGGGAGAGGTACGGTTAATTATACCAAGACGAACTAGCAACTATTTCAACGAGAAACCAAATTTGCTTAATCAGAGCAATTAAAATTTAACGTATTGGAATGCAATGTGGATAACATCACGTTTGACTAAAGAAAGGAAAGAGATAAAATTTTTTAAATATTTTTTTTATGCAAAAATTTACACACATTTTTTCCAAACCATTCTTGACTTTTGCCGAGAATCGAAAGTCGCAAAAGTTCAGGAAGATGCGGACTCTTATCCAATGTTGTTGTTTCAGAAGGCACCTCCGCCTTGGGAAAACGAAGAGCAGAAAAGCGCGTTGAGCTCGCGCAGCGTTTATGAAAGCAGCAGCACCTCGCGGATCGTCAATTCTCATTCGGCACCGTCCCAAGGATTGAACGCGCTCGCATCCGCGCCGCGCTTGCCACGTGCCCAGAATCCGACCATCACGTTGTTGCAAAAAGCAAGAGGTCAGCGATTTTCATCAAAATCTCTCAGTCTCTTCTCCTCGAAGGAGAAACTTTGAAGAGAGAGGGAAAGCATGACTAAAGATATTCCTAGATTGATGAAACACAATTTCTTGGAGAGAAACGTTAAATCAATTGTATAGCGTCATCGTAATTTTATTACAGAGGGACAATTACCGAAAGGTGCGGCTTATTTGGAGGAGAGCGAGTCCATCGATAATCGTCCTTCGAGCGACGAAAGATCGTTAATTTCGCCGGGAGAAATAAGTAAGTACTTTGATTAAATCGTACGTAAATAATTAGATAATTAAATAATTAGACAGTTAATTAGATAATTAGATAATTAAATAATTAGGCAGTATATGTTATTAAGATTTAATTTAATTTAAAAAAAAAACAATTTTGTATGTACATTAATTTTCGAAAACCCAGTCACACCGGTTCTGTTTCTACTCCTTATCAAGCTAACGTTCGCTAATTAGCTGTGATGATCGTTTAACAAACATACGTGTTGATTTATCCTTCGATTGCGTACGCGAGTGCTAATGATTCCTTGTGAAATTGAATCGCTCAGTCTACACCTTGAAGAAAGAGTACGAGAGCGAGCCGGAAACAGAGAACGAACCACCGAAGAAGATGGCCGATCTGGGCCCTCGAAAATTCGAGGGAATCGGCCCGGTGACTAAGGAGGGTATCCCTCTCGTATTGAGATCGGTAGGTCGATAAATAATTTTCAAAGTAAATCGAAGACATATTAGCTCTATAACGAATGCTTGACAAACACTAGATTATCGTGGGAAGAAAGATTAATTATATTTAATTAAATCATTGCGTTAGAAAAGAGAGAGATCGCTTTATTTCGCGGGGTGCGCGAGACGCACTTTTCTCTTAATACTCTCGATAAATTATTTTTTAGGAAGTCAAGGAGAATAATCAAGCGAAATGGTACAAGAGAATGTACGACTCGTTACACCGCGCGGATAAAAACGGTAAGTTCTCATTGCGTGTAATTACGTTGGTCATTGCATACAATTTGACGGGCAAAATAAAACGATCGCGCACATCTCTTTATTACGCCATGCATACAGCTCGAGTTAGTATTATTGTTATTATTGTTGTGGAATAAAAAAGGGGGAATTTCATTTCGCTTAAATAAATACCGTGTCCCGCTTTTGAATATTAATGTTTCCCGACGCAAAAACAATCGGTCAATTAATCGTATAATTTCATTGCGATTTCGTGTTTTCCAGATGACTACGTGACCGTAAAATACAAATCGAGAAGAGGTGAATATGCACTTCCGCGCATGACTTACCGCGGTGGTCGCGAATTGCGACATTGCTACTAATATTACACTGAGCGTGGGCTGGCTGCGTAACGCAGTAGCCGCAATCTGTACAGCAATAGCGCGACTAATATCTGTAAAATGAAATGTGTAGCGAGAAGGAGATGACTTTGATTGCGAAATAAAATATCGCAAGAGCGAGAGAGAGAGGCCGCTATTTTTGTAAATGGACTAAAAAAAAATGTAACAGCCATCCAGACGCCTTTTACGTAACGCAAGATAACAATTGCCGATGTACAGATACTCACCGTTTAACACTTGCGTTAACCGAGCGTGAAGATAGTATTATAATAAACAATATCTGCGACAAGTATATGAATCGTTATCTTGTGACTCTTTACCTAACATCCTGCTAATAATTAACATTTGTCTTTTTCCCTGGAATAATATGAGAAAGATATTCTTGGATCAACATTAGTTGATCCATGTGTGGTGATGAATTTGTGTTTTAACTTGTGAGATTCTTGATTTTCTTGATTCGCGCTGACATTTTCGAATCAAACATCTCAAAATTGAAGAATCTCAGGGGTACGAGCTCTCGTCGAATATATTAAGCCAAATCGGAATAATTTCAAGTTATTCCGATTGGCGCGAGTTGTTCACTATCGTGAAAACTTTTCGAATTGATTTGAAATTCTCACGTCCGATCTTTCCTGAACTTCGTCTTAAGATTGTTTCGCGAAACCAAGTCGATTCTTTCGCGACAAGAATTTAATTCAAGAGAAAAGAAATTTAATTAAAGTTTAATTGCGCATTCTGAGAGTATACATTTAATCTCAATGTCGACGAGCTCGATATTTAATTGTTAAATAATAATAACGTAATACGAGATATATCTATGTGTGTGTGTATAACACGACATTTTTAATATAATATCGAAACTAAATCAAGGCAAGCATTAAATTGTTTATGCTATTAATTAACGTTATTTGAGACAGATTTCTTTCGCTAGAACTAAACGAGAGCTTCTGAAAATCGACTCTGGGAATAAAATAAAGAAAAGCGAAATATTTTTGTTTCAGGAGGCAGATATGGATACGGAAGCACCAGCGGATATTTGAGTGAGCCGGAACCGCGCGCATACTCGGATCGATCCGTTACTCTCGATAGCCGTCGACGGCTGCGCAACAAAGAAAATGACTTCACCACAGCGACTATGCCCAGAAAGTAAGCGAGAATTTAGAAACTTTTCCCGCTTGTTTTCCTCTCGGTCACCCGGGAGGATGCTTGAGATCGTTTATATCCCCTCTCCCTCGCGATTTCTTTCAATTAGATTTTGCTCTCTTGAAGAACTTTAACAAAGGAGACAAAATGAAAAGTACGAAGCTTCTTATATGAAAAAGAAATCTGTGACGAAGCATTTTATATCCTATTTCAGAAATGGGGCGCTGAAATATTCGACGGAGATTTATAAAAATCAACCCGGTCGCATCGAGGATTATGAACCAGGACGCTCGTCGATCGCCGAGAAGGAAGCTAAAGAGGTACACTTTATCGCTTGCGACTCGAAACTAGACGAATCACCTGCCTGTACCATAAAATTAAAGCGCACTTTCCCATATAACATTCGAAAAATTCGTTCATAAGGCACCGTGTAGAGAATTATTAGTTTGTCCGAAGAGAGTATTAATTGACGAAACAATTAAATTTTCCAACAACAAAAACGTTTCTCGCCCTGAGATGGCTTTGGTTAATTAATTTTTAGGTATTGATAATATTATCTACATGTAATAGTCCATATAAATTCCTATTTTAGAGAAGAATATAAATAAAGAAGATTAAATGAACATGCATATTAGAAATAAAAGATATTAGAGATATTGAAAAGATATTAGAGATATTAAAGGAAGAAAAGTTTAGTTAACCATGGCCACAAAAAATCGATGGGTGCGAACTTCAAATTGGCCATCCATTTCACCTGACCGCTTCCATCAGAGCATCATTATACGTCGCGAAATTGAGTAAACGCATAATATACGTCACTTTGTATCGCGCGACAGTGACAGGTACGATAGCAGAAATATTCGTGTGGATTAATTTTTTTTTTAATTTTCTTCTCGCAAATATATCGCGCGCGCGATCGCGAAAGCTTGCCCAAGGTTTACCTGAACCACACACCTGGAATATGATCGTTTGAAATGGCTTTGCTTCTAGCCGACTTTCGACGCGCGGACGAGAAGGAAGGTAATCACCGTCAGTCGAACGAGTTTAAAACGAATTGTTTTAGCCGGCCAATTTTTTTCCATACGTTTCTTCCGTTTATTGACAGCTTTTTTGTTGGCGTCACGAATTAATTGATTGCGAGCTCTCGCTCTCTCTCTTTCTCTCTTTCTCTTGCTGCCCTCGAGGTGGCTATTACGTTTCTTTAATACATACACACATATAAACAGCACAGACACTAAGCACACGCCCGCGCGTTCGGGGCACGTAGAGTCCTTCGAGAGAAAAGCTATTAAAAATAATATGGGTAACATAAATTTTCGTTGTTCCTCGTAATGAAAATTGCTTCTCGAGGCACTCTACGATTTCACGTAGTACAATTCCGTTGTTTTTCACACAGCTTTGTAGCGCTGCTTGTAGTTGATCCTATGTTTGAATATTACGCCGATTTCCATCTACAATTGAAATGTCAAATGATGAGCTATTATATATAAAATTTCTTTTAAAATTTCTTTTAAAATTATTACTTAAATTAAAATTATTTTTTAAGAGTTAATATAATTTCTGATACAATTTCTTTATATTTATTATTAGCGCTAGATTGTTTAGCTCCTTTTTTAATTTAGATAGAAAATGGCGAGAAAATCCAATTATACTGTGTTTTGATATTACACTTTTTATTTAAATGTAAATGTTTCAATAGTCCCTTTTAGATAATGCATAGTATAACATCGTGTTTAATTCTATGATTCTAGTGGTGGGACGAGGTCATGGACATATTTGACGGGGTACGCCATTTTTATATTAATGTGTATAGTTAAATAAGAACTTTCTTTTTCTCCCTCTCTTTTTATTCCCTCTTTGCTCCTCTTCTTTCTTATCACTGGCACTGGTAAGACTCAATTAAAATTAACATTTTCCATTATTTTGGAATTAGCTTTGTCTTGTAGAGGGATCTTGTAAAAAATATCTTGTTCCTACATAAATCTTTCTTCCTTCTTAGATTATAAAATCAGAATTATAAATAAGAAAATATTGTCACGTTTTTTATAGAATCGAGAATAATTTCCATCTCAATTTTTTTCGAAAAAATTACGCATTTTATTCGTTTGACGCGAACTAAATATATATTTTGAGATGCATTATTTGTGATTCAATCTTTGCAGTATAGATCATTTATAAAGTTAGATAGCAAAAGAACAACGGCAATTTTTCTCGCGCGGCTTAGCGTCAAATGTGATAACTAACGGTGGCTTGTCGCGATCCGATAATCGATGGATGCCCTTGCATGCAACCTCCTCTGGGATTTCCCGAATCTCGCTTAAAAAATACTCCAGATTTTTTCGGTATCCATAACTAAATTGAAAGATTCACGGCGAAAACATTATTTATTCGAAGCGTAAAAAAAAATTTATACGTATTACGATGAACACGCATCGTGCTCCATGTATTAACTTACGCACAGTGTGTCTTTTTATTGCACCTAATGTCTTCCGTCTCGAATCCCTGTCCTGCGTCGCCGAATCGTCCGGATCGGCCGTCATCTTCACACGATCGATGTCCTTGATCGTGCGTGTGTGTATGTGTGTGTGCGTGCTCGTCGATGTTTGCGTGTCGTGTCCGCTCGTGTGTCACCCACACCGCTGTCCATTCCTCTCCGATGACGACGATGACGACGATGCGCCGGGTGATAGTGGCTGAACGAAAACGGACGTCCTCAGCACGCGCAGGCCAGGATGGAGTCTCTACGCAGCGACGTCCGGCAGTCCCGCGTCCTCAGCCTCTCTTATCGGCCGGAGGACAATGTAAGGATACCGGCGATCAGCAGCAGCAGCACGAAAAGCTCCGAGCTCGTCGGCAGCATGAGGCGGTCGCGTCCGATGGACGGTGGCTTGACCGATCGGTCGGTCGATCTGGCTTCAAGGTCGCGCTCGCACCGGTCTAAAACTCCGGTCCAAGATCAGTCGTCCTTGATTCCGCCGGTCGACCCGACCGATCAATCGAACGACCGTCAGGCTCCCGACACCGGGCCAGGGGTCGGTCACATCATCCGACCTCTGGAACGCGCAGCCGCCGCCGATTCCTGCTATTGGCACGCCGCCAGCATGACGCTGGACGGGAGATCTAAGAGCTTCGTGTTGCCGGATCGTTGCCCAGCTCGCCGATCGCATCCGGTCGGGATCGAGCGATCGGTGGCATCGCCGCTTCCAGCTACCATCGCGACGATCGCGCCGAGCTCGACCGGCAACATTGGCATCCAGCAACAGCAACAGCAGCAGCAGCAGCATCGTTCTCATTACGGCTACCATCATCATTCTCATCATCACGAGCATCATCATCAATCGCATCGTCACTCTCATCAAGACCAAGAGCCGCAGCAGCGTCCGCCGCTCTCTTCTTCTTCTACATCTTCTTCTTTTTCCAGCACTGATCATATCATGCTACCACCATCACCGACAACACCCTCCGTTATCACCGCGCAGTCGGCCGCCTCACGGGTTAGAACGGCTGCCACATCGTCGACAAGTAGAGTGCACGATGACGTTGTCCTCTATCTGTCTGCTCTGTCTGTCTCTATCTCTGGCTGTCGCGTCACATCTCTCCTTTGTTCTCGTTGTGTCTCTTTGTTGTACCTCTATGTATCTTTTGTACTTTTTTACGTGCCTGTTTTACACACTCACATGTCGTTTATCTACACCTCTTGTTAAGTGACAAATTTTCATGCTGCGCTTCTGCGATATATCTCGAAAACATTGGAAAATATTTTAATATTTTAATTACTCGATATGATAAAAGCAAAGTTTCTCGTTGCAAAAGAAAATCACTGCTTGATGAATGTATGCCAATGGTCGGTTATTTAATTTTTATTACAAATGAATAATTAGTATATAACATTTTTTTTATTCATAGAATTGCTTATACATCTCACAACCACGTTTTGCATCTTAAGCAGCTGTTATTATTTACCGACCTCATACTTTGATTTTTATACGTCGTATACTTGTGTCCTTCTCATCTACATCTCTTATCCCTCCGGATAATGTCTCATTAGCTTAATCCTCGCGCTTATCTCTTTACATCCCGGCTTAGCATTACACGATTGCAGCATGATCTGCTCGATGTCTTGCAATTACCGATCGAAAGCACCGGCTCTCGAATCCGATATCTGTCGCGTTGTAATGGAATCGCGGAGTAGTATATGTGTAGCATGTTTCATAGATGATAAGCGGCGATCAATGACTATCGAGGTAACGGAAACGGTAATAATCGTTTCTCTCTTTTCAGCCTTTCGATCAGCGCAGTCACGCACGAGTCGCGGCCAAGCCGTACATAACTCAGTAAGTAACTTGGTTCGATCAATTTTGATTTTCACAATATGCTTCCTATAATGCACTCTGATGCCTTTTATCGGTATTTTTCAATCGCAAAGTGCTCTCAAAGAGTCAGGATACGAAAGCGATTCGACGCTGGTGTTCCGCCGAAGGGAGGACATCAATCCGCTCAGTCTTCTGGAACAGAGACTGGCGTACAAGACGGTGCAGAGCGGTGGCGACGTACCCCTCCATGGGCTTCGCAAGCCAGCCCCGGAACGTCCAAAGGGTGAGTTGCTTCGATCCTTAAATGAGTTTTGATTTGTTCGTTTTTTTTATCCTTTTCATTTGTCTTGAAATGCTCTATCCTTTTTTTTTAATCAAGCACGCTGATCAACATCGGCCGTGTAAATTAGATGTTTTACTCTAGCATGTGGGATATATGTTTGAAATGTTGCTTTGTGTATTTTATGTGTGTTTTATTAATTGTTATTACATTTTGTTATTTACGCATGCGTCTTGAAACTTTGAGTAATGTTAAAAAATATTTTCCACCATATTTTCCAAAAAAATTATTATAATCGATTTCTTTTTTTATAATCACGCATTTAGTATTATTTATGGAGTGTGGTATTTTCGATGTTTCGCAAGTTTAGATGCATTAATGAGAGTCGAGACGATTTTTCTGCGGTGATTTTAAGTCTCGATTTTGCAGTGCTGATTTGTGCTGAAAAGCGCGAAGCATGACGTGTGAGTAATGCGCTGAAACGCACAGCTTGGCACATACGAATCTCCTCCAATGTGTATCTTTCCGTGGATGGTTGCATCAACGTCAGGTTAATACTAATCGCGATTAATTAGGCTGAGAAGGAGCCAGCGCGATAGACAATGAACGTATCCGAGTTTGCCAGATAGACCGGCTATTATGGCATCTCGCCGATAAACTTACCGAGGACGAACTCGACTCTGATATCGATTAATTAATTAATCAACGGCATTCGCTCTCGCATATCGACCTCCAGCCTAAAACTTTCCTTCTCCAATCACGTCATGCAAAGTTACAACGTGATCTAGACGGGAGCAGGTAATCGATAATCGGCGTTAGTTAACCTCGGCGTTGATGCAACCTCGGCCTCGGGTGTTCCCACCTAAGTTTAAATATGGCACAGCTCTCCTCTCGAGATAGTCTATCGATATTGGTGCGCGAGTCGGTACTTTTATGAGCTCCTTTCTTGCAATCTTCTTTTATAAATAAGCGCACCGCCAGCCGCAGTAACACCACGACGCGAGGAGCCACGAATCTCTCAATGGCACGCAAGTTTTGACGCCACCGGCTTAGCCTTGAACGAGACAACCTTAGACGACTTGATTTTTTGGTGGCAGGGTATAAGAGGCGAAAAAGGCTGAAAGTTCAGTTACACGAGAACGCGAAACGACTCGAAACTTTGTCCACAGACGATTCCGAGATCGAGTATTTCCCGATCTCGCCGACCTTGACGAGGATACGCGTGCATCGCAGAAGCGCCTCGAGCACATCGACCGTTTTCTCCTCGTTCTCCCAGACACTTCGATCGGTACCATTCTCGACTACCTCAAGATCGCCGCCGGTCATGAGAGCTTCTCCTCGTAGTTTCCCGGCGCAAGCAATGTCGGCATCGAGACCACCCTCGCCACCCCGAAGAAAGTCCTCGCGCCACAGCAGAACTCTGAAGCTGTACTCGGAGAACACGCGATTGATCGATAGTTCGCATTCTTCGTCGAAACCACGGCACGAACAGTGTTTCGCACGCGCCGATAGCGTAACGAGTATCAGGTCGCTAAGAGAAAAATTCTGCAGCAATCTCGAGCGGCATCGACGAAGCCGTGAACAGTTTCACAGCGCGATCATCACGCGTACATCTTCCAACAGCCCGGTCACCTCGAAGACTACCAAGACCGGTTTATTCTCCAATGCCTTCAACAAAAGAAAGTCGGATCCCTGCCTGTCGCAGAGTCAATTTGAAGGAAGCAAAAAATTAAATTCACCGTCGAGCACTACAAGAAGTACCTTAGCATCGCCGACGTCGAGGACCGTACGAGAATCTTCCACGAAGATTGATAAACTCCCGGTAAAAGTATCGTCGAGATATGCTTCTCTAACCAAAGAAAGATCTCCGGAAAGAAGCCAAATTGCCACGAAATCAGATCATTCTTTATCAAGTGCGAAGAGAGAAAAACTTCGTTTAACAAAGAGGGAGCAGGAACAATCGTGCAGGAGATTGAGCAAATCACCGGCAGATATCTCCTCATCAGTAGAGATCAGAAAAGCTTTACAGAAGCAGAAAGAGAAGGAAGCGAGAGGCGTGCAGACTAAAGTGCTTTCGTCAGGCACCGTGATAAAAAGCTCGACAATTCCATATGGTTCTTCGAGTAAACAGAAGCGTTCGGTAGACAAATCTCTTAAAATCGTCGTAGCGGTGTCGCCCAAAGGACAGGAATTATTGCAAAAGACGACTGAACAATCTGCGACGACGAGAAAGGCATTGAGCTCCCAGCAGAAATCTCCCACGAAAAGCACGTCGTCGCATATCTCTAAAAAAATCTTATCGGAACCAAAAAAGACAAAGATCATCACAAAGTCGCCGGAGAAACTACTTGTCAGTAAGGAATCCTTACGTTCGGTGTCTTCGTCCTGTTCTGAAGTGAATAGCGAGACAAACAAGAGAAAGCGACCTCGTGAGAAGCCGCAAACGATCGTCAGGACTCCAGTTAAAAAACCAGAAACGATACGCTTGGGCGTAAACGGCAATAGGAAGAAGATGGAAGCCAAGAAAAAAGTGCAAAAGAATAAGAACAGCGATCAAGTGGATGCAAGCACGTCTTTAAACGGCTGGAGAGATATGGCCGAAAAGGAGGATATTAAGTTGCTGAGGAGAATAGAAAGGATGGTACCGACTGTTGAGCAGGAGCCTTTCAAGGATCATGTCATTCCTTTGACCGTGGAGGAAATTAAGAAACACCAAGAGGCGACGCGCACCGACACTTTCTTCCAGAACCTCTTCCTGCGAAATAACTCGTCGGTTGTACAATCTCACGCAACTGTCAGAAAATCTCTCGTCGGCGAGCGTGCAAAGATATTTCAGGATATTGCGAAGGAAAGCTTCAAGTCGGAACCGTCTCTGAAATCCTTGAGCGTTTATCTGGCGCATAAGCGACCGGTTTCGAACTCAAAGTTCAAGAATTGGGAGCGCGAAAGTGTTGTTTCATCCAGGAGTTCCAGCCCGTACGGGGTTTGCTGGCCCGGCCGATCAGTTCTACAGAAAGTCAGCAAGTTTGACAGTTTGCTAGGCATAGACGAGCTCAGCTCATGCACTACATTGCGTAATCGGAGCCCGGAATTGTCGCGAGAACACGTGAAAGAACGAAGTCTGAGCGAACCACCGCTCAAGACCCTGCCCGAATCCAGAGAATCTTCCCCGCGATCCTCTTCGCCATCTCCAGTGAGATCTCAAGCGCCTCGACGAATTTATGTCTCGAAGCAAGATAACTCGAATATTCCGTTAACGATTACCTCGAAGAAAGCAAGAGCCAGAAGCGCCGGCGAGGCGGAGGACGCCAGGCGAAGAATGCTCGGTTCGAACTTGTCGTTGACAAAAAGCACCAGCTCTTTATCATCGATCGATCGCGAGGACTATCAGCAATACATACTCGAGTTGTTGCATCATAAACGCAAATCGAAGCGATATAAAGACTTGCGCGATTTTTACGCGAGTCTTAGCAGAATGGATCAGTTGGAGCGAACATTTTCGTCTGGAGATCTACGACCGAGAATGAAGAACGAGGAAATCATCGACTATGATCGTTGGAAGCGAGTCAGGTCAAAGGAGAAGGCCGAGCAGGAGTTGAAGACGCTCTATGGGAAGCTGAAGAGCGTCCAGCGCGACAAGGATTTTCTCTTCAGCGCGAAGGACATCGACAAGTTCAGGTGGCATGGCGACTGTGGACTTCGTTGTAAAGAACGCTCCGTGGAAGACATTCTGCAATATTTCAAAAAACTCCAGAGCGAAGGGAACGAACTGGAATCTTCCAGACGGGCAGCCATTTCCGCGCAGAAGGATACATACAAACCTCTTTGGCGCGGCAGTTCGGTTGTGAACGTGGCGACCACGATGCAGAAGAAGGCTAACGCTGATCGAAATGCTGATAAATCCGCCGATTATCATCCATACCTGCAGAAGAGCCTCGGCGGCAGCAAAAAATTTTGGAGCAGTCTGTCCATCGAACAAGTGGCCATCCTGAAGAAGCAGCTGAATGAAATCTACGATAGCGACAGTCCTCAGAAATCTACGTTTCGATCGAATGGCGAAATCATCGAGACATCTCATGAAATCAGCGAGGATCAACAATTTGTTAACGAAAATCGCGATGCGATTAAAAGCGAAACCTTGACGAGCTATGAAATAATTGTGCCTCCTGAAGGCGACTCCAAAGATCGCCCTCAGAACGATTCAAAGAGCCTTCATGTGCGATGTCACTCGATGATTGCGTCGAATGAATCATTAATGTTGCTGAAGGAACAGAGTTGCGATGCGACTCGAGTCGAAGGTATCTTGAAGAAGAGCGATTCCATCGGTCGCTTGAAAGGGCTCGAGAGATCCGAATCGGAAAAATCGGTATCACCACCGATGACGGAGCTGGAGAAGAAGAGATTGTCGTTGACCCTCGGCAAGGAAGTACTGGATAAGATGACGCAAAAAAAATTATCCACGCCTCTAGCGCCTCGAGAAACTCGCGGCAGCATTGCCGCTGCCTTAGCGATCGAAAAGATGCCAAAAAAATTTACGAAGACGCCAAAGACAATTTGCGCGTCCGATACACCCAGCGTAGCCAGCACCTCTCCAAGAACATGTTATTCTCTCGAGGCGTCATATGTCGAAGATTCGACCAAATCCAAAGACAAGAGTGATTTTCTGCTGGTGTTGACGCCCAATAACGAGAGTCCTAGTGACAAGCAACGTGTGGAAACCGTACTCGAAGAGTGGTCGAAAAAACCACCTTTATTGGCCGTGGCTATACCGTCCGAAAAAACGAAATCGAGCAAATTGATCTCGGGCAGCGAAGCGGACAGCATGACGGAAAGTTCGGAGGCTTCAGTGAAGACGGTGATTCAGCGGGGCGGCGTGATCGAGACGGAGGACGTGTCGCGGAAGATTGAATTTTTCGAAAACGTGGATAGGAGAGGGGAACGAGAAGCAGCAGCAATGACGACAACCACGTTTCACGACAAAAAGAAGCTGTCATCGTCGCAGAGCTTCGCCGACTTGAAAGAACTCTTCGGTGAGAGCGAATCGGCCAAGTATGGCCCGCTCGGCGGCAGGATCGATCGATCGCGATCGACGTCGCCGGGCGAAAAAACGATCAGCGAACGATGGAAGGCGGATGACAGTCCGACGCTATCGGAAATGACGATAGGCATGCGACAACAACAACCACGACGATCGTTCCGCTCCTGTTCACGGGAGCGTGAACACGACGCCAGACCGCACAGCGTCAGTCCATGTCGCGCGACCACGCGATCGAACTCGTCCTGCAGCGTGGACAGCGGCAGCTGGCTGCGCAGTTCGTCACCGGATCCCGAGAGGTATTGGCGCGCCTATCTGAAGCTGGTGCGAAACGGAGCGGTTCGTAGACTGCGAGCGCGCTTCGAGAGCGCCGAGGATCTATCGCGGCGGGTTAAGCTCGTCCCCGCGCCGAAGCGCTTCCGCAGCGATCCGGAACTGGCGCGGTGCTTGCTGAAGAGGACGACCGAGAGCGAGGCGGTTCGCGGCGCCTCCTGGAAGCCGCGAGAGCACGACGTCGACGTGGCATGGTTGCGTAGGAGATTCGAGACGAGGAGAGGTCGGCCGCGAGGACGAAGAGGCGAGTCGCCGCCGATCCCGCGGATGCCATTGCGTCGCGACAATCTCTCGATGCCGCACATCGACGTCATTAGCAAAACCGCCGAGCTGAAGGAACCGCAGGTCACCAGTACCATCACCAACCACGTGGCCAGGCGAGCGGAGACCAAGGAACTCGAAGCGAGGAGACCGGTCTGCCGAATGCGGAGGAGATTCGAGTTACCGGACGTCGCGGGGCGGACGTCCATAATGGGTGAGATGTTTACGTCGGCACCGGATGTGCGCGAACTTCGCGACATCGCGCCCTACCTGGCAGGGAAATGGGTGGCTCATCGGTACCCCAGTCGTCGCGACAACATGCGTTCTCTGTCGTCGCCGGCCGATCTTGAGATTCATCGAGGCTCCTCGAAGACGCGTTTGTCTTCTTCCAGAGGCGACAGGAAGAAACCGGAAAGACCGCGCGCTACTTCTTCGTCGCCAACGCGACCGAGAACACCCGCGTCGATCCTCAAATCGTCGCAAACGACTGCCTTCGCCGGACAACCCTTCGACCCCGACAAGCACAGACCGAGGTTCAGGTACCAACCACCGCCTCCACCTCCTTCGCCCATCACCGCGCGGAAGCATAGAACTTGGTGGCCAACCTTGCCAATCTACACAGCGCGACCAACCGTCACCTTCGAAGGTCTGATTCCCGTCAATTGTTTAAAGCATCTGAGCTGGATCTCAGAGTCTCTCTAAGTTTGAAGAGCAAGAAAGAAGACGTCGGAAAAGTTTTGCCGAAATTTTATTTTTATTTACATTCTTCGAAATTAGTCCAGTATTTTAAATTAAATAGATTATTATTTAAATTTGTTAATTCAGGTGATTCGATATAAAAATTATCGCGATTGGATATAAAAAAATCGCTCATTTTGCGACACCAATATCGTTTAGATAATTCCAAAGAGGAAGACGCGTTTAGCGACGTTTGCTTGGCGATGTACGTGTGACTTTGTTCAATCCCGAGAGTTTATTTTCATAGCTGTGTGTAGCACGGCTAATTATTATTTTAATTTTTTTCCGCTCATTCATAGAATACTCGAATGCACCCCCGCCGCCGCCAAAATCCCAGCACTGCAGGGACGATCGTCAAGGTAATGCCGATTATGAGCTCATCATTATTATTATGTAATATTTTTTTTTTCATATAAGCGTGCGAATTTTTTTATGTGCAGCTCACCTGTGTGCGTTTACGCGCGTGTGTATTCGATCATTGTGACGTCTCCCACTAAATGTATTAATCAATTAATATGTTTCAATCCAACATTATAATTAAGTAATAAGATCATTTGAAGATCTCGTCGACTAACACATGAACGACCTAAACAAAATATTTCCGAGATTGAAACCGCCAATTCTAAAGAGTGAAACTCGAGACGAAAGATACAAATTTCTTCGTGACGCGTGCAAGCACCTGGTACTACTTGCATCGTCATCGATCAATTCAAAGTCGCGTTCATTAAGGTTCGCGCGCACGTGACGCACTTGTTACACGTGTCACGATGATGCACAATGAAGCATGCCTCGACTCGGGAAGAGAGACTGCGCAACCGGGTTTGCATGAGCGGCCGAGCATGAGCGCAATAATCGACGATGTTCATCCGCGGTACGTTCATTAATTACCCCTCGCTCGTCATAAGTCACGCTCGTTTGATCGCGCCGAAAATAACGCGCGCTTTCGCGATGGCGAAATCACCCGCCGCGCAGTCCCCGGAGTTAGAAATTCGACGTTAAAACTGCATCGTGCGTTCGCCTGCTTTCTTGTTGGATGCGACAACCGTCAATGTCGAGTGTATCGTTGCATGTGAAAAAGGAATTGCTGCTCTGCGGAAAGTTTGCGCGTAAAATTAGGTCTTGCTTATAAATATTATACTTTCACGCTTTCTTACGTTCTTCGAGCGTCTTAATTGATGATTTGAAAAATGAAAAAGCATACATTAATCAATTACGTATTAGAAAGGTACAACCACGTAATCATCTAAATATATATCACGTTACGTAATAGAAAGGAAGAGAAGCAGATGAGATCAGGAAATGATGGAATCGCGATAGAGTGATGATGGCAACATTTGATGTCGACAAAGAGAAAATTGTGCTCAGCTGATTCGTTACTAGACCGATCGATAGCGCGCGATCAATTCTAAGTTGCTATCTCGCATCGTAAATTCCAGATGGGAAATCAGTTTCACCGGGATAATTGCGGGATAATCAAGATATCAGAGAGAGATAGCCCTAAATCATTTTGTCGGTTCTACCATGTACCAAGGGCATTCGACACCGAACAGTGATCGTATGCATGTTAATTGTCTAACGGAAAAGTAACAGTGAACTGGCTGACGTTCAATTTACACGCTTACAGTAATGTGACCGCACGCAATCGAGAACTCTCATTCAACGTATTCTGTTATCTCTTGAATACATAATTTTTCTTCATTATTTTAAATTAATTTAAATAATGAATAATGGCATTATTTAATTTTTTTTGTACGCGTTCAACATATTTTTCATCGACAATTAGAATTTATTGGATTCTCAACAAATATTGTTTGTTTAATTATCATCAAAAGAAAAAAATTCGATGATTTCAACTCTATCATAGACACAATATTTCCTAGAGAGAACATGTACTATAGTATATATAACTTATTGCGTTGTTAAAATTGGATAAGTAGTCGCGGTCACGATTATTTTCGACGATGACCATGCGCAAAGCCAAAGTAGTCGTCCACGTAGTCCGGTTATAATATCGCGCGATAAATCCGACTTGCTGCGTATGAATAGTCACTTGCCGTCATTGCATAATATAATTAGCATACCTAATTGCAAGCTTATGTGACCGAGTCTTTAACGTGAGATTATCCTTGGCATTGTACGCGCAAATAGCGTCATTCCAAATATTTAACGCGTACAAAGACAACCTGGATGCAATTGTCTTTTATCTAATCTCGCAATGATTGATACTTTCCCGCTCTTCGACAGACTCGTCGAATAATGCCTTCTCGATAATGGAATCTATTCTGTTGAACTTTGCTCCTCTATTTTTATTAAATCTCCACAAGATACACGCGAGAGAAGGAAAACAAATATCGATATTGTATCATTAAAATTGTGATCAATTAATAATGTATTGTAAAAAGCGATGAAACGAATGTAATAATAAAGTCCGCGATGTACGTTTGCGTCGCAACAACTAACAACGCGGCTTTGTAAGCGGCCTTGAACGCTTTTCTAGCGCGACGAATATGATTTTTTATCTTCGCGGATAACGACTTGGAGGAAGTAGCGTTTACCTCGCGCGAGTTTCCCCATAAAAATTACGTAATTAAGAGATACCTTGTTATATTTAGATGTTATTACGATTTTATGAGATGTAACGTTATATAACAGGAATAATTTCATATATATTTTCATATCAGTTGCGCGTTTTCGCAGAGAATTAATTTTAATCGTCGACTTTAATATCCCGAAATATAGATCGATGACGAATCCTGTTTTCGATATAAACAACATTCGAGTTGGGCGAGTGCGTCGCAAATCCGAAGACGTTCCTCGAGATTCGTGCTTGGTGAACCATTCTCCAAGGAGTAGGGAGTCGCGATAACCGGTGCTGACGTCGTGGAACCTCCTCAGACGCGTTTCGCGTGCGTCGCGCGACGCAGGTTCTTTCATTAACAGGTGTCAAAAAGAGGTGCGAGTGTAAATGGCAAGTGTAAGAAAGGATTCGATTCTGCTTCGAAGAAGCGCGTCGAACGCGCCGTTGAATTTCTCTTCCAAGTCCAAAATAAATTCGCGACGATCTCGCGGAGTTATCAGTGCGTGATCGATAATGACGATAATCGCGCTTATTTAATCGACGATTACGTTAGAGTGAATTCGAGTCGATTGTACCTACGTGCAAGGTTATCGCGTCTGATATCACCGGCTTTCGTCGACGTGAGTTTGCCTCTCGGACTTTGAACGACACGTTCTTATCGAGAACTCGTGAAATTTGCACACGATTGCCAGATATTCCAGAATTCCCAAAATGGTCTATTTCAAATAAAAATCGGATTCAGTCGCGATAAACGTTTTTAAGATATTGTTAAGAAGGATTTGCAAATTTGTAGGAAATAATTGAACGCAGAATGGAATGGAAATAAGTCGCCGATGTGAAACTTTCATTCTCCTTGAAAAAAAAACGATACGATACCGTCTTTCTCGCGAATATGTTGATCCACATTGCGCTGGAAACTCGGTGCTCATTTAAATAGAATAGCCATGAGAGTGCAAGTAGCACCTTTCTAAGGAAAAGATTTCGTCGGAACAACAAACACGCTTTGTTAAGACACTTAAGATACTTCGGAGGAATGATAGGAGAGGATCCTTAATAAGGCGAATCTTCTTTCAATAACTTTTGAATATCTCTATTCCTACAACAATGCTATAATTTTCCCTAAATGATGTTTTCCTTACGATATTTTTCCGCATACATAGCATTCGTAAAAATTACGCGAAAAGGTCAGGTTCATTTTCGTTAATTATGCATTGAGAAACTGCTAATTAAAGAGTTAACATCATTACTTTGCCCAGAATAATATCATGTCTGCACGAAAAGATGATGAACAATCATGAAAATTTTTTTCGAATCTTATTTACTTAAAACAAATAATTGAATAAGCACAATTACATATTTATAGATCACTCTGTATATTAATATTACACGCGGCATTTCGCGAATGCGTATTGGCACAGCAGCGAAAAACGTGACACGGAACGACACCGATCGTTTCGACCTTGATAGTCGATGTTGCACCTCGCGCGTTTCCACATCCGTTCGAGTAACCGTTACAACGATTTTACGCGGTTCTTAATATCCAAACCGACATAGAAGAAGTCGGACGTGACGTTTAAATAAACGATCGCGAGTCATCGTCCGATGGCAATAATAAATCGCGTTTCTCCGCGCGCGCGGTTTTCCGAAGACTCGTCGGCGAAGCCACAAGCACGTCCAAGTTGCTTAACGGCATATCGCGCTTTCCATTCTGCTCGCGTGTTATCGCGCAATTAATTTCGCGAGGATCATAATCGGGAAATCGGATTTTGAGTAATATCCGACGCGGCGATGCGCTCATCGATTTTATCTCTCAGGAAACTCAATAACGCTTGATAAAGGGAACCTCGACTCGCAATCTCTGAATCCGATAACAAGGCACAAAGCAAGACTAAGAGACACTCGGGAAGATAGTTGAATGATAAATCGTCGTGCAAATGCATCAATTTTTCGCAGACGATTTCGTATTTCGTGATGAATGAGATGGAAAGCAAGACGATATTGCCGCGCGTCGCGGATCTGGAGCGCAGTGTTCAGTGGACCAGCCTGGCGAACGACATCCACAACCTGGAGAGACGTTGCGACGTCAGACCGATGGCCCGTACCATCGAGAGGCATACCTATCATCGAGGTTCTATGCCGGAAATGCAACGGGCATGCACGGTGCTTTGCGATGATCCCGACGCGCTCTCGCAAAGAGACCCAGAGAGCTATCTGGAGCCGGAGAACTCCCGTTGGAGTTGGAAGCCGAGGACGGATTTTGAGCGGGAGTACTTTTACAAGGATTACAAGGACTATTACTGCGGTGGTTCAGGTGGTGCACGACTCGAACCGACCGTCCATGAGATCTCTGCGGGAGATCGAAGTTACCTGCAAGAGGAAACGCGTTCCTACGCAAGTCCCGTCGCACATTTTTCCTCGGCGCGTCACCCCATTGGACTCGAGAAGGAGCACTTCAGCAACAGCAGGGATCGGTTGCACGAGATTTTCGAGCACAATCGTTATCTCCGGCGACAGTTCTTCGCTGATACGAGAAATGCGCCACGGGATTCCAGCGGATTGCATTCCAAGAACTTCGGCAGGGGCAATCAGACGTCCAGGCGTTGCACCGGATTCGGCAGCACCGAGACGCTCACCAGCCAGAGCAATCAATCGTCCATGAGTAGTATAAATGATCGCAAGTCTCGGACGCAGACAACGCGTACTCCAGAAGAGGAAGAGGAGGACGACGTGTTGGTCGAATTCGCCAGAAGGAATAACATCGTCCCGCATAGGAAATTCAACATGAATTCACCTGGAATCGATCGCGAGAATGATGACGATGTCCGGAAAAATGGCAAGGTGCTCGTCAATATTCTACCCGGAAGCGAGATAAGACACGTCAACGTGAGAAATGTCCCGGTCGTTAATCCTGAAGAGATGAATAACGAACGAAACGAGGGCTCGCCGATTGTCGAAGCTCGAGAAGCGACATGCGAGCGAAGAATACTCGATAATCAGTGCCGCGAAGACGAAATTGATCGCGGCGCGTGGCGCCGAAAGAGGAACCTGCCCGAGTACATCTTTGGCGGAGACTCAAAGATCGATTCTCGACGGGACGGAACTTTGCCAAGCGATCGTTGCATCAGAAACGGACATCATTGCGACGCGACTGATCGACCGGCGCGGGACAAGTTGGAGCGAAACTGGAACCGACTCTCGCAAAATGAACCCTGTCCTTGGACGATCCCTCAAAAGCGGTCGAACCGCAATGTCGCGTCGAGGAACGACGGAAGGATACGCCAGGATCTCTGCAAATCCCTGCCGAATCTGACGATCCAGAAGCAGAACCTCGACGCTCCGCTTTACGTTGCACGAGCGGTCAATGTTCCCGAGGGATCCGCGTCGGACGATTACGCGCTCGATTCTCATATCGCGAGATCGGGTCACGGGTCGGGCCAATGTCGGGAGCAACGATCGGGACACGAGGGTCCGATACGCTCGATCGACCATGGACAATCGATATCTAAGGCGACGACAGTCTCGCTCAAGCGTTTGACCTCACGGAGCAAGATCGGGAAAGTTGCTCCTCCTCCCCCGTTGGACCTCAGCATGGTGAATGAACAATGCGAACGCATGGAGGCGGACGAAAGGAAATATCTAAACGACTATAGCATCGACGTGGCTATTCTGCGCAGCCAGGAGGATCTTGTAAAAGATCTGCTTACCGCTGAAAACAAACGGGACCGCGTCGTCGGCAACGTTACAAGGATCAACGACGTAGGTGCGCCTCGAAGTGGTCAATTTTGCGGAAGAAACGATGGAAGACGACTGTCTTTCCTACGCAAATCCTGCGGCGATCTCTCGCTGGTCGATGATCTTCGATCGCCGCAGCTCGTCAACGATTGCAAGAACCTCAGCAGCGATCCGCGGATGACGGTAGATCCTGTCAGACGTCCGATTGACCCTGATGCCTCCCGCCGTGACCGCCGAGCCAACCCTTTGTTCGATCAGACGAGTCCGATTGGCGGACTTCACGCCGCCGGAAGCACGCTTCCGTCTACGGTCTACGGACCGATTCCGTACAGTCAGTAAACATGCGCACAATTTTCCTGAAATAATGCTCTTCCTGCTGCGCGTAAATAGCCGCGCGGCTCTGTTAGAATCATTTTGCTATAGCTGTTGGTGATGATTGAAGAGGCGAAAAAGATAGAGTAAAGCATAATGAAGTAGCGTAAAGTAGGTTTCGTATTCCGGTGGCCTTTTCCGCGTTATGTTAATTAAAAAAACGCGATATAATCAGGTTCCGAATCGAGTCGGTACGCAACATGTTGAAAAATATCTTTACAGAATATGATAATAGAAAAATAATAATATAACAATAGAAAAATGAAATTTGTTTCTTAGAAATAATTAATGTTGCACACGCACCTCACAATTTGCTAGAATAACGAAAGAAAGTAGTCTCCCACGATTTACGAATGTCAACGATCAAAATGGAATTAAATTGTACCAAGAGAAAACAGAAAAGTGAATCGTAAAATACCGTAAATAAAAAAATAGACCCAACAAATAAGAGAAAGAGGAAGAATCGATCATGTGAGAATCTCGCTGAATGAAAGCGGTGAAAGGTGCCAACGGGAGGTTCCGCGTGAGATTGAAATTCGGTTTCTCATTTCGACATTTATAACAGACGCTTCGCGAGTTCGAGTCGTTACACGCTTTACAAATAGAATTACGCTAACGGTACGAAACTACTGGGCGAATCTAGCGCGATTTCACTGGGAAAGAATGAAAGTCACTGATTTAAAAAAGAGATTTCAATCTCTCATATTAAGACGCGAGGTAATAATCATCTCTTCCTCCCGCATCTTTTTTATCATCTTACTTTTATATAGGTATTTAAATATTATTTTTCATATAGGTATTTAAATATTATTTTTGACATAGGTATTTAAATATTATTTTTTATACAGATATATAAATATTATTTTAATATTTAAAGTATCAGAAATTTTTGCCACAAAAATTTTGCATATCAACGGACTTACTCGTTCTTTTACGGCGTATCTGTTTTTCCCCTAAACGCATCTCGCGATTGCGCTTTCCCGTTGGAGATGGTTGCAAGCTGGATACCGTGTTATCAGTCGTACGGTCTCGGTGCTGTCCGACGCATTGTGCGTGCGTGCGTTGCACCTCGTCGCGATAAACCTGGTCATTATCCCGCGTAGCGCGTTCGCTGATGAACAGGTGCGTGCGTAGCACTTCTGCTCTCTCCTGAAATATGAAGCTTCGTATAAGCCCTCACACGTGGTATCTCTGATAAGAGGCGAGAGGGAAGTTTCGCGCGAGCCGGTCGTTGACTGTTCTCTTCGTGCTTTTGCATAAATCAGTAAAGATTATTCGCGAATGTGCGGCAAACTGAGGATCCTCTTCCGAGGATGTTCGCGAAGATAATACGTGTATGTTATAACGTCGTGGATCGTTGTAAATTATTTAAAACTCGACATTTATCCAGTCGCGTGCGCGTCATCAGATGTAATCAAGCGTTTAAAATTATGTTTAAAGACCGAGTCTAGGTTTTTATCTCTCTGGTCGATGACCGCGGTTTAAATAGCGTTTCTCTTGGCGAAGAAGCCATATGTTCTAGGAATGAGCTAAACAAGCGACCGGCCTCTAAGTGGGTCGAGTCGCTGTCTCTCATGTTTGCCTATGATTCAATCTTTCTCTATAAAATGATATGACGCGCGAGATACGATGTTCGCATGCTCCAGTAATTCTGTCGGACTTGAACATCCTCGGATGAATAATTGCGAACTTTGGAGCACGTCGGAAAATCTCCTTCGAATGATCCTGTTAAAGCCACGTTAACTATCAGAATAATTACGTAATCGCGACGATCTTATTTGACATGATCAGGATTTGCAAATACAAATGCTTGACCGACAAAATGCATGCCATCATCACTTTTAATAATAACAAGGATTCAATGGGAGGATAATCGGATGATGACGCGATTAATAACTCGATAAAACGACACGTGTTTTGAAACTAACACCCAATAAGACGCTCGTATCAATCGAATAATTGAAGTCGAAAATAACAAGTATGTTAGACACACTTGGGAGTATAATTGAATACAGTTGCGTAAATATATACCCAGTGTCCCCAAAAAAATACGATAAAACGCGCGCTCTTATTCAGCTCGCGGCCGATCGATGCCGATAAAAACGTCCATTATTTAACGCAGAATCGCCGAGGCGTTATGTGGAGGGTGAGGTGACGATTCACTATCGCTCGCCGGTGCGTACAGAGGCGAAGGAACCGCTGAGCGAGGAGGAGCTCGCGCGGCGAAGCGCGGAGAATATGCGGCGCGTCTACCAGGAGGAGCGTCGTCGCAAGTATCTCCAGGAGTTGCACGACATCGACTCCCGCAGGCACACGGATAACTTTATGTAAGTGCAAACAATCTCTTCCTATTTCTCTCTCTTTTTATCATCTTTTTAATTCGAGAAATCGCGGGAGAAAGTTCGAACTGAGGAGTTTTTATCTTTTCCTTTTTTAGAGGGAGGGAAATTATTAAAGAAATGAAAAAAAAAAAAACGAACGCTTTTCTTAATTTTTATTTCGACATTTTGCGCTGAAAGATGTGTACTTGATTTTCGCTGCATTTTTTCCGACAAGATAATATTTTAAAAGATGTTTATAACATGGGACATGTGCATTCTCAGCTTGTCGTTGGTTTGTAAACACTTCCTGCTATTCACCAACAGCCATTGCGTAACGCGTCGCGCGTCGTGAGTTGTTTTACGCGGGCGTTACAATGAACGCGTAGGTGAGCAGGTAAATAGAGAAATCGAGAGAGAAAGAGAGACAGAGAGAGATTTCATCGACATTTTTCCCCCCTCCAGGGAAAGATGCTCCTCGTTCTTGAATGTTTGTGATAGTAGAAAATCCCAGTTACCTTGGTTGAAGGAAAGCAGATGAAATTAAACTAACGTAGCTCCTAATGAAGATTATCAAGTATTTGACTGTAAAATATCGACCGATTATTTTAAATTTCGATAAAGAATATAAAGCTAAAGATGATTGAAAATAAAAAAATTGGAAAAGAATAAAATCTACATTTCTCTTGGAAATCTATACATCCGTAAATACTCGATAATCATCGGGAAATGGAATGGCATTTGCTTGGAGCAAACAGAAAAGACAGTCCACGGTTCGAGAAATAGTTTGATTTCGACAGTTTCAACAATTGCAGACCCTCGCAGAAGTCGCCTATACCTCTGAATCGCTATGACGATTTCGTGGACGATCTGACCCAGCGAAGTCGGTCTCAAGATCAAACACCGGAACCGCGTTTGATCGCGCGGGCGTTATACAACTTTGTCGGGCAGTCCTCGCGGGAATTGACTTTCCGACGCGGTGACATCATATTTGTCCGACGACAAGTTGACAAGAACTGGTACGAAGGAGAGTACAATGCGATGATCGGGCTGTTTCCTTCCAACTATGTCGAGGTATAAATCGCTGATCCAGATTGTAAAAGTATAACGCGAAAAGTATGCTCGCGTGGCTAAACAAATTTTTAACCTTTAATAATGCAGATTCTACCGTACGACGGTACGATGCGAACGACACCGAAGAAGGCTCATGAAGGACAAGCACGGGCCAAGTTCAACTTCATTGCCCAGACTAATCTCGAATTGTCCTTAGTGAAAGGTGAGCTACGGTTACAAGTCGAGAGAGAATTTTTTAAATTTATCTTGAGATAAAATTGTACGTCCAAATTATTTTTCGAATTATCGTTTCTCACGCGGTGTATTTGTTTACAGGCGAATTAGTGGTCCTGACGAGAAGAGTCGACGAAAATTGGTACGAAGGTCGCATAGGAAACAGAAAGGGAATATTTCCGATCTCCTACGTCGAAGTCATCGTGGAACCCGGACATCGATCAGGTAATTTGCAGAAGCGAGAAATTCAATTGCGATATCAAATCGACGAGATTTGTATGAAAAAAATGTATATTTTTCAGAGACACCGATTCAGAACAAACCGGTCGCGTCTCCGGCGGCGCACAGTCTCTTAGCGAACGGCTCGTCCGGAGGGAAACTGAGTATGGGACCCCATCATTACGTGCCGTCCATCCCGGTCAATATCAACACAACCCAGCCCCATTACAATTCACTGGTAATTATCTCGCGCGATATCTTATATCGTTGTCAACGGAAACGTTGTTCAAGGTTTTAATATAAAATGAGAGACTGTTAATAAATATTCGCGTAACAGATGTCTTTTGTTCTTGCAGCCACGTATGGGAGGGAGCAAGTTGCATGTATCGCAACTCAGTGAAACGTTGCACATTGACACGCATTCGGAACCAATTCCGTAAGTCTGCGAGTTCTTTAATTCAATGAAATCTTTAATACTCTATCGTCTTAAAGAATTTAATTCGAATTACTTCTCAAGTTTAATTTTTAATTTGTATGCATTCATTATTTTATTGAAAAAAATATATTGTTTAATTTGTATACAAATAAAAACTCCTTGCTTCTCATAAAGGTATCGAGCGTTGTACAACTACAAGCCGCAGAACGACGACGAGCTGGAATTGAAGGAGGGCGATACAGTGTACGTTATGGAAAAGTGCGACGATGGATGGTACGTCGGTTCCAGCCAGAGAACCGGCTACTTCGGCACCTTCCCCGGAAACTACGTGGAGAGATTGTGAGGAAGGCCGACGATCCGGGACTTGAACGTTGCGCATCGTATCAAGGTCCAGGATAATATTCACCAAAGCATTAAACGGAATCGTTAAGGTAGACAGCGAATTTCTTTGCGTTTAACCCGATCGTTTCCGGCGATATAAATACTTTCAGCATCCTTGATTGAGAAGAGTTTTCACAAGTCATCGATAAGATCGATAGAGATTTTTGCGAACCTCTGGGATTTTTAACTTTTGTTTTTAGCATGACTACGTTGCAGCAAATAAGTATCAATTATGATTATTATTTTATCTCTGTTTTATTTTGTATGTTTGCAGTTTTATTAGACGCGCATCTTACATCAAAAAATTTTAATTGCCGTCTCTTTTGTAGCTTAATAATTAAGTTTTAATCATATGTTTATATTTTCGATATTATTTAATGAATATGTTTTAATTCCACACATTTTGGAGATACAATATATTTATGATAACAATTATATGATAATTCGCGCGAAAAAAATTGATATAATTATATGATACACATAATTCGCGAAATGTCACCAATACAACGAATGAAACGTCTAATTAAATCCTCGCGATCGTGTCGCATGAAAATTTCCGAAAGTTCGGTGAATAAAAATCATACATCATGCAATGTGAGCAATATTCTTATCTCCCTGAACGATAAATTATTTGAGAGGGTTAAGCGTTCACATTGAAAAGTAAAGAATGTCACACGTCTTCCTTTTTGGATCTAACGATGAAGCTATCAATAACGCAATTAAGATAAATATTAGAAGTGTCAATGTGTTTGCGGCGAGGCTTAATGGAGCTCTCATACGATCAGAATTATTATCGTTAAAGTATCAACATTTAAAATACACATCAATATCGATATCACATCTCGCATCTAATGTAACATATCGACAATTTGGTATGATTCTCATAAAATCAAACGATCTTATTGATAATTAAAATACCAAGAATCTTATTGATAATTAAAATACCAAGAATAGTCAGAATTACTGATCGTATCAGGGCCCTTTCTGGCGTCGGATTTACCAAAAGATTAGCAAGATAGTCCGCTAGAATACGCAAATTTGTAAGTAGAATTTGTAAGTAGTGTACGATAACGATTTTAGTAAATTATTGTTGTTACTGTTTCTGGCAAGCGCGCTTACCGCTATCAAGGAAGATATCTTCTATCTTCAAGTCAACGTCCGGCGAGTTTCGCGATGTATCATCGAAAAAAAACAAGTGTAAAGAAAGTACGACATCGAAAAGTTCCGAAATATCCGAGATAGCGGATGATATAATTTGAGATTTTAGGGCAGCTGTTTTTTCCGAGGGGCAAGAATTAGAATCTGCGCGCGGAAATTTGTGTTGAATTAGAGAGAACGGCGGTTTCCCTATGATTTCGTATATTGTAGATAAAATCACTGTTATTGTTGGATTTGTGAGTATTTCGAGACTAACGGACTTATAATTGAAAGTTTGCCTACCCAAATTAATATTTTTGTAAACATTATTTGTACCCACAGAGAGTTATATATAAATATACAACATATATAGAATAGATATATATATATATATATATATATATATATATCTATATACATATACATCTATACTTATACATATGCGCATACAGAGATCATATATACTGTGTACATCGCATGATAATATATAATATATACATATATATAAAAATATCATGTATCACACGAATAATTAGCAAATATCGCAACGTTATCACGAGCATGCAGACATGTAACAAAGATATGTATATACATATACATACTACAAACGACTATGAACATGCAAATCATCGATGAAGGAATTACCAGTTTCCTCGCGAGATGGAAAAAAGATTGTCGGCGATTATCCAAGTTGATCTTCTCTAATGTCACTTCACCATTACACGATCGCCTACCTTATAAACGCTAGAATAACAAGAAACGAACGCAGTCGAGAATCAGACAATACTATTATTACAATAATTCTAGAGAAATATAGAGAGAGAAAGATGTAATGTGACAAGGGCATTATACAGACGCCGAAGTGTACCCGATAATATGATTCGAATATGGTAAAGTGTCGTTTTTTTACCTTCAAAAAGAATTTGTGCAAAGGACCGAAGATCGTCCCTCTTTTCTTCGCTCCGTATCTTCAGAGCACATTTAACTTACGGTCTTTCTTTTCTTTCCCGAAGAGAAGATCAAAGCTTGAAAAAGAAAATTTTTTATTTTAATATTATATTTCTATCTCAAATGTGTGGTAATGTAAAAGTAAACAAATTTTGTTTTCTAATCAACGTAATTTAAAGAAGTCTGAAATCTATCTCAGATACATCTAAATATATTATTAAATGTGCAATGAAGATACGAGCTTGCTCGCGTGCGTCAAGAAACATTACGTTTTGTGTATCACGCAATTTTGTGCATACACGTGCGCATATATCCATACATATCCCGTTAAATTCTAAGATTTAAAGTTTCAAGTTTAATGCGTTACAAGACAACTAGAAGAGATCGTTGATTCTATGTTGTCCAGTCCTTCTTCTCGTTCATGAAAAGAATTGGCGGTTCTAAAATTTTTAGGATATATTGATAATAAGTGTAACATAATTCTCTTTTTATTAGTATTAATTTAAATTTAACATTTTTGAAGAAAGCTATATAGTATATTATATATATATTTTCACGATATATATACAAATTTCACTCTATATATATGAAAAAAATTGTATTTATATTAAGTGATATTATTGATAATATCAAAAATTCAATGGTTAGAGTAATGCTATCGTTTCGATTTAACATATAATATATAACTCGCTCATATCAATAATTTTGATTAATTTTTTTTCAAATTTTTTATTAGTTAACGATTTCACTTTATTTGTTTTCACATCTTGCACTCGCGTTCTAATAATATTACATTGTATTATATATCCTAGATGCAAATAAAACCTAGTCCATTACCAAAATTTGTGAATTCGGAAATCGCGATAATTAATAACTTACCTCATGATAGATCACAAAGATTATGTTAGATGATTACATCAGCATTTCAAGTAAAAATATTACCTTTCTTATTGTTGTTTTCCATTTGCCAACTTTGTTCATTTCCTTATTCGCGAATATTTGTGTAATTTCACTTGTAAAACTTGAAAAACTTAAAATTATATATATATTATTTCGATAATGTATTAACAAGATAATTTTTTTAAATGTGAGAAATTTAAAGGTACGTATACATATTATTTTTAATGCAATAATCTATTTGTCATAACATTGTTATATATTATAATTGTACATAAATACTATTTGAATATATCGATCATTGATTACTGGAAGGACGCAAGTACCGTAAAATAGGATACCGAAGATTGCAGAACCTTTGAAATAAGAATAAAATATTTCCTTAAAGGAACTCTCTAAAGACGCATTATACTATATATATTATATTATAAAGATTATAATATTGGTGAAAATCTATTTTAAAATCTTCTTTACCGTAGTAAAACTTTTCAGGGAAAAAATATAAAGTCCTCCGGCGGTCAAAATATTCGGTTGCAAGCTCCTTCTCATCACGTTTAGAAGCAGTCTTTGTGATTTTACTGGTATTTTATACCAGGAGCAATTGTATCTGCAATATTGTAGTGATATGCATTTCAGTAATCAATTTCTTCAGTTTCAATTTAACTCTAAATCTCAATCGTAGATTTATACATATTAAAATTGGAATTGTCATCTTACATCTTATCGTGCATTTGTAAGCTATGGTCTATCAATTTTTGGCCTTGCAGAGAGAAACAAAATAAATGAATCAATTGACCAACAACAAATGCCGTACACCTTATCGTTTCCAGAATGTCATCTAATTGTACTGCCATCTCAAATGCGGTAAATATATATTAATTTTTTGCACTGAATAATATTTCCATTATCTAAATGCGCAAGAAAATTACAATATTCTTATTAAAGAACGTACTTGCAGCAAACTAATGCTCATCGCTACAGTAACTATCGCAATTTGTATGGCAAAAGTGACGGAGAAAGTATCTTCCAGAAGCTCCGCGAATCTATTAATGTTACGAAAATATCTATTGAAAATCTCTTCTCACATAATGAGTTACCGATTTATTAATTTTTTCTAAAGATACAGAATAGAAAGATACAGGAGATTTATTTGTTCTAAAGATACTGAATATTCTTTATATATACTTACTGTAAGGCTTGCCAGTGTGCATGTACAGATATAGCTATTTTTTGATTGTACATGCCAATTAAACTATTATTTATTTTCAAATCTGCGGCATTATTACATGTCAAGTTTTCGAAACGAAATCTGCAAACATTTAGATATTTCTAAATTTCTTATCCAAATTTATGATATAAAAAGATAATAGAAAAAATATTAGTATATCCTTACCCAGCTACAGCGAAGATGCTGCAGACATGCTCAACGTAAGTCAAAACCATGCAGTCGTGCGCGAGTACACCCGTTATAACTATCATTATAGCTATAAGAGCATGGAAGAAAATGTAATAGAAGTATTCTCTGTCATCGTGAACGAAATAATGGGCTTCATAGGGCAGTAATATAGGACGGGATTCGTTGAGTGGTAACACAATATCTAATATTTGCGGTGTTAGACTAATTAATACAAACATGGGACAACATATGACATAATATGCTGCAATATAAATAAAATTTTTTTACATTCATTACACGTAAAATAGAAATCGAGCGATATATACCTACAGGAATATATGAAGGAAAATAATCTTGCTTTTGCCGCATACATTTTCATAATTTCGCACTCTTCTGGACTTTCTAAATGTTTCCAATGACTATATAATTGATCAGTGAGCTTTTTAATCTGGAAAAGTAGTTTGTATAGAATTAGTTTGTATCGAATTTTAATTTAACCATAATCGCAAAAATATGAGCGTGAATAATAATAATAAAAATTTAAAATAATATTTTTTAAACAATACATAATATATAAATGTTTATATTATTATACTTTGCCACTGTTAAATTGGCATGTGTATAATTTCACTATAATCACAGTGTGCATTAGATATGTTGGTATTGTCATAAAAATACAATGCACGTCTCTGTCACATTGAATAAATTTGCCCATCTAAAACATAGTATCATAAAGCACGACATTTATATCACATTTTAATCAAATAATTTCTTAATTTTCATTTTCGCAATTACTGATAGAAAATTCGTAAGTGGATGCATCAACCTGTGGAACTATCACAGAAAATTCAGTCATAGTCACTAGAATCACTCGAAGCAATCTCTCTCTTCGATTCTGATAAGGCCACTGACCCGCCAATGATAGCATTCTTTTCGTAATACTATAATAATAATTCCAGACAGATTCCATAGTTTTCAAAGAGATATTTTGTCTTCGATAGCGTGCAGCTTACTAAATTTTTCGTCTCATTTTCCGATGTAAAGAACGAATAAATATTTAAGTGGGAAAGAATAGAATGTCATGTGCGAAAATACTACATGTCAAAAATATTCAATTTCACATATCACGTTTTGTGATGCATACGATGAATAACAGTCTGTCAAATGGTAGAAATGATATCTCATCGCGCGAAATGTACCGTGCGATTATAGTATCCAAAAAAATAAGTGCAACCTAGCGTTCCCTTCATATATTTAATGGTTTAATGTAAATGTTAAGATATCTATAGGTTATATATATATATGTAGGTTATATGAAACAGGGTATGTATGACATACCAATTATCATATAAAAAATTTATATTGTGCCGTATTGGCGTGCATAATGGTTCTTTATTCTACAATTTGTAAAATATTTCACATTTCTATGTTGAATTCGTAGCTATATAATCTTCTTATTCTGAGAATACATTAAAGTACGATTAACAATATTTAACAATTTGATTCTTAAAATGTGCAAATGTCACAAATTAAATTGCAATAGAAATTTTTAACAATAAAGTACATACTTGCAACAAAGTGACACTCATTGCTACAATACCTATGAACATTTGTATAACTAAAGTTACAGAAAAAGTATTTTTCAGAAACTCTGCGTATCTAAAAAGATATTTCTATTGAAAGTATATTGAAAATTTTCTTCAAACAAATATTTATTAATTTATTTTTGCACATTTCGAATTACATATTACTTATTTATTAATTAGGAATAATTTAAATTACGATTTATTAATTAAGCATAATGCATCACTCATTGAACTCTAGAATAGGTAAGTGAATTCACTTCAAGTAACTATCTTTCGAAACAAAAAAACCAAAGTTAAAAAGATGTTAAAATATTTTTTAAATTTTCAATTAAGTTTCGATAACAAGTAAGATAATTAAAAAAAAAATCTTTTAGTCTCTAACTTTTTTCTCAAATATAAAAGTAGAGAAAATTATATTGATAGAAGATATAAATATATAGATATCGATAAATCTCTCTTTATTTAACTGAATGACAAAAAATAAGCTCTTGGAATGGTATATCATCTTTCTATTTTGAGTCGCAAACTGTTTTTGGTTAAGATAAAATATGCAGTCTATAGTTATTATGTCTATGGATAGTTTTATATATCTTACCTCATTATATTAAAGTTTTTTTAAAGAAAAAATATAAATTTTTAAGAAGCAAATATTTTTAAAAAAATTCAACGAATTTCATGCATAGCATCAATATGTTTGCGAAGTCCGATTGTACCATAATGAAATCAAGCATATATGGTCATTGAAAAATGTAATCAAAGATTATTATCATTATGACTACTAATTTTTATGTCATCATGGATATTTTATATCAGTTATCAATTTGAATCTCTTGTTTGTATGTTTAAACTCAAACTGATGATATTACTATATATTATATATTCTAAATACAATTACAAGCTACTGAACTTTTGGTTAATATATATTATTCTAAATGTTATATTAGTCTATTGCCATAACAATACTATTAAGTTTACAGAAATATTATTTTAATTTATCGATCATTGATTATTGGAACGATGCGAGTACGGTAAAATATGACATCGAAGATTGTAGAACCTTTAAAATGAAAGCAAATGTATAAAATGTTTAAAAATAATTTTGTAGAATCTTGTAACATGAGATTCATAAAAATTTCTTTACCGTCATGAAGCTTTTCAATGAAAAAACGTATATTCTGCCAGCGCTTAAAATATTCGGTTGCGAGCTTCTTCTCATGATATTTAAAAGCAGTTTTTGCGATTTCACGGGTATTTTGGACCAGGAGCAATTGTATCTGCAATATTGCAACATTATGCATTTCAATGATTACTTATATTTTGACAGTCCATTATGAAATTATATATATATATATATATATATATATATATATATATATATATTAGAATTGAAATCATCTCACATCTTATCATGTATTTGTAAACTATGATCTATCAATCTTTGGCCTTGCAGACTGAAGCAGAATATATGAATCAATTGACCAGTAACAAATGCCATATATCTCGTTGTTTCAATAATGTTCTCCAATTGTACTACCATCTCGAATGCAATAAATATATTTTAATTTCTTCCTCATTAAATAATTATAAACGTAAATTTAACAATTTGATTCTTAATATGTGCAAATGTCACAAATTAAATTGCAATACAAATTTTAACAATAAAGTACATACTTGCAGCAAAGTGACACTCATTGCTACAATAACTATGAACATTTGTATAACTAAAGTTACGGAAAAAGTATTTTTCAGAAACTCTGCGTATCTAAAAAGATGTTTCTATTGAAAGTTTATATTGAAAATTTTCTTCAAACAAATATTTATTAATTTATTTTTGCACATTTCGAATTACTTACTGTAAAGCTCTCCAATGTACATGAACGGATAATGCTATTTCTTGATTATATGTCTTACATTGTATATCTTTTGATTGTACATTTATCTTATCATTTTCTTTGTCGGTATTATGTGCTAAGTTTTGGAAACGAAATCTACGTGCATATAAATAGCATAAAAATTAGTAGTTAATATGCATAAAAATTAGTAGTTAATCAATAGTTGGCTTTATTTTTTTGAACTTATTAACTTATTAATTATATTAAAGATAAAACAAGAAAATACGAATTATTCTTACCCAGCCACAGCAAAAATTCCGCAAACATGTTCGATATAAGTCAAGATCACACAATCATGCGCAAGTAAACCCGTTAGAACAATGAATGTAGATATAAGGACATGAAAGAAAATGTAATAGAAATATTCTCTGTGGTCGACAAAATAATGACACTCGTGAGGCAATAATATAGGACGGGATTCATTAAGAGGCAACAGCTTATCTAATATCTTTGGTGTAAGACTAAATAGTACAAACAGGGGACAAGATATATAATAATAAGCTGTAATAAAAGTATAATATAATAAAACATGTCTGTTTTCTATTGGTTGGCGATCCAATCAGTGCGCATTATTTTATATATGTAATAGCCATCGATTGATGAAATATATTCTCCTAATAACTTAGAAATGCCGTTCCCGAGTAGCAATATTGTGTTGAAATATTATCGAAAATTAATTTCTGAATTACTTGTAAAATATATTTCGCAAAGAGATATGCTAATAAAACGGATTACGATTAGTAATATTGTGTTTTTTAATATCCTTGAAAATTTGCATCTGACTTATATCAGGAAAATATAATTCGCATAGAGATTGATAATGCAGTTCACAAGCAATAGTGTATCTTAATATGCTCGAAAATTTATTTTTGAGTTATTGGCAGAGTATATCTCGCTAAAAGGTATTCTTGATTTGTGCAGAATAATAGTTAACTGATGATTAATATATACGTAAAATAATGCGCACTGATAATTTGGATAATAGATCTAGGAAACACAATTTTTCGTACACGAATAAATCAAAGAAATCAATCTCGCTTTTGCTCCATATGTTTTCATAATTTCATATTCTTTCTGACTTTTCAAATTTTTCCAATCGTTATATAGTTGTTCAGTAAGATATTTAATCTGGAACGTAAATACTGAACTTTGTTAAATAATTTAATAATTATTGTAAGAGGCTGTGATGAATAATTATAAAAATTTGTAAAACTATATTTACAGATAATTTACGAGTAACTAATAGAAAGTAGAATATTGCGATTAAGAATAATCGCGTAAAAACTGAAGAAACTGTTTTGTGATTAATGTGTAATATAAATGTCCGTATTATCATACTTTGCTACTATAAAATTGACATGTGAGTAACTTCACCATAATCACAGTGTGCACAAGATACGTCGGTATACCTATTAAGATGCATTGCAGATTTTTACCACATTGAATGAGTCTTCCCACCTAAAAACATCGTTATAATCAGATTAGAAAACTTAATGTTTTGTATATTATATTTTAATTAAATAATTTTGAATTCTATTTATATATGTTACAAAGAAATAATTCGTCACAACCTGCGTAACCATCACGGAAAGCTCAGTCAAAAATACTATTGTCATTCGAGGCAATCTCTCTTTTCTCTTCTGATAAGGCCACTGACCAGCCAATGATAGCATTCTTTTCGTAATGCTGTAATAATAATTCCAGACAAACTCCATAATTTTCAAAGAGACACACTTTATCCTCGACAGTGCACAGTTTACTAAATTTTTTTCGTTTTCCGGTGTAAAGAACGAAATACATAAATATTTTAGTAGAAAAGAATGGAGTACGAAAATGCTACATGTCAAAAATCTTTAATCTCACGTATCACGTTTTATGATGCATACGATTATAAATAACAGTCTGTCAAATGGTAGAAATAGTCTTATCGTGCGAGACATATCGATTATTTATAATATACAAATAAGTAAGTGCAAAGCGTTCCCTTCATATATTTAATGGTTTGATGTAAATGTTAAGATATCTGATAGAAATAGGTTATATGAAACAGGGTATGTATGACACACCAATTATCATATAAAAAATTTATATTGCGCCGTATTCGCGTGCATACTGATTATTTATTCTACAATTCGTAAAATATTTCACACTTTCATGTCGAATTCGTAGCGATACAATCTCCTTATTCTGAGAATACATTAAAGTCGATTATCAATTTAACAATTTGAATCTTAAAATGTGCAAATGTCACAAATTAAATTGCAATACAAATTTTTAACAATAAAGTACATACTTGCAACAAAGTGACACTCATTGCTACAATAACTATGAACATTTGTATAACTAAAGTTACGGAAAAAGTATTTTTTAGAAAATCTGCGTATCTAAACAAATATGTCTATTGAAAGTATATTGAAAATTTTCTTCAAACAAATATTTATTAATTTATTTTTGCATATTTCGAATTATATATTACTTATTTATTAATTAAAGATAATTTAAATTACGATTTATTAATTCAGCATAATTCATCATTCATTGAACTCTAGAATAGGTAAGTGAATTCACTTCAAGTAACTACCTTTCGAAACAAAAAAATCAAAGTTAGAAAGGTGTCAAAATATTTTTAAAATTTTCAAATAATAAGTTTCGATAACAAGTAAGATAATTAAAAAAAAATCTTGTAGTCTCTAACTTTTTTCTCAAATATAAAACTAGAGAAAATTATATTGATTGAAGATATAAATATATAGATATCGATAAATATCTCTTTATCTAACTGATTTACAAAAAATAAGCAGGCTCTTGGAATGGTATATCATCTTTCTATTTTGAGTCGCAAACTGCTTTTGGTTAAGATAAAATATGCAGTCTATAGTTATTATGTCTATGGATAGTTTTATATACTTTACCACATTATATTAAAGTTTTTTTTAAAGTAAAAATGTAAATTTTTTAACAGCAAATATTTTTAAAAAGTTCAACGAATTTCACGCACAGCATAAATATGTTTGCGAAAACCGATTGTACCATAATGAAATCAAGCATATATGGTTATTGAAAAATTTAATCAAAGATTATTATCCTTATGACTAATTTTTATGTCATCATGGATATTTTATATCAGTTATCAATTTGAATCTCTTGTTTGTATGTTTAAACTCAAACTGATGATATTACTATATATTATATAATCTAAATACAATTACAAGCTACTGAACTTTTGGTTAATATATATTATTCTAAATGTTATATTAGACTATTGCCATAACATTATTATTAAATGTACAGAAATATTATTTCAATTTATCGATCATTGATTATTGGAAAGACGCGAGTACGGTAAAATATGACATCGAAGATTGTAGAACCTTTAAAATGAAAGCAAATGTATAAAATGTTTAAAAATAATTTTGTAGAATCTTGTAACATGAGATTCATAAAAATTTCTTTACCGTCATGAAACTTTTCAATGAAAAAACGTATATTCTGCCAGCACTTAAAATATTCGGTTGCGAGCTTCTTCTAAGAATGTTTAAAAGCAGTTTTTGCGATTTCACGGGTATTTTGTACCAGGAACATTTATATCTGCAATATTGCAACATTATGCATTTCAATGCTTATATTTTGACTACTTTGGTTACTTATATTTCGACAGTCCATTGTGAAATTATATCTGTATCTTAGAATTAAATCATCTCACGTCTTATAATGTATTTGTAAACTATGGTCTATCAATCTTTGGCCTTGCAGACTGAAGCAGAATATATGAATCAATTGACCAGTAAAAAATGCCATATATCTCGTTGTTTCAATAATGTTCTCCAATTGTACTACCATCTCGAATGCAATACATATATTTTAATTTCTTCCTCATTAAATAATTATAAAGGTAAGTTTAACAATTTGATTCTTAAAATGTGCAAATGTCACAAATTAAATTGCAATATAAATTTTTAACAATAATGTACATACTTGCAGCAAAGTGACACTCATTGCTACAATAACTATGAACATTTGTATAAGTAAAGTTACGGAAAAAGTATTTTTCAGAAACTCTGCGTATCTAAAAAGATATTTCTATTGAAAGTATATTGAAAATTTTTTTCAAACAAATATTTATTAATTTATTTTTGCACATTTCGGATTACATATTACTTACTGTAAAGCTCTCCAATGTAGATGAACGGATAATTCTATTTCTTGATTATACGTTTTACATTGTATATCTTTTGATTGTACATTTATCTTATCATTTTCTTTGTCGGTATTATGTGCCAAGTTTTCAAAACGAAATCTACGTGCATTTAAATAGTAAAAATTAGTAATTAATCAATAGTTGGCTTTATTTTTTTGAACTTATTAATTTATTAATTACATTAAAGAAAAAACAGGAAAATACGAATTATTCTCACCCAGCCACAGCAAAGATTCCGCAAACATGTTCGATATATGTCAAGATCACACAATCATGCGCAAGTAAACCCGTTAAAAAAATGAATGTAGATATAAGGACATGAAAAAAAATGTAATAGAAATATTCTCTGTCGTCGTCGACAAAATAATGACACTCTTGAGGCAATAATATAGGACGAGATTCATTAAGAGGCAACAACTTATCTAATATCTTTGGTGTAAGACTAAATAGTACAAACAGGGGACAAGATATATAATAATAAGCTGTAATAAAAATATGTTGTAATATAAAACATGTCTGTTTTCTATTGGTTGGCGATCCAATCAGTGCGCATTATTTTATATATGTAATAGCCATCGATTGATGAATTATATTCTCCTAATAACTTAGAAATGCAGTTCGCGAGTAGCAATAGTGTGTTGAAATATCCTCGAAAATTCATTTCTGAATTACTTGGGAAATATATTTCGCAGAGATATGCTAAATAAACGGATTACGATTAGTAATATTACGATTTTAATATCCTTAAAAATTTGCATCTGACTTATCAGGAAAATATAATTCGCATAGAGATTGATAATGCATATTATAAGCAATAATGTATTTTAATATGCTCGAAAATTTATTTTTGAGTTATTGGGAGAGTATATCTCGATAAAAGGTATTCTTGATTTGTGCAGAATAATCGTTAACTGATGATTAATATATACGTAAAATAATGCGCACTGATAATTTGGATAATGGATCTAGAAAACACAATTTTTCTTACATGAATAAATCAAAGAAATCAATCTCGCTCTTGCTCCATATATTTTCATAATTTCGTATTCTTCTTGACTTTTCAAATTTTTCCAATCGTTATACAGTTGTTCAGTAAGATATTTAATCTAGAACGTAAATACTGAACTTTGTTAAATAATTTAATAATCATTGTAGGAGGTTGTGATGAATAATTATAAAAATTTGTAAAACTATATTTACACATAATTTACAAGTAACTGATAGAAAATAGAATATTGCGATTAAGAATAATCGCGTAAAAACTCAAGAAACTGTTTTGTGATTAAAGTGTAATATAAATTTCCGTATGATCATACTTTGCTACTACAAAATTGACATGTGAGTAACTTCACCATAATCACAGTGTGCAGAAGATACGTCGGTATACCTATTAAGATGCATTGCAGGTTTTTACCACATTGAATGAATCTTCCCACCTGAAAAGATCGTTATCATCAGATTATAAAATTTAATGTTTTGTATATTATATTTTAATTAATTAATTTTGAATTCTATTTATCCATGTTATAAAGAAATAATTCGTCACAACCTGCGTAACCATTAGGGAAAGCTCAGTCAAAAATACTATTGTCATTCGAGGCAATCTCTCTTTTCTCTTCTGATAAGGCCACTGACCAGCCAATGATAGCATTCTTTTCGTAATGCTGTAATAATAATTCCAGACAAACTCCATAATTTTTAAAGAGACACTTTATCCTCAACAGCGCACAGTTGACTAAATTTTTCTCGTTTTCCGGTGTAAAGAACGAATAAATATTTTAATAGAAAAGAATGGAGTACGAAAATGCTACATATCAAAAATCTTTAATCTCACATATCACGTTTTGTGATGCATACGATTATAAATAACAGTCTGTCAAATGGTAGAAATAGTCTTATCGTGTGAGACGTATCGATTATTTATAATATACAAATAAGTAAGTGCAAAGCGTTCCCTTCATATATTTAATGGTTTGATGTTAAGATATCTGATAGATATAGGTTATATGAAACAGGGTATGTATGACACACCAATTATCATATAAAAAATTTATATTGCGTCGTATTCGCGTGCATACTGGTTATTTATTCTACAATTCGTAAAATATTTCACACTTTCATGTCGAATTCGTAGCGATACAATCTCCTTATTCTGAGAATACATTAAAGTACGATTATCAGTTTAACAATTTGAATCTTAAAATGTGCAAATGTCACAAATTAAATTGCAATACAAATTTTTAACAATATAGTACATACTTGCAGCAAAGTGACACTCATTGCTACAATAACTATGGACATTTGTATAACTAAAGTTACGGAAAAAGTATTTTTTAGAAAATCTGCGTATTTAAAAAGATATTTCTATTGAAAGTATATTGAAAATTTTCTTCAAACAAATATTTATTAATTTATTTTTGCACATTTCGAATTACATATTACTTATTTATTAATTACGGATAATTTAAATTACGATTTATTAATTAAGCATAATTCATAATTCATTAAACTCTAGAATAGGTAAGTAAATTTACTTCAAGTAACTATCTTTCGAATCAAAGAACCAAAGTTAAAGAAGTATTAAAATATATTTAAAATTTTCAAATAATAAGTTTCGATCACAATTAAGATAATTAAAAAAGTAATTTTTTAGTCTCTAACTTTTTTCTCAAATATAAAATTAGAGAAAATTATATTAAAGAAAATATAAATATATAGATATCGATAAATCTCTCTTTATCTGACTGATTGACAAAAAATAAGCAGGCTCTTGGAATGGTATATCATCTTTCTATTTTGAGTCGCAAACTGCTTTTGGTTAAGATAAAATATGCAGTCTATAGTTATTATGTCTATGGATAGTTTTATATATTTTACCTTATTATATTAAAGTTTTTTTAAAGAAAAAATATAAATTTTTTAGAAGCAAATATTTTTAAAAAAATTCAACGAATTTCACGCATAGCATCAATATGTTTGCGAAGTCCGATTGTACCATAATGAAATCAAGCATATATGGTCATTGAAAAATGTAATCAAAGATTGTTATCCTTATGGCTACTAATTTTTATGTTATCATGGATATTTTATATCAGTTATCAATTTGAATCTCTTGTTTGTATGTTTAAACTCAAACTGATGATATTACTATATATTATATAATCTAAATACAATTACAAGCTACTGAACTTTTGGTTAATATATATTATTCTAAATGTTATATTAGGCTATTGCCATAACATTATTATTAAATTTACAGAAATATTATTTCAATTTATCGATCATTGTTTATTGGAAAGACGCGAGTACGGTAAAATATGACATCGAAGCTTGTAGAACCTTTAAAATGAAAGCAAATGTTTAAAATGTTTAAAAATAATTTTGTAGAATCTTGTAACATGAGATTCATAAAAATTTCTTTACCGTCATGAAGCTTTTCAATGAAAAAACGTATATTCTGCCAGCGCTTAAAATATTCGGTTGCGAGCTTCTTCTCATGATGTTTAAAAGCAGTTTTTGCGATTTCACGGGTATTTTGTACCAGGAGCAATTGTATCTGCAATATTGTAACATTATGCATTTCAATGATTACTTATATTTTGACAGTCCATTGTGAAATTATATCTATATTTTAGAATTGAAGTCATCTCACATCTTATCATGTATTTGTAAACTATGATCTATTAATCTTTGACCTTGCAGACTGAAGAAGAATATATGAACCAATTGACCAGTAAAAAATGCCATATATCTCGTTGTTTCAATAATGTTCTCCAATTGTACTACCATCTCGAATGCAATAAATATATTTTAATTTCTACTTCATTAAATAATTATAAAGGTAAATTTAACAATTTGATTCTTAAAATGTCCAAATGTCACAAATTAAATTGCAATGCAAACTTTTAACAATAAAGTACATACTTGCAGCAAAGTGACACTCATTGCTACTATAACTATGAACATTTGTATAAGTAAAGTTACGGAAAATGTATTTTTCAGAAACTCTGCGTATCTAAAAAGATATTTCTATTGAAAGTATATTGAAAATTTTTTTCAAACAAATATTTATTAATTTATTTTTGCACATTTCGAATTACATATTACTTACTGTAAAGCTCTCCAATGTACATGAACGGATAATGCTATTTCTTGATTATATGTCTTACATTGTATATATTTTGATTGTACATTTATCTTATCATTTTCTATGTCGGTATTATGTGTTAAGTTTTCAAAACGAAATCTACATACATTTAAATAGTAAAAATTAGTAGTTAATCAATAGTTAGCTTTATTTTTTTGAACTTATTAACTTATTAATTATATTAAAGAAAAAACAAGAAAATACGAATTATTCTTACCCAGCCACAGCAAAGATTCCGCAAACATGTTCGATATAAGTCAAGATCACACAATCATGCGCAATTAAACCCGTTATAACTATCATTATAGCTATAAGACCGTGGAAGAAAATGTAATAGAAATATTCTCTGTCATCGTGAACGAAATAATGGGCTTTATAGGGCAGTAATATAGGACGGGATTCGTTGAGTGGTAACACGATATCTAATATTTGCGGTGTTAGGCTAATTAATACAAACGTGGGACAACATATGACATAATATGCTGCAATATAAATAAAATTTTTTACATTCTTTACACGTAAAATAGAGATCTATTGGTTGGCGATCCAATCAGTGCGCATTACTTTACATATGTAATAGCTATCGATTAATGAAATATATTCTTCTAATAACTTAGAAATGCAGTTCCCGAGTAGCAATATTGTGTTGAAATATCCTCGAAAATTCATTTCTGAATTACTTGGGAAATATATTTTGCATAGAGATATGCTAATAAAACGGATTACGATTAGTAATATTGTGTTTTTTAATATCCTTGAAAATTTGCATCTGACTTATCAGGTAAATATAATTCGCATAGAGATTGATAATGCAGTTCACAAGCAATAGTGTATCTTAATATACTCGAAAATTTATTTTTGAGTTTTTGGGAGGGTATATCTCGCTAAAAGATATTCTTGTGCAGAATAATAGTTAACTGATGATTAATATATACGTAAAATAATGCGCACTGATAATTTGGATAATGGATCTAGGAAACACATTTTATCTTACACGAATAAATCAAAGAAATCAATCTCGCTCTTGCTCCATATGTTTTCATAATTTCGTATTCTTCCTGACTTTTCAAATTTTTCCAATCGTTATATAGTTGATCAGTAAGATATTTAATCTGGAACGTAAATACTGAACTTTGTTAAATAATTTAATAATTATTGTAAGAGGCTGTGATGAATAATTATAAAAATTTGTAAAACTATATTTACAGATAATTTACGAGTAATTGATAGAAAGTAGAATATTGCGATTAAGAATAATCGCGTAAAAACTGAAGAAACTGTTTTGTGATTAATGTGTAATATAAATGTCCGTATTATCATACTTTGCTACTATAAAATTGACATGTGAGTAACTTCACCGTAATCACAGTGTGCAGAAGATACGTCGGTATACCTATTAAGATGCATTGCAGGTTTTTACCACATTGAATGAATCTTCCCACCTGAAAACATCGTTATCATCAGATTATAAAATTTAATGTTTTGTATATTATATTTTAATTAATTAATTTTGAATTCTATTTATCCATGTTATAAAGAAATAATTCGTCACAACCTGCGTAACCAGCACGGAAAGTTCAGTCAAGAATACTATTGTCATTCGAGGCAATCTCTCTTTTCTCTTCTGATAGGGCCACTGACCAACCAATGATAGCATTCTTTTCGTAATGCTGTAATAATAATTCCAGACAAACTCCATAATTTTCAAAGAGACACTTTATCCTCAACAGCGCACAGTTGACTAAATTTTTCTCGTTTTCCGGTGTAAAGAACGAATAAATATTTTAGTAGAAAAGAATGGAGTACGAAAATGCTACAAGTCAAAATTCTTTAATCTCCCGTATCACGTTTTGTAATGCATAAGATTATAAATAACAGTCTGTTAAATAGTCTTATCGTGCGAGACGTATCGATTATAACAGAGTTGTCCACGTTTTGCACATTTTGGACGATTTCTGTGAGTCAACGCCTATCGCCTCCCACTTACATTTCGAAATCTTAACAACGAGCTAGCTAACAACTGTAACTAAGATGCGCAACACTTTACTTCAAGTACGGCTCATTAATGCGATGTTGTTCTCTTCGTCCCGTCAAATGTTAATACTTTTAAAAAATACGCGAGTTTTTTAAAATCTTTTTAGGTAATTAATTCAAAATGTATAACAAACTTTCAATTCCCGATTATTAATTACATTAATAATAAAATATTGTCATTTGGCAGACGGGGTATAAGGAACGGTATCGCGTTATAAATGCGCCGTACTTGAAATGTCTTTGTTACGGTGTCAGCTGGTTCGTTGTCAAGCTCTCGAGACGTAAGTGGGAGGCGATAGGCGTTGACTCACAGAAATCAGCCGAAATGTGCAAAACAGCTCTGGATTATAATATTTAAAGAAATAAGTGCAAACCTAACGCTTCCTTCATATATTTAATGATTCGATGTAAATGTTACGGTATCTGTATAAATATAGATTGTTCGAAACGTGGTGTGTGACACACCAATTGTCATATAAAAAGTTTACATGATGCCATAATTTTATTATGCCAAATTCGTGCATACTTGTTCTTTATTCTGCAATCCGTAAAATATTTCGCATTTCCATTTCGAATTTATAGCGATTCAATCTTCTTATTCTGAGAATACATTAAAGTTCGATTTATTGATTAAACATAATTCATCATTCATTGAACTCTAGAGTAGGTAAGTGAATTCATTTCAAGTAACTATCTTCCGAGATGAAAAAAAACAAAAGTTAAAAAGTTGTTAAAACATTTAAAAAATTTTTAAATAATAATTTTCGATAACAGGTAAGATATTTAAGAAAAAGCTTTAGTTTATCCTTTTTCTCAAATGTAAAAATAGAAAAATTATAGATATCGATAGAAGAAATTTTTTTTTAACTCATTGTCAGTGCTGTCAATTATTTGCAACTTTCGGCCGAATTTCTTAGCTTACGTCTATCGCTTTCCCCTTATCGCGCGCGCCTTAGCAATCGCGCTAAATGTATTATAATATATTATATTTTATATAATTTTATTATTATTTATATAATTTATTTATGTAATTTTTATATATTATTTTTTATATAATTTTATTATTATTATTTATATAATTTATTTATATAATTCTTTATATAATTTTATTATTATTATTATTTATATAATTTATTTATATAACATTTTATATATTATTTTTTATATAATTTTTTGTTATTAGATTGCCACCTTACATTTGTGACGCGCACGTGTCTGAGGTTACTGCCCCGCTCCTTAGTTACGAGCGTTCGACGACGCGGTTACTAAGGCACGCGCAGTAAGAGAAGAATGGTAGGCGTTAGCTAAGAAATCCGACCGAAAGTTGCAAATAATTGACAGTACTGATCTAACTGATTGATAAAAAATAAGCAGACTCTTGGAATGGTATGTTCTTTTTATAATTTTTTCAAGAACTGCGTTTTGGTTAAGATAAAATATGCGCAATTAAAGGTGTACTATATCTATGGATAGTTTTATATATTTTACTGAAGTTTTATATAGAAGTTTTTACTGAAGTATTTTAAAGAAAAAATATCAACTTTTTGAGAAGATATTTAAAAAAAATTCAAATAAACACGCATAGCATTAATATATTTGCGAAAACTGATTATTTATCTTAATGAGATCAAACAGATATATGGCTATTAAAAAATTGAATCAAAAATTATTGTCCTAGCCATAACAATTAATTTTTATGCTTTCATGGATATTCTATATCGATTACTAATTTGAATTTCTACTTGTTTGTATATTTAAAATCAAGCTAATGGTGTTACTACATATTATATATTCTAAATATAAATATAAGTTATTGAACTTTTGTTAATATCTTGAAAATAAAATATCTTGAATGCCATAACATTATTATACGTTTACAGAAATACTATTTCCATTTATCGACCATTCATTATTAGAAAGATGCGAGTACGGTAAAATATGACACCGAAGATTGTAGAACCTTTGAAATAAAAGCAAATGTTTAAAATGTTTAAAAATAATTTTGTAGAATCACATCTTGTAACATGAGATTCATAAAAATTTCTTTACCGTCATGAAGTTTTTCAATGAAAAAACGTATATTCTACCAGCGCTTAAAATATTCGGTTGCAAGCTTCTTCTCATGATGTTTAAGAGCAGTCTTTGCGATTTCACGGGTATTTTGTACCAGGAACACTTATATCTGCAATATTGCAACATTATGCATTTCAATGATTACTTTTATTTTGACTGTTCATCCATCGTGAAATTATATATATATATTTTAGAATTAAAATCATCTTACATTTTATCATGCATTTGTAAACTATGGTCTATCAGTCTTTGGCCTTGCAGACTGAAGCAGAATATATGGATCAATTGACCAGTAACAAATGCCATGTATCTCGTTGTTTCAATAATCTCCAATTGTATTGCCATCTCGAATGCAATAAATATATTTTAATTTCTTCTTCATCAAATAATTATAAAAGTAAATATAATAATTTGATTTTCAAAATGTGCAAATGTCGCAACTTAAAATACAAACTTTTAACAATTAAACACGTACTTGCAGCAAAGTGACACTCATTGCTACAATAACTATGAACATTTGTATAACTAAAGTGACGGAAAAAGTATTTTTCAGAAACTCTGCGTATCTAAAAAGATATTTCTATTGAAAGTATATTGAAAATTTTCTTCAAACAAATATTTATTGAAAATTTTCTTCAAACAAATATTTATTAATTTATTTTTACACATTTCAAATTACATATTACTTACTGTAAAGCTCTCCAATGTGCGTGAACGGATAATGCTATTTTTTGAGTGTATATCTGACATTGTACATCTTTTGATTGTATATCTATCTTATCATTTTTTATGTCCGTATTACGTGCCAAGTTTTCGAAACGAAATCTACATTCAGACAGTAAATCAGTAGTTATTTTAATAGTAGTTAAAGTAATTTTATTTTTTGACTGTATTAAAGGAAAAACAAGAAAATACGAATTATTTTTACCCAGCCACAGCGAAGATTCCGCAAACATGTTCGGTGTAAGTCAAGATCACACAATCATGCGCGAGTAAACCCGTTAAAATTATGAATGTAGATATAAAAACATGAAAAAAAATGTAATAGAAATATTCTCTGTCGTCGCTAACAAAATAGTGAGCTTCGTTAGGCATTAACATAGGGCGAGATTCGTTGAGAGGTAATACAATATCTAATATCTTCGGTATAAGGCTAGTAAATATAAACATTGGACAACATATAAAATAATACGCTGTAACAAAATGAATCGAATCATATGTAATTATTTATATCATGTATTTATGTATTCATGTAATCATTATATATAAAATTGGAATAGAGCGATTTATTCTTACAGGAATAAATCAAAGAAATCAATCTTGCTCTTGCTGCATACATTTTCATAATTTCATGTTCTTCCGGGCTTTTCAAATGTTTCCAATCGATATATAATTGATCAGTGAGATGTTTAATCTAGAGTACAAATATTAAATTTTGCCAAATAATTTGATTATTACAAAAGACTATCGTAAAGAATGATTATAAGGACTTATAAAAGTAATTGTTTTTTATTTAAACATGTAATTATATAAGTTTCTAGTAATCATACCTTCTTGCTGTTAAATTGGCATGTAAGTAGCTTTATCAAAATAACAGTATACATTAAAGTCGTTGGTAAACTTATTAAAATACATTGCAGATTTTGATCACATTGAATAAATTTTCCTATCTAGAATTATTAATAGCAGGTCAACATTCTGTGTATACATTATCATCATATTTTAATGAAATAACTTTTTAAAGTTCTTTTCCATAATTAGATAATCTATAATTGGATATAATATACCTGTGGAATTAACATCGAAATCTCGACTATTGTCACAAAAGCCATTCGGGGCAATTTTTCTCCTCTCGTTTGATAAGGCCATTGGCCAGTTAATGATAACATTTTCTTAGTAACATTGTAATAATAATTCCAGATAGTCTGCATACTTTTCAGAAAGATCCTTTCATTTCGATGGTACGAAATCTACTAAATTTTTCTTTTCATTTTCCGATATAAGGAAGAAATAAATATTTTAGTAAAAAATAATAGAATGTTATATGAGAAATACTACTTGTCACGTATCGCTTCGTAATGTAATTATGAAACGGTCTGTCATTAGTGAAAATGATAGCTTATCGCGTGGAACATATCGATTATAGTATGCAAAGGGAGACATATATGTTTAGTCTTAGTATTTTATCCATAATTTAATGGTCCAATGTAAATGGTACGACGTCAATATATAGATATTGTAGAACGTAATATATTAAATAATCATGTGAAACATTTCCAACATTATATATATATATATATATATGTACTCTTCATACATGTATTCTAACGCATGTACCTTATTCTAATTCTTTTGAATTCGCATTCCATATTTATTATAGCATTCAAAGTGATGCTTTTTGTCATTTTAACAATATATTGAAACTGCTTCACGTATTATTAAATTATAGAATAAAATATTAGAATAAAATATTATTAAATTATAAAATAGAAAATAAAATCGCTTTATCATCATCCAAAAAACAAAAGTTAAAAGTTATAATATTTTTCAATTTTTAAAAATAAATATTTTTAATAGTAAATAATACTTAAGTATCATATTTTTCGAAAATTTATATTTTGAGATTTTAATAACAAAAAAGGATATTTAATTATAATATAATATATGTATATAAAACTGTACTAAAACTTTCTGGAAAAATTAATTTTGTGGAGCCTAATAGATATATTGTTAAAAAATTTAATCATACATAAATATTATTTTGCTATTTTTGAGAGTATAAGTATATATTACTTTGAGATTTATAATTACTTTGTGGTTTGTACTAATTATGAATTTAAGTCTTCTTGCTTTCACATCTTCAAGCCAACATTACTATATATTTAAATGAAAATATAATTTACTTCATTTTCTAAATTTGTTATCATTTATGACAATAACTTAGTCAGGACAAATAATAAAGTTAAAATAATATTGAGAATATTATCTTTTCTACTATTTCTTCCATTTCTTTATGCGTGATTATCTGTTTAACAGTACTTGTAAAATAGTAACATTTAAAATGTGCAATTCAATGTGCATTTAAAATGTGCATTTCAATAGCATACGTATTGGGATAATTTTTTTAAATAAAGATATTAAAATAATTTTTAATTTAATAATCTATTGCCATAACATTATTATGTTTATACAGAAATACTATTTGAATATCGATTACTGGAAAGACGCGAGTACGGTAAAATACGACACTGCAGACTGTAAAACCTTCAAAATAAAAATCATCATATATTTTAACAATTATTTCAAATTAGTACAACACATGCGCTAATATCAGGTTTTTACCGTCATGAAGCTTTTCAGCGAAAAAATATAAATTCTGCCAGCGCTTAAAATATTCGGTTGCACACTTCTTCCCATCACGTTTAGAATCAATTTTTGTGATTTCACTGGTATTTTGTACCAGGAGCAATTATATCTGCAATGTGCAACAATAGGTATTTTCAATAATTAATTACTCTCTTGAATTTGACAGACTGATATTTTACAATGGAAATTACAATTGGAATTGTTATCTTACATCTTATCCTGCATTTGTAAACTGTGATCTATTAATTTCTGGCCTTGCAGACTGAAGCAGAATATATGAATCAATTGACCAATAACAGATGCCGCGTATCTCACCATTTCAATAGAATTTCCTACTTGCATTACCATCTCGAACGCAATAAATATATTTTAATTTGTTATTCATTGGGTAATTATAAACATACGTAACAATTTAATTCTTAAAATATGCTAATGTCGCAAATTAAGTTGCAATATTTGTAACAATTAAACACATACTTGCAATAAGGTGACACTCATTGCTACGATAATTATGAACATTTGTGTAATTAAAGTTACAGAGAAGGTATTTTCAAGAAACTCCGCGAATCTATAGCAAATTATTGTTATTATAATATGATAAAGAATTATATAATTATATAATATGATTAAGAATTTTTTTCAATAAACATTTATTAATTTATTCTCATACATAAAAATATATTATTACTGCATACTTACTGTAATGCTCGCCAATGTGTATGAACGGATAATGCTATTCTTTGAGTATATATATTATCTATATTTTCATTTTCTATGTCGATATTATGTGCCAAATTTTCGAATCGAAATCTTCAATCATTTAAGGAACATGTCAGCGCTTTGTTAACTTATATTAAAAAGAAACTTAACGGAAAAAGACTATAGAAGACTTTTTTGTCTTATGGAACATAATTTAATCTTAAAATCATAAATATAGATATTATTTTATATCATATTAACCTTTTTATAGTACCTGTACTACGAAAATTTTTGTAGTATTGTACACACAAATTTATGAAAATATTTTGAAATTTTAAAGAGAAAATAGAAATTTTAAATGTTACGCAATGTTAAATTCATGAATTTCAAAATATATTAAATTTATTAACTTTTGATGTATCTAATCCGTGTAGTTTCTTTTTAAAAAGACAGAAAGAAAAATATAAATTTTTCTTACCCAGCTACAGCAAAGATACCGCAAACATGTTCGATGTAAGTCAGGATCACGCAATCGTGTGCAAGTAAAGCCATTACAATTATTATCATAGATATTGAAGCGTGGAAAAAAATATAATAAAAGTATTCTCTATCATCGTTAACGAAATAATGAGCTTCGTGAGGCATTAATATAGGGCGAGATTCATTGAGGGGCATAACGATATCTAAGATTTTCGGTGTAAGACTAATAAATATAAACATTGGACAACATATAAAATAATACGCTGTAACAAAATGAAGCGAATTATATGTAATTATTCATATTATATATGTATTTATGTATTCATATAATCATTATATATAAAATTATATATAATAGAAGAATAGAACGATTTATTCTTACAGGAGTAAATCAAAGAAATCAATCTTGCTCTCGCTGCATACATTTTCATAATTTCGCGTTCTTCCGGGCTTTTCAAATGTTTCCAATCGATATATAATTGATCAGTGAGATGTTTAATCTAGAGTACAAATATTAAATTTTGCTATATAATATCATAATTAAAAAACTGTCGCAAAGAATGATTATAAGAACTTATAAAAGTAATTGTTTTTTATTTTAAACATGTAATATAAATTTCTAGTATTATCATACTTTCTTGCTGTTAAATTGACATGTGAGTAATTTGATCATAATCACAGAGTACACTAGAGTCGTTGGTAAACTTATTAAAATACATTGTAGATTTTGATTACATTGAATAAATTTGCCCACCTAATAATGTTAATAGCAAATCAATATTCTGTGTATACATTATCATCATATTTTAATGAAATAACTTTTTAATGTTCTTTTCCACAATTAGATAATCTATAATTGGATATAATACCTGTGGAATCAACATCGAAATCTCGACTATTGTCACAAAAGCCATTCGGGGCAGTTTTTCTTTTCTCGTTTGATAAGGCCATTGGCCAGTTAATGATAACATTTTTTTAGTAATATTGTAATAATAATTCCAGATACACTGCATATTTTTCAGAAAGATCCTTTCATTTCGATTGTATGAAATCTACTAAATTTTTCTTTTCATTTTCCGATATAAGGAAGAAATAAATATTTTAGTGAAAAATAATATAATGTTATGTGAAAAATACTACCTGTCACGTGTCGCTTCTAGAGGCGTGCAAATGGGGATAGATTTCTACCCCCACTCGCTTCGTAATGTAATTGTGAAACACAGTCTGTCATTGATGAAGATGATAGCTTATCGCGCGGAACATATTGGATTATATTGATCATATTGATTATAATATGCAAAGGGATAAGTTTAGTCTTAGTATTTTATCCATATATTTAATGCTACAATGCAAATGCTGTGATGTCAGTATATAAATATTGTAGAATGCAACATACTAAATAATTATGTGAAACATTTCCAACACGTTGTATTTACACATTTACACTCTATTTTTTATTCTTTTGAATTCGCATTCTTTACTTAACATTCATAACGAAACTTTTTATTCTTATTTTTAGGATATATTAAAACTCTCTTATTTATTATTAAATTATTAAATTATTAAAAGTAAGTACAATTGTTTTATCACCTGAGAAGGAAAAATTAAAAGTTGCAACACCTCTTTTCAGTTTTCGAATAAGTATTTTTAATAGCAAATAATATATTTAAATAACATTTTTTCAAAACATTTGGAATTTTATGTGAATAATAAAAGGATGAAAAGAAAAAAGGGAGTAATATAATAATATTATAAAGTATTTAATTGTAATACATAATAATATATAAAATTGTTCTAAAGTTTTCTAAAAAGTAAATCATATGGAATCTAATAAATAGACTGTTAAAAAATTTATATATAGATTAATAAATTAATAATAGATTAATATATTAAGATTAATATATAATAATAGATATATAATAATAGATTAATATATAAAGATTAATATATTATTTTATGATTTCTGATAAATGTTTTATATTTGTTATCGGTTTGACTTGCTCTTGTTTGTACATCTTTAAGCTAACATCATATATTGTATATTACTGCATATTTAGTGCAAATGTAGTTCATTGTTCAAATTTGATACGAGATTTGTGACGATAATAATCTATTTCAAGTAAAATCAAATTATAAATATATGCCAGCACATTTAAATTAATAATTATAATATCATCTTTTTTAATATTATTTTCTTTCATTTTTTAATAACGTCTGCTTTTTTATGAGCGACTATTTGCTTGGCTGCACTTGTATATTAAAATTTTAAATGTGCAATATTTCAATAATGTGACTAATGAGATAATTTTTTAAAATAATGATAAAATAAGTAGAGATATATATATATATATATATAATTTTCAATTCAATCTATTACCTTAACTTTATTATGTTTTGTACAAGAAATACTATCTTACTAAATATCGGTTACTGGAAAGAGGCGAGTACAGTAAAATACGATACTGCAGACTGTAAAACCTTTAAAATAAAAAAGCATATGTTTTTAAAATTATTTTAAACCATTATAACACATGCGCTATAATGCATTAAGTTATTTGTGAAAATTTTTCTATTTACCGACATAAAGCTCTTTAGAGAAAAAATATAAATTCCGCCAGCGCTTAAAATATTGGGTTGCAGACTTCTCCTCATTACGTTTAGAAGTAACCTTTGTGATTTTACTGGTATTTTGTACCAGGAGCAGTTATATCTGCAATTTTGCAACAAAACGCATTTTAATGATTACTTTTTTATCTTGATTTTAAATCGATTGCAGATTTATAAATTTTACAATTTGAATTATTATTTTTTTTTAATTAAATATTAAATTATAAATATTAAATTCTTTATTTAATTATTATTATCTCACATTTTATCTTGCATTTGTAAACTGTGGTCTATCAATTTCTGGCCTTGCAGACTGAAGCAGAATATATGAATCAATTGACCAACAACAAATGCAGTATTCCTCATCGTTTCTATAGGATCTTCTAATTGTATTGCCATCTCGAATGTAATAAATATATTTTAACTTGTTATTAATTACAAATATATATATGTAACAATTTTTGATTTTATAAATGAAATATATAAATATTGTAAATTGCATTGCAATATCTTTAACAATTAAGTACGTACTTGAAATAAGGTGAGACTCATTGCTATGATAACTATTAACATTTGTATAATTAAAGTTACAGAGAAGGTATTTTCAAGAAACTCCGCGAATCTATAACAAATAAGTTTTTTTATAAAATGTATATTGAAATTTTTTAAATTAAATATTTATTAATTTATTTTTATACACATAAAAATATCATTAAATACTTACTCTAAAGCTCGCCAATGTGTATGAACTGATGATACTATTTTTTTATCGTAAACATTTTCTATATTATTATTCTCTATGCCAGTATTATGTGCCAAATTTTTGAAACGAAATCTACATGCATTTGAATAGTACAGTTAGCTATTAATTTTGTCTCTAAAATTTATTACATTAAAAAAACAAAAAAAAATTTTTCTTACCCAGCTACAGCAAAAATACCGCAGACATGTTCGATATAGGTCAGAATCATGCAATCGTGTGCAAGTAAAGGGATTACAAGTATTATCATAGATATAAAGGCATGGAGAAAAATATAATAGAAGTATTCTGTATCGTCGCTAACGAAATAGTGACATTCGTGAGGCATTATTATAGGACGAGATTCGTTAAGGGGCACCACGATATCTAATATCTTTGGTATAAGGCTAGTAAATATAAACAGAGGACAACATATGAGGTAATATACTGCAACAAAAATGAAACAAATTTATCATCCGTTATATGGAAAATTGAAACAGAGCGATTTATCCTTACAGGCGTAAGTCAAAGAAATCAATCTGGCTTTTGCTGCATACGTTTTCATAATTTCGTATTCTTCCGGGTTTTCCAAAGTTTTCCAGTCGAAATATAATTGATCAGTGAGATATTTAATCTATGATATTAAATATTAAATTTTGTTAGATAATTTCCTAGTCATTGTAGCCTACAATCATGATGAATAGTCGTAGAAACTCGAAAATTTTTTTTTATTAACAATAAATTTTTTATTATCATACTTTGTTACTATTAAATTGACACGCGATTAATTTCACCATAATCACAATGTGCACTAAATATGTTGGTAAACCGATTAAAATACATTGCACGTTTTTGTCACATTGAATTACTCTTCCCACCTAAAAGCGTCCTTATTATCACATTATAGAGCTCAATGTTTTATTTTAATCAAAGAATTTTTAAATTTATCTATAATTATAGATATGAAATCATTAATAGATGTAACAACCTGTGTAATCATCACAGAAAGTTCGGTCGTAATCAATAGAATTGTTCGAAGCAATTTCTCTCTTTTCTTTTGATAAGGCCATTGTCCAGCGAATAATAGCATTTTTTTGGTAATACTATAATAATAATTCCAGATATACTTCATATTTTTCAGAGAGATACTTCGTTTTCGACAGCTCACAAACGACTAAATTTTTCTGCTCGTTTTCCATAGCAAAAAACGAATGAATGTATCAAAGAAGGGGAATAAAGTAGGTAAAAAATGCTACCTATAGTGACAAGCATCTATTAACGTTTTTGAGGTACAGTACTATGTAATAGTACTATTACATAGTACCGTACCTCAAAAACGTTTTATTATATATCCCAATCCCTATCCCTCCATAATACATACAATGTATATTTTAATAGATGCTTGTCACTATAGGTAGCATCTTCTGTCATACAACGTATCGATTTTAAAATTATGAAGTAAGTTCCGATTATATACATGTATTTACATGGGGTGTAACGTAACACAAAATATCAATAAAAAAATAAATTCGACGTATAATATTTGCCCGCATTAGTGGCGGACCTTTTTTTAAAGAATACATTAGGACTGAATAATTCTTATTATTGGATTCTAAAAAGGATTCATAAAGTCGCTTCTTATTGTTAGATAATCATCACTCGAAAAATAGAAAAACAAAAGTGGAAAAATTAGTAGCAAATTTTAGATAAACATTTTTGAAAATTTAAAATTATGATTAATAGTAATATTTAGGAAATATTATTATATATTATGTGTATTTAAGTTTCCGTCGCGTGTATCGATTAGCCTTTCCAAAAATGAGTTTTTTTTTGTGAATATTAATACAATTTAATGATATAGTGCAGTACTGTCAATTATTTGCAACTTTTGGCCGGATTTCTTAGCTAACGCCTACCACTCTCCCCTTACCGCGCGTGCCGCCGAACGCACGTAACTAAGGAGCGTGGTAACCTCCTCCAGACACGTGTGCGTCACAAATGTAAGGTGGCAATCTAATAACAAAAAATTATATAAAAAATAATATATAAAATGTTATATAAATAAATTATATAAATAATAATAATAATAAAATTATATAAAAAATTATATAAATAATAATAATAAAATTATATAAAAAATAATATATAAAAAATTACATAAATAAATTATATAAATAATAATAAAATTATATAAAATATGATACATTATAATATATTTGGCGCGGTTGCTAAGGCGCGCGCGATAAAGGGAGAACGGTAGGTGTGAGCTAAAAAATCCAGCCGAAAATTGCAAATAAATGACAGCACTGATATAGTGCTTAGTGTCTATGCAGAATATTGCGAAACGTGATATATCAAAATTACTGTGTAACAAATCCTCGACACGTGACATTAACACAGATATTTTATTTTCTTAAGGAAATATTTGACATAATTGATCTTTGCATTTTTATTTTGTGAGAATATATTGGTACCCTGTTGAAATCATTACTGAATTCTAACATTGATGATGTCCTGATATCGTCACTTCATCACTCGATTATCTCCTTAAAATAATGAAAATAAAAATGAAAAAGTTGTAATTTTTCAGATAAATATTTTTAAAAATTTTAAATCATGATTAGAATAACATCTTAAGGATATGAAAAAGTTTGAAAGAACTTTGCAAATCAGAGTATAAATTTGAAATATTATCTAATTAACAAAATTATGTAATTATAATATAAAAATAAAGTATAATGTGATGTTTTCGAGATACATGGGTTTAAAACGCTAATTACTAAATACTTAACCTAACTATTGAAAGGATGCGAGCACTGTGAAGTATGACATTGAAGTTTGTAAAACCTAGTAATAAATAAAAACATGTATCCATATATGTACCACATATTAAAAAAGCTTTAAAATGGAATTTGTCTGTAGACAATTATGCTTTACCATGGAGAAACTTTCCAGAGAAAAAATGTAAATTCTGCCAGCGCTTATAACGCTGGGTCGAAGACATTTCATCATCACCAGCATGAATAGTTTTTGCGATTTTATAGATGCTTTGTACCAGGCGCTATTGTATCTGCATTGTTGCAAAAACGTACGAGTTAAATGCAAACTAACATAAATCCGATATTTTCTGTGTAATTCAAAAACAAATGTCTTACATTCTATCGCGTGTCTGAACACTATGATCTATCAGTTTCTGTCCCTCAAAATTAAGAATGAATAAATGAATCAGTTGACCAATGACATATAACATGTATCTTATCAAGTCCAGTAAATTGCTATCCTGCCGTGAAAGCTTCAATATAAAAATTTAATATTTGAATCTTTTGCAATCTGTTTGCATCTTTTGAGTACAATTTTATAATAAATTAATAAATACTTGTAACAAGGTAAGGCTCATCCCAACTGTTACTATCAACATTTGTGCAGCAAAAGGCATATTGAAGGTATCTTCTAGAAGTTTCGTATATCTATAACAAATAAAAAAATAAATGAAATGTAACTATTCGCTTCTCGGGATGTTTTTTTATTTTTAAGCGGATTTGTTAAATTTCGCTCTTATATACATACTTTAAAGATTCTCGGTGCATACGCACGATAAATGCAACTTTTTTGCGATACATACCGTTCAGATCAACAATTTCCTTTGTTTTATCATAATTATAAATTAAATGTTCGAAGCGAAATCTATGCAAGTAATTATATACGATTCATCGATTTTACTCTGACATTTTTTAAATAAATTAAACATAGAAAAACATTTTGCAGTTTTATTTGCATATTTGCATCTTAAATCATTTTCTTACCCAATCACAGAGAACATGCTGCAAATATGCTCGACGAAAGTCACGTACATACAATCGTGGGCGATTATGCCGGTCGTAAGAATCTGCCACGCTACGAGAGAATGCCAGAAAATTTGCAAGAAATATTCGCGAATGTCCACGAAATAGTATCCTGGATATGGCAGTAATACCGGACGGGATTGATTAAGAGGCGATACGATATCGAGTACGAATGGTATAAGGGATATTGACACAAATATAAATATCCCCATTGAGCAATATACTACAAGATATGAAATAAAATTTAGAAATATACAAATAGAATAAAGTATATATCATTTTTTTAATCAGTCCTCACTCAAATACAACAGAGAGAATCGGCGACTATTCTGGGCATATAATTTCATTATTTTGTATTCTTCGGGATTTTCGGCTTTTTTCCAATCGACGAACAGGTGTCGAGTAAGATCCTTCATCTGACAAAATATCGATTAATAGCGATTTTTTCTCACAATTTGATAAAACAGTCCATGAAAATACAATAAGAAAAAATTAAGATTGAATTTAATTTTCTCTCCCTTCTTCTACTCTCGTTTTCAAATTGTAATTTTTAAAATTGATTCTGTAAGAATACTTAATCGCATCTCTTATCAAAAACGTACTGTGTTGATGTTTAATTGAAATGTGTACATCTTTAACATAATCAATATCGTATACAGGTACGACGTACTCGCCTTAAAAGTACACCGCAAGTCTTCCTTGCATGTAAATTGAAATGCTATCTGAAAATATTATTTTTAACTTTTGCAAGATATTTCTTACGTTAATCACATTAAATGCACATACCTGAGGAATGAAAGCAGTAAATGAAGTTATTGTGAATACAGTAACGCGAAATATTCTTGTTCTTGGTTTCAAAAATGGCCACAAACCAACGAGCGATGATATTTTGTAAACAAAATTGTAATAATAATTCCAAGTAGCATCCATAGTTTTTAAGAGACACTGCGTTTTCAAAACCGCGAGATCGATTAATGAAACTTTGTACGACTGGTAGCTTATCCTCTGGGATGGAACATGGAATTAAGAGAACAAGGACATACATCCCCTTAAGCATAACTAAAACTGCTATATACATTTTGATTTTCGCAAAACAGTTCCGTTACATGTCGCCTAGATTAACGGTTGACACATGTATAATATCTTATAGACAGACATAGCATTTGTTCCCTCGACGCTAAATATAATGTAAATTCTTAATTGACGTGTGGAGCCGTCGTTCATGTTTTTCCCGAAGGGACGGAGCTATCGATCGAAGTCAAACAATATCACCGGCTAAAATAATACCGGCTATTGGTAGATTCCTGCGAGTTCTCTTCGAAACTCTCGAGAAAAAGTGCAATGCGAGCGTGATCCGTATTATTAAAATATTATTACTATTATTATTATTCAGAAGAGGAAGAAACATGTAACAAATAAACCGTAATATCGATAATAAAATAATACTTTATTACTTTACACATATGTGTGTTTTATATACCAAATTTTATGGAATATAAATATATATTTTTTCGCTATCCGATATAATATTACATTCCTACTAAATTTCAGCGATATTTTTCGCATATTTTTTATACATATTAATCATAATTATCGGCTGACAGTTTATTCGTTAAAGGATGATAGTACCGTAAAGTACGACATCGAAGTTTGCAAGACCTAAGTAAAGATGAGTTAAAATTTTTTACAAATTTTATCCATTTTTATGATATTATAACATCTGTTACAATGATCGTTTTACCGCCGTGAAATTTGCTAAAGAGAATACATATATTTTGCCGGCAGTGAAAGTACTGGCCTCGATGCCCTTTCTCATCACCATTAAGAGCAGCCTTTGCGCAGTTATGGGTATTTCATACCACGAGCCATTATATCTATAATAACGTTATACGCGAAATAAGCGAAATGAATGTAACAATTATAAATATGACCACAAGAAGAGATTCACATAAATATTTTATATTTCTAGAGAAAATAAAATAACATATTTTAATTATAATTTAAATATTCTATAAGCCAGACAAATTTTTTATATTATTAAAAAAGATTAATACCGCTTTAAATTACTTCGAATTTAATATTATATCTTACATTTTGTCACAAATTCCGGTACTGTGATTTATTAATTTTTGCCCTTGGAAGCTATAACAGAATAAGTGAATCAATTGACCGCCAATGAATAACATATATCTCATTGCTTCGCCGAAATCGTGCAACTGCATCGTGAACTTGAATATAAATAGATTACATTTTAAATCTGTATTATATTTTCCAGAGTCCTTATATTTATCAAATTATAAATAACTCACTTGTACTAAACTAATGCTCATGCCAACTACAGCTATCAGCATTTGTATACCAAAGGACAATGAAAAAGTATTTTCAAGGAGTATCGCAAACCTATGGTAAAAAAACAATAAAATGATATAGTGACTAAATGTTATTTATTTAAAAAAATGATCTATCGCGAATATCAAAAATTGTTCAAGTAACGAAATCGATAAGGTTCTGAATATTACTAAATAAAAATCTGGGCTTTTATTAATCCAGAAAAGAACAGAGAAAGAGAGAAATAAAAATTATTCATTTAATCTTAAGACTAGTAAAGAAAGCACATGTCACAATACTATTACATACTCACTGCAATGCTTCTCGATGAACGTGAACTGCAAACATAACGTTTTTGCAATACATGTCATCAGAGCGATTAATCATCAACTTTTTCACATTATTATATTTATACAACATATGTTCAAATCGAAATCTGTAAATTTTCGCGCGTGTAACATACATATTCATAGATTTTTAAAATTAATTTCTATCTTTCAAGCAAATGAATAGTTATAAAACTTATGTTATATATTTTCTTTCTTGACTTTTTCTCAGAATTTTATTAGTTTTCTCGATATAACAATGTAATTTAATTCCAATATAAAAGATCACGACGAAACATTACCCAATCACAGCAAAAAGGCCACAAAGATGTTCCATGTAAACAAAGAGCATACTGTCAGTCGCGACTACTCCAGTCAAACTTAATTCTGCGCTAATTATCATATGGCAAAAAATATAGTAGAAATATTTCTCCTCGTTAACAAAGTAATATGCCGGATATACTAATTCTATCGGACGGGAAGTATTTAAAGGAAATACAATGTCCAAGATGCGTGGTATTAAAGCGATTGATGCAAATAACATAAGACCTATATAGATATAACCTGCAATATGAACATAAACTGGAATAAAAACAAAATTTGCACATCAAAAATGGATTAAAAGACATTTTTTATATCTTTCTATATAATATCACTTTTTGAAAATTTTGTTAAAATATTTCATATTTTGTCATTATAAATATTTATATTTCTTTATATAATAGCGAGATAAAATAGTTGACAAATTCAGTTTTTTTATTCAAAAAATTGTAATCCTTAATGTGTAATCTTTAAATATTTTTCCTTTTGGAAAATAAAATTATAAAGTAACTTTTTTTATGCTTGAATAATATAATTAATAATATAATAATATAATTAGAAGTATATTTATGGTATTAATGATACTAAAATATTGAAAAATTATAAATTATTAAAGAAATATATTTCAACAAAATCTATGCAAAAAATAGGGAAATATAATTATATAATTCGAAAAGAAAATATATTTAATTTAAAAATTAATTAAATTGAAAGTTATAATAAGAGTTACGAAATCAAATTTGACTAAATTTTTTAACAATAGAAAAATAAAATTCGAAAAAGATGCAAATCCCAAAATGCGAATTTAAAGATACAGATGCGTTAGCAATTAATGGAGTAATATTATTTGATATGTAATAACAAATTTAAAAAGATAATAAGCAGGCAAACTAATTTTCTCTTTAAAGAGAATAATATAGCGAGATCTTTAGAAAATCTCAGGTATAATAGCAATGGTAAATAATAGCATAATTTGGATTCTAATATTCAGTAATATTCTATTATAAAAAATATTTGTTACCTAAAATAAAAAGATAGATTACTTACAAGCATATATCAATGCGTACCATTTGCCAGTCTTCGTATATTTTCTCATAATCTCGCGTTCTTCTTGATTCTCGAGCATATCCCAATTCATAAACAAACGATCTGTAAGATCTTTAATCTGCAAATATTATAAAATTTATGTAAATAATAGCATTTATAAATATTGGAAATTTAAAATTTAGAGTATCAATATTGTTATAATAATATCTAAAATTTTGTAGAAAGAATTTTGATATTGTATAGTTTGTATAGATTTATTGTATAAATTTGTATAGTTATTGATATAGTTTAGAATTAAAGACAACTAATATATATATATATATATAATTCATATTCTACCTTTTGTTTGTTAAAATAAAATGTAAATATTTTCACCAATACTGCCACTGCTAACATGTTTGGAGGTAAAGACGCATAGATACATTGCGCATCTTTGCATATAAAAAATTTAGCCACCTGAAAAATAAAGCTTTCGCAAGAAAAAGAGTGAACATTTGAAAAATGCATGATGTTTTGAAAATACGACAAATCTTTCAATTTATTTTATAAACAAAATTTAAATTTGAGTCTTTTTAATGATATTTAATGTGTTACCAGTGTTACCATCGTGTTAATTATAATTATCATTATCAAAATCAAGAAAGACCGTTGCTCCTTTGGTGTTTGATACGGCCATTGACCGACAAGCGACAAGAATCTTTTATTGATATCGTAATAATAAACTATATTAGATTCCATACTTTGAATTAACTAATATAGTTTCTCTTTGACGCACAAATGTTGTCTGAAGTACTCGAGAGAATTTTACCTTCGAAATATTTCCCGCAACAGAAAAAAAAATTAATATTTTAAGTAACCGCTATTTCTATTTTTTGTTCCTCTATTTTTCCGTCCGTCCGGCATAATAATCAAGTGAATTTTCGTGACTGATAGATATAATGAATACGTGTCTCGCATAAATATAACACAAGGCAGAATCAATAATTTACGGCCAATGTTGCGGAAGAAGATATAACTAGTAGTTGTAAACGCACCAAACAGTCGAGTAATACTCTACTGTCCCTGTGCACTAATTCATAATTCTTTGTTAAATATATACGAAAGTATGTTACAAAATAAAATTCCGGGAATGACTTTCACATACAGTTACTTTACTTTTGATTATGTAATTTTGACTTTTCCACATAATATTTTATACTTATAAATTTGACAAGACGTTGATTTCTATAATAAAGGCAATTGATAACTTGTTAATTTAATTAATCTCTAGTATTGTGCAACTTACATAAGAGTATGTAAAATAAAAATATTACATGTACGATATAAATAATATTTATTTAAATGGCTTTAGGCGATTTATAATTCTTAACGAAATTCAAGACAAAATATTTTCATGCCGTGTAATAGAGAAAACACATTTTAAAAATTAAAATACAAGCACATACAAAATATATATCAGGATGTACACATATTAAATTATACATACATTAGATTATATACATACATTAGACACATGCAGTACATAAAATGATAAATACACATTTCTTGAATTCTGTCAGCGATTTATGGATTGTTTAAAGTATGTATTGTATTTTATTACTTATATAATTAATTATATAAGTAATAAAATACAATACATACTTTAAATATAAGTAATAAAATATAATTAAAAACTATAATTATGTAATATTTATAATTATGCTTATAATTATGTAGAATAAGAAGTTATCTGTGCAAATCTTACAATCTGTGAGCAAATTGTGTTGCAATGTGTATGTAAATTAATTACAAGAGTGGAGGAGAAACCAAAAAAATAAAATATTTTTCATGTTAAACGTGCTACTATGATCGTCAACTGTCGATTTATTCGCTGAAGGATGATAGAACCGTAAAATACGAAGTTTGCAGAACCTAAATAAGGATAATTTAAAAATTTTTATATATTTCTTTGCAGATCTTTTAATATCATAACAGCTATCATAATGATCGCTTTACCATCATGAAACTTTCTAAGGAGAATATGTATATCTTGCCTGCGGTCAAAGTACTAGCTACAATGCTTTTTCTCATCACCATCAAGAGCAATCTTTGCGCTTTTATGGGTATTTCATACCATGAACTATGAAATCTATAAAATTAATATTGTACATAATGTAATATGAATATAATAATCTAATAGTGAAATTGATCATTTCAATATAAAAGTGATTAAATTCAAATATTTTAATACGAAAAATAAATGTCAACCTATATATATATATATATATATATATATATATATATATATATATATACATATATATATAATTTATTTTAATTCAATTATTATCTTACATTTTGTCGCAAGTTTCGAGACTATGATTTATCAATTTTTGCTCTTGAAAGTTTAAGCAAAATAAATGGAACATTTGAGCGACAATGAAAACCATATATCTCATTGCTTTTGCTAAATTGTACAACTGTATCGTGCACTTGAATACGAACAGATAACATTTTAAGTCTGTATTATATTTTTCAGAGTTTTCATAATTATCAAATTGTAAATAACTCACTTGTACTAAAGTAATACTCATACCGACTGTAACTATCAGAATTTGTATAGCAAGTGATACTGTAAAAATGATACTTTCAAGACGTACTGCGAACCTATGGTAAGTAGAGGTGATAAGATTATGATACTGACTAAATATTGTTCATTAAAAGGTAACACTACCTGAATATAAAAACTGTTCATTATTTGGTTTAAGATCAATGCAAATATATTACAATAAGTTATTGCATACTTACTGTAAGGCTTTTCGATGAGCGTGAACCGAAAATACAAGTTCGGCTAATGATTCTGACTATCCATAATTTTTGGAAAGACACTGCGTCTTCGGCACCTCGAGGTCGACTAATGAAACTTTGTACGACCGATAGGGATGAAACATGGAATTAAGAAAACAGGGACATACATCCCCTTAAACATAACAATAAAACTGCTAAACATACATTTTAATTTTCGCAAAACAGTTCCGTTACATGTCGTATAAATTAACGGTTGACACATGTATCTTATAGACAGACATAGCATTTGTTCCTTTGACGCTAAATATAATGTAACGAGACTCTTAATTGACGAGCTGGGCCGCCGTCCATGTCCCTCACGAAGGAAGGGAGTTATCGATCGGAGTCAAATATTAATTATATTACGAAAATAATATCAGCTACATAGCGAGTTCCTGCGTGCAAGTTCTCTTCGAAACTCTCGAGAAAAAGTAGCATGATCCACATTTTTAAAATATTATTATTCAAAAGAAAAGAAAGTTTGTAATATTTCTATAAAATTTCCACAAAATTCCTTTAAAACTTTTATAAAATGTTTATTACAAACTTTTATAAATATTTATAACTTAAATAAACATTTATTAATTTATTTTCATACAAATAAAACATATCATTATATACTTACTCTAAAGCTCCTCAATGTGTATAAATCAATGATATTATGTTTCAATCGTAAACATTTTTTATATTATTCTCTTTTCTATATTATTATTTTTATATTAATATTATATGCCAAGTTTTTGAAACAAAATCTACATGCATTTGCACAGTAAATCAGTTGTTCATTTTGCCTCCAAAATTTTTTAACATAGAGAAGCAAAAAGAAAATTTTTTTTATCGATAAAGATACCGCAGACATGCTAGGTATTAAGATAGCGCAATCGTGTGCGAGTAAGGCGGTTATAAGTCAGAATATAAATTTGAGACATTACATGATTAACAAAATTATGTAATTATAATATAAAAATGAAGTATAATGTGATGTTTTCGAGATACATGGGTTTGAAACGCTAATTATTAAATACTTAACCTAACTATTGAAAGGATGCGAGCACTGTGAAGTATGACATTGAAGTTTGTAAAACCTAGAAATAAAAACATGTACCCATATATGTACCACACATTAAAAAAGCTTGAAAATGGAATTTGTCTGTAGACAATTATGCTTTACCATGGTGAAATTTTGCAGAGAAAAAATGTAAATTCTGCCAGCGCTTAAAACGCTGAGTCGAAGACATTTCATCATCACCAGCATGAGTAGTTTTTGCGATTTCATAGATGCTTTGTACCAGGCGCTATTGTATCTGCATTGTTGCAAAAACGTACGAGTTAAATGCAAACTAACATAAACCCGATATTTTCTGTGTAATTCAAAAACAAATGTCTTACATTCTATCGCGTGTCTGAACACTATGATCTATCAGTTTCTGTCCCTCAAAATTAAGAATGAATAAATGAATCAGTTGACCAATGACATATAACATGTATCTTATCAAGTCCAGTAAATCGCTATCCTGCCGTGAGAGCTTCAATATAAAAATTTAATGTTTGAATCTTTTGCAATCTGTTTGCATCTTTTGAGTACAATTTTATAATAAATTAATAAATACTTGTAACAAGGTAAGGCTTATTCCAGCTGTTACCATCAACATTTGTGCAGCCAAAGGCATATTGAAAGTATCTTCTAGAAGTTTCGTATATCTATAACAAATAAAAAATAAATGAAATGTAACTATTCGCTTCTCTGGATGTTTTTTTATTTCTAAGCGGACTTGTTAAATTTCGCTCTTATATACATACTTTAAAGATTCTCGGTGCATACGCACGATAAATGCAACTTTTTTGCGATACATATCGTTCAGATCAACGATTTCCTTTGTTTTATCATAATTATAAATTAAATGCTCGAAGCGAAATCTATGCAAATAATTATATATGATTCATCGATTTTACTGACATTTTTCAAATAAATTAAACATAGAAAAACATTTTGCAGTTTTAAATATATATTTGCATCTTAAATCATTTTCTTACCCAATCACAGAGAACATGCTGCAAATATGCTCGACGAAAGTCACGTACATACAATCGTGGGCGATCATGCCGATCGTAAGAATCTGCCACGCTACGAGAGAATGCCAGAAAATTTGCCAGAAATATTCGTGAATGTCCACGAAATAGTATCCTGGATATGGCAGTAACACGGGACGGGATTGATTAAGAGGCGATACGATATCGAGTACAAATGGTATAAGGGATATTGACACAAATATAAATACCGCTATTATGCAATATACTGTAAGATGCAAAATAAAACTTAGAGCAGACAGAGTTATAAAAAAATGGAGTATATATTATTCCTTTAATCATTCCTCACCCGAATATATCAGAGAGAATCGACGACTACTCTGGGCATATGATTTCATTATTTCGTATTCTTCGGGACTTTCAGCCTTTTCCCAGTTGACAAACAGATGTCGAGTAAGATCTTTAATCTGGCAAAATATTAATTAATAGAAATTTTTTTCTCACAGTTTAATGAAATAATCCATGAAAAGAGAGAATAATTAAGATAAGATTTAATTTTCTTTCTCTTTTTCTATTCTCTTTTTTAAACTATTGTTTTTAAAATTGATTTTATTAGAATATTTAATCCTAACACATATCTCATAAAACGTACTGCGTTGATGTTTAATTGAAACGTATACACCTTTAACATAATCGAAATTGTTAGCAGATACGACGAAATTGATTTAAATGTACACTGCAAGTCTTCCTTGCATGTAAATTGAAATGCTATCTGAAAATATTATTTTTACAATATATTCCTTACGTTAATCATATTAAATGCACATAAATTTACCTGAGGGACAATGATAGTAAATACAGTTATTGTAAACAGAGTAACGCGAAATATTCTTACTCTTGGTTTTAAAAAGGGCCACAAACCACTGAGCGATGATATTTTGTGAATAGTATTGTAATAATGATTCTGACTATCCATAATTTTTGGAAAGACACTGCGTCTTCGGCACCGCGAGATCGACTAATGAAACTTTGTACAACCGATAGCTTATCCTCTGTATGAAACGCGAAATTAAGAAAACAGGAACATACATCCTCTTAAACATAACAATAAAACTGCTATACATATATTTTAATTTTCGCAAAACAATTCCGTTACATGTCGTATAAATTAACGGTTGACACATGTATCTTATAGACAGACATAGCATTTGTTCCTTTGACGCTAAATATAATGTAACGAAACTCTTAATTGACGAGTGGGGCCGCCGTCCATGTCCCTCTCGAAGGGAGGGAGCTATCGATCGGAGTCAAATATTAATTATATTACGGAAATAATATCAGCTATATAGCGAGTTTTTGCGTGCAAGTTCTCTTCGAAATTCTCGAGAAAAAATAGCATGATCCACATTTTTAAAATATTATTATTATTATTCAAAGGAAAAGAAAGTTTGTAATATTTCTATAAAATTTCCACAAAATTCCTTTAAAACTTCTATAAAATGTTTATTAGAAACTTTTATAAATATTTATAACTTAAATAAACATTTGTTAATTTATTTTCATACGAATAAAACATCTCATTATATACTTACTCTGAAGCTCCTCATAAATCAATGATATTATGTTTCAATCGTAAACATTTTCTATATTATTCTCTTTTCTATATTATTATTTTTATATTAATATTATATGCCAAGTTTTTGAAACAAAATCTACATGCATTTGCACAGTAAATCAGTTGTTCATTTTGCCTCCAAAATTTTTTAACATAGAGAAGCAAAAAGAAAAATTTTTTTATCGATAAAGATACCGCAGACATGCTAGGTATAAATTAAGATAGCGCAATCGTGTGCGAGTAAGGCGATTGTAAGTCAGAATATAAATTTGAGACATTATATGATTAACAAAATTATGTAATTATAATATAAAAATGAAGTATAATGTGCTATTTTCTAAATATATGGATGTTTTCTAGATATATATTTAAAATGCTAATTACTAGATGTAGAGATAATGTTAACTACTAAAAGGATGCAAGCACTGTGAAGTACGACATCGAAGTTTGTAAAACCTATAAGTAAAAACACGTACCCATACATATAGCACATATTAAAAAAACTGTAAAATAGAATTTGTGACAATTATGCATGCTTTACCGCGGTGAAATTTTCCAGAGAAAAAATGTAAATTTTGCCGGCACTTAAAACGCTGGGTCGAAGACATTTTATCATCACTAACATCAGGAGCTTTTGCGATTTTATAGATGCTTTGTACCAGGCGCTATTGTATCTGCAATGTTGCAAAAACGCTCGAGCTAAACTAACATAAATTCGATATTTTCTGTGTAATTCAAGAATAAATATTTTACATTCTATCGCGTGTCTGAACACTATGATCTATCAGTTTCTGTCCCTCAAAATTAAGAATGAATAAATGAATCAGTTGGCCAATGACATATAACATGTATCTTATCAAGTCCAGTAATTCGCCATCCTGTCGTGAGATCTTCAATATAAAAATATAATGTTTGAATCTTTTGCAGGTTTTGAGTACAATTTTGTATTAAATTAATAAATACTTGTAACAAGGTAACGCTCATCACAATTGTTGCTATCAACATTTGTGCAGCAAAAGGCATATTGAAGGTATCTTCTAGAAGTTTCGAATATCTATAACAAGTAAAAAGTAAATAAAATGTAATTATTCGCTTCTCTATATATTTTTTTTATTTATGTAAATGGACTTGTTAAATTTCTCTCTTATATACATACTTTAAACATTCTCGGTGCATACGCACGATAAATGCAACTTTTTTGCGATATATATCATTCGGATCAACGATCTCTGTTAGTTCATCATGATTATAGCTTAAACGCTCGAAGCGAAATCTATGCAAGTAATTCGTAGGAATCATCGATTTCACTGACATTTTTCAAATAAATTACATAAAAAAACATTTTGCAGTTTTTATATACGTGTTTGCGTCTTAAATCATTTTCTTACCCAATCACAGAGAACATGCCGCAAATATGCTCCACGAACATCACGTACATACTGTCGTGGGCCATTATACCGCTCATAAGAATCTGCCAGACTATGAGAGAGTGCAAAAAAATTTGCAAAAAATTTTCGCGAATGTCCACGAAATAATATCCCGGATACGGAGGTAGCACGGGACGGGATTGATTGAGAGGTGATACGATATCGAGTACGAAGGGTATAAGGGACATTGACATAAAAGTAAATACCGCCATTGAGCAATATACTACAAGATACAAAATAAGATTTAGAAAAGACAGAGTTAGAAAAGAATAAAATATATATTATTCTTTGAATCAGTCCTCACCCGTATATACTATAGAGAATCGGCGAGTATTCCGGGCATACGATTTCATTATTTCATATTCTTCAGGATTTCTGATTTTCTTCCAATCGACGAACAGGTTTCGAGTAAGATCTTTAATCTGACAAAACATCGACGATTAATAGCGATTTTTTATTCTCACAATTTGATGAAATAATCCATGAAAAAAAAGAAATTAAGATAGAATTTAATTTTCTTTCTCTTCTTCTATTTTTTTTTCAAACTGTAGTTTTTAAAATTGATTCTGTAAGAATAATTAATTGCAATATGTCTCTCATAAAACGTACTGTATTGATGTTTAATTGAAATGTGTACATCTTTAACACAATTACAATCGTACACAAGTACGATGTACTCCCCTCAAAAATACAGTGCAGGTCTTTCTTGCATGTAAATTGATATGCTATCTGAAAATATTACCTCTAACTTTTGCAAGAAATTCTTTGCATTAATCGTATTAAATGCACATAAGTTTACCTGAGGGATGGAGATATTAAACAAAGCTATTGTGAATATAGTAACGCGAAATATTCTTGTTCTTGGTTTCATAAACGGCCACAAACCAAGGAGCGATGATATTTTGTAAACAAAACTGTAATAATAATTCCAAGTAGCATCCATAGTTTTTAAGAGGCACCGCGAGATCGACTAATAAAATTTTGTACGATAGTAGTTTATCCTCTGAGGTAGAACATGGAATTAAGAAAACAGGAACATCCTCTTAAACACAACAATAAAACTGCTATACATACATTTTGATTTTCGCAAAACAGTTCCGTTACATGTCGCATAGATTAACGGTTGACACATGTATCTTATAGACAGACATAGCATTTGTTCCTTTGACGCTAAATATAATGTAACGAAACTCTTAATTGATGATTGGGGCCACCGTCCATGTCCCTCCCGAAGGGAGGGAGCTATCGATCGGAGTTAAATAATATTACGAAAATAATACCACCTATACAGCGAGTTCCTGTGTTCAAGTTCTCTTCGAAACTTTCGAGAAAAAGTGTAACACGTGCGTGATCCATATTATCTAAATATTATTATTATTATTATTTAAAGGAAAAAAAGTATGTTTCTATATAATAAAGTTTCTATAAAATTTCTTTAAAATTTATATAAAATGTTTATTAGAAACTAATACTATGTAAAAATATTGCACATCGAAAATACATTATTTTCTTACACATGTCCCACTCCATACCAATATGTACACGTAAATGTTTTAATAGATGCTTGTGAATGGCATTTTCTGCCGTACAACACGTATAGATCTTAATGTTATAGAGTAAATTCCGATTACATACATATATTTAGGTGAAATATAAAATAGAAATAAAAAAATTTTCGACGTATAATATTTGCACACTTCAGTAGCGATCTTTTTTTAAAAAGCAGATTAAGACTGAATAATTTTCAAATGAATACATGTCATAAAATGAATACAAGTCATTTCTCAAGTAATCATTATTCGAAACAAAGACAAAAATAAAGATGGAAAAATTGTAACAAATTTTAGATAAATATTTTTAAAAATTTAAACTTCTAATTAATAATAATATTCTAAAGGATAATATGAATTGTACATATAAATGTGAAATATTACAATATTATTAATAATATTAATAAATATATAATTACTAATAATTAACTAATAAATATATAATAAATATATGAATTAAACACAATGTGTATTTCGATATGGTGTGCTAACTTTATTAGTAGATTTTGAAATACTGCGTATCATTAAAAAATATACATGTATTGTGAAAATGGAGATTTAAAAAAATTTAAAAAGCAAACACATTGTGTATTATTCAAGAAATTTTTAAATAAAAAACTTGTTATAATTTTATATAATATATTTTACTTAATATATTTTACTAATTACTTTATTAATATACTTTATTAATTAATATATTTTATTACACATAAAGCTTTAAAATAAGAAAAATACATTAACATTAAGTATTATCTTCTTTTTACCATTCATTATCCAACTCTGTTTATTTCTTTTTCAAGCAAGTATTTCTTTGGCTTTATTCGTGAAACAATAAAAGTTTAGGATTTTATTTAAATAATATTTTAATTATACGTGGCAGTGCAGTTAACAAAATAACTTTTTATATAATAAGAATTAAGATTATACACATTATAATTCTATAAGACAATTAGAAAGTCATTGTCTATGTCATGATATTATGGTGTTTGTACAGAAATACTATCCAGTAGCAATTATCGACCATTGATTATTCAAAGGATGTGAGTACGGTAAAATACGACATCGAAGACTGTAATACCTTTAAAATATGAGTACCAAATTTTTAAAAGAATTTTAAAGATATATGTTATAATATCAGAATATTCATAAAAATCTAATCTTTACCGTAGTGAAGCTCTTCAGGGAAAAAATATAAATCTTGCCGGCGCTCAAAAAATTTGGCTGCAAACATTGTCTCATCACGTGTAGGAGCATCTTTTGCGATTTTACGGGTATTTTGTACCAGGAGCCATTGTATCTGCAATGTTGCAACGATAGACTCATTTTAACGATCGGTAAACTTTCCCCTTGTTGCGAATCGATGACATACTTATTTTACAATTGAAATCGATATCTTACATCTTGTCACGCATTTGTAGACTGTGGTCTATCAGTCTTTGTCCTTGTAGACTGAAGCAGAATAAATGAATCAATTGACCAATAACAAACGCTATGTATCTCACTGCTTCCATAGCGTCGTCTAATTGCACCGCGATCTCGAGAACGCGATAAATACGTTTTAATTTCTCACAATCTCGCTAATTGCAACCATATGAATAATGATTCGACTCTCGAAATGTATGCAAGAATCGCAAATTCAACTGCAATACTCTTAACAATTAAACACGTACTTTTAACAAGGTAACGCTCATCACTGCGGTATTGATCAATATTTGTATGATGAAAGTTATAGAGAAGGTATCTTCGAGTAGCTCCGCGAATCTGTGAAAAGCAAATTTATGTTACGACAACATTTGTCTTGAAAATATTCTTTCAATAACTATTTATTCATCTTTCATATTAAACACTCACTGTAAAGCTCGCCAATGTGCATGAACGGACAACGCTATCTTTTGATTGTAAATGTTATCTAAATTATTATTCATTATATCAATATTTTCATTATACGCCAAGTTCTCGAATCGAAATCTATAATTATTTAAGTATTGACTTTGCTTTGGTAAATTTTATTATATAAAAAAATTGCAAGAAAAATGCAAATTATTACCCAGCTACGGCGAAGATGCCGCAGACATGTTCGATGCAAGTCAGGATCATACAATCATGCGCGAGTATCGCTATACAAAGTATTATTATGCCCACAAGAGTGTGGACGAAAATGTAAAAGAAGTATTCCGTGTCATCGCGAACAAAATAGTGCGCTTCGTAAGGCATTAATATTGGGCGGGATTCATTGAGTGGCAAAACGATATCTAATATTTGAGGTGTCAGGGTAATTAATACAAATATAGGAGCAGCTATGAAATAATATGCTGTAACATACGAAATAAAAATCGTCCATCTCTCGTTATATATAAAATGAGAATCGAACCGTTTATACTTACATGTATATATTAAAGTAAAAAGTCTCGCTTTTGCAGCATAAGTTTTCATGATTTCGCATTCTTCCGGGATTTCGACGCTTTTCCAGTCGCTATACACCTTATCAGTGAGATCCTTAATCTAGGAAAATATCTCGCATAAATTTTATTAGATAATTAATTTTATGAATTAGATTTTATTAGATAATTAATTTTGTGAAAGACTGTAATTGTGATGAGTAATATTAAAAATTTAAAAAGCATTGTTTATCAATGTACAATATAAATTTTCATATCTTTACCTTGCTATTGTTAAATTGGCATGTATAAAGCTTCACGATAACCACAAGTTGAAATAAATGCGTTGGTATAACTGTTAAAATGCATTGCACATCTTTATCGCACTGTATAAACTTGCCAATCTATAAAATTGTTATAGAGATTATAGAAATCATCACGTATTTAAATTAAAAAAAGCACTTTCTTTTAATTTAATTTTTTCAATATAAAATGTAGAACCTGCAACCTGAGGAACTATCATAGAAAGCGAAGTTAGAGTCATCAGAGACATTCGAAGCAATCTTTCTTTTTTTCTCTGATAAGGCCACTGACCAGCCAGTAACAGCATTCTCTTCGTTATACTGTAATAATAATTCCAAACGGACTTCATAATCCGTAATGATACTGATTTTTCAGATAAGTATTTCACCCACGACGGCGCACAGTCGACTACATCTTTTGTGTCGTTTTTTTAAAAAGAGGGACGAATTAATGTTTTAGCGAGAGAATAAAACGTTATGTGAAAATAATACACTCGAAAACCTTTAATTTCGCCTGTCATGCAAAACGCATACAATGCCAATGCGAATGAAAGCCTGTCGATGGGCGAGATGAGCTCCCGTCGCGTGTATCGATCAGCCTTTCCAAGTAAATGAGTCTTTTTCTGAATATCAATACAATTTAATGACTGGATATAGTGCTATAGTGTCTATGCAGAATATTGCGAAACGTATATCAAAATTGCTGTGTAACAGATCCTCGACATTAATACATATATTTTATTTTCTTAAGGAAATATTGGACTGAATCTTTGCATTTTTATTTTTTGAGAATACATATATTGCAACTCTGTAAAATCACTACACTGGATTCTGATATTGATGATGTCCTGATATCGTAAGTTCATTATCACTTGATTGTCATTTGAAATAGTAAAAACAAAAGGATTGTAATTTTTCAGATACATATTTTCGGAAGATTGATATCATGATTGCAATAATATCTTAAGGATATAATAAAGTTTGAAAGGACTTTGCAAATCACAATATAAATTTGAGATATTACGTAATTAACATTATATAATTATAATATAAAAATGAAGTATAATGTGATGTTTTCGAGATGCATGTGTTTAAAACGATAATTATTGAATTTAAAGATATAGTTAACTACTGAAACGACGCGAGCACTGTGAAGTATGACATCGAAGTTTGTAGAATCTATGAAATAAAAAATACATACGCATACATATACCACATATTAAAAAGCTGTAAAATGAAATTTGTGACAATTATGCTTTACCATGGTGAAACTTTCCAAAGAAAAAATGTAAATTTTGCCGGCGCTTAAAACGCAGGGTCGAAGACATTTTATCATCACTAACATCAGGAGCTTTTGCGATTTCAAAGATGCTTTGTACCAGGCGCTATTGTATCTGCAATGTTGCAAAAACGCGCGAGCTAAATGCAAACTAATATAGATTCGATATTTTCTATGTAGTTAAAAATCAAATGTCTTACATTCTATCGCGTGTCTGAAGACTGTGATCTATCAACTTTTGTCCCTCAAAACTAAGAAGAAATAAATGAATCAATTGACCAACGACATATAACACATATCTTATCAAGTCCAGTAAGTCGCCATCCTGCCGTGAAATCTTCATAAAAAAATATAATGTTTGAATATTTTCCAGGTTTCGAGTACGATTTTATAATAAATTAATAAATACTTGTAACAAGGTAACGCTCATCCCGATTGTTACCATCAATATTTGCGCAGCAAAGGGCATATTGAAAGTATCTTCTAAAAGTTCCGCATATCTATAAAAAATAAAAAAGAAATGAGAATTTGTCAATTCTGGATATTTTTTTATTTGTAAACGGACACGTTAAATTTCGCCCTTATATATATATATATATACTTTAAAGATTCTCGATGCGTACGCACGATAAATGCAACTTTTTTGCGATACATATCGTTTAGATCAACAATCTCCGTTGGTTCATCATGATTATGGAATAAACGCTCGAAGCGAAATCTGCGCAAGTAATTCGTATAATTTGATTTCATTGATATTTTTCAGATAAATTACACATAAAAAACATTTTGCAGCTTTTACATACGTGCTTGCTCGTATCTTAAATCATTTTCTTACCCAATTACAGCGAACATGCTGCAAATATGCTCGACAAAAGTCACGTACATGCAGTCGTGGGCAATTATGCCGGTCATAAGAATCTGCCAGGCTATGAGAGAATGCCAGAAAATTTGCAAGAAATATTCGCGAATGTCCACGAAATAATGTCCTGGATACGGCGATAGTATGGGACGGGATTGATTGAGGGGCGACACGATATCGAGTACGAATGGTATAAGGGACATTGACATAAACATAAATACCGCCATTGAGCAATATACTACAAGATACAAAATAAGATTTAAGACAGATTTAAAAAAGAAAGGAGTATATATTATTCTTTTAATCAGTTCTCACTTGAATATATCAGAGAGAATCGGCGACTGTTCCGGGCATACGATTTCATTATTTCGTATTCTTCGGGATTTCCGACTTTCTTCCAATCGACGAACAAGTGTCGAGTAAGGTCTTTAATCTGACAAAACATCGATTAATAGCGATTTTTTTCTCAAAATTTGACGAAACAGTCCATGAAAATACAATAAGAAAAAATTAAGATTGAATTTAGTTTTCTTTCTCTTCTTCTATTCTCTTTTTCAAACTGTGGTTTTTAAAATTGATCCTGAAAGAATACTTAACTGTAACACATATCTCATAAAACGTACTGTATTATTGTTTAAATGAAATGTGTACACCTTTAACGCAGCTATAGACGACAGCAGATACGACGAGCATCCCTCAAAAATACAATGCAGGTCTCTGTTGCATGTAAATTGATATGCTATCTGAAAATATTATCTCTAACTTTTGCTAAAAATTCCTTGCATTAATCACATTAGATACATATCAATTTACCTGCGGGATGAAGATAGTAAATATAGTTATTGTCATTAAAGTAACACGAAATAGTCTTGCTCTTGGTTTCAAAAACGGCCACACACCAGTGAGCGATGATATTTTGGAAACAATATTGTAATAATGATTCTGAGTGTCCATAACTTTTAAAAAGACACGTCTTCGGCACCGCGAGATCGACTAATGAAACTTTGTACGATCAGTAGCTTATCCTTGGGGATAAAACACGGAAATACGAAAGACAGCAGGGACATACATCCCCTCATAACAATAATACTATTATACATACATTTTGATTTTCGCAAAACAGTTCCGTTACATGTCGCCTAAGATTAACAGTTGACACATGTATCTTATAGACAGACATAGCATTTGTTCCCTTGACGCTAAATATAATGTAACGAAATTCTTAATTGACGCGTGGGGCTGTCGTTCATGTTCCTCCCGAAGGGACGGGGCTATCGATCGGAGTCAAACAATATCACGAAAATAATACTATTGGTAGAGTTCCTGCGTGCGAATTCTCTGCGAAACTCTCGAGAAAAAGTGCAACGCAAGCATGGTCCGTATTATTGAAATATTATTATTATTATTATTCAGAAGAAGGAAAAGCATGTAACAAGTAAATCGTAATATCGATAATAAAATAATACATTATTACTTTACACATGTGTGTTTTATATACTACATTTTATAGAATATAAATATTTTTCGCTATCCGATATAATTATAATATTATATTCCTACGAAATTTCAATGATATTTTTCGCATATTTTTTATACGTATTAATCATGTGAAAAAGTAAAATTAATTTCTACCTTTCAAGCAAATGAATAGTTATAAAACTTATTATGTTATATATTTTCTTTCTTGGCTTTTTCTCAGAATTTTATTAGTTTTCTCGATATAACAATGTAATTTAATTCCAATATAAAAGATCACGACGAAACATTACCCAATCACAGCAAAAAGGCCACAAAGGTGTTCCATGTAAACAAAGAGCATACAGTCAGTCGCGACTACTGCAGTCAAACTTAATTCTGCGCTAATTATCATATGGCAAAAAATATAGTAGAAATATTGCTCCTCGTTAACAAAGTAATATGCCGGATATGCTAATACTATCGGACGGGAAGTATTTAAAAGAAATATAATGTCCAAGATGCGTGGTATAAGAACGATTGATGCAAATAATATAATACCTATATAAGCATAACCTGCAATATAAACGTAAACTGCAATAAAAATAAAATTAGCACATCAAAAATGGATTAAAAAACATTTTTTATATCTTTCTATATAATATCACTTTTTGAAAATTTTGTTAAAACATTTCATATCTCTCTTTTTTATTCTTCTATTTTCCCGACCGTCTGGCATAATAATCAAGTGAATTTTCGTGACTGATAGATATAATAAATATGTGTCTCGCATAAATATAACACAGGGCAGAATCAATAATGTTACATTGATCGTAACAAGCTGACGCTTTGAGAAATGTTTTTCAATTTAAATACGAGCATATTGAACATGCCAATGTTACGGTAGAAGATATAACTAGTAGTTGTAAACGCACCAAACAGTCGAGTAATACTCTACTGACCCTGTGCACTAATTCATAATTCTTTGTTAAATATATACGAAAGTATGTTACAAAATAAAATTCCGGGAATGACTTTCACATACAGTTACTTCACTTTTGATTATGTAATTCTGACTTTTCTACATAATTTTTTACACATATAAATTTGACAAGACGTCGATTTATACAATAAAGGCAATTAATAACTTGTTAATTTAATTAATCTCTAGTATTTTGCAACTTACATAAAAGTATGTAAAATAAAAATATTACATGTACGATATAAATGATATTTATTTAAATGGCTTTAGACGATTTATAATCCTTAACGAAATTCAAGACAAAATATTTTCATGCTGTTTAATAGAAAAAACACATTTTAAAAATTAAAATACAAGCACATACAATATATATATATATATATATATATATATATATATATATCAGGATGTACACGTATATTAGATTACACATACATTAGATCATACGTAGATTAGACACATGCTATACATAAAATTATAAATACACATTTCTTGAATTCTGTCAGCGATTTATGGATCATCTAAAGTATATGTATTATATTTTATTACTTATATAATTAAAAATTATAATTATATAAAATGTTTAATTATACTTATAATTATGTAGAATAAGAAGTTATCTGTGCAAATCTTACAATCTGTGAGCAAATTGTGTTGCAATGTGTATGTAAATTAATTACAAGGGCGGAGAAGAAGCCAGAAAAATCAAATATTTTTCATGTTAAACGTACTACTATGATCGTCGACTGTCGATTTATTCGCTGAAGGACGATAGAACCGTAAAATACGACATCGAAGTTTGCAGAACCTAAATAAGGATAAGTTAAAAATTTTTATATATTTCTTTGCCGACCTTTAATATCATAACAGCTATCATAATGATCGCTTTACCATCGTGAAACTTTCTAAGGAGAATATATATATCTTGCCTGCGGTCAAAGTACTAGCTACAATGCTTTTTCTCATCACCATCAAGAGCAATCTTTGCGCTTTCACGGGTATTTCATACCATGAACTATGAAATCTATAAAATTAATATTGTACATAATTTAATATGAATATAATAATCTAATAGTGTGTGAAATTGATCATTTCAATATAAAAGTGATTAAATTCAAATATTTTAATACGAAAAATAAATATCAACCAAAAAAAAAAAAATATATATATATATATAATTTATTTTAATTCAATTATTATCTTACATTTTGTCGCAAGTTTCGAGACTATGATTTATCAATTTTTGCCCTTGAAAGCTTAAGCAAAATAAATGAAACATTTGAGCAACAATAAAAACCATATATCTCATTGCCTCTGCTAAATTGTACAACTGCATCGTAAACTTGAATACGAACAGATAATATTTTAAGTCTGTATTATATTTTTCAGAGTTTTCATAATTCAAATTGTAAATAACTCACTTGTACTAAAGTAATACTCATACCGACTGTAACTATCAGAATTTGTATAGCAAATGATACTGTAAAAGTACTTTCAAGAAGTACTGCGAACCTATAGTAAGTAGAGATGATAAGACTATGATGATTAAATATTGTTCGTTAAAAGATAACAATCTACCATGAATACTACCATGAATCTATCATGAATATAAAAATTGTTCATTATTTGGTTTAAGATTAATGCAAATATTTTACAATATGTTATTGCATACTTACTGTAAAAACTACTTACTGTAAGGCTTTTCGATGAGCGTGAATCGAAAACACAATGTTTTTGTAACATATGTCGTGCGAATAATTAATTATGTTCTTTTTCGCACTATCATGATTGTACGACATATGTTCGAATCGAAATCTGCAAATATGCGTGTAACTTACATATTTGTATTTTTTTAAATTAATTTCTGTTTTTGAAACGAACGTACAATAGTTATAAAATTTATTATGTTATTTATTCTTTTTTTTCGAGAATTTATTAGTTTTCTCGATATAATAATAGCTTGACTCCAATATAAAAGAATACGGCAAAACATTACCCAATCACGGCAAATAGGCCACAAACATGTTCGATGTAAGCAAAGAGCATACAGTCGTGCGCAATTAATCCAGTCAGACCTAATCCCGCAGTAACAAACATATGGCAAAAAATATAGTAGAAATATTTCTCCTCGTTAACAAAGTAATACGCTGGATATGCTAATACTATCGGACGAGAAGTATTCAAAGGAGATACAATGTCCAAGATGCGTGGTATGAGAGCAGTTGTTGCAAATGAGAGGGTAGCTATATATACATAAGCTATAATAAGAACAAAATTCGTCAAAATTATATTCTAAAACATATTTCTTACACATCTCTATAATACTTATAATACTTATTGCTTTATGAAAAATTCTTTTATTGTAATATTTTATATTTTATCTTTTTTCTATGTCGCTAGTTATTCACTACATAATAATCGAATAAAATAATCGGCAATACTTGATTTTTTTCGTAATAAAATAAATTTTTAATTTTTAAACATACTTCAATTTGTAGAGATTAATTATAAACTCTTCAGTAAAAATAAATATTTTATTTGTTCATGGAATATCAAAATTAAGCTAATAAGATATACAATAAGATATACAATACTTTATGAATCGAAATATGTTAAAAGTATATTTATAATATCAACAATCTAAAAATGCTGAAAAATTATAAAAGTTATGAAAAGAATATTCGGAAAACGTTTTACGGAAAATTATGGAGAACAAAAAAATATAATAAAGAAAGTAGATTAAACTGCCATTGTTTACGAATTTAAACTCGACTAAGTCTATTAAGAAAATAGAATTTTAAAAAATTATTCAAATTTAAATCTAAGCCTTGAATTTAAAAATATAATAGATCCATAGATCCATATTATGATAATGAAGGAAGCAACGTTATTTAATATATATTGCAAATTTATAAAGATAATTATAGACACCAACAAATTGTTTTTCTATAAGGATCTTCAGGCATAATATTATTAATTTTTAATATCTGTAATATTTTTTTTATCTGTAATATTAATTTGGATCTGTAATATTTTTGACTATAATATATATATATATATATATATATATATATATATATATATATGTTTGAATAGAAATAAAAAAAGATTACTTACAAGCGTATGTCAACGTGTACCACCTGCCACTCTCAGCATATCTTTTCATAATCTTACGTTCATCTTGATTCTCAAACATATCCATGTCTATGAACAAGCGATCTGTAAGAACTTTAATCTGCAAGTATTACCGATATATTTAAAATCTCGGATACAGTATCGTCAATCGCCACAATAACAATATCTTAAGCTGAAATTTTGTAGGAAAATTTTTTTATTTACAATAATTAAAAGTTAGAGACAATTTCATCAATATATGCATAAATATAATTCATATTTTACCTTTTGTTTGTTAAAATAAAATGTAAATATTTTCACTAATAGCATTATTCCTAACATGTGTGGAGGTAAAGTTTGATAGATACATTGTGCGTCTTCGCATATAAAAAATTGTGCCACCTAAAAAGTAAAATTATTCAGGAGAAAAAGAGTGAGAAATTTGGAAAATGTATGATATCTATCTTGAAAATCTGATAAATACAATTCGTTTTATGGTTTCAATGAAACTTAAATCCACAAAAAGTTTCTTAAAAATGACAGTTAATGTTACCTGTGTAATTAACAAATTGGTTACAATTATGAGTATCAAAATCAAAAAAGCCCATTTCTCTTTTGGCTTCTGATATGGCCATTGACCGATAAGCGACAATAACCTTTTATTGATATTGTAGTAATATTCCATATTAGATTCCATACTTCGAAATACAGTTTCTGTTCGATGAACAAATGTCATTTGAATCCCAGAGAAACCTCTCATTTTCAAAATTCTTCCCGTAGCAGGAAATAAATTAATATTTACGTACCTCTATCTCTTTCCTCTTCTCTTTCCCTCTCTTCCCCGGAACGTCTGGCATAGCAATTATGCGAGTTTCCGTGACTGCTATAATAAACGTGTCTCGCATAAGCCTGAATTGACAACGTTACATTGATCGTGACGAACTGACAGTTTGAGAAATGTTTCTTAGTTTGAGTACGAATATATTGAACATACTGAATGATATGTGTTTGGGGGAAGACATAACAAACAGTCATAATCGCACTGAACAGTCAAGTGATACTATACTAACCCTGTGTGAAAATTCATAATACTTTTTTACGAAGATACAGTGTGTTTAAAATAAAATTCCAGGATTTTTGGATACAGTTATTTCATTTTCGATTATATAATTCGGATTTCTTCAATAGCTTCTCATATTTTAACAATATGAAAATAAAAAAATTAACGCATATAATATTAATAATATTTATTAAATTAACTTTAGAATATATATATAATTCTTGACAAAATTTAGGCAAACTATTTTCATATCATAAAATATAATAATAGAAGGAATATAAAAAAACAAACGGAAAAAAACGGGAGAATTAAATTAATATATATAAATTATGTATCAGAATATATTAAGGCACACACATACATACACACAGTGGCATATAAAATTATATTAAAATTAAAATTTAAAATATATGTATAGATATATATTTTGTATTAGTAATTTGTGCATCGTCTAAACTATTTATATTTTATATATAATAAAATATTTATTATAATATATATTAATTATAATATATATAACGCTTCTCTCCCTCCCATTTTTTCTTTTTTTTCTACTACGCTCGACATTGCAGATTCCATGATTGACGTATATACACATTGACGTATATATGCATTGAAGTAATTAAAAAATATGATAATCTTCATCATATGAAATAACTTGATGATGTTACTTATTGTGTATGTTTCAATTTTCGGCAGAAATGCAACAATATGATTTTTTATTAACATTCACTTATTCTCTTTTTACACTTACTTAGTGAACATGTAACTGCTTTGCATATATAATTGCTTTCTTTTTGCTTTACTCACTCTGTAAATTTAGGATAAATGAGGATCTATGATTGCTTTACTCACTCTGTAAATTTAGGATAAATAAGGATCTATGATTTCTTTATTAATTTTTAATATTAATTTATAAATTATCTTACACCTTGTTTCAAATTTTAAGACTATGATTTGTCAATTTTCGTACTTGAAAGCGAAATAAGTGGGACAATTGATCGCCAATGAAAATTACGTATTTTAGTGCTTCCGCTAAATCGTACAATATGTTTAAATCGAAATTTACAAATATTCGTGTAATTTATATATTTAAAACGTAAACTTTTTGAATTAATTTCTGTTTTTCAAGCAAATGTACAATAGCTTTAAAATTATTATTACGTTATTTATTTTTTTTCTATATCGATGCATTCCATATCAAAATCATTACCAAATCTTGCTGCCAATCTTTTCACTATTATTTTTTTCTATTTCGTCTAAAATAAGATATCAGTAAAGACAAATAACAATGTATTTATTGGTTATATATTAATTAATATAATATTAATTAAAAACATCAAAACAAATAAATAAACATACATTAAAATGTCTCCTTCTTTTTAAATTCGTTTATACAACAACTTATATTTATGTCAAAACATGTAATGCAGCTAATAATAGTAATAAACAAAAAATAATAAATAGTATTATATGCAGTCTAAAAGAAAAATGTATAGTAATATGTATATTGTATCCAATAAATACATGTAAATATATCAATAATAAAATAAAACTTTATTAGGATATTCCAGTTTAAATGATATAAAAAATAAATATATTTTATTTTCAATATTATTCATAATACTATATTCCCTTGTAGAATTTCTCAGCGTTATTTCATTGTGTATATTATAATTATTCGAATCGAGTCATTCATTGAAGGATGCTAACATCATAAAATACGACATCGCGCTTTGCAGAACCTAAATTAAAATAATTAGCATTTTTATATTTCTCTGATCATATATGTTATACAAATATATCATGTTATATATGTATAGTATTTTTATATGCCTGTTTTCAAATTCTAATATCTATCACAATATTTGCTTTACCGTGGTGAAATTTTGTAAAGAAAATATATATATTTTGCAGGCAGTCACAGTACTAGCTTCGATGCTTTTTCTCATCACGAGTAGCAATAATTTTTGTTCCTTCACTGGCATTTCGTACCATACACCATTATAGCTATAAAATTAATATACAAAAATAAAATAACTGTAAAATTTATACACAAATGAAATGTGAATGTAATAACAATGGTAGTCACAAGAAGTGATTAAATTTATGAAAGATTTTTAAATAAAAAATAATAAATTTTCTACATTGATCAAATACAATTCTAATATTAACTTACATTTTGTTATGAGTTTCCAAACTATGATTTATCAATTTCTGCCCTTGGAAGCTAAAGCAAAACAGGTGGAATAATTGAGCAATAATGTAAAGGCAGTATCTCATCGCTTCCGCCATATCATGCAAATGTATCGAGAACTTAAGTAAAATCACATATTTTAGATTTGTATTATATTTTTTGGAGTCTAATATATTAATATATTTAATATCAAGTAACTTACTTGAAGTAAACTAATACTAATACTAACTGTATTTACTGCAAGTTGTATAGCAAATGATTTCGAAAAGACATTTTCAATGAGTATCGCAAACCTATATTAAGAGAAAGACAAATAAATAAAATTTATAAATTCATCGTGATCATTAAGAAATGTTCATTAAATGACTTCAAAAAAACTCATCATAATATGGTTACGAACTCACTGCAGAGCTTTTCGATGAGCATGAATTGAAAATACGATACGTTTGTGATATATGTCATCCGGACAATCAATCAGACTTTTTTTATCACGTTTACATATCAAATATTTAAACCTAAATCTACAAATATCCAGGGTAAATAAATCATTGTAAAATTTATAATTTTTGACTGTTATGTGAATGTAGAAAGACTGATATTATAATTATATAAATTTAATTATTTTTTAAGTATAAGTTATCTTATTACCCAATCGCTGCGAAAAGTCCACATACGTGTTGAATGTAAATAAAAAACATAGAATCATGCGCAATTAATACAGCTAACCATACCATAAGGATAATTAGCATATCACAATAAATGTAATAGTAATATTTCTTCTCGTCAACAAAATAGTACGCTGGCCATAATAACATTATTGGACGTGAAGTATTTAAGGGAAACACTATGTCCATGATACGTGGCATGAGAGAAGTTATTGCATATGAAATAGCAGTTACATACATGTACACTACACAAAAATCAATTTTATAAAAAACTGACTTCTGCTATATATTTCGTAGATGTTTATATTTATAAAAATATTTAATATGGATATGTGTATTTTTATTATAATTAAAGTCGGATGAAAATAATTCAAATTATTTTTTAAAATAATTTCTTAATTAAAAACAGGAAAGTTACTTGCAGGAATATATCAATGTGTATCGCCTGCCGTTCTCGGCATATTTTCTCAAAATTTCACGTTCTTTCCGAGTTTCGAGCATATTCCAGTCTGCGAATAAGTGATCAGTAAGAGCTTTAATCTAGAAATGTTAACGATATAATATAATATTTCTTTTTCGATTCAAATAATATTTTTGATAATTATAAGAAAACATATAAGCAAAAAAAAAATCCAATTAAAATTTTTAAGTTGTACTTGTAACTTAAAATTAAAATTAAATACAATAATGTATTAATGTACAGCATTTGTTGCGACTAGTAAATAACCGAATAAAATTTTTTTGTGTGAGTTTATTCTCAATCCTTGTCTTTTCAAAAATCTATTTTTAGAAAAATATCTATTTTTACATTAAAAGAAAGTTATTATGATAGATATTTCAATAATCTAAGCAATCTTAGCAACATTTAAAGCTTTAAAACAGTGCTCGCCGATGGATGTCAAACACACAACAAATTAATAGAAAAATCTGTGCATGATTTAACAGCTGCACCATATGTATAATAATATTGATAAAACGTACTTTTTCACTTTTTAATCGATATGTAAGCACTTTCACTATAATATTGATCATCAAAAAAAAAAAGGGCAGAATTTGAAGAATACAGTCCATGTTATCGCGATGTATGAACATGTATGCCATCTAAAAAATGTATTTATCATGAAGAGATTTAAAAATCATGCATAAAATTATTTATAAACACAAAATATCCTAGAAACCTTTGAACAATTTAACATTTTCAATATAACACAGAATCTTATAAAAATATTAAATATTCAAAAATTTCCCTTTCCAATTAATATTACCTGTGTAACGAAAGAATTGGATAAAAATATAAGTGCGAAAACTAAGAAGAATAGTTTTGCTTTTGGTTTCTGATAAGGCCACTGACCGATTATTGACAAAAATGTTTTATTGATATCATAATAATAATTGTTGTTATATTTCATACTTCTCGAGAAATGGTTTCTATTCGCTACAACCACACTTAATTATCTGATAGATACCTTCCCTTAGAAAGCCTTTTACACGCTCGCGTGTCGCAGAGAGAATAAATTAATATTTCATACGACGCCTCCGCTCTTTCTTCCTTCCCTATTACGTTCGACATTGCAATCAAACGATGCACGAGTTTCCATGACTGACATACACTTAATAAGTATATGTCTTGTGTAAATATAATGTAAGGACAAATAAATACTTTTGAAAAGCTTATTCTTTTGAAAATGTCCGTCGGTTCTAATGCAAGTATATTTAATATATGACTAAAAACATTGACACAGTCTTGTTCGAACAGTCTGGTGATATTATCTATTTTGCGTATGCGGTTTATTCTTCAACAATTGAAATATTCTTATAATATTTGAATAATAAAGATTGTATATATGATTGTTTTAGTTTTGATCATAAATATCTAGCTGTACAATGTAGCTTAATTTCTGCAGTAAAACTCTGATTTCTTTTTAAAAATTAGAAGATTATTCATTGCTTAATTAATTAATTTCTTATTGATTGAATAGATATGTAGAGATATATCAATAACAAAATAAAATTTTATTGCTTTAGGAATGCCATATTTAAACAATATAAAATATAAATATATTAATGGTTTTATAATATAATTTATAAATATACTATATTCCTGCAGGATTTTCCAACGTTACTACGCTATGCTATATCACCATCAAATCATTCACTGAAGGATGCTAGCACCGTAAAGTATGACATCGCGGTTTGTAGAACCTTAAGAAAGTTAAAAAATTTTTTAATTTGTTTCATTATACTATATGTTATGCATATTATTTATACGCTTATTTTTATGAGGTATTATATTCTTATGATTATTGCAATACTATTGCATCTTACAATTGCATTACCATTGTGAAATTTTGCAAAGAAAATACGTATATTTTGCAGGCAGTCAAAGTACTGGCTTCAATGCTTTTTCTCATCGTAATCAAAAGCAATTTTTGTCCCTTTAAGGGTATCTCGTACCATGCGCTATTATATCTATAAAATTTAACATTTAACTATTTAAAGAATATGCAATAAATATTATAATATACAATACTAATAATAAAAAGAGCCATTATAAATATTTGATACAAAAAGAAAATTGTCTATATGGACCAAAGTTGATTTAGACAAATTCTGATATCTATTATCTTACATTTTATCACAAATTTCGAGACTATGATCTATCAATTTTTGTCCTTGAAAGCTGAAGCAGAATAAGTGGAATAATTGAGCAAGTATATAGACGAAGTATCTCATTGCTTCCATTAAATCATTCAGCTGCATCGAGAACTTGAGTAGAATTATATGTTTTAAACTTACATTATATTTCTTTAATCTCTCATATATTGATTTAATTGTAAATAACTTACTTGAAGTAAACTAACGCTAATAGACATTGTAGATATCATGAGTTGAATGGCGAATGGTACGGAAAAAGCATTTTCAATGAGTTTCGCAAACCTATAGTAAGAATATAATCACGTTAAATAAAACTTATAAACGTGATTATTTAAAGTTGTTTATAACAGTTTATAATAGTTTATAATAGTTTAAAAATTCCTAATGAAAATATGATATTGTTGCAAACTTACTGCAAGGCTTCTCGATGAGCATGAATCGAAAATGTAACATTTTTATGATATAAATTATCCGAGCAATCAATCAGATTACTCCTCGTAATATCTTGTTTATCTAATGCATGTTTAAATCTAAATCTGCAAATATTCAAGTATATTTAAGTATACAATATATTTAAGTATAATATTTAACAGTACAATATTTAAGTATACAATATATTATTATAATTTTTGAAAAATTCATTGAATTTGTCTTGTAATTGAATAAATGAAAAAAAAAATATTTTATTCATCTTTCGAGAATAAGATGTATGATCGTATACCTCAGTCCTGTCAATTACTTGCAACTTTTGGCCGGATTTCTTAGCTCACACCTATCGCTCTCCCCTTATCGCGCGCGTCTCAGCAACCGCGCTAAATATATTATAATATATTATATTTTATATAATTTTATTATTTATATAATTTATTTATGTAATTTTTTATATATTATTTTTTATATAATTTTATTATTATTATTTATATAATTTTTTATACAATTTTATTATTATTATTATTTATATAATTTATTTATATAACATTTTATGTATTATTTTTTTATATAATTTTTTGTTATTAGATTGCCACCTTACATTTGTGATGCGCACGAGTCTGAGGTTACCGCTGCGCTCCTTAGTTCGACGACGCGGTTGCTAAGGCGCGCGCAGTAAGGGGAGAGTGGTAGGCGTTAGCTAAGAAATCCGGCCGAAAGTTGCAAATAATTGACAGTAGTGGTATATGTTAATCATATGATGTGTATCGTTTGCAAAGTATATAAATAATCATTACCCGACCACTGCAAAAAGGCCGCAAACATGTTCGATGTAAATAAAAAACATGCAGTCGTGCGCAATTAATCCAGTCACACATACCAAGGCAGTAATTAACATATGAAAAGAAATATAATAGAAATACTGCTCTTCGTTAACGAAATAGTGCGCTGGATATGCTAATATTATTGGACGTGAAGTATTTAAAGGAAACACGATGTCCATGATACGTGGCACGAGAGAGGTTGTTATAAATGATACGGTAGATACATAACAATACGCTGCAACAAGGAGGAATTTCGTCAAGAACAATTTATTGTTTCGAACTATTTCATTTAAATTTAAATAAATATTTATGCATTTTTATTATAATTAATATCAGATGCTCACGCTCATATTTGTTTAAGAAAAATATTTCAATTAAAAATGTAGAGTTATTTACAGGCATATATCAATGAGTACCACCTGCCATTATCGGCATATTTTTTCATGATCTCACGTTCTTCTTGAGTCTTAAGAGTATCCCAGTCTACGAATAAGTGATCAGTGAGATCTTTAATCTACAAACGTCACCGATATATTTGATATCTTAGGAATATAATATTCTTAACAGTTATAAAACTACATATATAAACAAAAATCAACAATTTTGCAATTAGCTTATTTAGCTTTGAGCTATATTTTGTATATATATAGAGCTAAGTTATAATAAAGTATTAATAGAACGTACTTTCTGGCTGTTAAATCGATATGCGAGCACTTTCACTAAAGAATTCCATACTAATAAATGGGGAGGTAAAGTTTGAAAAATACACTGTGTGTCTTTGCATACAAAAATTTGTGCTATCTGGAAAACATATTTGCATACATTGAAAAAGCATATAAGTAATAAAAACATACAAGATACTCCAGAAATAACAATCACATCTATATATAAAGAAAAATCTCATCGAAATTAAATGCCAGAAAATATTTCTTGTCGATAATGTTACCTGTGTAAAAAGGCAATTAGCCAAAACTATGACTACCAAAGCCATAAAGGATAATCTCGTTTTCGGTTTTTGATAAGGCCATTGGCCGACCATCCACAAGAATCTTTTACTAATGTCGTAATAATAATTTCTATTGTGTTCCATACTTTTCAACGAAATAATTTGCATTAGCCACAACAACATCGCTAGAATATCTGATATAAACCCTCCTTCGCGAAGTCTTTCCCCTCGCGGAAAATAAATTAATATTTCATATAACGCTTTCACTTTTCCTTCCTTCCTCACTACGTGCGACATAGCAATCAAATAAGTTTTCATGACTGACATATGCCTATATCATAAGTATACGTTTCGTATAAATATAACGCAGACGAAAATAAATAGTATTTGACAAACTGACCCTTCTGAAAATGTTCGTCGGTTTGAATGCAAGTATATTGAATATACGATTTTAAAAAATGTGATAATCATATCGAATAACTTCACCCGGTGATGTTTTTTATTACGTGTACACGGTTTCAGCAATAGAAAAGAATACAGTTTTTTAATTAAAGTTCAACTAATAAAGTTTGTATATGCATAGCTATCTTTTTTATCATAAAATTCCAAATGTATAATATCGCTTCACTGTCACATATAAAATTTTGATTTCTTCATTCATTTTCGACGGTATAATTCGAATACATTGATTCATTTTTTATTATTATTAAAATTATAAGTAAAATATTATATCTCTGGTAGAAAATATATATAGAGTTTAAATAACTCTTATATTATTTATGTTATTGAATGCTACACTCATAAAAATATTTATAATTAGGCAAATAATATGCGCATGAAATTAGTCGAGTGCGAGTTTTATAACGCACATGTAACAATTGAAATATATGCTACAATGAACATAAGTGTAAAATATTCATAAAAGAAATTGGATATAATAGGTAAGTGTTGTATCGAAAGTGTTCATCATTTGACAAATTATAGAATATATATGATCTATTTTTCTAACTAATCCGCGAGAAATTATGTGTAACATTATTTATCTATCTACATGTTATTTTCATATATCGATAATGAACGATATCGTATCGATTGTATATGGAAAATAATTTCATACAGAAATTTGATCACAATCTCGAACGTTGTTAAGCAATCTTTTATAACCATTTTCTTCTTCTTTTGTTTTATAATTTTTCTTCCATTCTTTTCTTTTTTCTTCTTATTCCTGAGATAAGATTCTTATTACTAAAGCAAATATTACTATCGTACTTATTATTAATGTCTTAATATATATATATATATATATATATATATATATATATATATCTAAAACAGAAAGAGTATAAAATATACATTTTCATGATAAAAGTCTTTTTTGTTAACTTATTTACATTAGTGTCGAAAGATGAAATCTATAGCTAATAGTAGTAATAAATACAAAATTAGTATCACGCAATTTAAAAAAATTATAATAATAACTGCACTGTATCCGGTAGATATGAAAAAATACCGATAATAAAATAAAATTTTACAGCATTTAGAATGTATATTTTCAACGATGTAAAAGTAAGGTTCTCATAAACTGTTTCAAAAATTTTTAATTTTTTAAATATATTGTACGTATATTTGTTATTTGCACCTCGACGATTATTTTATTTATACAATATAAATATAACAGTTTCGATATAATCTATAATATTGTATTCTTGTAAAATTTTTTCAGCTTTATTATACTGTATGCTATAATCACTGTCAAGTTATTCACTGAAAGACGCTAACACCGTAAAATATGACATTGCGGTCTGCAAAACCTAAATTAAAATGTTACAATTTTTTTACATTTGTGTGATTATACTATCTGTTACATATTACTGAATATTTATGTATGTGCCTATCTTTATAATATTGTAATATCTCTCTCATCATGATAAATGCTTTACCGTTGTGAAACTTTGCAAAGAATATACATATATCTTGCAAGCAGTCACAGTACTGGCTTTGGTGCTTTTTCTCATCGTGATCAAAAGAAGTTTTTGTCCTTTCACGGGTATCTCATACCACGCACTATTATATCTACGAAATTAACATTTAATATTTAATACAAAGTATATGCAATAAATGTTATAATATGTAATAATAATTATAAAAGGTGATTGTAATAAATTTCTTTCAAATATTATATATAGAAAATAGATTTTTTCTATATCTCTTAACCGGAACTAATTTATTTTCCGACTTCTTACTTTGATATCTTACATTTTGTAACAAATTTGAAGGCTATGATCTATCAATTTTTGTCCTTGAAAGCTGAAGCAGAATAAGTGAAATAATTGTGCAAAAATGTAAACGAAGTACTTTGTTGTGTCCATTAAATTATGCAACTGTGCAATCTTGAATAAAATCATAAATTTTAGATTTATATTTTTCAGAATTTTCATATATGTATGTAATATATTATTCTTTATAATTTACTTGCAATAAGGTAACGCTAAGACCAATCGTAGCTATCATGAGTTGCATAGCGAATGATATCGAAAAGACTTTTTCAACAAGTTCTGCAAACCTTAGTAAGAATATAAGAATAATGATAATTGAGCAAAATTCATAACATGTATCGTGATTATTAAAAAATGTTCATGTTTTCAAAATTGATAAGAAAAAAAAAAATATTATTACGCGAACTTACTGCAGAGCTCGTCGATAGGAATGAACTGAAAATGCAATATTTTTGTTATATACTTCATCCGGGTAATTAATAAGTTTTCTTTTCGTGATATTACGTTTATATAATATATGTTCAAATCTAAATCTGCAATTATCCAGACACATTTCGTTATAAATATTAGAGAATGCATAATTCTTGATTACTAAACGAATGTTGGAAAAGAAAATTATTATAGCATTTTACTTATTTTTTGATAAGTTATAATCATTACCCAACCACTGTAAAAAGACCGCAAACGTGTTCTATGTAAGTAAAGAACATGCAATCGTGTGCAATTAATCCAGTCACACATATCAAGGCAGTAATTAACATATGAAAAGAAATATAATAGAAATACTGCTCTTCGTTAACGAAATAATGCGCTGGATATGCTAACATTATTGGACGTGAAGTATTTAAAGGAAACACGATGTCCATGATACGTGGCACAAGAGACATTGTTATAAATGATACGGTAGATACATAACAATACGCTGCAACAAGGAGGAATTTCAATAAGAACAATTTATTGTTTCGAACTATTTCATTTAAATTTATATAAATATTTATGCATTCTTATTATAATTAATATCAGATGCTCACGCTCATATTTTTTTAGGAAAAATATTTCAATTAAAAATATAGAGTTATTTACAGGCATATATCAATGAGTACCACCTGCCATTATCGGCATATTTTTTCATAATCTCACGTTCTTCTTGAGTCTTAAGAATATTCCAGTCTACGAATAAGTGATCAGTGAGATCTTTAATCTACAAACGGCACTGATATATTTGATATCTTAGGAATATAATATTCTTAACAGTTATAAAGCTACATATATAAACAAAAATCAACAATTTTGCAATTAGCTTATTCAGCTTTGAGTTATATTTTGTATATATATAGAGCTAAATTATAATAAAATATTAATAGAACGTACTTTCTGGCTGTTAAATCGATATGCGAGCACTTTCACTAAAGAATTCCATACTAATAAATGGGGAGGTAAAGTTTGAAAAATACACTGTGTGTCTTCGCATACAAAAATTTGTGCTATCTGGAAAACGTATTTGCATACATTGAAAAAGCATATAAGTAATAAAAACATACAAGATACTCCAGAAATAACAATCACATCTATATATAAAGAAAAATCTCATCGAAACTAAATGCCAGAAAATATTTCTTGTCGATAATGTTACCTGTGTAAAAAGGCAATTAGCCAAAACTATAACTACCAAAGCCAAAAAGGATAATCTCGTTTTCGGTTTTTGATAAGGCCATTGGCCGACCATCCACAAGAATCTTTTACTAATGTCGTAATAATAATTTCTATTGTGTTCCATACTTTTCAACGAAATAATTTGCATTAGCCACAACAACATCCCTACAATATCTGATATAAACCCTCCTTCGCAAAGTCTTTCCCTTCGCGGAAAATAAATTAATATTTCATAACGCTTTCACTTTTCCTTCCTTCCTCACTACGTGCGACATAGCAATCAAATAAGTTTTCATGACTGACATATGCCTATATCATAAGTATACGTTTCGTATAAATATAACGCAGACGAAAATAAATAGTATTTGACAAGCTGACCCTTCTGAAAATGTTCGTCGGTTTGAATGCAAATATATTGAATATACGATTTTAAAAAATGTGATAATCATATTGAATAACCCGGCAAAATTTTTTATTACGTGTACACGGTTTCAGTAATAGAAAAGAATACAGTTTTTTAAATTAAAGTTCAACTAATAAAGTTTGTATATGCATAGCTATTTTTTTTATCATAAAATTCCAAATGTATAATATCGCTTCACTGTTACATATAAAATTTTGATTTCTTCATTCATTTTCGACGGTATAATTCGAATACATTGATTAAATTTTTATTATTATTAAAATTATAAGTAAAATATTATATCTTTGGTAGAAAATATATATAGAGTTTAAATAACTCTTATATTGTTTATGTTATTGAATGCTACACTCATAAAAATATTTATAATTAGGCATATAATATGCGCATGAAATTAGTCGAGTGCGAGTTTTATAACGCACATGTAACAATTGAAATATATGCTACAATGAACATAAGTGTAAAATATTCATAAAAGAAATTGGATATAATAGGTAAGAGCTGTATCGAAAGTGTTCATCATTTGACAAATTATAGAATATATATGATCTATTTTTCTAACTAATCTGCGAGAAATTATGTGTAATATTATTTATCTATCTACATGTTATTTTCATATATCGATAATGATCGATATCGTATCGATTGCATATGGAAAATAATTTTATACAGAAATTTGATCACAATCTCGAACGTTGTTAAGCAATCTTTTATAACCATTTTTTTCTTCTTTTCTTTTATAATTTTTCTTCCATTCTTTTCTTTTTTCTTCTTATTCCTGAGATAAGATTCTTATTACTAAAGCAAATATTACTATCGTACATATTACTAATGTCTTAATTTACATATATCTAAAACAGAAAGAGAATAAAATATATATTTTCATGATGAAAGTCTTTTTTGTAAACTCATTTACGTTAGTGTCGAAAGACGAAATCTGTAGCTAATAGTAATAATAAATACAAAATTAGTACCACGCAATTAAAAAAAATTATAATAATAACTGCATTGTATCCGGTAGATATAAAAAAATACCGATAATAAAATAAAATTTTACAGCATTTAGAATGAATATTTTAAACGATGTAAAAGGTTCTCATAAACTGTTTCAAAAGTTTTTAATTTTTTAAATATATTGTACGTATATTTGTTATTTGCACTTCGAACCGACCTATTATTTTGTTTATACAATATAAATATAACAGTTTCGATATAATCTATAATACTGTATTCTTGTAAAATTTTTTCAACTTTATTATACTGTATGCTGTAATCACCATCAAGTTATTCACTGAAAGACGCTAACACCGTAAAGTATGACATTGCGGTCTGCAAAACCTAAATTAAAATATTAAAATTTTTTTACATTTGTGTGATTATACTATCTGTTATATATTACCGAATATTTATGTATGTGCCTATCTTTATAATATTGTAATATCTCTCTCATCATGATAAATGCTTTACCGTTGTGAAACTTTGCAAAGAATATACATATATCTTGCAAGCAGTCACAGTACTGGCTTTGGTGCTTTTTCTCATCGTGATCAAAAGAAGTTTTTGTCCTTTCACGGGTATCTCATACCACGCACTATTATATCTACAAAATTAACATTTAATATTTAATACAAAGTATATGCAATAAATGTTATAATATGTAATAATAATTATAAATAATGATTGTAATAAAATTCTTTCAGATATTTTATATAGAAAATAGATTTTTTCTATATCTCTTAACCGGAGCTAATTTATTTTCCGACTTCTTATTTTGATATCTTACATTTTGTAACAAATTTGAAGGCTATGATCTATCAATTTTTGTCCTTGAAAGCTGAAGCAGAATAAGTGAAATAATTGTGCAAAAATGTAAACGAAGTACTTTGTTGTGTCCATTAAATTATGCAACTGTGCAATCTTGAATAAAATCATAAATTTTAGATTTTGTTTTTTTCAGAATTTTCATACATGTAATATATTATTCTTTATAATTTACTTGCAATAAGGTAACGCTAAGACCAATCGTAGCTAGCGTGAGTTGTATAGCGAATGATATCGAATAGACTTTTTCAATGAGTTCTGCAAACCTTAGTAAGAATATAAGAATAACGATAATTAAGCAAAATTTATAACATGTATTGTGATTATTAAAAAATGTTCATGTTTTCAAAATTGATAAGAAAAAAAATATTATTACGCGAACTTACTGCAGAGCTCGTCGATAAGAATGAACTGAAAATGCAATATTTTTGTTATATACATCATCCGGGTAATCAATAAGTTTTCTTTTCGCGATATTACGTTTATATAATATTTGTTCAAATCTAAATCTGCAATTATCCAGACACATTTCGTTATAAGTATTAGAGAATGCATAATTCTTGATTACTAAACGAATGTTGGAAAAGAAAATTATTATAGCATTTTACTTATTTTTTGATAAGTTATAATCATTACCCAACCACTGTAAAAAGACCGCAAACGTGTTCTATGTAAGTAAAGAACATGCAATCGTGTGCAATTAATCCAGTCATACATATCACTCCAGTCATTAACATGTGGCAAAATATGTAATAGAAATATTGTTCTTCGTTAATGAAATAATGTGCTGGATATGCCAATATTATTGGACGTGAAATATTTAAAGGAAATAGGATGTCCATAATAGGTGGTATTAAAGAAGTCATTATAAATGAAACAGTAGATACATAATAGTACCCTGTAACAAGAACAAATTTCGTCAAGAACAAATGTTTATTATATTTCATAGATGTTTAAATTTAGATAAATATCTATGCATTCTTATTATAATTAGTGTTGCAGAAATAGTTATTTACGCTACTTATATTTATCTCTAAAGAAAAATTTTTTTAATTAAAAATAATGGAGTTACTTGCAGGCATATATTAACGAGGACCACCTTCCACTCTCGGCATATTTTTTCATAATCTCGCGTTCTTCCCGTGTCTCCAAAATATCCCAGTCTACGAATAAGTGGTCAGTGAGATTTTTAATCTATAAATGTCATCGATATATTTTTGATATCTTGAATATAATATTTTCAACAACTATAAAACTATGTATAAGTATCAAAATTAATATTTTCCAATTCACATAACTTCAAATTAAACACGTTATACTGATAAAACATACTTTTTGGCTGTTAAATTGATATGTGCACACTTTCACTAGACTATTCCACATTAATAAATGTGCAGGTAATGTTTCAAAGATACATTCTGAGTCTTTGCACAAGAAAATATGTGCTGTCTGGAAAATATACTTGCATGTATTTTCACGCATGAAAAAATATAAACATTTTAAAAATATAAAAAATAACTAAAAAATTTTATTCAATATGGAAACTATCAAATCTCAGTGAAACTGAGTACCGAAAAAATTCTTTTGTCGATAATGTTACCTGTGTAATGATACAAATAATCAAAGTTGTGACTAGCAAAGCGAAGAAGGATAATCTCGTTTTCGGCTTCTGATAAGGCCACTGGCCGACCATCCACAAGAATTTTTTACTAACATCGTAATAATAATTTCTATTGTCTTCTATATTATTTGAAATAATTTTTGTTAGGCACAACATCACTTCAACATCACTTCAATATCTGACATACACCTTCCCTCGCAAAGTCTTTTCCGTTACGGAAAATAAATTAATATTTCATGTAACGCTTCCGTTTTTTCTGCCTTCCCCCTATGTTCAATAGCAATCAAGCGAGTTGCCATAACTGGACATACTTACAATAAGTATACATCTCCTATAAATATAACATAGGCAAAAATGAATAGCGTTTGACAAGCTGACCCTTGGCAAGTGTATTGAATGCGATTAAAAAATGTGATAAAGAGTCTCTCATGATATATAGTCTAGTGATGTTACTTATGCGCGTGCGGTTTTTTTCTCAACAATAAGAAAATACATTATTCTAGTGAAGTTTGCATATGCAACAGCTATTATTTCAATTTTAAAATTTTATAATGTAGTTTCACTTACCTTATAAATCTGGAATAAAATTTTCCTCGTTAAGTCTTTTTCTTTATTTCTTCATTAAAATTTGACGACTTACTTTAATTAATCATCGTCGAGATTAAAAGTACCTCAAATATTATACTTGATAGGATATATGATTGACATTTATTTAATTACTTTATTATTTACGCTACTGAATGCTATACTCGTAATAGGTATCTATAATTATATGGATAATCATGTGTGAATCCGTAGAATGTGTGAGGTCAGCCGCGCGAGTTTTACAGCCCATGTGTGAATAGTTTTACAATGAATATGCTTATGTAAATTAATTACAAGAGAGAATGGGGTCGGTCGAGGGTAAAGAGGGGGAATGCTGCTCCGAATATGTGGGTGCGCACGTCGTTTGACAAACAAGTCAACTGACCCACAATCAGCTCTCGCCCGCGATTTCGCCGGCTGATCCGAGAAAAACTGCGCATTTACATATCTACTATTTTTTTTTCTTTATGCCCTTCGATCGCTATCGATATCGGATCGGTCCCTTTCGATCGCGTGTACGTAAACTAAGAACGGGGCTTGATCATTATCTCGAGGTCTATTTCGCATCTTTTCAACAACTTTTCAATTTCTGGATCTTGACCCGAGTTAGTCGAAATAAATATTAATATCTGTTGACCATAATAATTTAAATTCATTCATTTAAAGCAATGAAAAAATTAGGCACACATCTTTCCCTTCGAACAAAGACTTCCATTTCTTGTTTTCTAACATTCATTCACTTTCACACATATAAGTGCCAAAATATATATTTTTAAATAAAAATATAAGCGGCGAGAGATAATGATCACAAGTCCGAATACATACAATTAAAAACTTAGCAATATACAAGGACGTATATAACATAAGGGACGCAATCCCTCGTCAAAGAATTGCGATAATTCGTTACAACTTATATTATATTCGCCAAATTAAAGGATCATTTGCGGTTGTACGTTTCCATCTTATTATATTCGCCAAATTAAAATAAATGAATAATAAAATTATTAGAGCATCTCTCCGTCACGATACATTTCGATTGATCATTATGTTTGTTCTTATTAATTCTGTACTCTTCTCTTCTGTACGCTTTCTGTACTTAAAACGAAACAACTACAAGTTTACGCTTTGGAAAGAGAAAAAAGGAAGAGAGAAAGCGTAGGAAGTGCATCTAAAAAGAACAAGCTTAATGATCTCTAGAAAGACTTCTTACTTACATATTCTAGCATTTATTTTTTTATACAATATACCATGTAAAACATCTCGAATTTAGGTTCCATATCTCTTATCTTCTCCAAAATTCACCAATTATACACTAAATTAATTCGCGACTAATTGAGGGATTATCGTGTAATCATGTGTTGATTTAATAAAAAGGGATGATGCTTTTGAGACGAGTCTTGAAAAACGTTTATAATTAATGATACACAACAGTGAAACTCGATGATCGACTTATTCAATATAATAATTTTAGATATCTGAAATATTAATTTCACATATCAAGAAATTATTAAAACAAAATGTTGTATTTAAGAGGAAAATGCATCGTGTATAAAATCTGACAGCAATTCTCCGATGCAAGCTGGAATCATCAACACAAGTCTCGCTCAATTCACTCATTGTCTATCAAAATTATTACAACAGCGGTCCTAACAATTATTTACGACCGGTTACAAAGCGTAGATGCATAAATATGTAATCATCTTCCTGACATGATTAACACAATTAGAGCAATAAGACTGAATTATAGTTGATAACTTACCCATCAAATGTGTATCATGAGATATATATGATACTGATAAGAACAAGTATCTTTCAAAAAAGATACATAATCTAATAGCAATCGTATTGCACAATTTTTTTTTTATTTTTAGAGAGATTAATGATAAAACACTAATTATAAAACTAATTATAAGACAATATTTCCTCCATAAAAAGATAAATATACCTTTTCTTGCAAAGTGTTGTAAAATTTTTTTAAAAACATACTATTAATAATCAAGATAATTCATTTAAGCAAAATTAAAATTCCCATCAATTTAAAATTAATTTGCGATATAATAATGATATAATATATGATATATAAAGAAGAAATTCGCAATTTTTTTATACTACTTATTTAATTAAGAAATAATTATGTGTCTGGTACAACATAATTCTATAATATTTAACGATTCATGAAAATTAAAATTAGACGTATCATATACATTACAATTAAATTATATTTTATAAATCCCGATTATAATTAGAGTCCGTATTAATTTTTCTTTTAATTCAAAAGAAAAATTTCAATATGAAATGATAAAAAATTCCAAAATGATAAAAAATTAAATTTTATGCGTATTATATTAGTAATTAACGATAACATTATCATGAAAAATCATTACAATTGATTGTTCTTAAAACACGATTATATATAAAAACGCGTGAGTTTCCTAACAGAAGGCTTTGTAACCGGTTGCAGATGAATAAAATACTTTTTTCTTTCGTTTCTTAGTTTTTCCCGAGGAGTGATCGTGGTGATCGCATTTCTATCGCACGGTAGAAATAAATTTGGTCCTCGATCGTGACGGAATACCAAAACTCTTCCATTCGAACGATGCAGCTTCCATCTTCGCGATTATAAATATGTTATCGCGCCACTACAGGCGGTTATATGCTATCTGTGGAAAATGTTTTTCTTTTCCCTCTTTCGCTCGATTAAATTCCCTTTTGATCCATGTCGCATGCGATCATCGTTTTTGGCTTTTTTATATCGTATAGAATTTTTTGAGCCTGAATGACGATAGCAGACGATTTGAATCACTTTATACAAAAACCTCGCATTGTTCACAATGATCACTGTCGATGGTCGCAATCAAGTTTCTCAGAAAAGACTAATTATTTGAAAAGTCTCGAAGAGTAGATTAATCAAATAAATATATCTTTTTAAAACAGACTTAGAATAATGTCCGAATCATAATTTAATAGAATAATGTCCGAATCATAGTTTAATCAAAAAAAAAAAAAATATATATATATATATATATATTTCTTTCTATATATATATGTATATAAATGTTCTCTCAATTATAAATATACACATACATACAACTTATACGAAATTATGTAAATATAATATGAATTTTATCCAATTATTCAAATTTGGATATTTATATTATACAGATAATATAAGTCTGAAATTTGAATTTACAAATTCACAAATTCAGATCCAAACTATCCGAATCATAAAAAAGAAAAACAGAGGAATAGAAAACTAGTTGCAATAATACAATAAATAATACAATAAATAATACAATAAAATAAAATTTATTAACATATTTAAATTTATATTCATTATATACATAAAACAATATATATATAATGTAAAAACTAACAAAGTGTATTATTTCTATTTCATCTACAGATTCGAATAGATCCGGTTTTTCAAATATCAAATATCGGATTTCAAGATCAATTTATAATAGTTTGGATATTTAGTGATTTGAATAATTGGATAATTTTCCGTGCACCAATTATTCTGATATCCGTACATACTATAGCAAATCAGAATTTATCGCCCTAGTCTCAATTAATCAAAATTAATTTGACATTGATATAATCGGTTCTCAGTTATATACATTTGACCATACAACACTGATATTGCAATGGAGGTTGTTACATGATTGATGACTGCGATCGAGAACATTGTCTAAAAAATTTCACGAATTAGTTCTGCATTACTTGTCATAAAAATTTTCAAAATTTAACGTTTACTATTAATATATTATCACACATTCTCTCTTTCTCTCTTTCTCTCTCTCTCTTTCTCGTTCTCTCTTTTCTCATCATATATACTAGAACAATGTTCGCGGTCGCAGTCTAAAAGTGGATAAACATTGAAGAAACAAACAGCGGAAAAGTGAACTTTCGCTGTTCGATATTTCGGGAAATATGTTGATCGCCGTGGTTAATAATGTTAGTGGTATTAATAATCATTATAAATAGAATAATCGAACGTTCGATACGAATTTGGCTCGATTCGCTCGTAACACGAAACATCACAGAAAAATTTTGAATAGACTTAACTCGTGTTCGCTGTCGATTCGCTCGCAGTGCACCCATCTTAAGGATAACAGCATTTTCAAAATATCCGATACAATATCGCTGTGCGAAAACGTCAGTCGACATGAGAGTTGCGCGAGATCGAGTTGCTCTCTTTCTCTCGGTCTCCCGTCTCAAAGATCTCTCTCATCTTGACGTCGTGATCCTCCTCGCAGCGCGTGACAAAAAGGACGGGTCGTAGATGTGCGCGGAAGAAGAATCTCTCTCTTGCGCCCTTTCCCCCTTCAAAGATCGTTTACACCATTCTTGGCTCGGAAAGAAGAAAGGAAAAGACTCGCATGGCGAGATGCAGCGAAGATCCGAGAGAGGAATGAGAGAAGGAAAGACAAAACGCACGGGAAGAGAGAGAGTGGAGTTTCACGGCGAAGGGGAAAATAGTTATCGGACTAAAGGAAGAAAGGAAATCGATTGTGTTTATCTCTTAGACTGTTAATTTGGTCTCGGGGTCCAACGACTCGTAAAGAGTTATTGTATGAAATAATCGGGATGGTCTGAGTCCTTCTCAAACCTCTTCGCCTCCTCCTGCATGCTCTCCTTGATCTTCAGGATGGCCGCCGACTCGGTCTGATCCTGCGAATCAACCAACACCAGGCCGGTTACACGGTAAAACGATCAGGCAAGCCCACCAATTTTGCCCAAAATTCCGCGCGGCGTCTTTCACCAGCGAGATTCGTGGGACTCCCGGTAATCGCGCGACGAAATTTCGATCTCTCTTATCAGGCTTCCGTGATAACATTACTCGCTTCTTCAATTCAACTCGCGAGGGAGCCGGACGAAACCGAGAAGTCCCGCGAAAAAGTTCGGTCTTCACCCATCGTGCGAAAATGCTGGCCGGTGAATACGCGTTAAAAGCGCGTGATGGCGGTGCGTCGTGAAGGGGCCGGGCTCGTGAAAACGAAAAACTCCGTAGGAGAAGACACTGGGAGGTGTCGGTCTCGTTGTCGGGAATCGAAAGAAAAGTGGGGCTTAAGGTACTTGTTTGCTTAAGGGTGCTCTGACCCACAACACATGGACGTTACGTAAGATAGTGAAGCCCGTGTCGAGCCGAAAATAATACATAGCAACATAACAATGATAATGATGATGATAACAATAATAATAATAATAATAATAATAATAATAATAATATATAATAAAATAATAATAATAAAAAATTTATTAGCGCTGCCTGCCCCCCCACGCACGCACACCTCATCGACTATAATAGGTAGTATAGTGAAAAAAAAGGTACTCTATAGAGAAACTCGACGTGTCGTCCTTCACATACTTATATTTTTCTCCTCTCTAGCGGAGAAAAACTCTTTCGCCTTCTTCCAAGTTTTTTTTATCTCGATACCGATTTTTTCCCGATCTCTCGCAATCCATCGATTCGCTTTGCGCTGACGCATCCATGTGCTACAGGTCAGTACAGGCTAGTACTATATACAGCTATCATTCTAATCCGGTTTTTCTCATAGTAGATATGTATAAATATTTGTATTACGAAATATAAAGTAGTTCTCTCAACGAAAGTGCAACATCGATTAATGACATCGATTAATGTGTTCCACAGCCGCAGCAATAGTGAATAGTGCAACGTTTCGATTTAAGTGTCAAAAGTGTCGGAAGATCCAGGAAATACGTTATGTATATAGAATAATTAGTGATTTACGTTAAAAAAAAAATAACACTGATCGCGTACTAATCGGCTAATGGAACGATCAAAGCAAACAAATGAAACACAAGTGATGTATGTGTGTGATTAGCACAAGTGCAAATACACGGAGACAGATAGTTATATATAAATACTGATGATAGCCAGCACCCCTCGGATTGAATCGTAATAAATAAAAAAGAAAAACGCAATAGTCTCAGTGTAACAGGATTACATTTATTGTCTCGATCTCCCCTGCCTTAGGCATATACTAATTATGTTACCATTCAGCGATAAGAGTTCGGCTTACAACGAGGAATAATATCAAGTAAATTGGCATTAAGGGTACCAAACTATCTCTCTTTCGCGAATCTCTACGTTATTTCCAAAATTGATCATTCTCATATCGCGAGAATCAATCTTGTTGTTCTCCAACATACTCGAGAAAAACAACTATCGTGAAATCGGCATCGCACACTGATTTCCGAGACTCGTCCCGGGACCGGTCGTGTTCGAGCTTCGTACCCTCAATGCGCCGCTTCACCGAGCTTTTCCTTCACTCATTGATTCGTGTATGTATGATTAAAAAAGAAAAGATTGTTGCGATTCTCCGTACAAGCGCGTGTACTTTCTTTTCTCTGTTTGACAGGTGGGTTTAACGGCAAGACGTGAACTCCGGGATATCGGCAAGCAGCCTCTGCAAGGCTATCCTGCAATATCTCTCGCAAACAATTTCGCAGATTGCAAGCTTTATGTGTGATTGTAAGATAAATAATTAATTACCCGTCACCACGTTTCGCTAGTCGCGATCACAACTTTTGACAACGACCAAGTGATCGATGAGACGAAAAGAAACTCGCGCGATTTTTCGCTTTCCTGGGGACAGTATCAAACTATGTACTTACACATCTCGCAACAAATGTGGCGCAAATGATGTAAAGCAAAAAAAGAAACACACCCTTTTTTATAGCGATCAATCTTGTTAATCCACGACCCCAAGTCCAAAAAACGAAAGCGTTAAGAACGCTCGGCAACGTTCAGCGAAATAGCTTTTGTAACAACGAGCTCTTTTACGAGACAATGAAAGAAAAAGCCTGCAAGCGCGTCTTGCCGTCGATCCCAGAGCATGCACACTTGCGCATATGCACATTCGCTCCTTCTCTTTTGTCTCTCTTTCTCTCTCTCCCTCTCTCTCATCCACATTCTCTCCGTGTATCTTTTTTTTTTTTACATAAAATTCCATCAGTGTTTTTCTCGGCACTATAAGTTAAACATAACTAATAGCAGCACAGTATAGTCCAGTACTGACCTATAATCAATGCGGACGGATGGATTCCGGGAATCTCTCGCCTCTCACCCACATCGCATTATCTTCCGTTTCTCTATCTATACTCGCTCTTTAAAGGTTCAGTACTCGCACGTATCTTATGTTCATACAAAAATATTAACATTTGCATATATATTATATATTTATATGTATATCTATGCGTGTATACATATATATACACACACACACATATATATATATATAAAAAATCTTTTATACTTTCTCTCTACCATGGTTAAACTATAGTAGCAGTAGACCACTCGCCTCGCAATATTGCGTAACTTCGAGCTGTCGAATTACCGTCCGCCGAGAAATCCGCCCCTCTATTATTGTACAATCTTATTAATTAGCTACCAATATATAGGAGATGAAAACTACGATCGATTACTTACACGAATTATCATCGTTGTTTGAATATAACCGAGCGTAAAAATAGATTAAGAGAATTCTGTCTTTATAAAGATTCTTTCTTTTCGTCCTACGAATATGACAATAAAAATTGAGCAATCCGACAAACTTTACATATTTTGTACAAGAACGACGGCGAAACCAACGTAACGTTGACCGATTCTACATAGATTTTCAGAGAGAGAGATCAGATTTAAATAGGAACGATTTTAATTATCGCATTTCTATTATCATATCAACAGTAATTATACTGTTACGAAAAAGTTGTTAGAAGCACGACGCGACTCGTGTTTAAACATTAATCACATTAACCCGAAAGAATTTGAGTAGAGAGAGAAAATTCAATCGAAAATGTTGGAGATTCTACGCGAGCTTCCCTCGTTCTGACTGATTAATCGTTTTCACGTACGCGTTTGCGTCGATTTTTTTGTGAGCAAAAATCCGCGTATCTTGTAGACGACGCATAAAGATATTGCAATGCTATAAGAAGGACAAAAGATGTCTGCTCCAACTGTCGAGAGCAAATTGTGAGCAAACAAGTGGAGGGATTCGGTCCGAGCTTGCCTAGACTATTCACCTCATTACAGAGTCTCATAATGTCATTATATAAAATATATAGAAATTAAAACTACAAGAGATTCACGTGAATGCGCGGCATATATCCTTGCCGTAAAATTCTTTTGCGCATTAAATTGTTAACTCTATAATGCGATGAAGAACAGGTCAAATACCGATACAGATTAGCGCTGTCAATATTCAACGATTTCAGATATTATTCCAGTTATGCAATTATTTTTTTTTACTTCGAAATAAACAGATAATATTTACATGAAATATTTTCCAGATAAATTAAATCAAAATTTTTTGCTAACTTTCAATATATGAATATATATTGAATATTATGTGATATTATACGTGTATCTAAATGCATGTTTACATTCTGGATATAAAAAATATAGACAAATATAATTTAAAATTTAAAACTATTCGTAAACATATTGTTTTTAATTAAAAAGTATTAATAAAAATTCGGCGATCTTTTAAATATCTGATACTTGACGATTTTTGGTACTCGGGTAATATTCGCGAATTTGGATATAACGAATAGATATCCAAGTAGCCAGACGTATATTGGCAGCACTAATATAAAGCAGAGTGTGTGTAGTGAATTTAAAAGAGATAAAAAAAAAACAAGAGCGATTGATTAATTATGCGATTAGTAATCACAGTAGCAAACTGTTATGTATGTATGTATATCCTATTCATGTAGGCAAATCGCCATATAAATGTGTATGTGCATGTATATGTGTATACGTATGTGTATGTAATATCCCCTTGTAACAATCTTTACGTAATTTTTCAGGCACCTTTGCTTATGATCTAATTGTCAAAAAAATAAATATAAATAATAGAAAATAATCTGCTAAAAACTCTTAAGTAAAATATTTGCTAACATCCATAGCAAATTAGAGATATTATCATAATATCATAGTAAAAAAAAATATATAAAAACGAATATATCTAGTCTTGCAACCTTCTGAGTATTTGAGAGAAAGCATATACATACTGTATTCCTACGCGGCGAATCGCACGTGTATAATCATTGTTAAAGTATCTGCGCCGTTTAATAGTAGTAGTAGTAGTAGTAGTAGTAGTAATAGTAGTAGTAGTAGTAATAGTAGTAGTAGTAGTAGTAGTAGTAGTAGTAGTAGTAGTAGTAGTAGTAGTAGTAGTAGTAGTAATAGTAGTAGTAGTAGTAGTAGTAGTAGTAGTAGTAGTAGTAGTAGTAGTAGTAATAGTGGTGGTAGTAGTAGTAGTAGTAGTAATAGTGTAATGAATGAGCGCTTAAGTGCTAACTCTAATCGAGTAGGACAATCAATAACGGCCGCACGTTACGCCGCGTCTGACACGAATATTTCTTTCTGTTCTTTCGCTCTATAACTCGTTATGAGCATAAGAGCCCATTGACGAAATTATATTATTATGTGCCGGATAAAGAAACTAGCCGGAACGCACCATGGAATACGTGAATACGCAGCGAGTACGATGCTTTTTTCTGCATATTATGTATATATATACCGGCACCACGTGTAGAGTCTACGGCATCTACGAACTCGGGGCTGGCTCCAAGGCGACTTGACTTTTTAAAAAAACTGTCGAGAATACAGAGAAGGTGCACGTACGTGATTACTGATAACTTTCTTCAATTCGCAAGGAACATCTGCGACGCCGCCACTTGCGAATTACAAGTTTTGCAAAATAATAACGAAGATTGATACATTTTTTTATTACTAATAGACTATTCTGTTTTAGGTACAAAACATATAAACACATATAAATAATATCTTGGAAGAAATTTTTGTATGAGAAATACTAAAAATTGTGTTTAAAAAAATTTTTAAATATAAAAAATGTTATTATAAATAATTAGAAAAAATATTTAATTCAATAGATAATTATCGTTTCAGATATAGATATATATTTTTCGAGTTGTATAATGACTTTAATTTCTCAAGTACGAATACTTTTGCTTTGGCAAAAGAATCTTATTCATTTTCAATTATCATGCAAATCAACAAAGTTTCAATAAAATCAGAAATGAAAGCGTCGTGATTGTTCCTTGTTATCCTACCGATAATCTTATAACAACATATAAGATCAGCATGTAAAATTGTTCACGTGATTCAATCAAAGGTTCGGTTATTTTGTCGCACGAGAGTAATTTAATATCTCATTTTATAAAGTACGCAGAAAAAATTCAAGACACTCTTAAGATAAAAGATATATACATATATGTATAAATATGTCATCTTCTAAAAAAACTAATACAAGTAAATTGAAACTATTGTATTTAACGTAAATCGATAAAATATCATGTTGAAAAGAACAAGATCTTATTTTATACAGGATATACTTTTATAACTATTTATAACTATTTAATTTAATAATTGTATTCGCGATCTTGTTATGTTATATAAAATAAGATTATGTTATATATAAAATAAGGCACACATTTTAGACTTGTATTATATTAATGTTAAATCTCATCATCTTTCTGCCCACTTTATAACTGCATCGTTAGATTGTTAGTGCGATAGTTAGACGCAGTTTCAGCGAATACGGTTACATGATATATTAGATGCGACCAAATGTAACTGGCTGATTAAACTTGCCAAAATACCATATAACACGTGATTAAACAAAACACCTTTTTCGAAAAATTTATAGGGACAAATGATATTCTGTAATAAAGCATTAACAAACAAGCCTGTTGGAGCGAGGCTGAAGATAAAACCCTTTGAACGTGTGACTGAACCCATATTATTTTAGCAAAATACGTGAAATATCCGCCGTACTGATAGAAGCGCTTGTGGCTGTTAATTGAGATAATTAGAAGGGCGACAAGTTGTAACATGAATCTATATGCCATATATATAAAAGGACAATAATATAAAAAGATAATAATTTAAAGTTATTTCAATATTAACTTTTCTCTCTCTCTTTCTTTCTTCAATAAAGTGCATGGACAAGAGAAATGATTTATCAGGCAGAAAAATCGGCATACAAATCCACAACAACACATCGAATCAGGTTTATTAAAAACAGTTGTTAAAGAACCTGTGCATACTCACATTCTCTCCAGGAGCTCCGAATCCTCCCAGATTATAATCACCCATTCCGCTACCACTATCTTCTCGTGGTGTTCCGGGGCCACCATTCGCTGGACTATTTTTCATCCCATCGAGACCGTCACCGTTTAAAACTGGACCCATTGTATTAGGACCCATGGGTCCCATTGGACCGCCCTCAGGTCCGCCACTCATTGGGAAATCCTAAAATATACAAATATTTTAAACATCATCACTTTACACATTGCTATTTTAGCAAAAAATCTCCAATTGAAACATGTAAATTATTGAATAATAGCTACAGAAAATGATTATTTTTTTTAAATATATAGTGACATGTGTATTATTTAATTACACTTACACCTGGCATATTTCCTCCAGGTACAGGTTTCATCATGGTGTACATGTTTTCTCCCCCACTATTGCTGCTATCCTGGGGGCTAGGCATAATAGGAGTTCCAGGCCCTGGAGGACCTGTTGATCCAGGTGGTCCTCCATAGTTACCCGGTGATGACGACGAATAATTCATCGGCTGTGCATCATCATATAGAGCAAAATTGTATTAGAAATTTTACATTCTTTGAAGTCGCAGTTAAAACTAGATAAAAATGCAAAAAACGAGAAACAAAACTTTATACTGTACCGTAGATGTATTTGGCTGCCATTGTTGTCTACCACCTGGAGCAGCCATGCTCATTGGTGGCATTCCAGGACCTCCTGGTCCACCCGGGCCTAAGGTACTGTTGGGTGGCGGCCCTCTCATATTTGGACCATAACTGCCAGGACCCATCGGACCCATACCCGGTCCACGTGGAGGATTCATTCTCGGATTCATAGGGCTCATTCCCGGCGGACCTAAGATAGTAGATAAAGTTCGGTATATTTGATCGCTAAATGCAAAACTGTTAACGTTTGTTCTAATTCTATGTTAATACTAATTGCTAGTTACGATCTTGTGAACTAAACATTTCGTGAATTTGTAAATTCTATGATATAATAAATTGTGTGTGAGATCGTGTGTACTATCGTGTGCAAGAATATTAAATGTGGATTCAAAGTGCTGAAATTAAGAGTCATGCTTTAGCAAAGTCAAGCTCAAGATAAAAAAGCCGTTGGATGACATGCTGGTCAAACAACTGTCACCACACAAAAATTAACAGTGAAAAGCTCATGCTGAAAATAGAAACAGCATTGCAATATGTATTTTGGGGATGCAAAGGATAATTACAAACAAATATTCAAATTATGTATTCAACAATTTAAAAAAAACAAAATTTAGCTTATTAAATTCTATCGTTATTAAATTCTAAGTAGTTATTTCAAAGATGTAAAAGCGATTCTTTATTTTATATAATAATATATAATTATTGAATAATATTTGGATCGTAATTCAATATTTTGTAAAAAAGTACATATATATAATGTGACATTAATAATGTCTTAAACATATTATTAAACACAAATAATCAATTTTTCATTTACGTATAAAATGATCTTAAAAGAGAATTTGTAACTGATATTAGACATTCAAATATAGCTCTTAATTTAAAAACATCCACATACATACATACATACATACACACATACATACATACACACATACATACATACACACATACATACATACATATACATATACATACGTTCATACAAAAAGTATGTTGCTTCAATCTAATATCTACATACACGTATATTACGGTTTTTTTTAATTGAGATGCGCACAAAAGTATCACGCAATTATTGTGTCAAAAAAAAATAAATTCTTTCTAAATTATATACATTATCGCTATACACATAACTAAAATATTTTTTCAAATATTTAATTTTGATGGATTTAATCATGCTGGATGTGCTAAATTGAATGAGCGAATAATTTTGCAAGAGAGCAAAGCCGGTGCAATTATCTTTATTAAAATGCAAATTTTAAAAAAAATAAAGGCAAGGAGGAGAAAAAAATAAAAGTTAGATTTGACTAAATCATGTGAGTGTGTTTTGGTTGCTGGGTTGCTTCCTACCTTGCCACCCTACAAATTCTCCAGCTTCGCCTGAGGAACACAAGAGCACACATTAGTACGGCAGGTAGGTAAGGTCGGGTTCATGGTGGTAAAGCCTAGTTATTTTGCAGTGGTATAGTAGATAAAATTATATTTCGATGAAAAATCTCTAATAACTGTAGAACATACTTAAAAATTATTTTAAAATAATTTTTAGAAAAAGTTTGGGATAAATTATGTTGATGTAATTGTAATTAATTATATAACTTAAATATATAAATGTATACAAGCTATTTATCAATTATAATATAAAAATTCATAATATTTTAAGAGAGTATTTCTTAATCATAAATCGTAGTTTCTCGCATCTATTGTAGATTTTATGAATAATCAATTATTCTTGGAAGGCACAATATCATACATAACAGCACAAATTACTTATTAAGGAAAATAAAAAAAAAATTAGATAAAAGCATGTCAAATAAAATATTCGGTAAAGAGAACCATTGAGAGAGATACATATTTGCATACTAATTACACAAAACTGTATAGCAGTAACAATCGAACGCAAACTACACCACTGCTTGTAACTAGACAATTCAAAAACCAATCCACTCCACATCACAGCAATCCAATCCAATTTAAAATATTACTTATTTGTTTATTGCTGTGTGGTTTTTGGTATGCATGCGTCTATGCCATTCTCCTCTCGCAATTCTCGTCAATGCCAGAAAAAAAGTAATATAACACCGGCATGTAAATGATCTCTTACCTTGCCTAGTAGGATCCATACTATTTGACATCATTGGTTGTCCTGGTGGCTGCAAAAGAAATAAAAATATAGTGCAAATTTACAATATTCCATATGATATTTCTATACTTTCTATATTTAAATTTAAAACATAAGGACAAATTATTAAAGCGAAAATCATGAATAGCACAATATGTCATATATCTTTTTATTTATATATTTCAAGGACAAATTTCAAGATATTTCTTCAATAATAACAAAAATATCAAATAATCAATCATATGGAAATAAATTCTCATATACTCACCCCATTGAAGTCATTGCCCATTTGTGGCATACGTACTCCGGGACGTGGTCCTGCTGGATATCTGGGACCCATAAACTGTAACAGAAAACAATTTCTCATCATATTGATCATGTAATAATCATAGTCATAATTTGAGAGTGTAAATTAAAAATATAAAATGTCTCAGTCATGATTACTCTCTATACACAAAACTGGCTAAATATAGTATAAATACCAGGCAGCCACAATAAGCAATCCGTGAAATGATAGGCCATAAAATATGCAAGTTCAGTCAAGTTCATCGCAGCACATAAATTGGTTATATCATTACATGTATTTTTTTAAGCGCTTTTTGAATGTGAATTACATTTATTATATACCGTAAATATAATGTTTCGCATTATCATAGAAAAATCATGTGTATACATTTTTGTAGTATAGTCAGACATCAAGAAGGAAACAGTTATAGCAATTATGACGACAGTTATGAGTTTTGGTTATGCCATGATATGGTGCGATGACACAGCGGAACAAGTGATCCTTTATGAGTGAGAGTGTATGTGTTGAATGAGGCTTACCTGATTGGGCATCATCTGCGAGTGTGGGGGCGGGGGTGGCTGGGGGTGCTGGGGGGATGGCTGTGATGAGGGGTGTGTGGGCGGAGATGGTCGCATTGTCGAGTTGTTCTGCAACAAGCAACGCAAACGACAGACATGTAGCAACACTGCGATCCAGGCAACAGCTAGACTAGAAGGCTTTTGGGGATGATTGTGTTAATACTATGATCGGTCTCAGCATCTTAAGAGTTACCCGAAAAAAGTTGTAATTAGGAAAATCATTCATATGACGTTTCTCAGTCCATATATTTCTTTTTTTCATAATTACAACTCATGTGAGAGATCGCTTCTAACACTAAATTGTGAGATAAGACATACAAGAGTACGAAAGGATGCCAATCAATTGTAGAATGTACAGCATTGTAGAATGTAAAAAATGAACTTTGTAGGGAAGATATGATGACTCTTAAGCATTATGAAATACCTATTAAGTTAGACAAATCTAAAGAGAGAGAAACTCCATCATTTATATACCATATAATTATTTTTGTCTAATCTTTAATACGGGAGTGACTATTTTGAAGCAATAGATGTATGGCTTTTCCCATTTTCTTTCCCTTTTCCATATAAATTTTATAAATTTTATATCTTCATATTACATATTTATATAATATTTCTATTTTTGATTGTATATTGTGATTTATAATTTAGTATAATTAATGATATTAATACAAATATCATAGTTATACTATTAAATTATCAATCACATAAATTATAAATTTAAAATCATATTTACATTGTTAAACAGAACAATATATATTCATAATATTAATAAAGTAAAATACTGATGTAAAAAATAAAAAATGTAAAGTTTTCATTTTTTGCTTATGTGTGATTGCAAATATTTTATATATATCTCTAGTATTATATCATAAAGTTAAACACAATTATCTTTTAAGATTGTAAATTCTTTCATTTCTTTTTATGTCAATATGTATAATTAATATACAATATATCTATAATAATTGATTTTTATATAAAATTAACGCACTTTTTCAAAAATAATGTGAAGAAATCGCGAACCATTTGTAAAAGGAACTAGACTACACTCTAAGCAGGCTTCCATGTTAGTTATCCCATACATTCTAAAGAGTATAACTTTGGCTGGTCATGTTAAAATATTGAAATTTATATTTGTTATATCTGTAAATATAATAAATCAAAAACAATAATCTTTCTCTAAAATATTTTTAGATATTACTATGACGCATGACCAGTACAAAGCAGTACACTCGTAATATGCTTACAGTATCACAATATATTGTGCTAAATATATTCTAACATCTATATAATCCTCTGTTCGCGTCATATAAAATTTCTAGATTTGCCTTATGCGCCAAGGAGATGAAACAGTGAAAATGGTACAAGAACGCACATACAAGTATTAGATAGAGAGCAGAGAGAAAGTAAGTAACATATATACAGTATAGACAAGCATGACATAAGAACGTCTTTTGAATGTACACTTGTTTCAAAACGAATTGATGACGACTATGGCTTGTACGTGTACATTTATCGATAATATAGGAATACATCAATATGCTTAATTAAATAAATATGCGCTAAGAATTTATAACTCTTTTGTTTGTTTCAAAATAAAAGAAAATGATTATATACAAAAATCGGTTTATTATATTGTCTATTTATATATAATATATTTAAAAAATTTTAATATCACTTAACAAAATTAATTTCATATAAAAGTAATGTAAAGAGTAATTTTAAGTAACATCTCTTTAAATAAAATATTTCTTTTTATTCCTCCTTTCTCTTGATCTACTATGCAAATTAAAACTGTTTTCTTTTGACCTACTACTAGATTATGTTACAAACTTTTTTTATTTTCAATTAGGCTAATTGCATTATGCTTTGAATCAAGTGTAAATTTTAAACCAAGTCTATATGTATGCATAACAATATGTATGAAAACAGATATATGTGATTATGTATATATATATATATATATATATATATATATATATATACATATAAATATTATATTCGATGTTTATGACAGATATGTATCTATGAAATTAGATACATATAAAAGATTAGTTTAAATTTCCTTTGACACTTGTAAATATATTTTAAAAAATATTTTCTTTTCTCTCAAATATCTAATAATTCTCGTGCAAAACCTACTCAAGAAAGTATCTTTAAAAAGATATATTAAGGATGAATATAATATTAATTATTATATTTAATAAATATGAATTAAAATTGAATAAATTTTTCACTAGAAATATTGGAATGCATTTTAATGCAATCTTAATAAATGCAATTACATGATGGCTTAATTAAGCCAAATATATATATATAACGATGATTTTTTTCACTTCATATTCTGTAAGTAAAGATTGAGGAAAATGAATAATATTAAGACAGTTTAATATTATAAAATGAATGAAGACTCACTGGAAAGAAAGCAGGAGGCATGGGACCACCAGGCATTCCATCATTTGGTGGCATCTGACTAATTGGAGATGGGGCCGGTCCAGCATTCTGTAAACATTTTATATGGCATTAATGTACAATATATCAAATATAAGCTTTGTGTTTAGCTTGAAAAAAAAAATATCTTTATGTAAAAGTTCATTAAAAGGATATTTGCAAGATTGTTTTCTCTGATTACTATAATTATTGATACAACATTGATTATATTAATATAACTATTAATATATAAATATATATTAAAGTAGAAAGTTTAAGAGAAGTACATATACATATGCTTAACACAAATATAAATTTAATATAAATTTTTCAACTTACATGCGCAATACCATTAACATTGTAAGCACTGTTCACAAATCCCTGTAACAAGAACACACATTTTATAATTAGTACGCAATATGTCACAAATACTCTTGCATATCTTTTACATTTAAATATTTAAATAGTTAATAATAATTTTCTGCAAGTTATAAAAAAAACATTCTACTATCGTTAACATACACATATATTGTTACATAACATAATTACATAGTCATGAAATGCTTTGGCTTCACTGCTATGTTCACAGGAATCTCTTCTTTCGGGTGCCGCACAGTACAGATCCCAAAAGACACTGAAATAATTTATATTATATTAATTTATATTATATTTTGTACTAAGATATTTTTACGATAAGCAGCTTGTTATATTTTTTAAATTTAATAATATAAAATAAATGAAATAAAAAAAGAAAATATTTGTTTCTTTTTTCAGCAGGAATCAAGGATCAGCCATCAAACATAATAAGTACAAGTACTCGTACTTACCACCACCAAGAATGTAAAAACCCAGGTGGTTCTCCAAGTGTAATATTTTTTTCCCATCGAATCTACAATAACAGAGCAAACAATATTACAGCAAATACCATATTTTAAAATACAATGTACATATAAAAATAATTAGAAAGAGTTTACCCTTATCACATTATTACCTGTAAATTGATTATTACCTCTGACAGGAATGTTTGTGCTGCTTTTTGTGCACCTACATGTAGCAAGTATTCATACACATAGAGTGCCAATCTGAAACAACACATATATAATTAGAGATTTAAATTTTAAATTGAAAACTCCTCTCACACAATTTCAAACAATAATATTCAAATAATAAAAAAATCTCATGTAACGCAGGACCTCGAAGATAATGTGAATACGGAAATCAGGTGAAACGTAATAGAAAGAGCATAGACTCGGAATTATGAAAATGACGATTCTTCGCAACTGGCATTCTTTTTTCTTTATTATCGTTTTAGAAAGCCCGTACTTTACTCGACGAAGCCGACAATCGCATTTCCTTACGAGGCCGTCCATTAAACGTAAACTTTTTTTTTTTAACATCGACTTTCCCCATGGTAGGCAGGTAGATAGGTACAAGCAGTAGGTAGACAGATAGCCATATGACGCGCATCCAAACCTAAAGCAATTCGCGGCGAGACCGGCTTCGCGAGCGACGCGAACATGGCGCGGGAATTACGCCGATTCGCGAATCGGAGCGCGTACTCGTTCAGAGTGACTGACAGCGCGAGCAGATCAATCGCCTTTTACGAGAAAGCGGGTTATGCGCCGCGCGCGCGAGAGGAACCTCGGCTAAGCAATTTTCCAACCGGTCGACTTCATCTCCACTTTCATATACTTCTCGTATCTTTCTTGACGGCCCAAAATTTTTCTCGTTTGCACCCTATTCGTCCTATGATTTTTTCGGTCCTCTTTTTTTTTTTTTTTTTTTTTTTTTTTTTTTTAAATAAAAATTAACACTGCAACTGCAATCATAAACACAGATGAGTTTCTTGCCAATTGATTATTAGTTTCCAATTGTGATTTTTTAATTTTTCATTACAATTAAAGTTACTCATCTTGTAAAAACAGTCGAATAAGATCGCAGCGTGATTTGGATTCAGAATTAATCGTAGTCGATCCTACAGCAAAGTCAGTCGCATCGACAGTTTTGACGGATCGATTCTATTTTTAACGATTTCCCCACCTAATTCTACAAGCTTGCTCGCATTTAGTTTCGCTTTTTCAACATAAAATTAATACATTCAATCTCTTTGACGGGAGAAGGGGCAAAGAAAATTAATGCGAGAGAAATGCGACCAAAGCAAACTTTGAATTAAAAAAAAACATATCCACATATATATAGATTGTCAAAAATGGCTACAATCTGGACTGTGTGTCAATCGATTAATCAAACTTTTTTTCAGCAAAAAAAATTAATTCACCGCTAAGATTCCAACGTCGATTAACTTTGAAAGTATAAAACTCGCGTCATTAGAGCTCCGTTCGAGAGAGTAGAAACTTGGAAAATCGCGATATTATTCGCTCGACATCGTCGTCCCGCGAATCGCCTTTCGGAATTTTATCTCGCGATACCGCGTGCCGATTTATCGCGCAAATGATCAGCCTTTCGTACGTCAAGACTCGAACCAATCTCGAGCGGGGAAAGGGCGGGAAGCATCGTGACGTTTGAACAAGAAGTGGACAAAGGAGAAACGGACGAACAAATCGGCAGCTCGTCGCATCGGTAAACTGGATTAACCCGACGAACCAGGTTCCTCGACGACGTACGCTTCCTTCGAGCAAAAAGAACCGATGATGGCAAAATAAAAAGAGAGAGAGAGAGAGAGAGAGCGATAAAAGTGACAGGAGAAGGGGAAGGGGGCTAGAGGGATGAGAACTGCACGAACGAGCAGGAGCGGGAGAGGGGAAACGCGGAAAAGAGGGAGGGAGGATGTTCGAGAAAAATGGAGTTGCCGAGCGATCAATGGCCGGCGTAGAATTTTCACAATTTCCCATCCTTCCGATTCCCGCGCCACCGTGACATACGTACTTTTCTCTCGCCTGAGAGTCCGAAGGCACGGACGACCCTTTTCCCTTCGCGTACATGGTCGCCGTGGTGGCCGGTCAATCCTTCCACCGTAAACACAAGTGCGCCGCCGTTCCGTTCGTCGATGCGCCGCTGGAAGTCGCGCTCGGCTCGGACGGCCGAGTGAAAAGAACGGGAGATCGGGGACTCGCGCGCGCGCGCGCACGTCCGTGCGTGCGTCCGTCTCAGCGTCTATCTCGCTCGCTCCAACGGCCGATGGTAATCCCTTCGGCGTGCCGCTGCCGTCGCCGCTGCTGCTGTTGTTGTCGCCGCTGCTTACGACAATGTGAGACTCGTGTCAAGCTAAACGCGACGTAGACGGAACTGAGAGAAGGTGCAACTGCTTCGTCCAACGCGCTCTCTCTCCCTCCCTCTCTCTCTCTCCCTCGGAGGTGAGTCTCTTCTCTCTTCGTCTCCCGCCCGCGCGCAGATAACGCGAAGGTCTTCTCCCTCGCGCTTTTTCGTCGCGTCAAAAGTCACGACCAGCCGTCAGCCGTCGTCTCACAGCCGGAGCGAGGTTCCTGTCGCGCGATATCGGAGTGACACGACGCGACGCATCACGGCGTCGTCATCGTCGATTCAGGTGCGTCGCTGACAACGCCTCGTCGCCGCAACCGCCGTCGTCGCCGTCGACGTCCTCATCGTTTCCGCAGCGCGAAGCCTTCCTTCCGTTCGGTCGTCGTCCTTCCGGGACACCGGGTATATTTACGGTGCGATCGGGAATTATACGCGACTCGCTTACGCGCGTCCTATTGTCCCGGATCGAGATCCCGTCACTCGCGTCTCGTCGTCGGTCTCTCACTTCACCGCTGCTCACTTCACCAACCGTCCACTACTCATCGTCGGCCTCGTCTCCCCGCGTCTCCTCGCGTCGCGGACTCGGATCACCGGTCGTCGCGATCGCCGCCGGACGCGGCCTTCGTCTTCGACGAGTCTCGTTTTATCGCGCGCGCTGCTCCGAAGCGTCTCGGCAACACGGCAACGGTGATATCACTGTGTAACCGGAACCGTGGTGTGCGTTGCCATCTACCATCTGCGCGCGTGCGCACGTGCGCACGCACTACTACACACACACACGCGTAAGCGCAAGGATAGTGGAGGGGGGAGAGAGAGAGAGAGGACGGGCTGAACTTACCGTCGTGTAAACACGGGCAAGTTCGGAAGTGTAGCTCGCGTAGATTTCGCACGCGCTGCACGACTACATGCAGATAAGTAGACGGGTAGATACGCCATCCCTCCCCCTCCCCCGATTCTCGTTGCGCTCCGTCTCTTTCGCTCGCTCTTCCCTCTCGCTCCATCTCGCGATCATATCGACGCGCGCCGTCCTTGTCCCTCGCATCAGCCGGGAGCGCGATGCGCGCGCATCGCCGTTTGTTATGTCAGGGTCGTATGCACGAGGCGCACGACGCGGGACCCATGGCTTCCCTTGAGATTTTTTTTTTTCGTGTGTACAGGTGCGAATCGGATCGCGAGTAATGTAATTCGAGATCATTTTACGCTCAATGATTTTTTGACAGGGCGTCTCTCGCGCTTCTTGCTTTCGCCCGAGGGAATTTTCTTAGCTTTGATACGTGACTGACTTTTACCAATAGCGATAATTTCGAATTTATTTAATTAAGTGTATAAATAATTACGTACGAGGAATTGGTATTAATCAATATTGGAACATCGAAGCGAGAAGGGCCTGGCTGCGTAAATTGCGTCTATTTTCTTAAAATTACAACTGAAAGACTGGTCGCGGTCGACTTATTTTTACCTACAGTGTAAGCGTAAGAGTCTCTTGAATTCCTGTCTTATCCCTAAAGGAATATACCTTTCCAGCGTATTATTTTATCACGGTTAACGATACACCGAGCATCGATATTTCTATATAATATTTTGACAGAACTTGTGTTTTTGGCTTACGTAATTTTCTTCAACCTTAAAACACACAATCATAAGAAAGAATTCATTATAGAGTATTCTCTGAAGAAAAAACTGTATATTTGTATCCTCAGTTTGGACTGTATTATATCGAGAAAGAGCCACCAAGCTACCTAAACAAATTGAATTCCTTTTCAGTTTATATGCACTCACACATAGAAAGGCAAGGGTCGCCGATACCTGAAGTGCGATTGAAAAGATCAACGGGATTTTCCGAGAAAGAGAGGAAGAGAAAAAGTTTCAGAAAATCGCAAAAAATATTTTTCCACAAAGAATCGTCGTGTCAAGATTACCTGAGGTATGATAAATCAATGTCATAAAATACTGATTATTGCAAAAATTTATCGCACTTTTTCGAATCTCGCGTTAAATATATATCTCTCTCTCTATTTGACATGTTTGTGACATATGCTATTTATAAACAATATATGTCAAATTATGTTAGAGTAAAAAGTGACAGGTGACTGCGTTAAACTATGCGCGACAAGTTTTACGTAATTTGACCTCACGCGTGAAATAATTAAAGTATACTTAATGTCAGTCTTGCCAGCTTGACAATCTCAGACATGTAGCTACGATAATGAGATCGCTGCGGGATAAATTTGCCGTTATCTCGCTAAGCGTGCGAATGCATTTTCGGCGCGCGAGGATAATTGCGCAAAAATGCGTCTGGCGACACGACAGGATGTATCGCGGGATGATATGGTGTTGGCGAAAAAAACGCACCGATATTGGGATAGGTCGATATTTCGATATCGCAATAAAGGCGCAGGCGTAAAACAAGCGAGAAATTATACGCGAAACACGTCGACGCGGCACATTGTTGAATAAAGGACGAAGTTGTGTCCCAAAAAGGACCCTGCCCTTAACGAGGAACGAAGAGGGCGACACTCGGGTTCGCTCGCTCTCTCTCTCTCTCTCCCGATACGTCACCGGCTGCAACTCGGCGCCCGATTGGAGGACGATCCGCTGCATACACAAGAGCATAATATACACGGTGTGCGCACACCGTCGAGTACTATCGGCGTGCGTACATCGGCGAAGGGGGGAGGGGAGAGAAAGAACGAGAGGTAGGTAGAAACGGGGGAGGAAAACGAAGAGCCGGTACGCGATCGTGCCCGAAGCTCGACGGACGCGACCGATGCGAAATAGTCGACAATTGACGCGATAGAGAGTTTGGCGAGAGGTGCGGGAGGAGGGGAGAGGGCTGAGCGACAGCGGGGCACGGGCGGGAGGAGGCGCGCCGTTCTCTCGGGTGAACCGCTTCCCCTTTTTCAATTTTATCATACGATCGACGCAGGTTGTACGTTCGGATCGGCGTCGTTATTATATGCGAAATTAGACGAAACTCTTCCGCAATTCTTCCTCCCCCCCTGTCCTCTCTCCGCGCGGATCGATCCGAAAGGAAGAGCGTGATAAATCACGCGGCGACGTTGTTAATCCGAACCCTAGAGAATTAACCGAGTGACTCTGGCTTGGAGAACTTTCAAACTACGCATAGTAAGAGGAATATCTTGCGATATGTATGCGATCATGAATACTATCGGAATCATATCTGTCAAAAGATGCACTTTTCGCGCGCATTGTATCCTGAGACGACTCCTTATGACGATAAAAATTAATTTCTCGATGTTTAGCAGCGTGCACGCATGGACGGCCCGGGCACGATTACCTGGGAGGAATTTCTCGAGGATGCAGAGAGATTTCTTGTTGTCTCCGACAGGATATCGGATGGATGGGAGTTTCGCGGGGACAAGGTACTTTAATTACGGTACTTTACCGCGTTACTTTGTATATCGAGTCGCTTGCATATCGACTATAAAATATGCAAATTGGATAACGCGCATAATATATTTGTTAATGTAGCATTTGCAATTATTATTAGTATCGCGTTGTTTGTTAAATACATGAAATTTCGTAATATTTGAACGTATTCCTCAAAATGATCTTACTCATGCGCACCTCGAGCGGATATCGAAGTCACGGGTACTTGAACACAGACCAAGCTTCGAGAAATAAATTTATTGTTTCGACGAAATATTGTGTTCATCGAGATAATAAAAAGAAAATTTAAGATATAATAAAACAAAAATTACGAAATTATTCATAAATCTTTTATCGTCTCAATGATGTTTAGGGTATTCCTGGACAAGCATATTTATTTAAAAGAACCAAGTGTTTCGTGCCGAGCGATTCCATTATGAAAAATGACGACGACGACGATGACGACGACGAGGAATTCCACGTGAAATTTCGAGAGGATCCGCACGAGGTTCCTTCGACGCTCGAAACGCCCCTCATCACCGAGTATCATATCCTGTGGTCCATGAGTTATGGCGTTCCAGTTATTTACTTCAATAGATGGAAATCATGTAATTCATCGTTGATTACAAAAAAAAAAACATAATTTACTTAGCAAAAGATGTGCGCGAAAAAAACATTTGTTACTTTTGTATCACGTTAATTTTCATGGGAGGAATTTTTAATTAAATATAAATCCAAAAAGACACGACGGGACGTTCTAAAATTTCGAAAATTATAGAAATAAATATATAATTTGCGCGGTTGTTGACACATTTGTGCCTCCTGTGTCTCTGTATGCATCGTTTATTGATTATAAACGCAAACGCGTATTCGCCTATTTCGATATTCGCGCAGATATTCCCGTGATATAATTAATCTTGATAACGCATTTTAGCGCTACGGAAATGCGTCATATCGTTTAGATTAATTATTAACGCTGATCATTTTTTACATATTTTGTCAACGAGAAGAAATTGTCGTGAGAGAGAAGGGCTCTGACGTTTTGCATTTTTTTTAGATTTCCCTGGTATTAACCCAATGAGCGTAAATGAAGCGCAAGCGATTCACGATTCCAAATTAAATTACATGGAATTATCGCAAGCGATTCATCCTATCGTCGGGACTCCATTCTTGCAATTACATCCGTGTCTCTCGCAGGAATTGCTACGAAGCATGTCGAAGAGGTGAAAAGCGCGTTGAAAGATAGAATGATAGAAAAATAAAATAAAAATTATTCTACACAAAAATTTTAAACTTAAATGTTTATCGAGAATATTATAAATGTTGCAGCAAGAATAAACTCGTCAGTTGGCTGAGCTGCGTAGCACCCGCGGCCCTAAATCTCAAAATACATCCGGAATACTACAAGCTGACGTACTGCAAAGTCTAGCCATTTCCAATTGTCAAAGAAATAATAAATATTTAAATCGTAGATGTGTCTATGCGAGAATACTCCTCATCAACATCCATCTCCATTTAACGAGAAAAGAAAGAAAGGTATTATAACTTTTATAACGTCAACAGAAATAAGTACTGGTTAAGTGGTCATTTACCGATGACCGGTCATTCATCTGTACCTACACATATCTATATATAGCATCTATTTTATGTCTCGCGAGACTATTTGCGAGGAGCTTAATCTCATCTCCGCTCGCGAGTGTATGCGAATAATTAATTCCGATCACGAGTGTTCGATGGCGACAATTCAAATAGAATCCGTCCGCGTACAACAGGCAGCGGATCTAGCATTGACCCACGGCTGCCGGGTAAATTGCTCGCAATTGAACGCTCGGGCAAAAGAGACCGGGGCGTGGAAAAGAGAGCGCGGTAATTAATGCGGTCGCGCGCGACAATTAATTCGCGCAAGGACAATTTGCGTGCGGCCCCGGAATATATTCGTTCCCGGCGCAATTTTCGTGCGTACGCGCGTGTAATGTACAGTGTCGGGTGTATCAGTGACGTCTGCTACACCCCCGCTTTCGCGCCAACGTACTTTTGCGAGCTTCCTCGTTCCTTTGAAACGAGGATAGAGATTAATTTTGGACCGGGTATGGTTAATTATATAATTGTAAATGATTCTTTTCCTCAGGTATTGCAAAGAACTTTGATCGCCTCGAATGTAAGCGCATCGAACAGTATTAAAACGTAGCCGAGAACGTACACGTTCCCGTCTTTATCGCGACTACGCATTCGCGTAGCACGCGCGCCAGTGGTTCTCAACCTTTGACATGATCAGCGACGGAGACAACAATCCCGTTATTTTCCCATCTCTTTTGTGAGCATCCGCCTCTCACGAAACACGTGCCGTTTTAAATTACAATAACAAATGTAGGAGATTATTCATGTATGACCTTCATTTCCAGATCGTCTCATGATTTATAGATTTTATAGACACGTGGCGCAAAAAATCGAGGAAGTTATTTTTTATTCTTGCGATGAGAAGAAATGGCGAAAGAGCGCGGCATTTTCATTGAACGGATTCAATCTATTGGATCACGTGTCTTGAGAGAACAATCGAAATTATTTTTGCACGTAGATTACAAATCGGAGACAGAGAGAACACCGGTTTCTCATTTATCAAACTCTGATAACATTTATTAATGTTGACCGTGTATTTCCGCCAGCGCGGTTGGATTGAAAGATCGGATTATTGCTGTTAAAATAATCGGCACGTTTCTCTCCCCTTCCTTCTTTTTGGCTACTGAACAAATGCGTAATCGACGACAGCTCGCTACGGTTGCGTTAATATTTATATAAGTTTCATACACGTATTATATATTGATTATTTTCTTTCATTAACTCTTTAATTGTAATACCTTAAACTGCTCTTTTGCAATTGCAGGCAGGCAAATAGAATGTACTACGGTATACTACAGTTACGATCAATCAAGATCAATTATTTCTATCTATATCAGTATCATATCTGTTATATAATATAACAGTGAAGCTTTAATCATTTATCATAATTTCAATATCAGCTAAATGCGTATATATTTATGACATTCGCAGCTAGGATTAAAAACGACAGATATGGTATAATAAAGGTATAATATCGTCTTAAATACATATACATTATCAAACTAAATTTCTACAATATAATGCCAGGCGTATATGTAAAATGTCTAATTCTTATTTCTTGTGTTTTAGTTCATTATACTGCTATTGCTCCGTGATATAAATATAGCGAAGCAAGTAATCCTCCGTCGAGGCAGCAGTCACTGGCTCCACCTATAAAGGCGACGGAGCCACGCGGTCGGATAGAAAGACCGATTCCCCGTCGCCCGCGCGCGCTTTTCGAACTCGAGCTTGGCTCAAATTACCCCGCGCTCGAGTATCGTACGGCTCAATCTCGCGTGTGCTCTCGCGACAGGCTCCACGCAACAGGCGCGGTTAGTCGTCGCGTAGCGCACGCGTGTCGCGAGTAATCCCGCGTCTCGCCAGCCGCCGAATAACGGCGTCCTCTTTCTCGGTGTGTCACGGTGAATCGCCAATTTCAACCCGAAGAAACCAACAGCAAGTCTAGGTATCGCATTCCCATAAAGTCGACGGATATAGAAAACGGACTGGATTCTCCCGTGCAGCGCTGTGTCCTGAAAATCGATAAAAAAGAAGAGGGAGAAAGGGTTCACAATCAACAGGGAATGAAGCACGCGAGTCCGAAGACGATCGCGCGCCAAAACGGATGCTGTATGCTCCGAATTTGACTCGACAACAGCGTCAACTTCTCGAGGAGAACAGCACGTATTTCTTTCCTCGAGTATGTTATCATCAAGAGAGCATGCACCGATCTTTCTATCGCATCAGTTTTCTGAGCAACAGTATGGTAAAATTTAAATTAGAGTAAGATACGCGAAAACAGGAAGACGCGCTTCGATGCGTCGTTCATTATCCGAATTTTAAGAGGAGGCGTTGTATCGATCCTCGCAATGCGTGGGCTGTACCTCCTGACATCTGATTCGTTGCGTTCGTCAGACGGAAATAGAAGCGCGCAGATAGAATCCGGGTGACAATGAATTTGCCATGGCGACCGCGCAAAGTCAGTGGAGGAGGACAAGGAGGAGGTGAAAGAGGGAAGAGCACGAACGCGGGATATTTACTCTATCTCTGAAGATGCTAGATTCTGAACGAGAATTGTTTGTCGCAAAAATTATTCCTTTCGCTTTTTACTGCCAGTTTTTATCGAATAATATCAAAGATCATCCAGACAGAATAAAACGAAGCTAGATAATGATCTACTCAAGATCGCTTAAAATACCACTCGAAAGAAAGAGAATAGAGAAAAAAGGGAGAAAGAAAAACGTGACCTTCACGCCGTTTTATTGAGGACACATTCAACGAAACGCACACATGCTCGTACATGAATTCGTAATTTTTTGTTTCATCTACTTAATCATCCTTCTTCTCCCTCTTTCTCTTCTTTCCTCTCTCTCTCTCTCTCTATCTTATGTGCGCTCTATCCTTCTCTCGCGCGCTTTTCGAACTTGTGGCATAAACGTCACACGCGCGCGGCTCTCCTAACCATCCATACACCATGCTATAAAGAAGCAACTTTATACCGCACCGCACAGTCTCGCGATCGTCGTCGCGTCGCGCGCAACCGAGTCCACGTTATCCGGGAGCACGCGTAATCGCGAGACACGCACGTTTAGCGCAAAATATCACGATTGGTTATCGCGACGCGAGCTCTAACAATCCTTAGTGAATCGTCTCAATGGTACGCGAGCACTTTATTTCTTCGTGAATGACTTAGAATATTGTTTGTGCGATAGAAATATTAATATGTACATGTGCGAAGCGCTGAAAGAATAGATCAAAACAGTCCTGACATAGAAAACAAAGAAGAAAAAATCTTAGAGTTAAATTTTTTGGAATTGAGAAATTCCAAAAAATTGAGAAAAAATCTTGCAATTACAGTTAAATTTTTTGGAATGGAAGTGCATTGTGTTTATTCGTATCTTGAAACAAACAATAAGTGTACATTTTCCTTGTTTGAGCTCATTAACATGCGATTTAGCAGCATGTGGGAGGACTAAACACATGTCTATTTGGATCGAATTATCATTCGTATGGCTTTGATCTATTTGGACTTGCACAGATGTTTTTGCATAAATGAAAGGTTTTTCTTTCTATCGCTTGACATAAAATCATCTTATGTAACTTGTAGCTTTCACCTTAAAATAAATCGATCCATTTTTTTATCTATATAAATATCTATAAATCTTAATATATTATTTTTATCTTGCATATCCTAAAATAAATCCATCTTACATTTATAGAAAGATATTTAATTTCCTTTAACTTGAATTATTATCTATTTTCCATGATGAGAAATTTTCTTCATATTTTCTTCAAAAAATTAACAAGAAAGACAAAAAGATAACAAAAATAGGTATAATAAACATTCACGAAGGCCATGCGAATATTGTGTACATTTTGATTAACGAATGCATGCGAATAATTATGGATTCGAAGGTTATATGAAATTAATCGCAAACGAGGCAACAAAATCAGGGAGCTTAAATTTAAAGCAAGGGGATCGTAAAGGGACATTTTAGGACCTTCCATTACTGGTCGTTTCGCGCTTGATTGCATGTTATACGTTAAGGTGTAGCGCCGAAATAATCAACGGTCGACGAAGCGTGAATCGTATCGGTACCAGTTATTCTGCACGATTAGTTCACGAGTCGATCTTTCCTTGTGTCATAATTAAAGCTGTCAAACCGCTTACGCGCCTCGTAACGCATCCAAGTCTTTCATCTCTATCATCTCTTCCGTCGCGATGCTAATGGAATCGGCTGCGTGTTATACGCAAATTTGCTTAATAACAAATTACGAATAAATTACATCGTACTAGAATTAACTGCTGTTTAATTTCGTAGTGCAATTATCACGAATTATTCTGTTTATTATGGAATATATATAGTTATAGGGAATATCTATAATTTTATTACGATTGATTTATTATAGCCTATTAAATCAACAACTGTTTTATCTTTTTATCCCGTTGATAAAACGTAATGTATTACATAATGGATTACACATCATGTGTTGCATTAATTGCGTTACTTACTATTCATCAAAGGCTTATTCATCAAAGGCTTATTCAAAGATTCTTATTATGATTAATGACTTATTAAAATATTACATATATATATAAGCACGAAAAAAGAAAGAGAAAAAATGAAAAAAAAAAGAGATATTAATGTTATTTGATTAATTTGACAATTTTATTAACAAGTGTCATAGCATAACGATCGACATCTGTTGCTGGCGCGTAACGAAAAAGCAAACAGCAACAAAATTAAATTATGTATGCGGATTTTTTGCATTGATGAAAAGTACGTATTCTCTTTACGTGTTACGTAAAAAAACATGGCAGCGAATACTGCTCATTAACATCGTGCGCGTTTGATCACAAGCCGTATATTACAGCGTTGAAAATAAATGCAAAAAAAACGTCGATAAGTATAGAGTGTGTACGGGTTTAAAAGCTCGTAATATTAAGATTCAATATGTATCATTATATTATAACGCGTCGTTAATCTTCTGTGTTGCAGATAACAACAATAACTGCTCGTTGATCGACGATTTGACGAATATTTACATTTCCAAGTTTCTCGTCTCTCATCGACCGCCTCTGTTAAATTCGCCAAAGTAACTCGAAGGAATCGTCCCGTCAAAAGTAACAATAAGCGAGTTTCGCTCCGAAAAATAGAAGCAAAGGGAAGACGGTGGGAATTCGTTTGAATGAGGAAAGGCTCGTTTTCGCAGCGAGATCGGACGTAGCCGAAACAAGAGAAGAATCGCGTCAGCGGTGGATCGTAATCGAGTGGACAAGCAGCCGACAAACAATAGGGAGACCTGGTAGCGGCTTCCGATGGGGTCGTAACCGCCGTACAACGCGCGTATTCGTATATCGCGATGATAGGCTAGCCGGTAGCGGCAGGAAGAGATCGTCGTAGGGGGAGATCCATAGCCATAGCTAATCGTACCACCCAAGGTGGCACAGATTGAGAGCCCCATCAGCATACATCCTCTCCTAGCTAACGAGATACCCAGCATCCATCCAGTTTGCACGCGCATCGACGACGGTGTTCCATACGTATCAACTTTCCCGGAAGCGGCCCTCGGACAATCGATCTGCGATTTAATCCGATTCAGCGGTCTGCGTCCGCTAATCGTCAAATTGAAATTCGCTCGTAATTGCAGTGAGAAAAAAAGGAAGGGAAAGAAAGAGAAAGAAAATCGATTAGGATTAACGTTTTAATCGACGTTGAAGCGCCTGCATCTGCACGCATCCTCGACCTCCTTTTCCTATCGTCCTTCATCTCTTCTCATCTCTCTCGGCTTAATAGAGATTAACGGAGGGCCGTCGTACATCACTACCACAACGTGCGTTTATTCGCAAAGAAACGACGACGCGAAAGGGATAAAAAGAGGGAGAGAGAGAGACAGAGAGAGAGAGATACAGAGATTTGCTCTTAGTGCCCCTCGACGATCCACAACTCCGGTGATCCTCTTCCCCACCGGGACGCTCGCCGCTTCCGGCTAACTGGAAGTGACGCTCTATGTAAACGGTTTTGCCGAGCGACTCTCATTGGAACGTACAGGACATAGGAAGTACATCATGGAAGTAGCGAGCGAGTTGTAAGTATGAACTCTGCATGCGAACTTTTCTTAACGATTGTCTTACAAATTATTCGACTTGAATTTCTGTTCGAGCATTTACATGCTTATTATTACGATATTCATTCGTGTATCTTTCTCAAGGAGCAATGCATTTCTATTTCTAATGATGCAATTAATTTATTTGAATTATATTGGATTATTATGATAAGCTATCGTCGTTAGACGGCTGATACGCGACACGTGTATCGAATAAACTTTGCCCTCTGCCATTTGGATCTTACGTGACCCAGTTTCCTGCGAAATTTGTTGTCTGGACCCATAAAAAAACTCACGCAACGCTATTTTCGATAACAATTCTCCAGGCGAATCCGCAATTTAAAAATAACTATCACGTATAAGATACTTGATTTAAACATATTTTTAATTCGAAATACATAATGTATTTTATTCTTTTTAAATTATTTTACAATTGACTTTTCCAAGCTTTTATACACATTATGTAGTATATTTTTAATATATTGATAATAATTCTCCAGAGAAGAGAATCCGCAATTTAAAAATAACTATCACGTATATACTTGATTTAAACATATTTTTAATTCGAAATATATAATGTATTTTATTCTTTTTAAATTATTTTACAATTGACTTTCAAGCTTTCATACACGTTATACAATATATTTTTAAATTTAAACAGGTGATTATTATCGCACGTTTCTACATCTCTATACGCGGTTATTTATCGATAGTCGCATAGGAAAATATGAAACACCTGTTTCGATATATTGAATTTCATGTCGTCTCTTATTCTTAAACGATGTTTTAATCCTGTTAACAACTTATGTAAGAGAGACTCGACTTTCAATTCTTCTTTTCAATTCTTTTTTCCAACGACTCATTTTTATTATCGAACTGTAAATAAAAGAGGCGAGTGATTTATTCATGGGAGAGAAGTTAATGACATATCAATTTAACTTAATTATCTCTTAAATGCATTGAAAGTTATATACTTTTGAGATAATGTCTTGGAACTTGACGTATATTTTATAGCAGTACTTGTTGAACTTGTCATAATCGTTTACTCCGCGTGTTTGTAGCGAAAAAAATATTACAGAGATTAGAATACGAACATTATGGAAGGAGGATATTTATCTTACGTTATATCGCGCGTTGTATGAAAATAAATACGTAGCATGACATGTCGATAGTTTGCTCCGCAAGGTCCGCAAAGTGTACGAGGATTAAAACGCGATACAACTTTTTATACAGGATGATCTTTAAATTTATTGTGATTTGCGCCATTAGAAATGCAAATGCATATCGCACTTTAACGACGCTATGAATGGAAGCTACCCTGTACATACATACATATATGTGCAGTTGCGATCCATTATGTGCCGCGTCGTATATCGCATTCAGCGGCAACGGGATTCATTGGCACAGAATTCCATAATGGCAACAGCGGTACTTGCCGACTACTCATTAAATCATTGTCAGACTCGTTCTTAGTGATAAGAAACGGAGGGAGAAGACGACGGTTGCGCACACAGCGCTCAAGAAAAATCATTGTTAATTGCGTGATTAGACTGTCCACAGATGCAGCCTCCGCTCTATCTGTCAATTAGCATCCCCGCGTATGCGCTTTCGGATATCTCTCCAAAAACAAAATTACAAAAATTCCATCGTGAAATATCATAAATTGTCTAGATTTCATCTTTGTAGCCTTTCAGAATACAAAAATATAGAGATAAGTCTCATTTGTCAGACTTGTATAAAGAGACTATCGCGGTAAAATATTTGCTTGAAAATGACAAATTAATTATTAAATAAAAACGAGATAAGCTTGAGACGCATTCGATGGAAATGTGCCAATGAAATATATTGTCGCATATGCGAAAGTATATACATAGCAATCGCGCACGTTTGTCTTTATTGCTGAGATAAGGGAATACAATGATTCGCCTCTATGTTCGAAGCGCTGCAACTGCAAATTTGTCTTGTATCTCGTGCAATCGTTGAGATCGACGGAATTTGATTAAGCGAAATAGGCGTGTATCTTGTCGCATAGCGTGGGCGATTTTACCAACGGATTATTAGCAGAGATTTTATTAACAGAGAATTATTTGCTTTTAATGAGCTATGCGACGTATCGACCTGGAATGACAGATGGTCTCCATCATTTCTTGGTCTCGTCGACAATCTCTTTCGATTTTACTCAACGCGGAACTCTGCATCTTTCGTTAATCTTTCGTTTTCATCGCCTAATCGATTATATGTCACATGATATGTGTAACACGTGTAGAATCGATTGTTACTGTAGTAGCATGCTAATCAGGCAAGAAAAAAATAGAAAGGTTGCGCGATAAACAAACATATTTTTATCCAAATTTTTGTCTCCTAGTTTTATGACGTCAAACTTTAAGTGTGATGAAATATGAATATTAAGATTATAAGGCGCGAAGGAAATCTTTTTCAGATTTCACGACGTTAATCTTTCGAAATACATACAAGACAGGCACATCGTAAATTCTGCAATTGTGTCAAGTGCAACTTCTTACATAAGTGTATTCAACAAGTCGTTTGCCGGAGATAATTTTGGAACTTTCATCGAAGCCAACATCGTATATAATGTGACATTGAAGCGAATATAATGTGAACATTCAGCTCGTACGCCGCGTGTCACTGTTATTCTACTCCACAATTCACAGATGCCAATTGATATTTACTGTAACCGTATCTAATTTATTTATGCTGATTTTTGCACGCGAAAAAATTAAAAATTTCGAACGTGTGAAAGATGATGCGAGAAAAAGAACCAACGTTATTACATCTATTTTTAATCATGCGTTTTTAATCATCTTTCGCGCTGATCGTTTGCCTACAAGTTTCCCTAAACATAGTTGCCCTACATATTTTTCTCACTTCCGCAAAATGTATATTCTACTTGATACGCTCAAAAGCCGTAAAATTTTCATTTCCCGACACGTCAGTTTGACGTCAACGAAAAAAAAAAAACGATTCCAATTGACCGTTATACGAGACTATTGAACACGGCAAGATGATACCATTTAACTCGGTATTTAGCGCAATTCACGAACGCGGTCTATTAAATGTAATGTAAAACCGAGAGAGGAAAAAAAAGGCGACCCGTGCCGGAAATGTAGTGGTTAATTCTCAGGGACGATTTTTTCTCATCCGCCCGCGACACGGGGTTGTTTTTTAATGATCGCGTGACACACGTGTCGCTCTCCATCTGTGAATAACGATACGTGCCGAGTTTCGTCATGCTATCGACAGATTAACTGATTAAAAGTCATCTCGCTCGTTGACCTCGATATTTTCCATTCATCTATCACTCGCTAGATTCAAAATTCTCATCACGGAAATTTAACGCTTCCTGAAAAATATTGCGATTATGTATCACATTGCGACATTTAAACTCTGAGGAATTTATCGCCGCGTTCGATCTAGAAGTCTCTTTCGTCGAATCCGATATTTCTGTAATATTTATTATTATTTAAAATTAACGATAAGATAAAAATATCGGTCAGTAGGGCACGGGAGGCCGCACCTTACATTAAGTATCAGAATTCGTATGGAACTTTAACACGAGACGAAAACAATTGCCCCATCCGCGAAACCGTGACGATCGCCCACGCATCAAATTTATATCGTATTTTTTATCGTTACATCAGGTTCGGGAATTTATCATCGAGATGATCTCTCTTATCTCTTCTACTTCGTCATTAACACGAGTCACGAGACTCATTCGTCAATATATGCCGCGATTGTTTGCGATTATGTATAAAAAAATTAATGCATACGAGATTGCTCGAAAAAAACTTGGCTAAAAGATTAGTGAGTTTAAAAGTTCGACATGTCTATCTATACATGTTGCTTTGATAGTTTTTCTTTTATGCATGATTTTTTTATCGGCAAAATAGATAGACTATTGATATCATCATATGTTGATAGCATCACGATGATCATTAGCATTAGTGTCAGGACGCAATGGCGCGCTTTCGTATGAATAGCATCGAATACAGATAAACCATTACGTCTTATCCCGATTATGTAACCATGATTGAAAAATTTACGTAAGTGAGTATCCCTGACCGGTTTTTGGAGCGACACGTGTGAGATCGAGATTTTTATTCAACGGTATCGGCAAGAATGATTTTTGTATGAATTTAAGGCAGACGATCGACAGACTGTTTCCTGATAAATCTCCTTCCAATTTGCATGCGAATTATCACGGTTCGCTTCTTTTGGTTATTGCCTTTTGCGTATCTTGTGGAATCATGTGTATGTGTCGAAATCACGTGGGACGAATTTTACGCTCCGATTTCTCTCATTCGATAAGATCGAATTTCAACAGTCGAACGACATATATGGTGTATGTATTTGTCACATTATTGAATACAGAGAATGCGTAATCATCTATTAATAATCAGAGATTCTTCTGTCTCTCTTTCTAGTCAGCACAAAAAGCGATTATTAACGACCATGCGAAGTAGAAATACAAATTAAAATATTGGCTTGTAATAAAGAATGACAGTAAAACAGTAACGCTTCAAAGCAATAACGAGCTTTTCGAGCTTTGTAGCAATTTCCAGAGATACAACTGCATTTACTAATCTATAATCCGCAATAAAGTCATAACAGTAAACATAATAATAGTAAAAATGCGTTCTTGTGTAATTGGCTCAAATAGCAGCATTCGATAAATCATTATCGTGCGACGTAAATAATAGTTGATCCGATCATAATTCGCAGCAGTGTAATTTCTCGTCTAATGCCAATTGCACATCCAAGTATAACGCGCGTGGGTGTCATCGTGCATTGTCGCGTAATGCAACGCGAATAAAACGATTTCTGTTTTGACAATTTTTTCTATTGCTTAATTTAATATAAATCTTAATCGGTTGTCATCATCATAATTTGTGTCTATTTTTTCGAAACGTCGTATCTTCTTTATGACACGTTGCTTTACACGCGATTTTCCATATAATTATTGTTATCATCCCTGCTCTTCGCTATTTTTCTGTGTATACTGCCGAGATTTATACGCGCTTCGGAGAATCAAAGAATGAAGCTTATCTCGGTTTCTATATAATAGATGGTTTAAAACAATCCGCGGCTGAGCGTGAAGGAAACTGGTGATTTTTAAAAAGTACAGGACTCGATAAATCTTGACTTTAAGGAATTATTTCCAGCAACGATCTTGCACGAATTATTCAGAAAACTGCGTGTAAATCGAGTGTTAATATTAGAGTAAACAAGTGTTATTTAGAGTAAAGTATTAATTATTAAAATAAGTTGTTTGTGGAAATAAAAGTCGCAGAAAAAAATATTCCGATTTCCGGAATTTGTTTAACGATTCCAAAACATTAATTTCATCCAAAACAAGTTTTTAAGTTTCTTACATCTTTTTCACAGTTTTTATTTTGTAATTTCGATTGCACGAGTATCATGAACGCTGATGGAGTAGGGTAAGCAAAATCTATTTATAATCTCGAGACGTGAGAACAAATATTTTTATCCGAATAAAGCTTAAAATTTTTTCATTCTTATTTTAAATTCGCATCCTTTAAAATCTCCTTATAAAATCATACAGTATATTTGCATTAGTTTTTACAAAGTATCGCATGAGATAATAAAAGACTAATAAACGTTTTATCTCTGTGTCAATCATAAATAGCGTATGACTCGTAAAAAGTTGATCTTAAGACTAATACTAATCTTAAGACTAATATTAATTGAGATTATTAACTATTGATATTTTTTGAAAAAAGCTACCATAGATTCTCGAGAGATTATGAAACTACGCACAATCGCTCTCTTGTTTATTGAAATAATTTCTGTCGAAAAAATATACGTATATAACAGATGAATTAATATTAGAAAGATTTCCGGCATTACTGTCATTATGTATATTTATTGATTGTCTACCAACGTATACACGGAAAGTGTCGACATGTTGCAGAAAGTTTTATGTCGCTGTCTAGTTTTCAAGGTTTATGGAAAATATGCAAAAGTCACGTTCGTCATCAAGAAAATTATTTCCAAACACTTGCTGTGTTACGTACTTTACGTGTTACGTGTTAGTAATCATTTTGGAATCGACGTGTCAATCACAGATAATTTCTCTTCTAAGATTAAACATATGCATGTATTCTTTGACGAATAATTATATTTTAATTATTTCGGTCAAAAATTCAGGGAATTAAGATATGCAATTAAAACAACATTTATACATTTTACCTGTACCTGAGATTTAAAATTATTAAAATCATATATATATCGTTTATTTCAACGCGTCATCAATGAATTATTCGTAATGAGAAATCTTCAAAAGAGTGCTCATCATCATGTAATATATACTAAATCATGTAAAATATACTTGAAACTTTCATAAATTTCATTGAAAAGTAAACGAATATACAAAAAGATATCGCTGACACGATTTTTTTTCAGATCGCCGTTGTCGGGAGAAAATCAGGGCAAGATCAAAGAGAGGAGCTCGTATTATCCCCAAGAACCTAACAAGAGGCCGCGAACAAGAAGGGAGAAGATGCAATCGTGTTTGAGCCATAATGCACTAACTATACTAACTGTGAGCGGTGTGGTCGGTGGCGTGATACTTGGCATAATCCTGCGAAACTCCCAAGAGAAATGGACGCCGCGGGAGATCATGTACATCAATTATCTCGGCGATCTATTCTTGCGGATGCTCAAGAGCTTGATCCTGCCGTTGATCATTTCGAGTTTGGTGTCGGCTATCGGATCGCTCGATCTATCACTCAGCGGCAAGATCGGCATGCGTGCGATCAGTTATTACATGGTCACGACCATCAGCGCGGTTATATTAGGTCAGTAGGAACCTAATTCATCTCTTTGCATATTAAGAGTTGTATTGTTTATATTTCGACAATGCGAAATTTCATTTATATTTTAAAAATAAGTAATGACACAAGAAATAATTTTTTTCGCGCAAGAAGGTGGATGATCATTTCTTGTAATTTTTTCATATTAATTTCGGTTTCTAGATCATTCACAATTTTAAGACATTCACGATTAAAGTTGCAAAGAATAATTGTTTAATGTATTTTATCGTGTTGTAATAACTGTATATGAGAAGTTTTACTGCAAATTTAAATGTAAACTGTATTATACTAGCTACAAATTAAATGAAACTCTATAATAAGTGTAGGAGAATTTTGTGTAAATTTAAGTATGATTAATTAATACGGAATGTTGAAAGAGAGAAATGCCTATTACGTATAATTGCATATCTTCTCGCCCACAGCTGAATGTTATTTAACGTTTTCAAGTAACTGAGCGTATTACCGAGGTTAAATGTTAACGACAACGCGCGAATCGCGATCAAAGGATCTTACCGAGCATCTCTCGCTTGGCATTGCTGTCGTGATGCGGGACAATGATATGTTTCTTGGAAATGTTGCAACAAGCAGCAGATGTCACGATCTTCGCGAATTTACATGTCTGACGATTGGAATGTGTGCGAAGCTCTGAATTCTCATAACTCATTTCGCTTAATTAATGAGCGTGATCAACAAAGAACAACGCGTCAGACGTGACCGAAAAATTACTCGGAGATAATTTAATTTGTCCGATTTTATTTTGCAACCACCAATCGAGCAAATATGTATCTCGATTGTTTTATTGTGTTAATCTTGCGAGATTAAACCGGTTATAACTCGAAACTTTGTTTACGCGCGTATCGTTCAACTTCTTCTCTCACGTCAATCATCTTTTTCTTGCGACATATCATCGAACCCCAGCCGGTTGGATGATATTCTATTTTCTCATCATCATGTCATCGTACTTATCTCGCCGATTCTTCAACGCAGCAAATGCTAACGTATCTTATCACGCGTTTTTGCTCTTTCGCAAACGATGAAATAAAAGGAAAGAATACGAAATTAAACATTTGTAGAGCTAGTAGCTCTACAAGTGCTAGTAGATTATTGCTTTAAATCTGATTTCAGGTATAATTCTCGTTGTTTCAATCCAACCTGGAGTTGGCAGTTCCGCCTCGGAGACCAAAAAACCGGCACAAAATATTTCCACCATCGATACGTTAATGGATCTAATCAGAAACATGTTTCCACCGAATCTTATACAGGCTTGCATCGCCCAAACTCGAACCGAGCTGAAGCCACCGGAGAACGCTAGTAACGGTAATCATTTCTTTAAATACAATATGAGTATTGCTTTGGTTTTTCTATACAATATTATTAATAGTGAGCAATATCTCAACTTAGAATTGAAGCCGATTTTAAGCTTATTGTTAAACAAAATGAGTTATTCTTGCGTTTAAATTAACGTCATTTTCCGTTAACGTTAGCTTCCATAGACGAATGGGAACTGGAGGAGAGAGAAGTGTCCGGCTCCAATATTCTCGGACTCGTCGTATTCGCGACGGTGTTAGGCATCACCCTCGGTAAGATGGGACCGCGGGCTAAACCGCTGTTGAACTTTTTCGAGTCACTTTCCGGCGCGATGATGGTGATCACCAACTGGGTTATATGGTAAGATTCGCAAATAAACATACATTTCTTAAACTGCTTCAAATTACCCGAGACAAATTATATTAATTGCATAACATTGTTGCCTAACTATCACGTGCTATGTCAATTCGAGATCTCAGTTTCCATCCCTCGTCTCGCTTTTTCTCTAAAGGACTAAGAATCTGAAGACTATGAATATTTTTATGTGTACAGGTTATCGCCGATCGGTGTGCTCTCCCTGGTCGCCTCCAAAATCACGGAAATGAAGTCACTGGATGAAGTGGTCGGCCAGCTTGGAATGTACTTCTTGACCGTATTGATCGCCCTTATCATACATGGCTTCCTAGTGTTACCAGGGATATTTTTCATTCTTACAAAAAAGAATCCTTACATTTACATATCAAACATGGCACAGGCGCTCGTCACCGCTTTTGGAACATCCTCGAGTTCAGCAACGTTGCCAATCGCCATTAACTGTCTCGAAGAAAGAAATGGCATCGATTCGCGTGTCACCAGATTCGTCATGCCAATAGGTGCTACCGTCAACATGGACGGTACTGCTTTGTACGAAGCTGTGGCCGCCATTTTTATCTCGCAAGTGCGTAAAGTCAGTCTTTCCTTCGGACAGCTGGTAGCAGTAAGGTGAGTTGTTCTAGTTCGATCTTTTTCTTCTTATAGAGAAAGATATATTCTCATCCTAACTGTCTTGTATGTAATGCGTCGTTTTAGTATTACGGCAACTGCTGCTAGTATCGGTGCAGCTGGAATTCCACAAGCTGGATTAGTAACAATGGTAATGGTGTTAGACACGGTCCGACTTCCGGCCAATGACGTTTTCTTAATCATCGCGGTCGATTGGTTATTGTAAATATCATGCTTATATTACTTCTCTATTTTATTTAATTAAAATTATTTATTATTATTTATTATTATATTTTATTTAATTAAAATTATTTATTATTATTTATTATTATATTTTATTTAATTAAAATTTTTAAAGGCATTCAATATGTTTCCTTCATTTTCAGAGACCGATGTAGAACGACGGTGAACGTCATCGGCGATTCGCTCGGGGCAGGAATCGTGCAGCATCTCAGTAGAAACGAGCTCGCAACGTTACCGCACAATACGCAGCAGACACAAAACGGAGCTGATTGCCATGCGACTACGTCGATATGAGTTCGTTAATCGCGACTTACGTCTCCTTGACTGACGATTACGAAACCGCCTTGCGATTGACCACCCGCGGCAAACATATCGACACTTATTGTGCGGTTTATCGTCCATACAAGAATGTTGCCATAATTGTTTGAACTTTCAAAAGAGTTAGGTTTTAAGAAAATAACGAATAAATAAATTAAAATTTTAAAATTAGAAAAAACGATTAAATGTGGATAATAATATATTACTTGTTGCAGCCACGTCATATAAGATTTTTAATTTTCAAATTTTTATAAGTTCCATGGAGAATATTTCAAGGAATATATAAAATATATATAGCGCAATATAGATTGAGAGAGATGAGTGTATGCATCTTTATAAGTGTATACACTCGACAATACGACGTTAATCGATGATCGCGAGATACGATCTTGTTGAAGTGTTCTTGCGTACTCAATAAGTGTTCTGTTTTTATCTTAGTATCAAATAATCGGTTTAGTATTAATTGTCCCATATGAACCACAAACACTATGGACAAAGGGAACAATAAACCTCCATTATACCACTCTATTATAACGTTATATTTATGATAAATGCACGCGAAATGTGACGTGTAATCTCTTTTTCAATTATTATATACAAGTACTATAACCAGGATTATTTTTAGCAGTAACTAAATGACACCCATTCCGCGACATAAAATATATATATACATATATATATATATATATATATATATATATATATATATGTATACATTTATATGTAATGATAGGGTAATCAATTATGAACGCATAACTCGCGGTGCGAGTAATAAGCGTTCTTCAAGTAATTTCGGAATATAAGATGTGCTTGAAATACTAAATACTTCTTAACTTTAGTCATCGTAGACTTTGCTAAGCAATTTTGCTTGTAAAATATATAATTGTCTTCCATTTTCGCGTTTGATGATAATTACGCTTGTAAATGTACGTTGCACGTTATATTTTATTTGAGCTATAAAATCCGCAGTCTATTTTTTTGCGAATTATACATGTTTTTTCTTGAAATGCATTTATGAGATTGCGGTACTCGTATAAATTTCACGAAAAGCGAAACATTTTTATGATTGGAGAAATCGACTTTATTATTATCTAACAAAATATCAAAGTGTTTATTATTATTTTTTACATGAAAATAAAAACAAGAATATTAATTTCATTAATAAATTAATCGTTCTTTATTTTTAAGGATTTATTGTACTTTATTTAAGGAATTATTTGTACTTTTTTTGTTTCAAGAGTACATAATTCTTTACTACGAATAAAAAAAAATGAAAATGTTTAGTACCTATCACAATATACCGTCGCGTAACATTTATATTCGCTGAGAAAATGATATTATTACAAAATTAATAATTTACAAAAGAGCATAATAAAATAGGGAAAACAACAAGTTTTAAGTCGTCAGTGGAATACGTTTAATATATTGTATGCTGACGATATGTGTCACGAAACTGCTGACAAACTATTACTGTACAAAAATATTTAGCAGTATTGCCACAAGTTTCATCTATGAACAATAAATTATTGTTCGTCGAAATATAATTGTCGATCAATCATGAATAATTTAATGTCCCCCTTTAAGTTAAGTATACAGAAAAAGATAAAGCAGGAAGATAGAAAATACTTAACATTAAAATAAATTAATTTTTTTTATGATCTGCATTCGTTTTTATGTTAAATATCACCAAGAAATTCGTTGGGCATAAGGCTGATCCTCCCAGTAAAACACTTTATTATAGAAATGTGATTATGATATGTGCATGAAAACTTTTTAATTTTACTTACACGAAAGTGTAATGGAGTACTGAGCACTCGTTGTGAGATTGGCTGTTCCATCTTATTATGAAATATATCTAACGCATATTCTACAGTAAGGAAGCCAAGCCAAATGATGTTTGTTTGACGAACAAGTACAGCTATTAAACCTGTATAATATTACTTTAATTCGTTTCAACTTGTTTTATATTTTCCCTTTCTTATGATTTATATAATGTAATTACCTGCAAATGCTGTCATTTTTGTGCACTTACATTGGTATAAAAACAACATTACGAGTACTATATTTACAGATATAACATCTGTATAATAAAAAAAGCACCAAAAGTACAACGATGGAAAAAGAGTAATATTGTAGGCCAGCGTAAGTATCAACCAAATATTCCACTGCTCTGTTTCATTAGATTTGCAATTTCCTTTTATAATATTATAAATAAGCTAAAGATTTAGGCACGTTCCCAACAAATTTATACATATTATATATATAACGTTGCACATATTAAAAGATGATAATATTGCAGTTGTAACAAGATACAATCCTGGCAACGTAGTGATTTTTGAATCCCCTGAAAATAATTTGATTTATTTTTGAGAAATGTACACAGTACTTAGGAGCAAATTATTTTTGTGCCATGTATTACCTGCTTAAAATTCCATGCACTGTATCGTATTGTCTGCGGTATATGAAAAGTTTCATCGATGAAATAATGTGGTTGAATATAATGATTGAGATATAAGAAAAGTAATATAGTACTTGTAATGAATAACGTTAATGTGGAATACATAAATATTTGTAGTTTAGTTTCATGTAATTGAAATGAGATACGAGACTCATGATTACTTTAAAAATGTGTCCACAAATATCATTTAACTTCAATAGCTGCACATTCGTCAAATTAATACTATTATGTTAAATGCATCATCACAGCAGCTTGTTTTGATTAATTTAATCTAACCTAATCAATTATATCGTACGCTTCTCATTAAATTATATGTAAAACTGTACCACTGTTACGTCACACATTTAATACGATTAATATACTATGTAATAAAATGTATTGCACTAATGATTAAATATTATTTTTAAAAGCATGATAAAATCCACGCAGCATATGCTCGTGTTTACATTCGACATTTGAAGATATTGAGACGTTATATTAGGTTAGGTTAAACCGAAAAAATTATCATTTAATAGTTGGCATCCCTACGAAATAGACTGCGCGCGCGTATACAAAAAACTTCAAATCCCTTCTAGCCTAACCATCTTCACGTGATCGACTTTACTTGAACTGCATCGCGTCACATCGAATTATGATGCGGCGCCGATTTGCCCGAACGTAATTCGGGACATCGTGATGCTGTATAAGCGTCGAATGAGCACGAATTGTCCCGCAAATATGATAAATCAAATCAACTCACCGTTCATCGGCTGTTCCACAGGCCGCTCCGTTCGTTCGCCTTGGGACGTCCTATTTCGATCTTGATACGCACAAACTCACACGATATTATCAACACGAACGCGCGGGACTTTATTCGGCACTCCCGATACTCGCTCGCATCCGATAATCATCATCAAGGGCGCGAATTACGCGACGTGACTTCGCTCCATCTTCGGGATGACGCCATCACTGAATATCGTCAAAAATCGCTGTCGCACGTTTCCATCGACACACTATGAAAGTCGCGCGATCATCTTGGACACTTTCAACGTTCGTTCACTCGGGATATTCGTTTAAAAACGGTTAAAAGACGCGAAAAATGCGGATGTACGACGATCCGTGTAACTGCGTATGACTCCGATTCACGTATGACGCGTATGACGTAGCAGTCACGCGCCAACATGGCGGCCGACTGCTACGTCATACGCGTCATCGCTACGTCATACGCGTCATACGGCCGCCATGTTGGCGCGTGAATCGGAGTCATACGCAGTTACACGGATCGTCGTACGTCCGCATTTTTCGCATCTTTTAACCGTTTTTAAACGAATATCGCGAGTGAACGAACGTTGAAAGTGTCCAAGATGATCGCGCGACTTTCATAGTGTGTCGATGGAAACGTGCGACAGCGATTTTTGACGATATTCAGTGATGGCGTCATCGCGAAGATGGAGCGAAGTCGCGTCGCGTTATTCACGTCCTTGATGATGATTATCGGATGCGAGCGAGTATCGGGAGTGCCGAATAAAGTCCCGCGCGTTCGTGTTGATAATATCGTGTGAGTTTGTGCGTATCAAGATCGAAATAGGACGTCCCAAGGCGAACGAACGGGGCGGCCTGTGGAACAGCCGATGAACGGTGAGTTGATTTGATTTATCATATTTGTGTGACAATTCGTGCTCATTCGACGCTTATACAGCATCGCGATGTCCCAAATTACGTTCGGACAAATCGGCGCCGCATCATAATTCGATTCGATGCAATTCAAATGAAGTCGATCGCGTGAAGATGGTTTTGCTAGAAGCGATTTGAAATTTATTTTGTACGCGCGCGCAGTGCTGCATAGCCTATCCTCGTAGGGCTGCCAACAGTCCGATAAATTTGTTCGATCTAACCTAACCTAACCTAACCTAATCTCTCAGTGTCTTTGGATGTCGAATGTAAACAAGCGTATGCTGCTTGGATTTTATCATGCTTTCAAAAATAATATTTAATTATTTCATTAGTGTATTACATTTTATTACGTAGTATATTAATCGCATAAAATGTGCGACGTACAGTTTTACACATTTTAATGAGGAGCATATAATATAATTGGTTAGGTTAGATTAAATTAAAACAAGCTGCTGTGATTCATTTAACGTAATAGGATTAATTTGATGAATGTGCAGCTATTGAAGTTACATGATATTTGTGGACACATTTTTAAAGTAATCATGAGTGTCTTATCTCATCTCGATTATATGAAATTAAAATATAAAATATTTATGTATTCCACATTAACATTATTCATTTCAAGTACTATATTACTACATTACAAGTACTTTTCTTATATCTCAATCATATTCAACCATTTATTTCATTGATGAAGATTTTCATATATCGCAGACAATATGATACTGTGTGTGGAATTTTACACAGGTAATACATGGCACAAAAATAATTTGCTCTTAAGTATTGTGCGCATTTCTAAAAAATAAATCAAATTAAATTATTTTCAGCAGGATCCAAAAATCACTACATTGCCAGGATTGTATCTTATTATAACTGCAATATTATCACCTTTTAATATGTGTGCACAATATTACATACATAAAATATATAAATTTATTTGAAACATACGGAAATCTTTATCTTATTTATAATACTTATGATATTATAAAAGAAAATTGCAACTCTAATGAAACAGAGCGGTGGAATAACTGGTTGATACTTATGCTGGTCTACAATTTACCCTTTTTTCACCATTAGACTTTTGGTGCTTTTTTATACTTATATATCATAAGAAAGAGAAAATAAAATTAAAGTTGAATACTGAATGTGTTCTAAAGTAAATCGCATCTAAATAAATAAATGCATAAATGTGCGCCCCACATTCCTCATGAAAAAAATACATAATATTAATCTTTATGTATTATTATTTTTAGATTTGTTTTTTATTCTCTTAAATTCTCTAGACTTCTCTATGCACTTTTTATTTCTCCTCTCTTTCTTTCCAACTACTAAATATAGATCTATCATTTTTAATATAGATCTGTCATTTTTAGTGTACATTATTGCAGAAAGTGGAATAAAGAGCAAATCTTTTGGCACATTTAAAATGTACAGGAAAGTCAGTTTTATCTGATGCGTTTTTTTCAATAGAAATATCTGAAAAAATTCATACATCTTTTTTAATCTTAATCTTTCTAAATAAAAATTAGAATAATAAATTTGCAAAATAATTTACTTTAATATATTTTTATTGCAAACATGAAGCAAAGTGCTCAAGGTGCATCACTATGAAAACATCGATAGAATAAAAAGTAGATCGTATACAAAAAAATTAAAATATTTACACTACATATTTGATATAGCATTTAATCGATATGTGCAGTAATACGATAAAATCTAATTTTCTCGAATTTTTTCACGAAATTTAAACTACTAAAAAAATATCAAATATTCAAATTGTTCAATAGTCTTCAATAGCGAAAGAAGCAGTTCTCGCTTAAAGAATCTTTAGAAAAAAAAGTACAAAAAATTCTAAAGAAAAAAAAGGACAAAAAATTTTAAATCTCACATGGACATTTAATTTTATACTAATATTTTTAATGTAACGCTTCATTTATAAAGATTTTATTTTGTGAAACGTTTATACATAAAAGTACAATGATTATACGGCTTCTTTAATCTATTGTTTCATCTTCGCATGGTTTTCGTTTATAAAATATTTGTGCCTCTGGATATTTTTCTCTGGAAGCTTTATGCAATGTGTGTAACCTAAATCTGTTAACGTACAAGTATTAGAGTAACGGAATAAGTATATGTAATTTGATTAAAAATACGTTTCTTACATAAATTTTTAATTACAAATTTTATTATACTACAAATAAAAAAATCATGCTTGCTCGACGTGATCTAACAATTTACCGACATGTACAAAATGATTACTTTACCGTCAGTCGAAAAGTATTTTGACTACGTAATTCTGGCGTTTAACGCGAATGCAGATGGCGATACTAAACAGCAAAAAAGTTGACGCATTGTGTGAAACGCGAGGCGCGAAATATTGTATTTCGTATATCGTTCTTTGCGAAAAAAATGTGTGAAAGTATTGTATTCGCGATTAATAGTTCGGTGTTGATGAATACTAATCAACGCAAGTATAATTTGTCGCGCATTGGATATCTCTTCAAACTCTGTATATCGTTTTCGAATCGTCCTGATCGCACGTTCCGATAATGCAGTGATCCAAAAAAAATCGTCGAATATATTTCGTACGATTAGAATGGTGCACAGTATCGAGTGACTTTTATTTATTTGAAGCGCGATGTATTTTTGTGCGGACATTTATCGAAAGGAATGGACGTGCTTCTCCAAATTGAGGCGAGGTAAGATTGCAAAATATCGAAGCTTTATGCAATGTGTGTAACCTAAATCTGTTAACGTACAAGTATTCGAGTAACGGAATAAAAGATAAAGATTTTGAGATCGTACAAGTTCGTATGATATATATGTATATATTAATATCAATCTTTATTATATATTTATATATTTATTTATTTATAAGTCTTCTTTTTCTTTTTCTCAACATCATTTATTTATTTATTTATTTATTTATTTATTTATTTATTTAGTTCGCTCTCAGTCTTTTAAAATGCAAAAGTAAATATTATAAGATTTGACTTTGAAAAAGCGCGATAAAACAATCGAATCATTCGTAATTCATATCATTAGCATAATATACTATGAATTTTCTACGTTATATATTGAATTTTCTACGTTATATATTGAAATGAATTGTATATCGAAATTGCGCGAAAGAGGAAAAAAAGAACAAGCCTATGAATAGACATTTCCATCCTTTACTAAAAGAAAAAGAAATTAAAAATATCTCTCAATTTTTTTTCTATTTCTTGGGGCAAGTCTACATATATAACCAATATGATTAAGTGATTCCATCTTTATATATTTATCATTATGTGCTATTAATTAAAGCCGTAGACAATATTCAGAAATCAAAGTTGCGCGAACGTTGAACACAGGAATGGCCATGCGCAGAAACGAATGCGCAATGGTTCGGCCGCCATGTTGGCGCGTGACTGCTACGTCATACGCGTCATACGTGAATCGGAGTCATACGCAGTTACACGGATCGTCGTACATCCACATTTTTCGCGTCTTTTAACCGTTTTTAAACGAATATCGCGAGTGAACGAGCGTCGAAAGTGTCCAAGGATGGTCGCGCGACTTTCATAGTGTGTCGATGGAAACGCGCGACAGCGATTTTTGACGATATTCAGTGATGGCGTCATCGCGAAGATGGAGCGAAGTCACGTCGCGTTATTCGCGCCCTTGATGATGATTATCGGATACGAGCGAGTATTGGGAGTGCCGAGTAAAGTCCCGCGCGTTCGTGTTGATAATATCGTGTGAGTTTGTGCGTATCAAGATCGAAATAGGACATCCCAAGGTGAACGAACGGGGCGGCCTGTGGAACAGCCGATGAACGGTGAGCTGATTTGATTTATCATAGTTGCGGGACAATTCGTACTCATTCGACGCTTATATAGCATCGCGATGTCCCGAATTACGTTCGGGCAAATCGGCGCCGCATCATAATTCGATGTGACGCGATGCAATTCAAGTAAAGTCAATCGCGTGAAGATGGTTAGGCTAGAAGCGATTTGAAGTTTACTTTGTATACACGCGCGCAGCATATCTTGTAGGGATGCCAACTGTCAAACGATAATTTTTTCGATCTAACCTAACCTAACCTCCCAATGTCTTCAGATGTCGAATGTAAACACGAGCATATGCTGCATAGATTTTACCATGCTTTTAAAAATAATATTTAATCATTAGTGTATTACATTTGATTACATAGTATATTAATTGTATTAAATGTGCGACTTACAGTTTTACACATTTTTATGAGGTGCATATAATATAATTAGTTACGTTAGATTAAATTAAATTAATCAAAGAGATTAAATTAGATTAATCAAAACAAGCTGCTGTGATGATGCATTTAACATAATAGTATTAATTTGACGAATGTGCAGCTATTGAAGTTAAATGATATTTGTGGACACATTTTTAAAGTAATCATGAGTCTCGTATCTCATTTCAATTACATGAAACTAAACTACAAATATTTATGTATTCCACATTAACGTTATTCATTACAAGTACTATATTACTTTTCTTATATCTCAATCATTATATTCAACCACATTATTTCATCGATGAAGCTTTTCATATACTGACAATACGATACAGTGCATGGAATTTTACGCAGGTACATACATAGCACAAAAATAATTTGCTCCTAAGTACTGTGTACATTTCTCAAAAATAAATCAAATTATTTTCAGGGGGATCCAAAAATAACTACGTTGCCAGGATTGTATCTTATTACAACTGCAATGTTATCATCTTTTAATATGTGCAATGTTATATATATAATATGTATAAATTTGTTGGGAACGTGCCTAAATCTTTAGCTTATTTATAATATTATAAAAGAAAATTGCAAATCTAATGAAACAGAGCGGTGGAATATTTGGTTGATACTTACGCTGGCCTATAATATTACTCTTTTTCCATTGTTGTACTTTTGGTGCTTTTTTTATTATACAGATGTTATATCTGTAAATATAGTACTCGTAATGTTGTTTGTATACCAATGTAAGTGCACAAAAATGACAGCATTTGCAGGTAATTACATTATATAAATCATAAGAAAGGGAAAATATAAAATTAAGTTGAAACGAATTAAAGTAATATTATACAGGTTTAATAGCTGTACTTGTTCGTCAAACAAACATCATTTGGCTTGGCTTCCTTACTGTAGAACATACGTTAGATATATTTGATAATAAGATGGAGCAGCCATTCTCGAACATGTTTGCATTTTCTTCGCCAATTGCGTCGTTGTATTAAAGACCATGGTGATTCATTTTGACACTCTCGTTCACCCATATGTTTTGGCCGATAATCGGCATTATTTATTCTACGTGTGGAATCGATTCATGGGTTGATACACGATACTCAAGTATTTGTTGATACCGGTTTACTGGGCGAGCCTATTTGCTATATCGCAAAATATCAATCACTTGAGATTCCTTACACAAATCAATTATATTATTTACTTATGCATGATGATTTTGATACCTCAGTTACTAGTAGAACCGCGTTACTATTCTTCTTTACACTTTTTACTTAAATGAAAAGGCTGAAAAAATGGCAAATTTACTTAAAATCGCTCACGACTTGTACAATTAATTTTTTGCAATTTGTTTATTTTCTCTAATAAAGTGTTCTACTGGGAGGATCAGCCTTATGCTCAATGAATTTCTTGGTGATATTTAATATAAAAACGAATGCGCATCATAAAAAAAAAATTTTATTTTAATGTTAATATTTATTTGAATGTTAAGTATTTTCTATCTTCCTATCTTATCTTTTTCTGTGTACTTAACTTAAAGGGGGACATTAAATTATTCATGATTGATCGACAATTATATTTCGACGAACAATAATTTATTGTTCATAGATGAAACTTGTGGCAATACTGCTAAATATTTTTGTACAGTAACAGTTTGTCAGCAGTTTCGCGACACGTATCGTCAGCATACAATATATTAAACGTATTCCACTGACGATTTAAAACTTGTTGTATTCCCTATTTTTATTATGCTCCTTCGTAAATTATCATTTTGTCAGTGAATATAATACGCGCGACGGTATAGTGTGAAAGATACTGAACATTTTCATTTTATAAGAAATATTTTTTTTTTTATTCGTAGTAAAGGATTAGGTATTCTTGAAATAAAAAAAGGTACAAATATCCTTAAAAATAAAGGATAATTATTAATGAAACGATTTTGAGCCATTATTTTCTCCAGATTTTTATATAAATATTAAATTGAGAAAAAAATAAATTCAATATAATAGATTTTTTTTATTTCTCGAAAAGCTGGCCGCCAATTCTTTCGGATCTGCATAGGATACGGGTATATAACAAAAGCTTAATTATTTTTTTTTAGAAATAAAAAGTTGTATATATACAATTTTTCCCCGATTCACGCATATACATTGTATCACTCGGCGTCTAAATTGCCGGACTTTGAGCATTACTTGCGACGAGACATCGGCAGCTTATCTTCGCCGTTTTTCAATTGATATTTTAAAACAATACAATCGTATATCACAAATAGTATCGAATCAACGCGCTAAGTACTCTAAAATTTTTCAAAATGTAAACCAAGACGCTTTATTCCCGACACATTTCGAACCGTTTAATAAAACAAAGATAATCATTCATTTCTCTCTCTGCCTCTCCCACTCACTCATTCTCTTTCTCTCTCTACAATCTAATCGCACGAAGATCGCACGTATTGCTTGTCGTGAATTTATTGCGCGAACCGTATCCGTATAGATCAATCTGGAACGTAAATATTTTCTGTACATAATCCTCCGCACATTCCAGCAGGATATGTGATTGGGAGTTATCTTTACGCTTTCGACATTTAATCGATTTATGCATAGTGCAATTTTAACGCATAGATATATAGTTTCTCAAGTTTTGGTGTCATAAAGACACGATATAGTTCACGCTCTAGCGATAAATTTTATTATCATCCACGCGCTGGAGTCTATCGCTATAAAGCGTCACACGTTAGATAGAGTAGATAAAAAGATCGCGAAATCATATCGGAAAATCAAAGTGTCGTGGAGAAAAGAAAATTATATTCGTGTCGAAAAATGTCATTTCTATTAAATTAAATCTAAGTTATATCGGCACTCTGATTTAACTAAACGACATGAAATTGTTCGATATCGATTTTAGATCTATGATCGAGGATATTTCTAGATAAGTAATACTAACTAACAGTACAAGATATGAAATGTAACAAGAAAGCTCTTCTTTTTATCTTTTCATAGCTTTTCGAGCGTTTGTACAGCAGAACACTCCTAATATCTAAGAATTAATTAAGCCGATCGAGATAATTACTCTAATCAATGACTTTATACAATTAAATTTAAAATACGAGAGTTGCTCGTTTAAAATAACTATGTTATATTCTACTTTTAAATAAACTGTTGTAATATAATATATTTGAAATATTTGTATATGAGAAAAAAGTTGTAGGAAATTAGATAAGGTTGTATATTTGATCCAACATTGGTCGAATTTTTTGATAGCGATATGTTATAGTAACGAAAGTATTCACAGAGATGGAAATTTCACAGAAATGGATTTATATCAAAGTTCCACTGTACGTCGTGATTCGATACCTCGATCTTTTTTCATAATCTCCACACAGATGAATATGTGATTAATATGTAATTCTTTGGATTTTGCACTCGGTGCGTAGCTTTCTTATTTCCTAGGTTTTTTTAATCCTAAAAGAGATCGGGTCTTTAAAAGCGCGACTCGCGCGAACTATATTGTGCAAGAAGAGTCAAATGTAGCTTTAAATATCATGTCTTTCTAGAAAGTACATATTTCCTATACACACGTAAACACGCACGCACGCACGCACGATAACGCAATACTTCGTTTGATTATATCCGTTATTTTTGTTAATAATCTCACAATGTGATAATAATTAATGTGTTGATGAAATGAACAAATTATAATGAAAATAAAAAAGTAACTCAAGAACGCGATTTAATTAAAAGTATTCCTATTCAGTCAAAGACGGTTGAAAATACTTGTAGTAAGTAATATTTATAGCATACATAAATATTCTTGTTGTTCAGTCGTATAAATTAACTTTTCACATTATTCTGATTTTATTCGGACTAATGATAACGATATGCAATCTTTTTTTTTTTTTATTTAGATTTATATTGTAACCGCGATTCCTAAAGAATATAAGAAAATAATTCCTAAAGAAAGCTCTATGTAAATAAAAAATATTTAGCGAAATATACAATATATATCTCATGCATTCCAAACTTCACATTTTTCAATTGGAAATATCTATCGAAGAAATTTTCTTAATCAGAAGTCCTCGTAATAATTTCTAATCTGTCGGCAAATTTTCAAATATTAAATTTCGACTTTCACGTACACATTTTAACGCTTTAAATTTATTCTTTTGTAATCTTTTGAGTATAATATTGAATATTTGTATAATCTTGAAAGTACGAGGAGTTCTTATTAAGAGACTTGCTTTAACTCTCTACCTCATAATCATCTATACTTGCTAATCGTGTAAAGAGGCGGGGCAGGATTAGATGACGATCCAACGATCGTTAAACATCATGGTAACTACATTAACGAACGGTATCAGGTTCACGAGCTGAGAGATAGATCAACCGTGAACTCGAGGAGCGTAAAATCACCTAAAAGTAAAGTCGCGTGATCGACATGATTCAAATATTTTTCACTCTTTTTTGTTTTTCTTCGTCAAATCATCTTTGACCTCGCGTCTTATATAAGAGCAAGTTTAGGAATGGAACTTTGCTAATGGAATAGAATGGAATAGAGAATATATATTTGTCAAATTCACACGGGACAAATCCCTTAAGTAGAATAAAGATAACAAGAGCTTAGCGTTACAGCGAATGACCCGTTTGCTTTCTTTGGTCGTTCATCTACAAAGTGTGCGACTTCTCTCGATATTTATACGCGATATTTAGAAATGACGCACGACCTTCGATTAGTAACTACCTCGTATTTTTGTCGATTATTCCAACGAAGAAATTCGACTCTCTTTTCACGTTTTTACGGAAACGAAAATGCTAGAAAATAAGAAAAGAGAAACGATTTCGAACTGTCTAAGCGTAAATTTCTATCGTTACGCTGCGACTAAAGCGTCACTCTGGATTCTACTTTTCCCCCCGCAGTTTCCTTTCTCAAACTAAAGGCGGATCTTTGGGGTGAACTAGTTGTTGCGGATGTGTAAAAGCTGATAAAAAAACGATCGTTTTATCGGCTACGCTTAAAGGTAATAATAACGGTCCCGCTCTCAACCGATAGAGAGAGAGGGCAAATACTTTAGGCACTGAATCGCACAGTTTTTCCGCACCTAGGAATTCCCTTGGAGTGTGATATCCGATGAACTAGTGCGAAGGAGGGGCGGCGGGATCACACAAGATTCAGATTCGAGTCCTCGACGACGTATGTCGTCGTCGGCATCATACTATCTGCTGCTTGAGCTTGACCAGATTCGTCGAGCCGTACAGCTTCATGTCCAACGCCGCGCTCGGCTCGTTCTTCTTCGTCTGCGTATGCCAGGCGAGCACCTTGGTACAATTATCCGCCAGAAGCTGAGCGTCTCGCGGCTCGAACGGTGCCAGGCTCTTCAGGAAGCCGTCCTCCTCGTAACCCGCGCGAAACGGCATGCTGGCGTTGGGTCGCTGATGCAGGAACTTGACGTTCACGGCGAATCCGGCCATGTCCACCGGGAACTTCCGACCGGCCACCCAGCCGTCGTAAAACCCGGCAAACTTGCCGTTCTTCAGGATGGGCGAACTCAATCCGAACTTGGTGCACAGCCCCACCGGAAACATCGACACCGTCTTCGTCTTGCGGATCTGAATAAACGCGCACGTTATTGTAGAATTGCGAATATACAGAATATACAGAATTCCTTAGATATCTTCGAGAAGGATTTTTCCCAGAGAAATATCAGATCTTTCATACAGTGAAAATACGCTGTAGCGAAAATACACCTTTGTGATCTTAACTTACCTCGTCGAAAAGCTCAATATCATAAGTATTGTCGTCGTCGGCGAAGTAGAACACGCCTCTCGTGGCATTCGCCCTGATCCATTGTAAACCGCGATTTCTGTTGGACACTCCCCGCGGCTTCGCACCTTTCTTGAGTTTATATTTCTCCGGCATCGGAGCTGCGATAACATGAAGTCATAGTTTAACGCCACCGCAGATATTGCCCACGACAGGTTTATACGTATATAAACTATTATACGCTATTACCGATTAAATGATCGAACTTTAAACCCGTTCGTTCCAATAGCTTGGTAACTTGCTTGGTAGCGACCGTAGCGTCCTCGATAACGAGCCAATGCACATTCTTGATCAACATCAAGGTGTGCGCCATCCTGGTGAGTTCAGGAATCTGCTCGGGTCTTCGATATGTCGGCGTGATAATGTAGAGGGTTTCCTCGGAGGGTTCTTCGGAAGGATTCGGCGGTACCGTCTTATGTGTCATTGTCGCGGGCGGTTGCGATTGCAAAAGCGAAAGCTTGGGATTATTTCTCGAGGCCGCCGAGACATTTTTACTTAACTGATTGATAAGCTCTTGCACGAGCATCGAGCTGATCTCCGGACTCAGGCCGTTAGTAATTTGTACTCGGTACACGGCATACCGAATCTGCAAAAAAAAAAGGATAATTGTAGCTGATGCATAATTAATTTATATTGACTGAAATATAATAATGAATGAAATAGAATAATTCCCCGTCAGGCGAGGAAAGCCAATAGTTGTAGCAAAACGCATTTACGGAAATTAATGAGTAATTAATTCTCTCGTAATCGAGCGGTAATTGCTAATCGTTATTTCTGTCTATTTACCATGTCCTCGGAGATCCTCGGGGTTTTGCTGTAGTTATCGCTCTCTTCACCGACCGGCAAATCCCCGGTGTCTTCCGCGGGATTGTCCGCATTGAAGGCCGTTACTTGATCGAAAGTAACGCCGGTGGACAGGTGATACTGATAAAAAACTACGCAGATCCCTATCAAAGCGATCACTCCCATCTTCATGGACGGCTTCATTATACCGATGCCTGGGTGCAGAAAATGCAATGTCCGGAAATATGATAAATAACAAGGATCTGGTGCATAATAAATACGTATTACGAGACTTTAATAGAGAACGAAACTTTTTAATGGAGCGACGCGATGAAAGAGCAGATGATGTATTTAGATTTTTAACACGCGTCAAACGAGCTATAATGTTTTTTTTTTCTTACACTCTAATACTATAATGGCTTAATAATGGACAATGGGACTGGAAGATGGATCGGACTTTAGAATTTAAGAATTTATCGCTTCAACTTACTCCAACTTTTCTCTACTTGACAGATAGCAGTTACTTTCCCGTTCCGCTTCCGTATTTTCTCCGGAGCATGAGATTCCAATTTTAATCTAATTCACGTTTCAATCCCATTCGTGAGGAAGGGGAAAAGCGCCTCGTTCGCAAATATTATAGAACATATCTCGTGCAAATTATAAAATGTAAATTTAATTACGAATAAAAATACGCGAAGATAACTAGCGGGAAGATCTATAAATTAAAACTCGACGTTGCGTTGAAACGTTCTATATTTCTCTCGTGTTCTACATATTAGGATTAACGTAGGTTACATCTCGAATGAAAAACGTCGGATCGCTCTCGGATAATATCTCGTCGAGTTGAGAAAATGAAAACAAAGACGTTCACTCACCCGAATGCTACATGTGTCGACTGTTTCGTCGTTTCCTCTGCCTCTCCTGAATCGCGAGCTGCTTCTTGCTCTGTCATCAGACATAATTAACTGTTGTAACGCTCGTAATATCTCTTCGCAAACTTTATACTTCTAGAGAGAGAGGGAGAGAGGGAGAGAGAAAGAGGAAAAGAGAAAAAGAGCCTAATAGCAACGATAATTTATTAGACTTGTTTGCGAATTATCGGGAAATGGACATTTTCTCGCGACCAACTTTAAGTATCGCCTACGATTCTCACCGGGGATAATGTATTCGGGATTCGTGCGAGATGCATCTATACACTGAGAAAAATCGCTTGATTGTATCAATAAACAGAATTTCTAGTTATCACAATAAGATTCGATTTTTTATAACTAGAGACTTAGAATGTTTAATTGATTTTACTACAAGAATTTGGTTAGTGTTTTCTAGTTGGATCCATAAAATTGTTTGTTATATTAACTAAACATGGACACAGTGCTATTTTTTTAAGTAAATTTATTATTAACAAGAGAAAATTTGGTAAATTCAACAGGAAGGAGTTAATCATATTCACCTGGTAATTCCATAATAAATAAAGGAATTCTGATTCGTCCTTTTTCCAACAGACATACTGATCGAATCTACCAGATTTCTAATTAATGCAATCAGATTTTTTTCTCAGTGTACTTAATTAATTCTTTAAGTCGCAAACATGCGCAACTTCCACTCTCTCGCACGATCGGAAAGGAGGACGGTCCTCTCGAGTCTAATTATTTTCGCGGGTCGAGGCACATCGGCATCCTTCTCCCCGAGGCCCGGTTCGTTCGACGGGCGCAAGCGTGTCGGCCCGCGATAACGCACACCGGAAGGACATCCGTCAAGATCGCGAAGTCGTGGGCGATAAAGCGAGCGATGTTTAATGCGGGATCCCGTCGTCGTTGCTAACGAGCGAGCGATAACACTCGGGATTTATCTACGTACGAACGATACGACGACGCCAGGAGTTCATGACTCCCGGGGGATGCGCGAACCCCCCGCCTTTTCCCCTCTTCTCCCGCTGAACGATCCGCGAGAGCAATAATAATCGCGTACAATTTCAATCCCCTTTTCCCTATTTTTCACTCCATACTCTCACTTCCGCCCGACTTCCGCCTTTATCGCGATTATTCCTTCCCCTCGACATCGAGAGATTCACATGTCGGCCGTCTGGCATTAATAATCGTCCCTTCCCTCCGATCTCTCGCGATTTTGTTGCCCCTCACTTGAACGAACAATAGGTCCTTAACGATATCTACGAAGTTTGCAAAATGTATATATGTTAATGTGTCGATTAAAAGAGTAACAATGCCACGTCGTGTAATCTATTATCCTGAGGAAAAGAATCAAGTATAATAAAAAATAATAATGGTTGCGATTTCTGTTTTTATAATTATTACACAGAGAAAAATGTATACTGTATTCAAGTAAATATTATTTATTTGAAGTATATCATAAGTTTGTATATCCGCAAATATATCACAAGCATTAAATTTCATTGAATATATTCTGGCCTTTAGTAAATGCAGTATTTTAGTCAAGAATATTAAATTAAAACAAAAATTGTGATGAGTATATTTTAAGATTATTATCAAGAATATATTCTTTGTTGAAGAAAACTATTACTTAAAAAAAAATAAACGGAGTAATCGCTTTTCTTGGCAGTAGAATAATATTTTTCTCTGTGTACTATAATGTTGAATATTAACCTTGTGCGTAAGTAATAATAATTTTAAACACAATGTTGCCGCTAAGACTTATAATTTATGATAATTACAACTGTTTTTTTATCGTTGCTGTTTTTTTATCTACTTTTTCCTTTTCATTATTGCAGTGTCATTAAATTTTATCTCTTCCTAATCTCTTCATCTTTTCCACATTAATTACTTTGCTAAACGAAGGATACGCGCAAGCACACTTTTCGATAATGTTCGTCTATAATGAAACTTTTAAAGGCCTCGCACTTTGCGCGACCGAGAGAGAACGTTCTCTTCTAATTTCAACGAGTCCCGCTATATCTTATATATAAGCCACGTCATGTGCAGAACGACCGCTCTAAATTACACGAGGATTTAACGCCGTCCCTCGTCCTACGTCACACACACCGCGAACGCACTATTTTACGTCTCGCGCATTGTCAGCGGCGAAGATCTAAGGCCGATAGCGATAAGATCTATGTCTTATTTTTCCTTGTCGGGCACTCCCAGCGTAACAAGGAAATATTTTACAAAAACTCGAAAGTACATTCGCATCGATTAAAGATTTACGTCATGTCACGGCTCTCTACGATCAATTTCAGTTGAATCTAATTCATTTTAAATGTGTCAGCTTGTCAAAACGTAAAAGCAGTTAACGAACGAAGGTCTCTGTGAGAAAACTATCGAGATAAGTGCATCGCAGATGATAAGTGCGAAGATAATACATATGACGCTTTCTCTTGCTTTTGTTATATTAATAAAACAATAACATGGAAAATTTACTTAATTTTTGTTATATTAATAAAATTTAATTAAATTTATTGATATTTTGATATAGCACTTTTAAACTTATCGATTCCGAGATATGACTTCTATCGATTTTGTGATATCAGGTTTTATATTATTTTTTATTTTTGGGACAACCCAAATTAATTAACGCAAAACACTTTCATTATCGCGATAATAATGTTTTTTTTCGTTATGTTGGTTGCACGAAAAGATATTGTAATCAGCGAGATTCAAATCGGTAGCATCGATAATATTTCATCTACGTGGACAGATAGAAAGAGCAAAATAAATTGGACGTTTCGGTGAATTTCGGTTCGATTAAATGACGGAAAAGATAGCAATTTGCTCTCGATCGATCTTCGTAATTAAGTACTGCGACACAAATGCGCCTAATCCAGCGCGACGCGGCTTCCTCGATAAATCCCGATACGGTTTCCCTTGGAATTATGTTTTCTAGAGACGCAGCGATCGATCGATGCAAAACACCGAATGGAAGATTTCACGAAAAGACAAAGTATTAAAATATCACGTGTATGTAGCAAGATTTATAAAAAGAATATAAAATGACAGTTATCTGTTTGAGATTTTTCGCGATTTATTCGAACGTCTATTGAATATTTCCGAACGTATATTGAATATTTGAGAGATTTTTTATCACTATTTTTATTCGAGTAATCAAGAATAAAAGAAACAATATATTTTATTCGATTTTAACGATCGCTGTCAAGCATTCTCTCTCTCTCTCTCTCTCTCTCTCTCTCTCTCTCTCTCTATATATATATATATATATATATATATATATACACACTGAAAAAATTGTATTTTTGAAATAAAGTCCTCTCAATGAATAAGAATATCTTCTTAATTTGCTTCTGCGCAACTCAAATATTAAATAATAAAAAAAACATCCCATTATACCTGTCAAAAATAATAAAAAAACATCCCATTATACCCATCTTACCTGTTAAAAATATTTAATATACAATAAAAATATTTAATATAAGAATATCTTTTTAGAAGATTTTCCTCTTAAATTAAAAGAATCCTCTAGGCATCTATTTAGTAGGATTATTATAAATATTATTATAAAGATAAGTGGCAATTTTTTCAGTGATAAGATATTCTGATGCGAGAAATTGCACGATCGATCGGTCTCGTCCGAGATTGTTGTCGATTGCTCATCGGTGATCTCATCAGTTAATAATTACAACAGCTGTCTTGCCAGAGATTTTGCGAGCTTTCGTAATTGGACGGTCGTGATAAAGGCGGAACGAGAGAAATGACGGAGTGGAGGAGAAATCGCATAAATTACTAATTAGAATGCGGGAAAACGAGCGGCTCGATCGGTGATTCTTCTTCGTTTTCGTTTGCATGAGAATTTCGTAGTTGATTACTTCTCGCATTAACTAAACATGTCGTTAGATAATCAAGATAGGATCGCGTTTCTAATCTAAATCAGTTTACGAATCGGAGCAGTATCGATTATCGGAGCAGTATCGATTATCGGAGCAGTTTGTCATTTGATTTAACATGTTTATCATCGAATCCATACATATCTAAAGACGAAATTTATCGTATTTTCGAGATATTAAAAAGAGTTGTGACATATAAGGAGCTGCGGATTATATTGTTTTTTTTTATTTAACGCACTAGGAAAAATCGTTTGATTGTACCAACAAGACATGTATGATTGAAGGCATTTTGATTAAATCAAACAAGAATTTCTAGTTATAATGATAAGACTTGATTTTTTATAACTAGAACGTTTAATAGATTTTACTATAAGGATTTGATTAGGTATTTTCTGGTTTTGGATCTATAAAATTTCTTGTTACATTAATTTTTTTGCTTGCTTCTTAACTTAACTCGTATTTACCATGAAATGTATATAGAAACTAGTATTAAGAACTAGTATTAATATTAAATCCAAAGTATATTTTTTTCTCTTACGAGCAGTAATGCCAGAAAGAGGCTAGCTCTCTAATTGCGTGTGTTTGAGCTGCATCCTCTTCTTGCATCACTGTTTATCAGTTTAATTTCTAACAAATCGAATTTAAAATTATTTATTCAATAATCTGGATTGAATTTATCCAATCTTGTTGGAATTCAGAATATTAAACAGACTTTTGAGATTAGATGGAAAAAATTTTAGACGATTTGGTGCTAGCGAGTTTAGTATTATTAACTAGAAAATTTGGTAAATTTAACAGGAAGAAATTAATCAGATTCATCTGGCAATTTCTACAAGAATTCTGGTTCGTCCATTTTCCAACAGACATACTGGTTGATTGAATCTACCAGAATTCTAATTAATGCAACCGGATTTTTTTCTCAGCGAGTTTCGTAACATGCGTTACGTATCGCTCGTGCAAGGGGATGCTTTGTTATTATATTCTGCGTTATTAATGCGAAACGAATACAATGATCGGCAAATCCCACATTTAAATCCAAGTCATGAGCGCCACGCGATTATTATGCGTCACTCAAGGTGCATGAAGCCGATACAAACCGCATGCGGCGTGATTTAGAAACTCGGCGATATCGCCAAACTCTATCCAACAACTTTTATACCGCGCACTTTTTACCAGCTCGTGCCAAACACAGTTCTACTCTCAGCTCCGATTAATTAAATTTTCTCTCTTTACCCGAATCGAAAGCTGAACTCGCTGTCGAAATATCAGCGCGAGAACGAAAACACTTCTTATCGAGTTGAACATCTCTTTCACGGCTCGTACTTTCGCAGCAACTTTTTCACATTAAAACGATTTTATCTGTCTCTATTTTCAAGGCATAAACGCGCATTTTAAATCATACATATCTGCGATTTTATCGTGTTTTACGACGCAAACTCCAAGCAAGGAGAATTAACTGTACAACTCTTGAGATTAATGTATTCTCTTGCAAACGAAAATATGTTTTGTGCGAAGCTGATTGGTTTCCTAGCGACAAAGGAATTTTATATGCGTGTGACTTTAAAATAATATCGTGGATATTTGTCAGTTACTTCAAATGTGTTCCTAAGACATTGAAGTAACTTGGAGAAAGAGACATCTATGCATGTTACACAGAGAAAAATATCATTCTACAAGAAAAGCGATTACTCAGTTTATTTTTTTTTTCAAGTAATAATTTTCTTCAACAAAAAATATATTCTTGATAATAGTTTTAAAATATACTTATCACAGTGTTAGAAAATCTCATTATCATGTACTCGAAAGAAGAATTTATTTTCCCTTCAAGAATATTATAAAGTTGTATCAAAGAAAAATCAAACTTACTTTACGCCAACTCTATGCAAGTCAAATTTTTGTTTTAATTTAATATTCTTGAAAATACTGCACTTGCTAAAATTCAGAATATATTCAATGAAATTTAATGCTTGCGATGAACTTGTGTTATATTTGCGGATATACAAACTTATGATATACTTGAAATAAATAATATTTACTTGAATACAGTATACATTTTTCTCTGTATAATCTCGTCTCTCGAAAGAAATTAATAATAGAATACCGATTCTCCCAGATTTTGTTGGCGTATAAATATAAAGCGTGTTAGTCATTATTTATTCAATCGCTTATACCAACCAACTCGGCGGAAACCGAGGACGATAAACGCGTCAGTTAATTTCAGTTTCCTTCGCCAGAAATACTTATCGCTCGTAAGCTGCGGCGTAGAATCGGGCAAATTAACGCGCTCATCGCCGAGAGCAGTCGCGAATCAATTTTTCATCAACGCGTCCTAATCACATGGCACGTTTTCGAGGCCGTTCTCTTCGGCGGATTAATCAGGTCACCTTCTTCCGTTAATATTCATCCTACGAGAGATCCCGCGTAATCGACGCGATTGGGAGCATCTCGGAACCTATCCCGTTTACGTCGTCCCATCGGAATCGCGATGATGAAATTGACAATGACTCTGACAGCTAGCAAAACGAGAAACGCAATCGCGGCTCGCTCGACACTGAATCATTTCCTCCGGTTTCCTCCTACTCGCGTGGCCACTTCTGTAACGTCGTTCGTAATATGCCCCACTACCAGAGGACCGCACGACAGAGAAAGAGAGACAGCCGTGTCCCCACGTGTGCGTGCTGCGCACGGTCCACGGATCACGTGGCAGAATCTATTAGCAGATTGCGGTAATTCGGTACTTGAGAGGTGCAGCGGCGCGTTTTCAGGTCGGCGAACGTTTAAATCCATCGATCGGGGTCTCCCTCGAAGAGAAGAATCGTGCAAAGAGTTTGCCTCGTTTCAAAGATATATACGCGAGATAATTAGGAGCGATAAATAATAAATTTCGTCGCGAAATGAGAGAGAAAAAGAGAGAGGACGGACGTATATCGTGCACGACACACGCAATTTCCGTTTTGCAACGAGAACGCGTACAATATTTATATTTATTCGCCGGAGTCCCGTGAAAAAAATACAAGGTTTTGTTACCTTATTTCTTGTCTGTTTCGTTCGCGAAAACCGGGATATTTCTGACCGTAACGTTTCGCGATAGAATCCAAATCGAACAACTCTGAAAAGCCCGACGAATAATTCATGCGACCCGCTCGCGTATCGGTGTCCCGATCTTATCGATATGTGTATGATTAGCTTCTCAAAAATATAGCCGCCTACATGTGCGACGCGTAATATTGGAAGTATGTCGTGCATAATGGCGGCGAATGATTTATTTTGGGGATTATTTTTATCCGCATTTCTATAATAAAAGCCTGGATTAAGGATGAGGCTCTTTACTCTAATATTAATTTCTCTCTTGCATGCGCAAGCAAAAATAGAATTTAAAGATATTTTCAGGATGTCGCGGGATACCGTCGAGCTTTTTACCGAGAGAAGCTCCGTCAAATGTAATATATCGTTCGTATATACACGCCGCCGGCGAATAAAGCAAATAAGAAACGCTCCTGTGTCTTCATTTTATAAAGCAAGCTTTACTATCCTGATATACGTAAAGCTCGTTTCAAGCAACTTTCCCTTTACGTGAAAGAAATATCGCGAGCGCAAAAATGTTGCAACGTTGTAAAATCTCGATATGACGAAATCGCGCGTGCCGCATTTTTCGCATCGTGACGTGCAAAAACTCGCTGTAAGCGATCTCGAGAGGAATGCGAGTAATACGTCGCAACACGAATAACTCCGGCGGAAGCAATTTTTGTCGCGATTAAAAAAGAAAATGAAAAGAAGAAGCAAAAACCGACGGTCGTTGCGAAATAATAAGTCATACGGGGGGGAAAAAAAAACGTATCAATTTCTCGAATTATTAATTTTCCAATTAGCTCTGTAACTATGTATTTTTGCCCGCAGTGTTTGCGTGCCGTTATCAGATAACTTGCATTTATGGTGCCCGCAAAGCTTACGCTAGCGGCGAAAATGATAGCGGACGATATGTCGTGCACGCAGCACGTGCTCGCGATTGCCGATATACGAGAAAGAGAGAGGGGCGCACCGCATAGGGCTTGTAATGATCAATAACACGGAGCGAAATGAGGTACAGAGTAATCGATGGACGGCGAAGAGAGGCGGCCCCGAATAGATGAAGCGCCGAGTTGTCATTTATCGGGCAATCGTGGTCTCGAAACGTGACCCGTATATAAGTAATTAGTCCGTGGAATCAATTTCCCGACAACGTTTCGTTGGATTGATCGCGATCGACTGATTAAATATTGGCACCACTTGCGCCGCGGAACTTGGCTAACGGGGGCAGTTTAATTTCATTAAAATTTCCGGATCTCTCTCTCCGCGAGCGCGCAGAGCGAATGACAAACGCTTGACATCGCAACGAATTTGATTCGCGGAATCAGTATTTTTACACAATAATCGATAAACAAAGATGTAAGCGTTCATCATGTCTAATTACCGCCCGAGATAGATATCTTTAAATCGGGCTGTGTCTTTGAAACTCATTAGTTAATTACGCGTGAAAGCATCATTTTTTTCGGAACCATTTGATTGCATTAGAAAAATCACAGAAAAAAATCATAGAAATATATTATCTTACAAATGTTGGAATATTTATCAGTCTTTCGATAATCCCTACTACAAACAACGCAGGATAACGAGGACCCTGCGAGGAAGGATGTAACGCGGAAGTTTGATCGATTCGCATTCAAGCCGAGCGGAATCTCCAGACGGACAGCAGATATTTGTGTAAGCTCCCCCTCCGCGTTTATTTTCCGAGCACGTTGCCGCCCGTCCAGACGGGATTCTCGGGGGTGCAATTTCGCGAGGTCGCGTAATTTGTAACGTAACTTTTGCTATCGAGGGTCCCACCCCGCCTACCACCATCCCTCGCGCAACTAATAAGAAGTTCGTTTCCCGGCCGACCTGCCGCGGCCGGTGTTGCACCCTATGGCGCCCTTTCGGTTTCGGAGGGCACATGGCGACCGCGCCGCTGGTCGATAACCAACGCTCGGCAGACACCATGTGATTCTCTCTCCCCCTCTTTCATTTTCGATACCCCTTTTACCTTCCCTCGAGGCCCTTCACCCATAGCCGCCCCATGGGCGTCGGGAAAATTCGCACGCGAGCTGATAATGATTCTGCTGTTAACTTTTTATCGAGGGTGCAACGAATAAATAGAATATCAAGAAAAGGTTCTAGTGTTGTCCAAAAAAAGGAGAAAAAAAACGAGCGTTAGTATTGTACAAATATATCGTTAAGAGAGCGAATGCAAATAAAAATTACCAAAATATTAAAATTTCTTCTATTTAAAAAAAAATAGAATTTTAGGATTATGTTGACTTTATAAAATTATTTTTAGATATAGCATAGCTTTAAAAAAGATATTGAAGATATAAAAATGATGTCAAAACTTTTGAAACGCCATCCAAAAATGAAATTATGATTTGCATTTTTATGAATTTCTTTTTCGAAAATTTTTTGTCTGATTATTTTTTTAAATATATATATAAAATAAATTATAATTCGACTGTTCGCTTAAAAGAAATTGCAATTTTATCTTTAAAAATTGTGTACGAACGATCAATATTGCCAAAAAGGTCAACGTTATTTAAACTATAATTAAAATTCAGAGAAGATTTATTTTCGGCAAAAAGCATCGATCAAAATGAAGTCAAATATATGATGAAATTTCGGATATATTGACTCAGCGTTGAAAATAAATATAAAAATAGATAGTAACTTTGCATTCGCACCCTTAAATCATTTATACACATTTATAATAATAATGATGATGAAATTAGTAACGAATTAAAATAGACACAATATACATTGCGGCGGAAATTTTAAAAGGGACAAGAGAGATGGTGTGTTTATAAATGGGTAAAACTTCATTTACATATTTATAGGCAAAAGTTCATTTATACTTTATATACGATATCGATTGATATTATTCATGGAAAAGGTTTCATTACAAAATTCTTGGCTATTGTTGTTTCATCAGAAAATTCTTGGCTATTGTTTCATTAGAAAATTCTTGGCTTTTATTTTGGATAAATTTCACGTCTATCCAACAAAATGGAAGCCAAGAATTTTCTAACGAAACAATAGCCAAGAATCTTGTAATTAAACTTTTTTCCACCCCTCTCTCGAAAAGCCAGAAGGTGCACTTGATGCATCTCGTTGGATTCCCCTCACGAGGCGTTCGTCTGCCACCCTCTCTTTCTCTCTCGTTTTCCATCCATTTCCGTCTTTCCTCTCCGGCGTCATATTGATCGCGACTTATAATACCAACGTGTATGATGTATAATGTTGTAAATCGAAAGGGGGAAATCTCGCTTGCCATCTCCGGACAGAGACCTTCCGTGACCGATCCCACGTAGATGTGAAGATTACGAGGGATTATCAATAAGGAACAGTTGGCGTGCTGCCCGGAAGAGAGCTCGGATAAAGCCAGCTAGCGATCGATCAAGGTCGCGGTCGATTATGTCGTTCTATCAGGTAATTCGATCGAGAATCAACGTTATATTACTCTTTATCGTGTTAACTCGTCCACGGAAAGAGTCTCTTCGAAGAAACATATTCAGCAAACATACATGTAGATAGTTTATCTAGAACTAACTGAGATTTTTATCGATTATCTTTTTTTTCAACGGAACTTTTTACGGATCGATGATACACAACGAAATAGTTGTGTATCATTTTTACTTCATAAATCCTGGAATTCGCTTCATCCAATCCAATTACTTGTGATATCTCTTTCGAAATGTCATGCCGACAACGCGTTTCCTGTTACTTGTAATTTCCCCGGGGAATTTCTGCTTAAATCGTTCATCGCGAAGCGATCAAAAAACTATCGTCTCCGTTAATCGTTAATTCCGCTAATTGCGATTACGGCGGAAGAATTATTCTCGAGAGAGAGGATCGCGCAATTCCCCTATTATCCTCGCTGCGAATAAATCTTTACTGCTGATGAATCTTTAATTGGCGTGAAACAAATCGCGATAGCGATTTGTCCGCCGCTTCTTGGCTCAGGCGACAATGTTCTTACCGGTGCACTCTCCGGCATAACTTCCCGATGGCTTAAGCCGGCTAAATACATTTCCACTTCCCTTATTGACCTTCCGGTATCAACCACCCCCAACCCCCAGCTCTTGGTAATCGGCACGCCGTAAAGGTAGCGCCACGGTAGCGGTCGAAGACTATCTCGCCACGCAAATGGGGTGTGTAGTGCGTTCGTGTGTGCGTGTGTATGTGTGTGTGTGTGTATGCGGATTTGGATAAATATTAAAGGTATCCGAAACGCGGTATCTCAAACGCGGTCACCAAACACGTCGAGTGTTTCGCCCGATGATTCCCCTCGCGTCCCCGCATTCGAGCGATGCAAATATTTAAACTGACAAAGAAGAAGAGTCTCACTCCTAGGAACCGTAATTGAGGTTAAGCCATTGAATCATTAATCTCGGATTAATCCCGGATTAATCCCGATAGATGTCAGAATAATCAAGACAGAGAGACACGTCGTAATTCTTTTCAAATTCCTCGCTTTGTCTCTTTAAAGTGACGTTTGCTTTTATGAGAATCACATGCGAGACACTGCCCTCGATATTTCGAAAAGATATGAATGTCCATTCAAAGCGAAAAAATTCCCAATTCAACGTTAAATAGTGTGAATAATTGATTGAGTTTACGTGAAATATATTTAATTTATATTGTATTACAATATTGCATTCTAATTATTTAATATATATAACATAATTAACATTTAAAATCGTGGCATTAAACGTGATCATATGATCCGCGGTTCATACGACACCGAACACGATACACATGTTCACGTTTAGGACCATAAGCGAAAAACCCGTGTGAATGCCGTGCTTTGTCCCTGCGAAATCCGACAATAATAATATGCGTGGCGTTAGATTAAAATCGCCAACAGATGTTTCTCGACTGAATCCTACATCGTACAAGACCAACTAATACACCTTATCGTTAACTAAAACCTTATCGTTAACCAAAACCTCTTATCATTATCGTCGCGATACGACATACGTGAATAATTGCTGAAATTTTCAATACTGAACATCGCACTCGTGTCTGAATCGCGGAAAAAAAATGGAGCTTTGCGGAAAACCGGATACGCAGAGGGATTACTCGCACTTGACATTCGTATATACGCGTGTAATCGGAATTTTTGTCTCCGAAGGAATCGCGCGCAAATCCGTCGCACCGTCCAAGGAGGTTCTTCCCTTCGACGACGACGACGATGACAACGTCATTGCGATACTCACCATAGTAACGAGGGTGTCCCGTCGTCCGCCTCCGCGTACGTCAGCCGGAACAGTCGGTCTGGGCGAACGATCGGCAATCGCGGCGGCCACCACACTGCGGAGGAGAGCGCCACGGGAATGCTAGACCGCTGGCTGCTCCGCTGTCGGGAAAAAGCGGGGGCAGATCCGTCGCCGTCGCCGCCGAGAGCCGAGACTTGCCATGCTGCGGCACGCGAGACTCGCGCATGTACCCTAGCGTCCCGACGACGCCGTCGACGCCGCGCGGATACGTATGCACCGCACGCACACGCACGCACGGCAGCCCGACATTTCGGCCGCCCGTTCACGCGGCTGGCCGGCTGGCTGGATGGCTGGCTGGATGGCTGGCTGATCGAAAGAGCTGCTCGCGACCCTTCGGCGTCACGGACGCTCCACTTCAGCCCTTTACGATCCTGCGTCGAGGTGGGGAAACCCTCCCCCGAGACGCGAGGCTTTGCGATAATCCTAAAGCAAGTTTTCCGAATAGCCGCGCAAGGAAACTGATTGGAAAATTCTTTTTCCTTTTTTTTATATCTATGGTGCGCGAGAAAAAATTGTCTCGTCGGATTACAAGTGAAATATTTGATATTGATTTATTTGTCGAAAACTCGGAGAGAATCGATGTCGCGGGTTTCTCGATTAACTTTATAAAAGCCTAATTGAAAATCACGTGTCTCCAATGATGGTAGAACTCTCGATATATATATATATATATATATATATATATATATATATATATATATATATATTCGTTATTACGTTTAATTGACTTTCTATTGCCCCTTTATTAAATTATTCTGTAAATGAAGTTGCTTGTATTTCGTGCGTAAATTGATATGTCAATATTGTTACACGTAACCATTGTTCATCGGCGATCGCTATTATACGCGACATGTACGAAATTGTCAGCGTGCTAAGTAATCCCTCGTGTGCGATATACCAACTTTAAACAACGTACGGTTGAGATAAATCGATAAGGAATTACTAAATTCAAATGTTTTCGCTCCAATAATCCATTTAATTAAACAAGATGCAATACTTGATCGCTGATTAGAAAGTTGTTTCGAGCGTGTATAGATTTTATTGATGATTTTTCTTTCTCAAGGTTTATTTACGTAACACGTATATAATATGCGGGATCCATCGCCCCACCCCCTCCCTCTTCCCCTGCCGATGTAATGATAATAACGATTCGATCGATCCATTTTTCACAAGTAGCTATTTCCACAATATATATAGAGATAATTGGCATGCATTTCACAGGTCATATCTGTAATTAATTCGATATCCTGATAATATCGACAGCGTTATCGGCGATAATTATTAGATATAAAGGCTAACATGATTCCCTAAATTAATATAATTATAGATATAAAGACAGATTTTCCGCTCCCTTTGATTTCGGCGACTAATTTAATCGAGGCTAAACTAGATTTCATAATATTATATACAAATGTATTATTTTTTACAAATGTATTATTTTACAAATGTATTATTTTTTTTTAATGGATCGAATAAAATAAAATTTGTGTCACATTTTTAATTTTCAAAGACTCGAAAAAAAACAACTCGGATGAAAATAACTCCGAATGGGGGGAGGGGGAAACCATAAAAATCTCACAATTATTCCAAGAGGGGTGCGCGGCATCTATTAAAGAGAGAGACGGAATAGGTTGAATCGGTGCCTAAAATAGATATAAAGACGGATTCTCCACTCCCTTTGGTCTCGGCGACTAATTTAATCAAGGCTAAACTAGATTTCATAATATTATATAATGCAAATGTATTATTTTCTTTTAATGGATCGGATAAAATAAAATTTATGTCACATTTAATTTTCAAAGACTCGAAAAAAAGCCGGATGAAAATAACTTCGGGGGAGGGGGAAACCATAAAAATCTCACAATTATTCCAAGAGGGGTGCGCGGTATCTATTAAAGAGAGAGAGAGAGACGGAATAGGTTGAATCGGTGCCTAAAATATTCTCAGTCGATCCGAAACGGTTTGCAGAAATTTCGCACGTCGAAAAAAAGCCGGATGAAAATAACTTCGGGGGAGGGGGAAACCATAAAAATCTCACAATTATTCCAAGAGGGGTGCGCGGTATCTATTAAAGAGAGAGAGAGAGACGGAATGAGTTGAATCGGTGCCTAAAATATTCTCAGTCGATCCGAAAACGGTTTCGTTCATGCTCGACCGACGGGCAGATTTCGCACGTTTACGCATACACGACGACGATTTACAGCTAGGGCGCGGAGGGTGAGGTGGAGGGGCGGGGGGGCGAAGGCGGCGGCGGCGGCGCCGCAAGCGAGTCGTCGCGGCACCTCGCGGCGTCCGGTGGCGAACAGCGAGAATCGCGCGATTTTGCAGCGACGTCCGGGGGTTGGTCCCATCCTATCCGAGGTGTCGTACGTACCGTACGTACGTGCGGCGACGGCGGCGGCGGCGGCGGCGGCACGCTTTTGTTCCTCACACGCGAGTGCTGCGGGAGACGCGAGAGACAGGAGCGGCGTAACACGGAGCGTTACGAGCGAGCCACCACCGCCAGGAGGAGGAGGAGAAGGAGAGGAAGGTGGAGAGGAATCGAGGGAGCGAGAGAGGGAGTAAGAGGAACCGCGTCGGAAAGCGCTGGTACACGCGGTGTCGCGAAAAATGGCGAAGACGTTTCGCGCGGTGGAGGTCTCGACTCTGTCAAACAATGGACAGTCCACGCCAAAGTACAACAAACCGGTCACGCTCAATATCAATTACGACCCGCAGGGCCTCAGCGTCGAGCTTGTCTCAGGTACGGACGCGGCTAGGGATCCGAGGGCTCGGGGTCGTTTTCTCGGCGTCGACGGCCCGCACCGTCCCTCGGCGACGCGGCTGATCGATCACGCGATCGCGGCCCATCCGGGCGACATAACCACACTTGCTGGCCGTCGACTGCTTTTCTTCTCGCCCCTCTGCTGGGCGAGATCGCGCCCAGCCGTTTCGCGGCCACGGTCGATCGCCGACCGACGTCGCTCTTGGTTTGGGTGATCGGGATAGGTCGCTGGTCGAAACGCGAAAGATGCTCCTAACTCGTGTCTCGGGCTTTTCTTTCTTCTCCCTTTCGTTTTTTTCGTTTTTTTTTCATTATTTATCTTTCATCGTTTAAAACACTCGAATGAAAAATTGCAATGATAGGCCGAGTTCTATCGTTGACGTGCTACGTGATACCGATGCTATTGTTATACTTTATAGAGGTGAGATGACATTACTTGAATAGGCAAATGATACTTAAAATGTATAAATCATTGAGTTGCATCTGTTGTTTTTATCGGAGATATATATTATTCTGATGATATTGCTTTTTAAGACTATATTTTTATGCTTTATCAATATAGTTTTTTGTATTTTTCTCTTTGATATATGCAATAAGAACCAGAATGAAAAGATAACGCTTACGTATGTTAATAAATATTCAACATTCTTTTTAGGAGACGTTAGCAGCAAGGAAAAGACAAGTCTGTTGGATTTCAGTATTAGTACAGATGTTCTGGTATATCTCAATAGTTCGAATCATGAATAGCTATCATTACATTTGCTAATGAAGCAGGTGAGATGATAATTTTGCATCTCAAACATCTTGTGTTAAGCTTTCAAATATTACAAATGAACATTATCATGAAAACGTGTGTTTTTGCTCCAATAATATTATCTTCTATAAAAGTATCTGGGAAAGAAAATTTTAGTAGATATATATATATTTGATCCACAGATTCTCGCAACTTTCATTCGCACATAGTAAAACTCAAGGTAGGAAAGGGTATATCAGCATTTAATGAGAGGACGGAAGAATCCTCGGCGATGCAATATTTTCAATTCTATGGCTATCTGTCGCAACAACAAAATATGATGCAGGATTATATTAGGACTAGTACATACCAACGAGCGATCCTTGGAAACTTGTCTGATTTCAAGGATAAGGTTGTACTAGATGTAGGCGCTGGTTCTGGTATATTATCATTTTTTGCCATACAAGCTGGTGCTAAAAAAGTATATGCGGTAGAAGCGAGCAATATGGCAAACCATGCTGAGCTGTTAGTTGCGGCTAATAATTTGTCGGATAAAATAATAGTCATAGCTGGAAAAATAGAAGAGATCGACTTACCCGAGCGTGTTGACTGTGTAGTGAGTGAGCCTATGGGATACATGTTATATAATGAAAGAATGCTTGAAACTTACTTGCATGCAAAGAAGTGGTTAGTTCCAGGTAAGCAATTAAAGATATAATTTGCTTTTCTTCTGCTGATTTTTTCTATCTTTTTTTTTTAACTAAGTTATTTTAATCCATAGGCGGGAGAATGTTTCCTTCTAGAGGTGATCTGCACATCGCGCCTTTTTCCGATGAAAATCTCTATATGGAACAATTCAATAAGGCCAATTTTTGGTATCAGACATGTTTCCATGGAGTAGATCTCTCTGCCATGAGAAATAACGCTATTAAAGAATACTTTAGGCAGCCGATTGTCGATACTTTTGATATTAGAATATGTATGGCGAAATCGGTGAGGCACATAGTAGACTTCCAAACAGCTGATGAGACTGATTTACATAAAATAGGTATGAAATATTGAAAAATACATTGAAAAAATAAATTATATAAAGAGTACAATGAAACATTGCTAATGTTCTGCAAAATCATATTTCCTTTAGAAATAGATGTCGATTTTCATATACTGGAGAGTGGTACATGTCATGGTCTAGCTTTTTGGTTTGATGTAGCATTTATCGGATCCACGCAACAAGTTTGGTTAAGTACAGCTCCTACAGAACCTCTCACACACTGGTATCAAGTACGCTGCCTGCTAGAAAATCCATTATTTTGTAAAAGTGGACAACTACTCTCTGGAAAAGTCATTCTTATAGCAAATAAAAGGTAAATAGAGTCTTCTATCAATTTCATTTCTATAGTTTCACTTGTCTTCAGTTTCTAATATCTTGTCGCAAATTTATTTCTATACATTTGTTTTCAGTAGTCAGAAATTTATTTCTATACATATTTTACTATTATTATATATATACGTTATATTTCAGACAATCCTATGATGTAACCATAGAACTGAAGCTTGAAGGAACAAATATGGAAAGCAGTAGCAACACCTTAGACTTGAAAAATCCTTACTTCCGATATACAGGCGCTGCAGCGCAACCACCTCCTGGTTTAAATAACACTTCACCTAGTGAATCTTATTGGACAACTTTGGACGCGCAAGGTGCTCGACAAGCGGTGAATATGGTCAATGGAATGTCCGTTAATGGTCTCGGTGAAGTCTCAATGGACACAAGTGCGACCGTAAATCCAAATAATTTGCTGGCAATAGGTAAGGTTTGGTTTGACTCTTCAGTGTATCATTACATGTATTGAACGTACCGTGTGCGAAATATATATAATATTGTAATCGACGTCCTTGCCACATGCATCACGCCCAAGAAATTTTGATTCCCTAATGTCCGATTTTTGTAGAAAATATATTTATAAAGTCTTGTGTCACAAAATATATATGAAGGATGCCTATATGATCGCGCATATTGAATGATCGCTTCTCGGTCCGTATACATATATATATATATATATATATATATATATATATATATATATTTACTATACATTTAAAATATAAACTATTTAAACAAAAACATTTTAGAAATAATAAATAATTATCTTCGCAATGGAGACATTCTAAAGTTTAATATTGCTCAACATTTATAATATTTTGTCTCTATCGTTTTCTATATCATATTGTATCATAGATTTTATGTAATATCTTGTTATACAAGAACTTATAATTTTTATTTTTCTAAATCATTCATTATTTTATGTCATTTGGTTAAAATTTTATATTTTCTATAAGGCTCCTTCTATATAAGTGTATCATTGAAATTGGCATGAAATATAGTAGTTTGTAAATATTTTATTAAAACTTTTATATAGTAATGTACACATAAAAGTGCTTTGAAGACTGTTTTTATTAGGTATTGTTTTTCTTTGAAAATTGTAAAGCAAAAAGCTCTTGGATAATGATTACAATTATAGTTTGAAATGGAATTTATCAGCAGAAAAGATGGAATATAAGTCACTTTTGATTTTTATACGCTAATATTATTCCAATTACAGATGTTAGTATATTGTTAATTACATAAATGTCAAATTATTTGTCGAACTTTTTTATTGTGATGGTACTTACAGAATGGATTCACATATTTTATTACTGTACATCATGGGAGACATTTGTACAAAGAAGAAAAAGTTCCTTGTGATTGTTCTAATTTATACATATTTTGTAGAATTTGACTCGTGTAAATAAACTTGTTTTTAGTAGTATGGGTTTATATAAATATTTAATTATCTACTCTAATCCCATTTATAAAAATTGAGTTTATATTTTTTTAAATTTAATTTTTAGATATAAAATAGCTACAATTGTTTTTTATTTATTTTTAATACAATTAATAAACCTATACAAATGACAGAAAAATACTTCTTGTTGGGTACCAATAATAGATTATTTTAATATTTATATAAATTCTTTCAAATAAATTTATTTTATCTCTAGATGTCTGCAACAGTTTTAATTTTTTATTTGAGCTTTATGTGATGCTTTAAATACATATGTAATACATATGTGTGTTCTTTTTGTTTCTTTAAATAACAATCTTTACTAAATAAAAATTCAATAAAAAGTACATTAGTTTACTTTAAATATATTTGTGTAAATATATTTTGCTCAAACTTTTTAATAAATGATTTGTATATATACTTATACACATCTTTTATTCTCTTATTAATAATTAATGCATATATATATATATATATATATATATATATATATATATACACATGTGACTTATAATAATATAATTGTATGATTTTTTATAACAGGAGGACAACCAAATATTCATCCTGGTTCCATCTCGAGTACGGGACGAGGTCGTGTAGGAGGTACAGCCACGAGCACACAAGCGGCACAATTGATAGGCGGTGGAATAACTCCAAACATGTTTACATCACCCGCTACTGTAAGTGCAGCTTAAATATTGATATTTTGTGCACAGACTTACCGTATACAAGTTACTGTGAGCAAAAGGAGAGCATTTTTTAAAATAATGTTCTGAACAAGCATGAAACGACTGTTGCGCTGAAAATTTTTACTAGTTTTACTATCTAGTTTGCTACATATTAATTAAATAATTGACGTGAGAGACGGAAACTAAAGCAATACGTCTGCTTGCGTGACTTTCGCGCTACAGCTTGGTGTTACTTTCCAGCAATCGCTGGTCCTCGGCAACTCTTCTCATTATCCAGTGAATCCCAGCCTGATGATCGGTGACTATGTGACTCCTGGGAACGGTTTATCTCCGCAAGTATATCGGCAATGATCTACGGCGAAATCGTTTCTCGCCGAGTATTGCCGCAAAGTAAAACAGTTACAAAACGATCGTAATAGTTGTAGCAGTATTGGAAACAATGGCAACAACAGTAAGCAAAGCCGCAAACTGGTATTTAGCTCCCCGGCCAGTAAACTTCGACTCTCGTCTGCCGTACGGATTTTAAGTACCGTCGACTTGGCCAATTTTAATCCAGACTTTGGTCACAATAATGTCGCTTATTCAAGTAAAAGTACAGTTAGACATGGGTTTGCGTTAGATTGGAATCCCGTAAGAAATAATAGGTCTCAATGGGAGGCACGTTGGAAAAGACTGCGAGCCGTCCTCTCGTAGTTGTCATTAATTAATCATACATAATTAGTTTCATTGGCTATTCCATTTGGTCATCATTCGGAAAAGGTAGAGAAAAAGAGAAAGAATCTTCCAGATCGACGTGCATGCTTGCCAAATATACCCACATGAAAATATAATATTTTTTAATGACAATACAGTGTCGTCGCTCTATAGTATAGGCATCACTATATTTTACAAAGTTTTGACATAAAACTACGAAACGCGAATAATTTATAACGAAAGAGAGAATGATCGCGAATTGCTGCGATTTCTTTGTTTTAATTTGGTGAATTGAAATAATGATTTATAGAATCTACTAAGCATTCAAAGACAGGGGCATATTTTACTAAGCTGCGACGTTGGCTTGGTTGGGTTTCGATATCAAGCGACTTTTACACAAGTTTTTTAGAATAGGCAAACAATGTTTCGAGAACATTTTGAGAAGTGCAAAGAGCAATAATACATTAGGCGTACATTGTAGAGCACTCTGTGGCATTACCTGTTATTATTCAGCTATCTCTTGCTCTTGTTTTAATCAACGTGTCTTTATTACGTTAGCATGACAATACATGAGAAAGTACAACTTTTTATGAGTATTAGTTATTACATTTCAGTCACCAGTGTAATCCACATCGAGATATTTTAATTGTTTAATAGGTATGTGTGTGCGATAATTACTCATCTATCGATTACGTTTTCATAGGTAAATTGTATATATCTAATTGTATAACACAGATAGGGATACTTCATCTAGAAAGAGGAAACAATTGATCAAATCACGAAATCGTCCTAAATTATGAATACAATAATATAGTTATGTCATAGTGTGTAAATGTGTAATTGCAGATTCGTACAAATGTATTACACATTGAAAGAATTGCTCGAATGAAATCTTATAGTTTTATATAAGATGATCTGTGTGTGTAATTTATAAGATATAATTTTGCGTTACACTTAATTTTTTTTTATATATTTTGTAGTCGCGAGAAATGTCTGTTTTAAAAGGTTCTCATCAAGCTTTTCTTTTTTTCTTTTTTTTTTTTTTTCTTCAAAAATGCACGTGTAATTTAATACGCGCATTTGTAAGGCTACGTAATTTAAAAATTAAAACCGATATGTACGACATATTTTTTCTTTCTACCACAGCTAATTAATAATTTCTGTATCAAATTTTGTAATAAAAAAAATTGGTGGTGCCATTTTTGCATTAAATTTTAACATCACTTTTGCATATAATAATAAAATAACAGATATTAAAATCTTTCAAAATAGACACTTTTTGCTTGGATGATCTGTACACGTAATAAATGATGTTTGGAAATTTGTATATGTTCTGTAGTTATAATAATATTATGAAGTAAAGCAAAAATATACGGCCATAATGGCTTCTTATTATCTTAATTCTTTCCACTCATTGATACAGCAATGTAAAATTTAGTTATTGATAAGTGTAAATTGTATATTTCGCTTATTAATATATATGCAACAAAAGATAATTTTTTTGCTAAAATTATTTATGTTTTGAGAGAAAATTTATTGACTATATTTTCATTACAATTTCTTCTAATTAAGCTGATAACATAAATTTGAGTGTAAAGAGTTAAACAGATGCAGATATTAAACTACTTAACTACAATCTCTCATGTATAAAGCAAAATGTTGAGATACATACATGCATACATACATATATATATATATATATATATATATATATATGTATGTATGTATATATATACACACATACATATATAGTATAATTGCATTAAGGATTTTTTAAATTATATTATATATGTATTTATTATTATACAATAAATGTATGAGAGATATTCAATCAATCGCGATAACGTGTATAGAATCTGCTGTACATATACATTCTCAAATAATTTTTACATATGTATTGTTTAATTATGTATAAGATGGTTGATTGGAAACAGAACACTTGAATAAAAATTCTGCCAAATTTGAAGATTACAGAAATAAATATTATGAACACCATTTGATCTAGTACGTTAAAAGTTTCGTCGTATTTCATTTGTATGTATAAAAATATTGTGGATTGATTAGAAGTATTTGAAACTATCCAAGTCGTCTAATCTTACATTTGTATCATGATTAGAGGATTTGGATAGCTTTTCTCTTCAAATGTAGAATAGTTATTCTCACATACAAGTGTGTTCTGTTTTTGATATAAATTATCTTGTAATAATATTACCGTAGAGATCTCAAGGACTCTTTCAAGTCTTATTAATAAGTCTTAAGCAAGTTACGTTTTATTTGTTATTTCTGCACATATACTTGCCATCTAATTCCGATAACACCTCCTAGTTATCTCATCGCCGTGAATATGATTATTTTCAAACAGCAACTTCTTGAGTGTTACCTTCATAGGTTTTCCCTCGAAACTTTTCGAGGGAAATGAGTCACGCGCGATTCGCATAACGCACTTGGAATCGAAGCTAATTTGTACTTACTTTTCTCTATAGAACTCTTTCCTTTTTTTGCGCGCATACCTATGAGAGGTGTAAATAAATGCGCGGCTATTTCTCGATGAAGTATTCTGGAAGAGATGTATCATATACGCTTGTTAAATGCGCGCCTCGACACATACACAAACCAATCTCGTAACAGGCATTCCACAAGTGCTACTAATATTGCATGGTTTGTTGTAATTAATATAAGGGCCTGCTTCTTCCATCGTTTTTTTGGGATTAATAGCATCGAAAGCAAAATTTAGAATGTAACTTGATTTGTTTTTCTCCTTTTTTTTTACATCACTGTGAAAAAATTGAGGATGTAATTGCGAACACCATCAAACTCCACTTATGTAGATCTAGATATTGTTTTCGATGCAATTCTAATTGATGTGAATGTGTGCGTTTTTCTTTTTGTATCGTTAGTATATCGAATATATAAGACTGCTACACCGCTCGGAAAAGCATATTGACGCGATATTACATATCTCATCCCAGTTATGTATATCTGTGTTACGATTTTTGTCGTCTCGTATTTTTAATGTCATTCTTTATACCGTCTCAAGCTTTCAACATCTCACGCAATGTTCCGCCAACAAGTGTCTTCTCTTTTCAAATCTCAAAGAGTCGTTCGTCACAATTGGATATCTTGTCGATTATTAAACTGGGGCATAACTTTGTTATCTCTTTCTCATTCACATGCGTGTGTTTTCGGGCGGTATGTTCGAGTATTAAATAGTTCAGCAGTGTTATATAGAAATTTGTGCGTTTCAACGACTGAAAACTATATAAGAGATATCTCAGGTAGTTATTAACGAGCTCTCGAAGGATGCCTTTATTGCGCGCTAAATCTGGATTTGACAAAGTTACTTGGCTATTCGGCATCACGACGAAGATACAGACTTTACGTTTACGATTCGTACCCCGGTAAAGCGTAAAAGGATGGTTTTACGAAAACATTGTATAATCGCATAAAATCAGAATTATACAAATATAATCTATAGTGTAATTGTGTAGTAAAATTGATCGGTCATGTGTTTAAGATAAGTTTTTCTCGAATTAATTGTTTCCTTGTCATACCTGTGAGACTTTTTATTCACGTGACAATTTTCTAATGCTATAATTGTTCTTTATAATTTCAACAATTAACGAATATCTTTTTGAATATTTCTTAAATCATTTTAATTAAAATTTGAGAAGCAGCTAATTTTACTTTACATTTACAGATTATTCAATCTTTCATGAATGTAGTAAAGAAATATCATGTATTTATGCATGCAAAGTTTTACGATACAGGTGGAAAGACAAATAATTGATCACCAAAAATTGTAGTACTTACGTAACAGGATTACAGTAAAGCAGAAAAACATCATTCTAAACATCACATCATTAATTTGTTATATTTATTGTAAATACGATAATATTTTTGCAGCAGCTCTCTGTAACTCTTCTCTATCGCTTTTTTGTAAAAATTTTTTTTCTGTGCTATGTATACAACTCTAAAATAGCTTCTGATTTAATGCAGATGAGTTCAACGAACTTATAATGCTTATATTTATATCATAATTTTAATAAATTTCTTCTTCAATCACAATAATTTATTGTCAATTATTAGAATATTAATTTTGCGTGTAACAGATTAAATGGCGTATTTCAATTTTAATTTGATTCAAATGCAATTGTATTGCGCTGAATTGCGAGGCACATAAATACAAATAATATAAGTTTGAGCGATAAATTATTTGATTTTGAAGAAGTTGGCGACGTCACGCGACAAATTTTGGATATTTTTCTCTTTCCCAGAGAGTCTCATTTTTAATAAAAATATTTCAACGAATTGTCTAGTATATACAAATGTATTTTATGTGATCATTAAACCCTTTTACAATTAAGAAATCTGCCAATTACAATTCTTTTATATTTACACATTTTACATATTTCCATTTACATATTTCATTTTATAATTACACATTGTTATCTATAACATTATTATGAAATAATTGTGTTTTGTATCAAAATAAGTAATTAAAGAATAATATTGCAGAAAAAGATGAGACATATATGTACATGTAATGCAACTTTATATATTATGTGTCTGATTTTATATATTAGACCATTATCAATTTTTATTCTTACAAAAATATTATTATGTTTAAAAACATAAAAAGTATATGCACATATATAAAAGTATATATTTAAATTATAATAAATACAAAGTAAAAAAACTATAATACGTAGATTTTCGAGATATTGTATCGCGTTAAATGAATAATTCTGTCTATCGGAACTTAAATCATAATAATTCTCTTAAGAATTATTTGATAATGTTACGTAATTGTATTAATTTGCTCTTAGAGGGCATTATATATTAAACATTTCTACAAATGTACGATATACATTGTTTCTTGTACATCGAACAAATCTTTGCTCTCATATCATTCTTCATTATATTTACTTTCCATTCCAGTCGAAGATTACGTGGGCAATTAGCAGATATACTGTTACTGTTATGGTGCTTGTTATCATGATGGGAAATCCTACCCTGCAATATATCAAGATAATAGATCTTTAGTCTTTAAGATTTTAATGATGAGAATTTTTTGAGAAAAACGCGGTGACATCTTTTATTAGTTATAAATATTTTACCGCGATCTTACTTACTTGAAGAATTGCATGAAGCTAAATCTGTAGCCGTGTTGCTCCGCGACACCCATGCAAACAACGTTGGCAGTAGCTCCAATCAAAGTTCCATTACCTTTAAACATAACTATTAAGCTAAACAACACTGCTATTTATTTATGTAAAAAGACTAGAAAAGTTGGCACCTGCGTTAAAAAGCGCCAACTTGCGCGATGTGATTTTATTCTCTTCTATTCTAGATCTTATTTTCTTATTCTATGCGATAATTGAACAAACTAAATCATAATAATACTCTGCGAAAGCTCAAGTTCTATATTGAAGCTTTTACATACAGGACGGATTTTAAAACTTTGGATTATTTCAAGGAGAATCATTCGAGCTAACAATAAGACTAACTTTTCTTACCTCCCATACAAGCGCCAAATGTCAATGCCCATACCAAGGGTTGCATAGGCAAGCTGAGCTCACGATTTTGCGCGAGATTCGACGCGATTCTCACCATCATGGTAGCGAGCGGTACATTGTCGACGAGAGAGCTCGCAATAGCCGATACCCAGAGCAATAACAGTATCGCAACTGCTAATCGAGATTCTTCATTAACCGACAGAATAAAGTTTTCGGTTTGTTTGCCAATCCAAGTGATGAGACCCATACGCGAGAGAGCCTACGGAATTTTTCAATGTGTCTTTTATCAGATATCTTTTACTCCGAATATGTGATACGAGGAAAACTAACGCGAGAATTTTTTATAGGAGTTTTACTCTGACGTTACCTCCATGAGAACAAACAACGATGCGAAAAATAATAACGTGCTCCATTCGACGCGCGCCATAAGCCCATCGAAATCCTCGCTATCGGCCAATATTAAAAGCAGCGAGGTTCCGACTAGGGCGATCCAGCCCAGAGATAGATGCAAACGAGGCACGCTATGCAGGAAGAAAAGCGTGATGACAAAAGACAGCACAAATCCCGACTTTGCCATCAACCACTTATCTCTGATGGGATACTGAAAACGAAAGACATGCTTGTAGACAAATACATAAATTGTCATTTCATCAACTAGCAAGATAAATTGGACAATAACAGCTTCGAATATATATACTTCTATATATATATATATATATATATATATATATATATATATATATAATTCTAATACATGTACGATTCAGAAGCTCACTTTTTCCTGTAATTCCTCGAGCGTGGTTTTATATTTTTCTAACGCTGCGCTTCCTGTTATCAACTTCCTCTTTAGTTGCGACAGTAAACGTTGCACTTTCTTCAACAACGTCTCCCTCACCAGATTTTCGTCCTTGCTGTAACTGGACAGACTCGCCGCTGCTCGTTGCCAAATGGCAATCATGTGTCTCAGATCCTGCGAATGGATGTAAAATGTTTAATTTACTATATATTTAAATTATAACATATATATTTGTGATTGGAATCGATTTTTTTCTCCTCTGATGTACCTGTACGTCTTGTGGCTCGTTGAATCTGAGAGCTGCGATATCTCGGAAAATATAACGGATTTGCGCAGAAATCACGACCAACACCAGTATCACCCCGATACTCATGTGCAACGAGAATGTGCCAAAGTCGATATTCTGCGGCGATATAATTATCTGTTAATTATCTGTTAATTATCAGTTCGAGTATAATATCATAGTAAACACTCACGGCATTTTTGACATTTTTATTGGAAGCGATAATGACATTCGGTGGATCGCCAATTGGTGTCATCGCGCCTCCGATATTGGAGTAGACCACCATAGCGGTCAAGATCGGGACTGGGTTCAATTCCATCACCTCGCACAATCGGATAGTCACTGGTGTCATTAACAACACGGTCGTTACGTTGTCCAGTATCGATGACAGAAAAGCGGTAAAGAAGCATAGGGCTATGATCATCGGCCATAATTTGCCGGCAGTTATCTAACAAATGGAAACAAAATCATTTCGCGCATTGTTTCGGCTATGAACGTTTTATTTTAAGCTATTAAATATAAATGTTATTTTTTTCTCGCCTTGTAAGCGTAGACTGCTAGCCAGTCGAATATGCCGGTGTCAGCGATAATGGCTACTAGCACCATCATAGAGAACAATAGCAATAGCGTATCCATATCTATCCAAGAAATTATTTCATCCATACGTGGTCGCTAAAGCAAGATTATTTCTTAAATTTATTTTTCAACGTTTTATATTTTATACAGAAAAAAATATGTATGTATATACCTCGTTTAAAATCGCCAATATCGCAATAGACGCCATGGACGTTAATATAGCAGCCAAAGTTCTATGCACAACCTGTTTAATTGAATATAATAAATGTGATATTAATAATATTTATAAAATTTACAGGAATGCAAATATCTCGCGATATTAATTACCTCGAAAATAATCATGATGTAGAGGCCAATTAAAAGGAAAGCGGCGTATATTATGCCGGCATCGGCATTCATCGGCGACAGAGTGTAAGCTAAGGAAAACGAAAAATTTGACTCTGAATTTGTACGTAACTTGATAAACATTACACCGCGCGATAGTGCCCTATAAACAAAGTTGATAAATGAGTTGATGTGAAAAAAAAAATATAATAATAAATAATCATAGCAACGCACTCGCTATCGACGTTTATTTTAAAAGTTCTTTCCTGCTTCTGCTCAGGAAAAATGTCCCTCAAGTTTTCGGGCAGTAACGACAAGGTCCACACGTCGTTTATGTTCTGAAATTGACAAAAATTATGTGTGATTTAACAATTAAATAATAATTTATTCAGATGATTGATCTCTCTTTTTCTTCTCTTTCTGTTTCAGAATTGGCCAGATTGGCGTATTCTACCGTCGTAAAACGTGAGTACGTATGCAATAATTTTTGTAACGCTAATTTTCCTCAGTAATGTATATAAATACCTTCAAGTTCTCCAAGTTGGCATAGGACGGATTCTCGTCTATAAAAAGTTCAAGCCATATCATTAAGTGGTGCGTAGATAAATTCGTGTGCTGTTCGACTTTATCCGAGGGCAACATTGGTCCTTCCACCATTATGCTAATCAACTCGTTCGTAATAAACTCGCTAATTTGACAATCTGAGAAAACATCATTAAGGATATTCCAAACGAAAAGAAAATTATTTTTCATTAGATTTACGGATGAATTTTAATTTTGTCAGATTACATCTCGAATTAGACGAGACGATTTTTTAATTGAAAGGATACTCTTAATTTGCCCATTAGAAATGGAAAACCGATGCATTGTCTCGATCTTCTCAGATTTGAACATGAGTATTATCTGCAATATGAGGAATACAAGTACAGACGCATAGTTATAAGATACAAGTTCAATCGCAAAGATAATTTTCTTACTGTAAAAAATAGCCAACAGCAGGAGAGCACGATTAACTTCGAGTAACGACAAATCGGCTTCTGCTTCTCCTGCGTGTGAATATCCTGCCCGTCCTCGTCGACGTTGCTTTGAATTGTTTGAATTTGATTTGGATCACTGCAAAATTATTATATGAATCATCGTTTGCATTCTTCTTGAAACCAACCGTCAATGACATAAGATACCTGATTTGCGTCACAGGATGCGGGCACATGTTCACAACGAGGCAGTCTTTCTTCATGCAATCCATGGATCTAGGAATATCCGTGATCATTAGAGGTATGGTTTTGACTATACTTGCATTTTATCTCACCTCGCCTCCGCTATCCGGTCGCATTCTCTCTGGAAAACCGCCAACCTGGGATCCAGGCGAATCGTCTCCGGCAATTGACTCCAGGCGCGGAGCACATCATCGGTGATCTGTCCGAATATCATGGAACTCGAGACAGAGGAGCTAGGACTGATCGGACTGGGCACAACTTTGAGAGGATACTCGTTACGAAATTATATCAAAAAATTACAACCGAGTTATTTTACTTAATTTATTTTTTTTTTATGTCTTGTATATACATTGTGTACCTGAGTTGCTACAGCTGCAGTGAGCGATCTGTTCTAAACCTGTCTTGAAAAACACCCGAGGCCTCCGCAGATCCGTTTCATCGTCACTTATATCGTTTTGCGACATTACAACTGTTTTGAAATTTTTCGTTATTGTCCTTTATTATGCGTAATATTTTAACTGAACTAAAATGTTAGGTTTATTAAACTCGGGCATTTTATTTACGCTCAAACCGCACACATTATGATTGAATCTTTGAGGACACGGTTCTACTGCAGACAAGATTTATCCGCTTATCCTTAGAGGTCACTCTACTGTTTATATTTTTCTTATACGGAGATATAATCGTCGAGCTCAAAATTTTCATATGATAGATACAATAGAACTTGAGATGATAAATATATTAAAATATTTATTGAATATAGTCTTCACGCAATAGAACAAAGAAATATGTAAAAACATAATCCGCGAAAAATCACGTGTTTTATACAAATTTGAATTTGTCTTTTTAATATAAGAATTGAAATATAAAAATTCAAACTTTATCATTACCTAAAATATTGAGTATTTAAGAAAAAATTAAATATGTGTAACTGAAAATAATTTTATTTTACAATTAATTGCAAAATAGTTTTATTTTACAATTTGAACATATAGTATCTTCATGTGTTATATGAATTAAAAATAATTGACAAATATTTTTAGTTACCCATCAATCACTTTGATACAATATAATTGTATATATAACAATCATTAACATTGACTAAATTATATGATTCAACTGTACAATATTCAAGTCTAAGAAATTGTATCGACTGTGCAAAATTATTTCTAGTACATCGAATAAGAATTTCTATGTGAATTAAATGTGTGTGTACACATTCGATTCACATAGAATAGTAGTCTCATAAATATTAAGTTATATACATATTATATATATAGTTTATTAAAAAAAGAATCATCAACTAGAAGCTTCAGACACTCTCTTACATGCATTTCATAGATATTATGATAATCTTCACTACTACATTATCGCGTTATGTTATTTTGTTGAAACGTTGCATAATGTATCTATTCTTGTCATGAATAACTTAAAAGTTTTCGAAAAAATCTTCACACAGAGTATCTTAAGCATCGACTAGCTTTCCATTTTCCTCTTCATCGATTTCCTTCTTGAGATCAATTGATCTCTGACGCATGATAGACTGTACATCGGCTATAGCATACTTTGTCATCGTATAATTATATCGACAAAAGCAAAAATAAACGATGGAGACACAGAAGTAGGATCCTAAACTCATAGCCGTCGCCAGCTTAACGCGACTCGTAAACATGAAAGTGCCCAGGCCGGTGGCGAAGCCGCTGTAGATGCCATACAACTGGCTGTCCCTGAAACAGGGAATTTTCCTGATGTCTCGACCAAACAGCATCACCGCCTTGGATTGATCATCGTCTATATTTCCAATGTCCATCGCGTTAAGTTTCTGTTAATATAAAAGAATATAAACGTCTTTATGAGTTTGTTCTTTTCAGCTGAACTAGTACAGCCAATTTAAGTTAAAAAGAACAAACCTTATGTAATTTTGGGCAACAGAAGGCGCAAAGTAAGGCTAAACAGATGGATATTCGTTTCGGTTGCACTCTGCCTCTCCTTTTCTCACAAGGACATAGATAAATACATTCATTTCACGTTTCAAGTATAAATGAAAAATGCGAAAGGTATGAATGAAATCAGAATCTTATCCTCCTCGGAGAATCAGCTGTTCGTTAGATGGTACCCGACATTCTCGCGCGAGGGCGCTGCAAGCGCGAAATCAGGGCGGCCACGACTCGAGCGCTCATTCGGCCACGTTCGGCTATCGCCGATCTCGGTGTTTCAGTTGCGTGTGGGGCGCCGGTTGACATTGGTTGACATCGTGGAGCGGTCGACGCGTGCTATCGAGCCCGAGTGACAGGTGGTGCTCCCATCCCATACACATTAGTCGCTCGCGCGAGGATCGCGACAAGGAGGACGTCGTCGCGTCTGTAAAGTGTGGTGTAACGTCTTTCTGCGGAAAGGAACGCGCGTATCACGAGTGAGGAAGAGGTGAGAAACACGAGGAGCGCCCTGAACACAGCCGCAAGTCGTTACTCCGACTCGTATACGACTCCCGCGAATACTAGTCCAAATCGCCGTGACATGCACGCACAATCGGTGCGTAGCTGCTCCTAGGTGCTCCCTTGTGTCAGGTCCTACGATGTATACCACATATCCGTGCGACGACTTACCCGGGAGATTCAGCTGCAGAAGAGGTAAGCGTTTGTCCTCTTCGGTGTGTTATCCTTGCACCTCGCGAACGTCCTCGAGCGCAAGATTGCCTGTATCGGGGCCCTTTAACCTTGTATCCCTGAAGACGTTTGTGATTAATCGTAATTGAAACACCTCACGCAACGATTCTCGTTGCTGAATTGGAATTTGTGATTCTGATATTGCAATTCGATTTTTCGAAGCGAATCGTGATATCGAGATCCCGATGCACACGCACGATACAGGTATATCTCGTAAATAAACGAAACGTATGTACGTTGGAGATATCGAACGTCATCACGTTACGTCATCATGTATGCGCGAAGCGCGCTACTCCCAAAAATGATCATTTATACATAACTAAAGGGTGGAAATAAGAGGCGCAAAATGTCGCGTTTACAATTCATATTTCAGAAAATATTATTCGAGAATTTTGACATACACACTTGATATTTTTCATTAATTTGAATTTTTTCGTGATTTTTTTTTTTTTTTACCTCAACGAGAAAATATCTTCGTCAAGAAAATATCCTTCGTTTGAACGAGATGTGACGGCGAGTTTTTTTCTGAAACTCTCGCATGAAAGTGGACGACTTTATTTTTTTGCAGCTTATTCGAGATTACTCTCCGGCAGGCCAGACATAAAACCGCAGGGATTTTCGTTTCTGTGAGTACGGAATCGCGGAAACGCGGTGTGATATTCATTCAGGATAGTCCGCAGGATGCGGCGCGTGTAACTTTTATTAAGGGGAAAAGGTGCATGCACGCAATTTTCTCGCTGCTATTTCACTACTAATCACACATGTCGCTATCTCTCTCTCTCTCTCTCTCTCTGTCTCGCATTTCTTCTTTCTTTTGTACTCTCAATTTTCACGAAAAAATTTTCCATTCCACGGATTAGCAGTTTTAAATGATTTACGAAGAATTCGCGAATTAAGGAAGTTAAATGCAAGGGCTCTCGATTTTAAAAAAGAGACTAAAATTTAAAATTTAGATAATAATTTTTAGATAATAATTTACTCATCAATTGTATCAATAATCATCATATAATACAAATTGAAAAAATGAATAAAGTGAAAAATAAATGATTCGTTAAGTTAACAACAATTCTCGAAATTTCGATTTTTTTTTGCAAACGACAGAGTCCGATCGCGGAGATTCTTTTTCCTTGGAAGAAAATAATGATGCGACTGGGTCCAATATTAGAAAATTACACCTATGATGGCGCAGAATATCTCGCAGTATTTTGCGATGGTCGCTAACGGTAAGCGGAGATTTCGCACGGGAGAATCACTGTAAGAAAGGTCAGATTCCATGCATTTATATCGCGAAGCAGCGCGAAGCCGCAGACTTGCAGACACAATTACCTGTCGCTCGTAAATCAACCCGGATTTGTATTAAAACGGACGGGCCACATAGATCGCATCTTCCACGGCAAGGAAATAAGCGCTGCGCAAAACCGAGTGCACACAAGATTTGTCATTACCGCGATGTATCTTATACTCGTCGATTTTCAGTTTCGAGATACCTCTACCTCGAGTCGAAATTTTACTCCTATTTTCAATCTCGATCTTCTCACGTTTGTAACTTGAAGAGAAAGGATTTCCGAATAAATTGAATTTGCATAAGAATTAAGCCTCTACTCTCTTAAATTGAATCAGTGAGAATGTCATTGATTAAAGTAGTGTGAAACAAGATTTCATCGAAAGTTAGTGAGAATATTTGATCTCTTTGACTGAAAACACGTCATACTTTAGATTACTATTATTTGGGAAATTTTTTTGAAAAAATAAACACATATATTTAAAGTAAAGCATGTTTAAATAATATGCAAATTCAGAATTGTAAATAATATGTAAAATAAAAATTATATTCATATACTTTTTTATTCTTAAGATATAATAAATCGAAAAAAATGGACAAGATTCTTGATTAAAAATTCAAATATTTCTTTTAACAAAATATATATAATATATAAATTTATCTCATATATAAGATGTATTTTAAATTATCACTGCCTCAAACAATTATCATTACTAATTCTTTCAGTAAGAAAGAGATGCTTTCTTTTAGTGAGAAAGGGATAACCTCTTTTAAGAGAGCAATTTGTATTTAAGAAGCAGATGAACAATTAAAAGTTCTAAATCAGATCTTTCGACAAAATTTTAAAATATATAAGGACTAACTTTAAAAGAGAATTATATTTAAAATATCAGAGTAGATGTTAGAGATTGAAAATTGTGATCAACAATAAGAGAAAACTTTTGACTGGGGGGGCTCTTTGGAATCTTCGAATTTCGGACTTATTCTTCCGTATTTATGCGTCGCGAAACGCGAACATACATTTTCGTAATCGTCGCTCTCTAAACCATAAAAAAAATTGGGCCAGTGCCATTTATTGTCCTACATCAGAGATCGTAGCACGCGCCGGATACCTTTCACCATCTATGCGATGCATTTCAAATTAAATTCTTTGGAACGCTCCCACCTACCTACGCATGGATTTTTTTTTTAAATTGACAGTCAAACATATGTTATCTCCAAGAGAATTGTTTGGCGCGCGAAAATAAATCACGCACATAGATAACGCGTTGCAACCAATATTTTCGCACATTCTAATAACGCTATTCGAGGTATTCGATAACGGTACTCGCGATATTCATCTCGCTGAAAGATTGAATAGAAAGAGTGAATCATTACATTCCTCCGCTCGGGTCAATATCCGTCTACGTTTGCGATCGAATTTTAGAAGCGAACGGTATTCCCGATCGGATCTTTAAAATCTTCGTTCTATTGTCTCTCGCGAGATTTATCCCACCCCATATTTTCGCTGATTTAGTGCGATTTAAGAATATTAATAAAATATTTTATTTATCTCGAATTTATTTTTTTATATTCAAATTATTGTAAACAACGCGGAAATTTTTAACGATACAAAATGACTCAAAGAAATCCGAGATTGAGCAAGGATGCCTCATCGTGTCCCGAGTTTCTTGGAGAGTGTCCTTTCGTCTCTCGCGAGATTTATCTCATCCTATATTTTCGCTGATTTTAATGAGATTTAGGGATATTAATAAAATATTTTATTTATCTCGAATTTATTTTTTTATTTTTTATTTTTCAAATTATTGATATTATGCCTCGTGTCTCGAGTTTCTTGGAGAGCATCCTCTCGCGAGATTATCTCACCCTATATTTTTCTGATTTAATGAGATTTAAGGATATTAATAAAATATTTTATTTGTCTCGAATTTAATATTTTATATTCAAATTAGATTATAAACAACGCGTATAATTAGTATAATTAGTATTATAAACAACGCGGAAACTTTTAATGATACAAAGAAATCTGAGATTGAGTAAGGATGCCTCGTGTCTCGAGTTTCTTAAAGAATGTTCTTTCGTCTCTCGTCATATCTAACGCTTCCTCTTCGTATATCGCAACGTTGGCGCATCTAATGGGAACGCGAGTTTGATTCGTGACCTGTAGATCGAGAATCGGGACCGTGTAACGTGAAAGATAATCATAGTGCACCTGGAGACGTGCATTCAATCGCGCATTTTCTCCCTTCGACCGAAATAGGCCTCTGTATATCGATCAGCACGGACTTATTTATGCCTATCAGTGGCGGTACTTTTTCCATTTCTTGGCGCATATATCTCTTTCTGCATATCTCCTACGTTTCTTCCTTTGTTTAATAAGGGGAATCGCGAGTAATAAAGATATTCGCGTCGTCGGTCGACGTCAGTCGACTGCGAATATTAACGATGAATGGGAGAGGCAGAAGTGTGTGCAATCAGGATGATTATTACACGCATAGTTTAACTTCTTCCGCTAGACGCGTGTCGTGTGATGGTACGCAAGCGTATAAGAAATGATGGAAATTTGTCTACTAATCTCTACGTGAAAATATACTCTAGTGTATCGTACTTTGTGAAGCTCCAAACTGTACTCTCTTCTAAATTGGGCTTTAATAAACGTAGAGTAGAGCACAGAATAGTGCGGAAAATTCGTGCGAATCTAACACGTACTTTTCACGTTGACAGTATTCGGTGCTGGGACAAGGTTGGCGGATCTATATGGGGCAATGCGTGTCTCGTAAGGCGGGCGCCGTCGTCGCAGCATCCGGTCATCACAATTCGCCTTCGTACCGTATCATGGACAAGGCCCAGAAACAGGTGAGCTCCTCTCCGAATTGAAATTTTCCTTTTACCTTCAGTCTTAACTTTTTCACGTTTATTCGGATTCTAGAGAATTTCGACAGTTTTAATTTATGTAAGAATTGAGCTCCTACTTTAAATAGTCAATTTTTCATTTAAAGTCTTAAAAGAAGAGCTTTCCATAAAACTATACACAGAAAAAAAAGTGTTACTTAAACTAACGCGTTCATTGTTTCGTATATACGCAACAATTTATAATCTTCTTAGAAGAATTTAATAATTTTAAATTTCAATATTATAGTCTTAATTTAATATTGGTGAGCTCCTCTCCGAATTGAAATTTTCCTTTTATCTTCAATCTCAACTTTTTCACGTTTATAGATTCTAGAGAATTTCGACAGATTTAATTTATGTAAGAATTGAGCTCCTACTTTAAATAGTCAATTTTTCATTTAAAGTCTTAAAAGAAGAGCTTTCCATAAAACTATACACAGAAAAAAAAGTGTTACTTAAACTAACGCGTTCATTGTTTCGTATATACGCAACAATTTATAATCTTCTTAGAAGAATTTAATAATTTTAAATTTCAATATTATAGTCTTAGTTTAATATTGTAATTGTCTTCTCAGGAATATATAATTATTTAATTCTACTTTAAGAAAATTATATTCTTTGATTTGAAAATGTTGTTTTTTATCTAACATTGTTTCTTTTTCATTCAAGAAAATTAAATCTTAAATCATAAGAATATACTTTTCTCGATTGAACTATATAAAATGGCTTCGTTCAAGTAAGCAGTTATTCAAGCAATTTTATTTTTCTTTAATTAATGCAATATAATCTCATTTCAAGATTTCCATGTTAAAACTAAATATATTTTCAAAAGAATGTCCTTTTTTTCTGTGTATATTCTCTTAAATGGAATCAATATAGAAATGATGGAAATTCAATCATAGAAATTAGTTATTAATAATCGCAATTAGTGATTGATTTTTCAGTGAAATTTCTCATAATAAATACAATTGGCTGATATTCGATAAAGGCCTTGTCAGCCTTCAGTGACATCTTTACTAATTTAATTTATGTAAGAGACTAGGTTGAATAGCTCCAAAGGAGCTCATCTATTTAAAGTATCACGAGAGATGTTTGATTGAAAATTGAAATCGAAAGTAGGAGAATAATTCGACTCGCTGTCAGGATGCCTAGATTCGAGTCGTCACGACTCGTAAAAAACCATCGCGCCGTAAAAACGCTCTTTCTATCATCGATGGACATTGAACTTCGAGGCGACGTCGAGTTTCGCTCGCCGGATCGCGTTCACTCAACTCTGTCCCTGACTCTTTTTTCTCGTCATTGCGTTTACATAATATCCATCGGATACTGTCCGCGCATGTAGTATATAATACGCAACGTATCGCGTGTACATCGCATCGCGATCGCGAGTAGCGTACGCATGTAGCGAAAAATCCAGCTGATTGCACGGACGGTTAAGCTAAAGGCCACGTTGAAGTTCAATGCCCTTCCTCAACCAAGTTGCACCTGCAACGGTATCGCTATCACCTGCGAATATATCATTCGTGCGCATCTGTCATGTTTATACGACGTGTAACACGATTTAATGCATCCCGGTTCATTCCGTGAAAATCCGCGCGATCGACGACGCGTGAAAATTGCATTACGTCGAACGTGTTGAGTTACATTATTCCTCGTTGTCTTTCGACATATATCAAAGTTAAAAGTCCAACCAGCATGACTATTTTATTTTACATACTCGAAACGAGCGGCATTTCTTTCTTACTTTCGCGATTTTAATTTTCAATCTAACATTTATTTTGATATTTTATTCTCTTGAATATTCTATTTAATCTACAGAGTTATGGATTTTAAGTGAGAAATTTATTTATTTATATGAAAATTGCCTAAGTAATTATTTATATTAATTGCCTAAGTATTTATTTAAATTATTAAGTTATTAAATTTTAAATTATTAAATTGAATAATTATTTATTTTAATAGTGTATTTATTTATTTATTTAATAATTAATTAAAAATTAAATAAATAAGTGAAATAAATAAAATTAATGAATAATAAAAAAACATATGAATGATATTATATAATGATAATAAATATTTGTTTATTATTTGAAATACAAAATATAGAAGTTTAATAAGAACTTTAATTTGAATAGAAAATACAAAAGTTTCCTATATATAAATTAAATATTTATAAAATTTTTTTAGAAGCCATAAATGAAGGTTGAAAATAGGAGGAAAATTTCCATTTTGGAAATCCATTCAGGAAATTTACATGGTTATTATGTCAATGATCCCTTCTTTCGTATAATTATTTGCAATCTGAAATCGGCACTTTCGCATATATGAACGTGAAGGAAACGATTTCGTGTATAATCATTCGTACGCTTGAATACTTTCACTAACGTTTAATGCAAAAACGTTTTTATTATCCATCGAACGTATTAATGTATCGATCTCCGCTTTCGCGAACGCGTTAACTTTCTCGTATATGCACTCGAATTGCAACGAATTAACCGTCTTTGAACGATCATACGTTACGTGAATAGATATGCAAATTGCTTTACGTCGGCAATTACCGTTGCTCGCGCTTACGCTTTTTTTTATTCGCGCCAACGTCCTAAGGTAAACGAGTTTAACAATAATAATGTTAGATGAATAGCCTCTCCTCGAGTCGCAGAAATACCGCGGCTTTTCGAGATTAATCAGTCCGCGAAATAAATAGTTGAAATTTATAGATCTCCGTTTCTTAACAAAGTCGAGTTTACCATTAATTTGCGCGATGAGCGATACTAACGCGCGTTTCCCCGCGATAAACATCGACGTACACACATGCAGATCGTTAATGAAATTTATTCATTAACCGACCTAATCTCGCAAACGGTTTCTCATGTGCACGCGCTGTTAAATTTTCACCCGGAAACGAGATCCCGCGCTTTTGTGAGAGCCTTTTCGCCGATTCGGGGATGCGTTATTAATTCACGCAACCGATCCGGCCTCGGTCGAACATGTACTTTCCATTGTTCGTCGTCACGCGGCTCGGTTCCGTGGGTAGTCTCGCGCCAGGCCGGAAACCGAGAGACGGAAAACCGGCACGGCACGGCACCCGCACGGTTCAGGTGCGAAGAAGGAGAAATCGGCGGAGAGAGAACGCGAGAAGGCTTTTCTCTCCATTGTTCTCTCTCTTCCCTCGTCTCTCCTGCATCTCAGCCGTGCCGATTCGCACGCCGATCACGTTTACTCCCGCGATCGAACGATAGCGCTTGTTTCTCCTATTGTACTTAACTATTTTTGTAAAAAAAGTATCAAATATATGACGAATCTTAGGATCAGTTTCACCATCTCTGGCTGTGGCTTAACTCAATCAGCCGATTAAATTTAAGAATTGCCGACTATTAAACTAATTTTTACTCACATCTTATTATACATTAGCAGCTGTTAAGTGAGTGTGGAATATTGTTATTGCATATAATATTAAATAAGTATGTAAAATTGCATATAATATTAAATAAGTATGTAAAATTTATTAAAAGTATTATTAAATATATTAATATTGACGTCTTGTTGGCAATTCTGATGACAAATTTAATCGGTCGATTAAGTTAACCGGAGATGGTGAATCTGACCCTTAATGAACAAAATTTGAAATTTGTGTAATTAAACAAATTTTTATACATATTTATATCGTGACGTATTGTATACGTAAGATGTGTGTATTAGAATATGATCATTTGGATGCGAAATAAAGATTTTTGAGCTTCTTTCATGGGGATACGAAGGCAATCTTCCCCTTCACGATTTTTCGTTAAAAATCCGCGGATTCTTTCTCGATCGAGAAATGCTAGATCTTGTCTAGGAAGCTTTCCTAGACATCTTTCTTTCGGTTACGTGTATACACAGAGAAAAATGTATACAGTATTGAAGTAAATATTATTTATGTGAAGTATATCATAAGTTTGTGTATCCGCAAATATATCACAAATTCACCACAAGTATTAAATTTAATTGAATACATTCTGAATACATTCTTTTAGTAAGTGCAGATTTTTTGGTCAAGAATATTAAATTAAAACAAAAATTTGATTTGCTTACTACTTCCATTCAAGAATATATTTTTTGTTGAAGAAAATTATTACTTAAAAAAAGAACAAATTCACCACAAGTATTAAATTTAATTTAATTGAATACATTCTGAATACATTCTTTTAGTAAGTGCAGATTTTTTGGTCAAGAATATTAAATTAAAACAAAAATTTGATTTGCTTACTACATCCATTTAAGAATATATTTTTTGTTGAAGAAAATTATTACTTAAAAAAAGAAAAATAAACTGAGTAATCGCTTTTCTTGGCAGTAGAATGATATTTTTCTCTGTGTTGTTTCTACTATTGTTTCTCCTTTCACGATTTCTCGTTGAGAAAATCTGCAGACTCTCCTGAGAAATGCTAGATCCCATCTAGGAAGCGCCTTTCTTTCGATTACATGTATAGATAAAAAAGTTTAGGACTCTTCCCTCTTCGACTTTAGCTTCGATACTTGCGATCTTACAAAATGCCGCCTTGCGCTCTTTTTTATCGCGAGATGACACGCAAAAGTTTATCGCGAAATCTTATCAGCAAATCGATTTAATTAAATACGACGTCATTTCAGTGGAGAAAGAAAAGAAGCAAAAATTGAGATTGCATCCTTGTCAGAGAATCATCACGATAATCATCATGATAATCTTATCGTATTAACTTATCCGTTTTTTTAACAATTTTTATTTCTTGGTAAGATCTGATATCACAGTGACACAGTGTCTTATAAATCATCGGTGTTATTCTCTTTTTAATAACAAATTCGCTAATTTTGAATTAATTTTTAGTGAAAATATCAAGGCACTCAAATTATAAATCTCGATTATCAAATTAAATTTTGTAGAATTAAAAATTAGAGAAATTACATTCTTCAATTAATTTCGAGTGAAATTTCAATTATAATTTTAAATCGAGACTTATGGTAAAAAAAAATGGAAACTGTCAAAAATAATAATCATCTCCTACATTTTTACTGATAAAATGGAATCCGGAGCAACTTACAATTAGCCAGAGAATCTACTATTAAAGAGACATTGATTTGTGAAAAAACAATCTATATTTATAGAAATGTGTTCGATAAAAAATTCGCACAATCGATTTATCGAAAGTTTATATTAATGTTATTCTCTGATTCGATGAGTCACATTGCTGATTCGTGTTTCAAACGAAATCACGTAGCGAAAGAGATCGCTTCGCTTTGATAGCTTCGCATGATCGGCGTTCTATTGCCAATTCCGCAGGAATCGTTCCTCCTGATAACGATGCTTCAATCTGACGCGGAGTCCCAGTCGCACCGCTGAATCAAACAATTCATATATACAGGGTGCGCCCCGAACGAAAGTGATCGATAGTAAATAGGAACGTTTCTCCTCGCCGACGTGAATCGATTCGTCTTCAACGAAACGGAGGGGAAGTATTATCGCGGGGTCGTTGCTACGTTACTTCACTTTGAAACCGCGCCAGGAAAGCGAAAACACTCGACACAGACGATCCGTCCGTCTCTGTCGTGGCCTATCTGCAACTTACAAAGACGAAATCGAATTAAACACACGTAATACACTCTCCCGTTCTTCCCGCCTCTGCCGTTAAGACACCCTGTATATCGGGAGAAACCCCGGGCCGCGCATCCGCAAGATCAGCAGCCCCTCGGCTGATGCGTCGGCGACGTCGCGGCGCCGGCGCAGACGACCGGATCGATCCCGCTTTCCTCGCCTACGACGGATAAGCCGGGGGAGCGAGCGAGACGGAAGAGGCGCGGGAGGAGCAGCGGGGGCGACGACGACGACGACGACGACAAACAGCGACGACGTCGGTGCGCCGTCGCGCGTTTCCGCGCCGTCGAAAGACCGTCGCGTACCATCCTTACGATGTGACGGACCACGAAGAGAGAGATTCCTTGGCCATCGTCTCGCGCGGATCTCCTCGAGAAGAACGCACGCTCTTCGCGCCGGTAAACAGTTACGTATTCGCGACATGACGACGCGAGCTGGAAACCCCATCGTGGGCGGCCGTCAATCCCCGTGAGAGAGAGATCGATCCGACGACCGGCCGTGTGACATTGGCCCGGACTGTCATGGAGTACCGGTGCGGCAGCACGAGATGCGAGGACGACTCGCTGGAGAACGAGAAAGGCATTGCGGTAAGGGATGCGGGGACACGAGAGCTTTGCTCCTTCCCTCCGGATTCCTCTCTTCTACGGAAAGGAGTCGGAGAATCTCGGAGTTGTATCTGTGAAAAATTTCCATGGAATTGTACCATTAATGTTATCGAGTTGACATTTATCAAGTGGCTGAATCAGGTCCTTCCATTTGCAAATTTTACATCGAGATCTTTGTGGATTTTCATTTCCGGAATTGAAAATATTCTCCGTCCAATGTCCATTCATGATGCAATACATTTCTCCGTCATTCTTATATAATCAAACTTGATATAATTGTGCTTAACTATCTTTATAAAAAGGTATCAAATTTATGGATCTTAATGACTAGTGAACAAAACTAGGGAAGGTTGGATAATTAAAAAAATTGTATACGTATTTATATCGTGACGTATTGCAAGAGGTGTGTATTAGAATATGACGGATATTTGAATGCAAAGTAAATATCGAGATTGCCGAGGCTCTTTCACGGGGACGCGAAGGCAATCTCAGATTTGTCGGGTTGTCGTCGAGTAGTTACTCTATTTCTGGAGTCCGAATGAGGTTGGCCGTTCTCGGGCGACCCGAAACGGAAACGGCACACTCGGACTCGGCGAGTTGTCGCGTCGTGCAAACAGCAGATCGAAGTTGGCGTCGCTTTTCCATCAACCGACCCGACAGTCGTAGGCAATGTGGTGCTCGCGTGTACGTTGCTCTGGACAAAGAGTTTTGTCCGTAGGATGCGCTATCGACTCCGCGCCGACATATAACCCCGAGTATGCATCTGTGTACGAATATCGATTAATATCGCTGCAGACGGCAACCACGTAGCAAGTTCGTCCAACAAGCCCTTAAGCCGCACGAACGCGCGGCACCGACGTATCAACGTTTTGCGATAACGCCAGGTGAATGCCGGGAGAGAAGATACGACGAAGAAACACGACATTGCGCTTGGATTAAGCAATTAATTATATTCATCTTATGTAATCGATAATACAACGTTTAGACTAATTATTAACTCAATTATATCGATCTCCTTCCGCGAATGTAATTCGCGGCTGATGATGCGTGACTAGCGCTACTCATAATCTTATCCACCTTACATCTTGGTCCGAAGTATTTTTTTTTATCGTGACAATTGTAAAAACGTGATGGAAATTAAGATTATTTTATATTTAAGAAAAGTGATCTCGAGTTGAAAATTTTCTCTCACTTTTCTCCTATAATTTTTAATTTAATTTACTATGATTCTTTAAACAATCAGATTATTTTTGAAAATATTTAATTTATTGCGTGCTCCATTTCTTTCACTCTTTTGACGTGGACATCGCGTCTAACGTCTGGAAAAATTTTTCAGGGCGACCTACGGGGCTCTTCGAAGCGCGGCACATCACACACACGCGGCACCGCAATGTCTTTCGGCTTCCGGCGAAGGCCCACTAGCGGGATTCCGATGCCGATAACGAACTACTCCACCAGCACCGTCACCGAGAAGAGCCTGCTGCATCCACGATCGAAGTCAGCCGGCCCGGAACAGAATCGTAGACGGGCGATGGACGACGACAACAGCAATGCGATCCATAACTCGTCGTCTGGTCGGTCGACGCCGCGATTGGCGCCACCGAAGAAGGACTCGAACGGAACCGGTGTCAGAACCAACCGTTTCGGGTATCGGCAGCCTCAGAGGTTCACGAACAAGGTCGGTGATATTTGTAGCAGCCACAATATCAGTCATTACAATCAGGAGAAGCTGCAGCAACATCAGCAGCAGCAACAGTATTATCAACAACAGCAGCCGGAGAATTATTTTGTCAAACAACAACAGCCGAATAGGGTTGCGCAAGTGCAGCAACATTTGTGCAATACAACGGCGCCGTCGAAGCCTCGATCGTCGCCATCGAATAACGTGGCTTACGGCAGCAGCAATAATACGATGATGCAGTACGCGGACGCCAACAAACGAGTCTCAGGCATTCCTGAACCCATTAGTAGGTATACTCTGCATACCAGTCACTTGCCGCTTCCGCAGTTCGCCGTGCGAGTAAGCGATTCCAATTCCAAGATCGCTAAGACAGCAGCGAATCAAAGCAGAAAGATATCCACGTCGAAGGGTTCGTCCAGTTCAAAGGAGGGCTCGGTGACCGAAGATTCGGGTGTCAGCAGCCAGCCGGCTGGCCCAGAAGACGACAGAATTAGGTCGATGGATTATATGGATGAAGGTTCTCTGAGGAGACGCGGCATCGGCAGACCGAGAAATTTGCGTATGGTGGTAAACGGCAAGAGCTTCGACGTGAGAGACGTTCGAGACGACGATAGCACGGTCACAGAGATTTCCGTGATCCCGTTGCCCAAGTCGTTCGCGACCGCCGCGGCCAATTTAAATACCGGCTTTGTACGAGAGCGGGCTACGCAGTACCAACGGATCGTAAACAAGGACAACAGATACACTGATTCGACCGCGTCGATGTCCACCACATCTTCAGAAGGATACGAGGAAGGTTGCCTTAGCGAGGAAAAGGTTTTCAAGGACCGTTCGCGTACAGAGAAAATCCCATCCATAAAATCAGACTTTAGTCCGCCGAGTTCGGACGATCCCGAGTACGGTCATGGTGAGGCCATGGCAGACGAGTATTCATTGAGCTCCAGCGACGAATGCCAGCGTTCGAACTCCATCATCGTTCAGCACGCGCAGACGATCACCGCCGCTACGAAGAGCAGTACGGCCTCGAAGAATGCTCTGCGTTCGGTACTGCTCACTATTGAAGATCCGGCGTTTGCTGCTGCCGCCGCTACCACAACTACTTTGATAGACGATGAGACCTCGCCGGTCGACAGTCTATTCGATAGTCCCACCGCCAGTATCACTCAGTCGGATGGAAAGCCCTCGAAGAGAGACGAGGAACACGCGCTGGAACGTTCGGACAACACTCTCGAGGATGATAGTCCCGGCACGCCGACGAACGCCTCCAACTCGCTCAGCCTGTCCGAGGGTAGAGAGTTCTTCGACGATGAGATTGCAGATCAGCCGGGATTGATCTTCGATGACAGCAACTCGAGGGCTAGAATCGAAACGCAGTCCGCCATGGGGAATCAAGTAATCACCGAGAATAGCCACACTTTAATCGAGACGAGCTCTAAGACAGGTTAGTACGGATTACGATATTTTTGGAATCGTTTTCTTCAAATGTACATTGTATATCAGGAAGATTTTATTGAATCTAACTCTCAATCTAATAATTTTAATAAACTTAAAGTAACAATGCACATATAAAAATAATAAATAAAATTGTATGGTATAAATATAATAAATATATCACTTAAAGATAATAAATATATTTATCTAGAAATTTTTAATTGAGATGTATTTTGTTAAGTAATAATATATTTGTAATTTTTAATTTGTAGGTGGTGCGCACGTCAAAGGCATGATAAACAGTCCCCATCACGGACAGCGTTTGCATCGAACGGGAAGCGTAGATACTTTGTCTCCTTGCGAATCCATCGCCTCGGATGATTTAATGTTGGATTATGATGGCAGTGATGCGAGCTCTTACGAAGAACAACAGCGGTTAGCATTAAACAATATAAATTTTTTAAGCAAATTTTTATACATATAAATATATATTTTTTTACATACAAATAATAATTTATATATATATATATATATATATATATATATATATATAAACAATAATTTTATATAAATTTTGATTTTTCATTATGAAGAAAATATTGTTCTTTCCATCAATTAAATTCGCATAATTATTATTACTTTTCAGATTAAATTCCAATACTGCGTTGCACGATCTGGATGATGCCACTATAATTTCCGAATTGGAAGCTCAGGGCGAGGAAGTGATGAGGCAATGGAGCTCGTTGTTAAACACCGCTCATATGCAAGATGAAGCGAATTCCAATTCCGCCAACAACAATTCTGTCACCAACACAGCGGGCAACAATAACAATCAGACCGCCATCGAATCTGGGTGTGTATTTGTATTTTTTTAAATCTTTCCACGCTTGCATTGCTCGAAATACGCAACTCCATAATGCATGAAGCTTCTTTGGGAATGATAAACAAAATGTTATCACGATTAGAGTTATGTGTGACATTTTACTTGTTAATGATATGTAAATTATGCAAAGATATGTTTCTTTTCTCCGAAGAAGATGTAGGAGAATATAATACAACTTTCCGTGAGTATTATTTTTTTTATGTGTAGTTGAAGTCCGGCAAGGTATAATTGTTAGATCTCTCTTTTCATATCTTTTGTTTTCTGCACATCATTTAATTGTCTTAATTGCACAATCACTTTATTTTTTTGGATTTTGAATGTTTACATATACACTTGCATCAATCATTTTGTATGCTTTGCTAGATGCAACATATCGATTGCATTAATTTTACAACACAATTTGAGTTAACTTTGATGTGTTTGTAGTAGAATTTTCAAACTGGAAACAATGTAGTACAATGTAAAAGATAGAAACTGTAGCAGGCTTTTATCTAGAGACGATAAGTTGCGTAGGAAGATTGAAAGAGTATCTGATCAATGTTGTGATAGTTAGTGGAAGTGCATATCATGTGAAGAAAAGAAGATAAAGAATGTGTCATCCAATTAATTAAATTAATGTGTATCTGCTGTTCTATTTATTACAATTATATAAGTCGTATTTGTAAACTTTGATTAGTATAATCTCTTTTTGGAATTTTTTGTACATCATTTCTCATGTACAAAAAATTCTACATAGATAAACTAAAATATTTCTTTGAAATATCTTGCCAATAAATTTTATCTTGGGAAAAATTGCATCTTTTGCACTTTTTCCGATCTTGCAATATTATGAAAACTTTATATTATCCTTTAATCTTATATATTTTTATATTAATCTTTCTTTCGCGCGCTTCGTATATAATTCCATAAATTTCTATCTTTTATATAATTATCTTTTCATTCGATTGAATGAAGCTTGGCGACAGCATCTGTGGAGAGGAAGAGTGTTGTAATATCTCTTGATTCTTTATATCTTACATCATTAGTTGTTATTAATAGATATGATGATTTATGATAATTTTAATCGTGACACGATATTGAATTGCAATGAGGGATCGTAAAAGTTGGTCATTGCAGAATGTTACGCATATTTGTAAAATTCTTCTCTTGGTATTTTAATATCGGAAAGTAATATCTCTTCTTGTATCGGGAGCACGAAGCAGCTTAGAGATATCGAATCGTACTATTGTAATAATAATTGCCTGTTGCGAGTCGTGTAAATTTCGAGCTCGTCATGGCCACAAGCGCATAACAGCCTACTCTCTTTCGCGGCGTTAACTCTTTTTTTTTTTTACTCTCTCGGTGAACGAGAAAGAGCAAAACATCTCCAAGTTTATCTATTAAATCTGTCCTCTCTTGTATCTCCGCTGTTCATCTGCAATCCTCGTCCGACTTTAATCGACTTAAATCCTTGAAGCCTTTAATCGAGCTTTTGTGAATCTTCGTCATTATTTATTTTGTCAACCGTTTTTCCTTCCGTTTTTCATTAAAAAGCGATCAATACATGTGATAGATAGATAAAAAAACGCAAATGTTAGAAGAGATTTAATCGAGATTACGATAAATTGAGTGCTGATAATGCGTGATATTTTGATGTAAAGATCAACCTACTAAAAATGGGAATGTTTCTCTTCTCACGAAAATATTACAAAAAAATCTCGGTAACAAATCACTCTACTCTCTTGTGTCCGACTACATCTGTCTTTTTTGTCAGAAACTTTTCACGTTCAAGTCGTACGCGATAGTATCTTCTCCCTCCCTTGCTTGTACAAAATTAAACAAAATAAACATACCCGCATCCGTCACAGGAGACGCCACAATTCAGCGACAGTATTCTGTGTTCTAGCGCGCTAATAAAACGGGTGAAGCAATTGCAAATCCCCGATGAGGACTCCGCGGGTGGAGACTACTACCAGCTGACATACCCTAACTAGCGAGCGGGGTCCGCCGATCCTCCCTCGAATGTCGACTAAGCAAAATCGATAACTGCAAGCCGATTACAGTAATAATAACATACGGACGCAGGCTTAACTCGTGAGTGATCGCGCGTAAAAAAAAAAAAATCGGAAAAGCTGATCACGTTAAAATGAAATGGTGGATGCAGCGTCATCAAGCTTTTACAATGAACAAAAAAAATATTATCAATCAGAAGATAAAGAGAGAAAATGATTTTCTTTATCGAAGCGCAATCACTCACGAGATAAACGGACAGACGTTGCCAGGAGCGTGAAAGAGAAGCGGACGTGATTGGGAGAATCCGAGCGATAACACGCGATGTCGCTAAATTAAAAAATTTAGCAATTAATCGTGATTTTATGCTGACCTGTGTCACTTTTGTTTAGGCTATGATTAAATGATAAAGGAAAAAGGGAGTGACGTATCGTCAAATATTATTTTCAATACGTAGTACAATTTCGAAATTTAGTCAGAATAATTTACAGTGAAAGTATATACTTTTTACATAATTTCTATAAAACAGGTATCACGCGATTGTTGTTATTTTATAATGTAAGAAATTTTTCTTACGTAATTCCTAGTTCCTAGATAATTTTGTACATTAACGTCAACTTGTGTAGATATAATTCTTTTAATTCCTTAACAGATTTCGTGTATAATTATCATTCGTTTCGAGGCTTGTGCTGTTACGTATCCTTCTTGCGTGCGTTCTCGGAGTATTGATTTTTTTTGTTCCTAAGGAATAATATATAATAACCAGTTATATACGTCCCATCCTACTCCAACTTCTTAAGCCCGACTTGGATAGGAAATCTGCTACCTCAAAGGGTACTAGTCCTCCAACCTATTCCCCGCGAAAGTTCATTGTCTCGTTAATTTACTCGTCTTTCTTTGATCTAAGGAAAAATATGGCTTTACACATGACTTATAAGAGTCAGGCAACTTTCGAGATTACACAATGCGTCTTTATTATAGTCGCAGAAAATAATAATTCTCAAGTATAGTCGAAGTGTAGCTGAAAGAAGAATAGTACGCGAGTAAAGAGTAACCCACCCCGAGACTCACGGTCGGTTCGCCTTGTCCTGGTAAATAGCGCTACTCTAAAGGACGATTCGCCTTGATGACTTCCTAGCACAGCGTACCAGTACAGAGCGGTGGGGATGAAACGTGTAGTAGCGAGGGTGATAGAGATTATTTTTCCAATTTCGTATTTTTCCAAGACGGTAGTCGAAAGCCGAATCCTTCCAAAAATTGTCGTCCTATTGTCGCAAACACCGGTCCAAACTAGTTTCGATGCAACCTTCTTGTAGTAGATGCCGCCTAGTCATCCCGACGATCGTCGCTTTCAACATTAATATAATCGCATTCGTACTATCTAAAATAACGTAGATGTTAGCGCGCGAAGGGTAATCACTTCACGTTATCAAATATTAATTAATTAATCGTATACTCTCGTGGCATTATAAAAAATTAGTCAGGTGTAGACACGTAGCTTCGTAGAAGAGACGAGCGATCTCTCTTTCTCTGTGTGCGGTGACGAATAATTCAATTCGACGTCACTCTTCCTTCCAAGATCATTATAGAAGATGCGACTACAAATCGATATACGCTTGCTATCAATATAAAAATATATAAATGTGCATTCCATTAGTTATCTAATTTTTAATTATTTCAATCATTCGGAGCGGCTGACTTTATGTTTAGTTTGTAAAATTATTTAAATTATTGCGTCGTTATGTTGCAGTAAAGCGCATATTCTTTTTAACCTCTCGTAGCCTCGTGCTTATCCTCGTTATTATGACTGCATCCACGAAACATTTTTCCGCGTTATCGTTCATTTCCTGCCTATGAGATATTTTTACCGTTATCTTACATCCAATTTCTAGCACGAGCAACCACGAAATACGATCATCCCGTTGTACATCGTAAGCACAGTTTATATATGTAATCTCTCTTTGCATCTAAAGCCTCGTTTTTCCACAAGTAAGACCTATTACAGAATGCTTGTTCGAAGGCCCTTCTTATTTAAGCTTTACACTTGAGATATTGCGGAAGTAAAACTTATATATATATATATATTTTTTTTTTATTTTTCGAAGAATATATAAGCTCAGAGTTCAGGGAATGTCAGGAAGCAATATAGCTTGAAGAGCGTTAGTTCTGTGATTATATACACAGCAAAAAAAAATGTTAATTATAACATTTTTCACACGTTCTAAAAAGTCCGCTCTAAATTTTAAGTTAAAATAACTCATTCGTCGTATGTTACTTATTGACAAACTGAAAATGTTAAATAATTGACACAATACTTTACATTTATTTTTGTGACTTTAAGTATAATGTAAAAATAACATACAAATTAATTAAAAATTACATGAAAAAATAGTTACAATAATTCGTAAGAAATGTTGAGGACATTAACATATAATAGTAGTTATTTTAAATTATTATACTTAAATTATTTATAATAGAAACATTTGCTTTTAGTAAATTTGATTATTTTCATATGTCAAAGTTCAAGATTATTTGAAGATTTATTTTAACTTTTCTTAGAATGTTAAACTGACTTTGAGACATGTGGATTGTTTAAAATGATTATGTTAAAAATACTCAAAATAATATTCCATTTCTAAGAGACATATACAAAGTATTAAGTTATGAAGTTGACATAAATGTAACACATGAAAACGTTATAAAAATAATAACATATAGGTTGTATGTTAATTTTACATTAAAGTACTAATTAAAACGTGATAAACAACAGAAAATTTTAACATATGGACGCACAATTTTTTACTGTGTATGCATCCTTAAACCAAATATATGCGGAAAGTAGCAATAATGACACATGTTAACGCAACACGTATCTAGCATAGTACAAGAAACATATTCCAGACTTTATAATATAATAGCTCATTGAATTTAATCCTTCTTCTCGCGTCGAGTTCAATTTCTTCTGTCTTTGCTCTTTGATT